CAAGGTTTTTAGGGGAACACCTGTGTTCCCCACCGCGTCTCAGATCCTGCGAATGCCCCGATGTACTCATCGGTCCTCCGTTCCTGCCGGCAGTTTTAGACGCACAGATCTTCTAGTCCACGGGGCCTGGGTTGTACTGGTTGTGGTTGTTGTTGTCGCTGACGTGAATTTTGGTGGATGTGGCATGTACTCGGTACGCCGTGGCGAACGTGTACGAGGGGAAGTGGGAGGTGACGGGAACGAAGATAATGAAGATAGCCTCTTTTTACCGACTGAGATCCCGTTAGATTGACGTTGATGGGCGTTGATGGGTCAATGTCCCCTCGGCGGCGAGTGAATAAATATATAGATATATATATATATGTTCGTGAGTGTCGTTAGTGGTGCGTGTAAGTCTGAATGTGTCTGGTTCTGCGTGTGGTGTCATTATTTTCAATCAGGATGGAGGGGCTACGTCACCGAAGGAAGGTTTGAGTCTGCCGGAGCTGTTGACGAACTTGATGAGTGGGCTAATCGCGTTGACGTTGCTTAGCAGATATGGGATGGATGAAGCGTTGCGTTTGAGTGCATTGGTGAGTATAAAGCGCTCGCGAGCGTACTGCGGGCAATCTAACAGAAAGTGTTTGACAGTTTCCGTGGTCCCTGCGCAGTGGGGGCAGTCTGGGGACGGTATTTTTCCCATGCGGTGGAGGTGAAAGTTGAGTGAGACGTGGTTCGTGCGAAGCCAAAGAACAAGGCTGATATGGCGTTTTGGGAGGTGTTTAACAAGGGATATGAAGGAGCCGGAAATGGTACGAGGGTCGATGCGGGTAGTGTGTTGAAAGCGGGGTGATTGAAGCCAGTGTCTGGCCCAGCGTTCGGAGGATTCCTGTCGTTGCGCTTGTTTCAGAGCGGATACGCTGCTGGGTAGGATTCCTTTACGAAGGTATGGGGGGAGATGTTCTTTTGGGCTGTTCTCCTCACTACTCTTAGCGGCCTTTTTCGCTTCTTCATCAGCCACTTCGTTCCCTGCAACTCCGTCATGCCCAGATATCCACCTAACCACCACCCCGAAGTTTCTATCACCTCTGTTAGCTTTTTTCAACTTCGTTATTGATCTGCGGAAGTGGTCTATCAGGTAGTGACCGGGCTTAGTGGTGAAAAGATCACCGGATTTAATGGTAGCCTGATTGTTCACGTATATCGAGATTGGGAATTCAACGTCGTCTTCGTCTGCTAATAATTGCGCTGCGAGCGTTAAGCCCACCGCCTCCGCTTCATAAACTGTATGTTCTTCCAATGAACCCAAGTGGAATCTGAGGGTGCGAGGTTGAGTACGTCCTGTGCGAAAGAGCGCAGCCGCTGCCCCAGCGTTGCCTTCCAGTCCCGAACCGTCACAGTAAATTTTGATGGAGTCTTGATTGTCGTTGTGGTCTTTTATGGCGTTTTCGCGTGAGTTGGCTATGGAGATGGAGTATGGGGCTGAGGTGTTGGGTGGGCGACGGTTATGTGTGATGGTTTCAACGGAGTCCACGTCTATTTCGGAAGCTCGATAGAGATGATGAAGGGAGGAACGATGGCGTTTGACGAAACGTTTGGCGGCGCGTCGTACTGGGGTATAGAGCGGGTGAGAAGGAGGGTGCGCGGCTAGTCGAATTGCGGCTTGATAGCATAGATTCTGCATGCGATGTTCCACTGGGAGTAGTTTGGCGTGTACCTCGAGTGAGTCAGTAGCTGTAGAACGCATAGCACCTGTGATACTTAGCGCAGCGATTCGTTGTACTCGTCCTATACGTTTCGCAACTCCAATGGAACCTTTTTGCTTCATGTCTGAGTTGCCGGTGAATAATGGTCTGAACCATAAGTCGACTGCGTATAGCATTTTGGGCATCGCAACCGCTAAATAGATTTGACGCATTAGTGATAAGGGAATCCCGGTAGAGGTAGATGAAAGGCGACGCAGTTGAAACACGTAAGCAGTGCCCTTTGCGATGGCGTAGGCAATGTGAGGCTGCCATCTGAGTGCTTGGTCGAGTATAACGCCTAGGAACTTGTGCGTGGATGTTGGCGTTATCGTAGTACCTCGTGTGATAAGCGGAGGGCGTTCTTTGGTACGGTTCATCGAAAAATCTACCAGTGTGAATTTTGACGTCTCGAATTTTGAATTATGTTTGAGTGCCCATTCATAGCCGCCTCCAGCCCTTTCCAGCATGCTCTTGAGGGTCACGTGAGTGTCGTGGAATGATTTACCTATAGCCAAAAATGCGGTGTCGTCGACGAAGGCGAGAGTGCGCTCTTTTTTCTCGTGTCCTATGGCGATATCCACGAGGTCTGAATCGTAGATGATGTAGAGGATCATGGAGAGCGGGTCCCCTTGCCCGATGCCGTTTGCTATTGGGATCCATTCTGATAGGTGTCCGTCGAACTTTAGCTGTGTGCGTCGGCTCGTTAGTAAACGTTCCGTGAATCCTACTAACGATTCTGGGATTCTGCGGCTGCGCATGTTATGCAAGAGGCGGTCAGTGACCGCGTTAGGGAAGGCACCCTCAATATCTAAGAAAAGGGCTGAAACTACGTTACCTTGACGCCATGCGTCCTTAATCGTGGATTCTAAGAGATGAAGTGAATCGGAAGTCGACCGTCCCGGGCGCCCCCCAAAGTGTGTGTTGGGTAGGAGGTTGTGGTGCTCTAGAACATATGTTAGCTGGTCGGCTACTACTGCTGTTAGCAATTTGCACGTTGTATTGAGTAAAGCGATTGGGCGATAGGCTTTGGTTATTGAGTAGTCAGGCTTTCCGGGCTTGCGTAACACCACTGTCGTGAAGTCCCTCCAAGGGGCGTAATAGGTCTTGAGGGTGTATACTGCTCTGAAAAGGGGGAGTAGATAGGGTATTAGCAAGGAGGCGCAGCGAATAAAGATGATGTTACAGAGCCCATCTGGGCCTGGGGCTTTGTAAGGCCCCAGTTTCGATATACTTCTCTTGATTTGGTCCTTGGTGATGGGTGCGGGGCGTAGGGACTGCTTCCGGGTAGATTTGGTCTGCTGGCACCGAAGAGATGGCTGGAGGAGGGGGAAAGAAGGCTTGCGCCAACGCAGCGCTCTTCTCTTCATTGGTTTCTGCGGTACCTCCTCCTGGCTTGTTCAGAGTCGGAATGCGAGAGGTGCCGCTTTCTCCTGTGGCGGCTGTGAGGTAGCTATTGGCGACCCATATCTCATTACCTGTGATATCTTCTAACCAGTTCACCCAATGTTCCTTCTTCGTTTGTTTGATCAATTCGGAATATTGGTTGCGTTTAACGCGGTGCTCGTTGTGACTGGGATGGAGGGGAGTATCGCGGAATCGGTAGGATAAGTGACTTAGCTTTGCTACTTCGCGTCTCATTTTAGTCAGGTTCGTGGTTCCACCAGCGTTTCGAATGAGGATTGGGCTTGGACGTGGGTACTAGACGTTTGACGAGGCTTTGGATGGTGGACGTCAAGTCGAGGGCTGCCTGCTGAAATTCTGCGTCAGTTACGAGTGGCTGAGGGGTGGGGATCTTAGCCAGTTCGATTTCCAGTTGCTCGTTAAAGTTCTCCCAGTCTACTTCTCAGTAGTTATATTTGGTCTCCTTCGTCGCTTGCGGGACCGCGAGTTCGATTATACTTAGGACTGGGATGTGATCTGTAGCCGGTCCTCGTAGAGCGGGGTTAGTCGTGCAGCTGATGAACGCTGTCTCCTGTGTGATCTGTGCAAAAAATGTTGTCTGGGCGGGACCATTTCTTCGTGGTGGAGAGTTGCAAGGTGGGGAGTCCCTTTGGCAGCATCATGATCATCCCGTGATCTGCTAACATGTCGAGAAGCGGTTGTGCGGCATCTAAATAACGGTTAGTAAAAAGGTGAGTATTGCGATCCTCGTCCCATAGCGGATGGTGGCGATTGAAATCGCCAAGCCATATGATGTGATCGTCGGCTGATGGTCTTAGACGTGCAGCCTCGCGGTCGAGGAAGGTTGCTAATGATTCTTGGGTTCTTGTGTGAATGCAATCGTTATATATGTTGATGATGGTGCAACGTCCAAACGGTCCGCAGAAATTGGATGACGACTACGTCCGGTGAAGGGAAGGGCACTTGCTGCCATGAGTTTGTGTCGAAGGATTTGGAAACGAGTGTCACGGCGCGCGATTTAAGTTTCTGGGGCTGAAGTAGCAGTGTAGACGGGTATATGGCGTGAAAGAAGGGGGATGAGATGGTGTTCTTCATGGAGTTGATGTGAGGTTCTTGAAGCGCTAGAACGTCCCAGTCAGCGAGCGATTGGGCCGTTTAGCAATGAGTGCTGTGCGATGAGGGATGTATTGAGATTTTGTTGCCAAATGCAGTATTCTGGACGGTTGTTCGTGTTGTTGTTCAAACATTACTGAGGGTATTGATCCGTGGGGCTTGGGCGCTTGAGGAGGGGTTGGAGTTGGTATGGGTCGATGGAATTGGGGCGGTTGAGGGAGAAATTGGTCCTTGGGTGGGTGTGAGGGTAGGGTAAGTCGATGGCAGTGAGTTCTGCGGATGGAGTTGGGGCTGCAGTTGTTGGTTCTGTTGGTTGATGAGTCGTGGTCGCCCCAGCCGATTGACGAAGGGATAGGAGTTTGGGCCTGATGGGGAGAAGGCACGAGGACTATGGTGTCTGTTGTTGGACAGGTGCGCCTCTGGGACGGTTGAAGGCGCCTCTAGAATGTCCCTGTGTCTCTCTAAACTGACGTTGCGTGTCGAATGTAAGGTTAGTTTGTCGTAATGTTGGTCTAGTTGGATTGGCTGATGGTTGTTGGGCCGGTTTGCGATAAGGTGCTGGTTTCGGGGGTAGAGAGACTTGAGTCCAGTCGTCAGTGTGTGGGGAAGAAGGGCATTGAGTTTTCTGGATGTTTGGCATCGATGCCGGCACAGCGATTCTCGAATTCCGGGCAACTTCTGTTCCAACTAGCATGTTCCTGTGAATCGCAACTGACACAGTAGAAAGTCTTATATGCGTGACAGTCGCTTGTGCGATGAGTGTTACCGCATGTTCCAGCACGTGTCTCGGGGCGCATGGCAATCCCTAGCGATGTGACCCCATAGTTGACACTTGACACAGCGTACTGGTTCTTTCTTGTCCTTGCGTGGGTGTAATTTTTCTTTGTTGATATATAGGCCGTCTTGTAGTGCGATATTGGCGGCGTTGGAGTCTGTGAAGTGAAGAATGGCGTGAGCAACTCTCTGATTGGGCGCTCTCCTTAGACGTGGTTTGATCCATTGAGCTGATTTGATGGCGCCTTTATTGAGGTCGTTTTCTTCCTCCACTAGGCGTAGCCAGTCGGTGTTTTCGATTTCGGAGGACGTTTGCATGAAGGGTACTATAATAGAGAATCTACGTTCTTTGATCGACGCTGGAATTCCGAGGACTTCAATGATTTTGAGTCTGTTCTCTGGTAGACGTATCCAGTTGGCTGCGTCTGTAGAGGTTAGTTCTATAATGAGACCACCATTACGTAATCTTATGGTGGCCTTGACTTGGATGGAAGGGGCGTCCTCCGTTTGCACTGCTGAGAAAGCTGCTTTCATTTTTGTTGCTATGTCCGCTGGGCTGGCATTGGTGTCGAAGAGGGTTTTCCCAGGGGCGGGATCAAACAGTATTTGGTGTTCTCGTGTTGCTGCGCGTGTCAAAGCTGCCGAAATTGGGGCCGAAGGTGCAGTATGTTATTGTACTGCAGCACTGTATGATTTAACTGTTTCGATTTGAGTGGGACCCGTTTGATTGGGAGTTGGCTGAGTAGACATTTTGTCGATGCTGGACTGGGTAGCACTGAGGGAGGGAGTTAGTAAATCCATGGCAGTTTTAACATCAGAGATACTGTAGAGCACTGCGTCTGCCGCGCGTTCTGCACGTTGTGCTGCTTCTTCTGCCGCATTTGGAGTGTCTTGAGAACCCATCAGATTTAATTTCATCTGTGCCAATTCCTCTGCTTTTGTCTTGATTAGTTCTGAGGCTGATAAGACGGCCGCGACTTGAGGCGAGATTGCCGCGATGACGTGAGCTGTGAGACTGTTGGTGAGGGATTCTGAGAGTTGTTGTGAAAAATCAGGGGCGTTCATTGGTGGATTAAGAGCATCGTCTTCGAGGAGTAGGAATGCTGCTCGTAGACCTTCAATGACGATGCGAGGGATACCCGGGTACTGCATTATATGTAATATCGTTAATAAGAGACTTGCGGGAGTGAATGGCTCGCCCGCAGGACGGAATGAGGATTTCGCCAGAAAAGCTTTCCCGCTTTTTATATCCATAACATCGAATTCTTGCTGCATTATTTCTTCCTTTGTGAGTAATAGGGAGACCGTATTACGAGCTGAGGAACATGTTTTGACTACGGAACTGGTAGGAGTAGGCGTAGGAGCTCGGGACGTTAAGTTTCCCGTTCCACGTCCTTTTCCTGTTGCCATTGCCGGAGATATTAAAGAAGGAGTTTTTGATTACTACTTCAGTGGGTGTAGGTATCTGAGAAGACTGAGTTGATGTCGTAGACGCCTTTGTGCGCTGTTGGGCGCAGTACTGGGAACCGTTATTTCCGGGGTCCTAGTAGGGGTGCCGCTTGGTACTAAGCCAAGAAGCGATCAGTATGACCCTAGTCTCAGACGACCCTAGTTATTGGCCACTCATCAACACTTGGCGTATTTCCAGCTATTTTGTAGGTTCGTGAGGAGCAGTCATATTTCGGCGCTCATGTCTCGATCTGACCTTGATTGTGGTTTTCCAGTTGCCGTTGGTGTTGGAGTGGTATATGATTGGGGTGAGCATCATAACATTAGAGAATTGCTGATTTCTCACAAGTATTCCAGCCCTTACGTTCGGACAAGAGGTATGTTGATTCCATGACCAGAGCAGCCATCTCGCTAAGATTTGTTTGTAGGTCGAACTGGTCTGGGTGAGCACGGTTCCACGTCAGAAGAACAATATTGATTTGCGACAGAGACAATGTTGGTCCCTGATGACCGTTCTCTATCTGAGTGTACGTTAGTGCTACCGCGGTCCGGTCCAGAACCATGGTTCGAACCGGACTTTTGGTCCGGTTGTCCGTGGTTCGGTCCACGGTTCTCGCATCAGCCAGAACCGGACCGGAAGGCGGTTCTCGGTTCTACATATCCCCGAACCGTTCTATTTTGGTTCGGCCTTCCCGAACCGTTCCGAACTGTTGTCAACTTCGACTTCGACTTCGACTTCGACAACATTGGCCTCAACGTCAGACTGTCGTCTTCGGGATTTGCACTCTAGGTTAATCAGGCAATCTTTAGCATTTTTGAAGGTAAGCACTAACTAATCAAATTATCAATATCCTTGCCTACTGACATATGTTTGACTATGTCACAGATATATGTTAATTCAAGTCTGCACACTTCCTAGACAGTCATGATCCTCCACCGGCTCTCAAGTCTTTGTTCTGGGGCGCGTGGGTGTTGGCTCCCTGCTCCATGTACAAAACGAGGTACTGACGACAAAATTGTGAGTTATCTCTGACAATGTCTCAAGACGCCTGTGCGCTTAACGCTGACGGCTCCCTCAAGGACGCCTCCGATATCACTTTCTTCAATGACCCTGATGACGATGTACCGCTTCCCAAAGTCCCACCTTCCACCCAGCCATCGACATCAACTGCATCTACAAGAGATGCCTACTCCGTTCTACTCAAGGCTGGACATACCCCAGCAACAGTCGCAGCTGGTTCTCGGCGGTCTGGCCGTCACTTAAAGCCCTCAGCTCGTATGCGTGATGCTGACAACGCCTGTGGGCTGTCTTCAAGTTCAGGCACGAGGAAACGTGCACTGTCAAGCGCTACAGACCATCCGGCACCGAAGAAAGTCGCTATGCGATTTTTCTCGCCTCTTGACTCTGAGGACGAAGACGAAGACGAGAACGTCCATCCAGGAGAATCATCCGCCGATGAGCTGGTCCCTCAACCTGATGTCGAAGACTTAGACGACACCGATGACGCCAAGTCCGAGAATGGGGTCACCACTCAGACGGTATGTATCTGTCATGTTGATTGTCTTCCTTCCTTCACTAACACCTGTATATTTAGCTTTCAAAAAATGAACGTACAGCAGATGTTAGGACTATATTCACTCGCGGTCCTGATGGGTGGGTGTGTACCCTGTGCAAGTAAGTCGTCCATCTCATTTTCAATATATCTTTAAAACTTTCACATAAGGGATGCTGGTGAACCAGCGCAAAAGCACACCTTTCGTGGAGGCACTTCAACACTGCGCACACACATTGTTCGCCACAAGAAGACCCATTTTCAAGTGTACAAGCAGCGCTGTGATGCTGCAAGCATTACTATGCACCCTCGTGCTATTCCGCCAGGAGAAGAGCACCTTACCGCGACGCAAACAACTCTTGATGCCAACCTTGTTGCGAAACCCCCCATGTTTACCAAGGAAGGACTACTCGAATATATTATGGAGCTGGTTGTGACGGAAGACGAGGTACGTCAAGTTTTATTATTTTATTCATTCAAAGTTTATTTACATCATGCTAGGCAATACAGTTAATCGATAAGCCAGCATTCCGACGTTTACTGCAATACGCGCGTCCATCACTGACTGAAAAAGATATCCCGCATCGCACCAAATTAACAGATACCATCAAGTCTCGAGCAATGACCGTCATCAAGACTATCAAGGAGCGTCTGGCGGTGAGTTTTTGCCTGCTTATATTGTGGTCAGTCCTGAAACATTTTGTTAGCATGTTGATAGTACTATATCCATGACATTCGACTCGTGGACCTCGATTATCGGAGAGCCTTTTTTTTCGGTCACAGGCCATTACATTTGGAGTCCTCCTGACAAGCCACTGCAGTGGGAGCTTAGGAATGAGCAACTTGATTTCACCCGCATCGAAGGTAACCATAGCGGCCAGAATATCAGCCGCATTCTTGTCGAGACAATAGACAGGTATGGCATTCGTGATAAGGTGTGTGTTTAGTCTGGAGTGTAGCCATGCATTGACTTTGCTGGTATAGGTTGGATGGATGACGTCTGATAACGCCTCGAATAACGACACCGCTATGAAAGAATTAGTGAGGGCCATAGACGAGGATGGTAGCCACTGGCTCGCAGGTCCCCATCGCATACGCTGTCAAGAACACATTCTGAATCTTGCCGCTCGTCATTTCGTCGACGCAGTCGCACCTACCCCTCAGGCAACCATACTGAAAAAGATCTGTCGTGCTATTGATTCTGGTACAGACGTTGACATTGATGGATTGACTGCCCAACTCGCTGCATTAGAACATGATCCCGAAGCTATTGTCGAGGATGGCTATGATGTTAGTAACACCATTGGAAAAGCATTGGCTCTCATAGACCAGGTAAAGTCCTCTTTTTTCTTTGTCTTCGAGCCCTTATTTACATAGCATAGATCCGCAAATCACCGCAAGCTCGAGCGTTCTTCAAGAAATCATGTGAGGAAGAAGGTGTTCCTGTTCGCGAGATTTTGTCATGGGTGAGAACACGCTGGGCATCCTTATTCAAGTGCCTCGAGCGCTTCTTGTCTCTTCGCCTGGTAAGTGAGGCATGCAATCCCCTCTTTAGTATCTAATATCTTTATTTTTTTTCAGGCTGTCAACCGTTTCACACTTCTCGCTGATGAAAGTCACGAAGTCCCAAAGTTGCGCAAGAAGTCGTATAGCGACTTCAAGCTTGATCGGGCTGACTGGAAAATGATACGGCTAGTACATGATGTCCTCAAGGTAGTCATTTATTTTATCCGTCTTGTTTATTTATTTACTGATTGTTATTAGGAGCCTGCAACTGCGCAACAGTCCTTTTCTTCGGTCACGTGCCCAACAGCCTGGCAGACCATACCGACATTAGAATGTCTCGCTAATACATGGCAGACTATGGCGGGAAATCCAGAATATGCGCCTATCGAGGCCGCCATCAAGAAGGGTCTTAATAATGTCGAGAAGTACTACCAGAAGGCTAATGACTCGGACGTTTACTTTATCTGTCTAGGTAAGTATTATTATCTTTTCCTCGAGTCTATGTCTAATTTTGCTACAGTTCTCGACCCCAACTATAAGTTAGCATATGTCGAGAGCCGATGGACTGAGGCAAAGGTCGCGAGCGGGAGGGCTCGTCTTCAAGCTGTGGTAAGTACTATTCGACCTTGAGTATCCTGCCCGTCTCTAATATAGGGTACTTAGTTTGATTACTACTACAAAGCGCCTCCACTGGCAGGCCCAGCGCATGTCCCAGAACCAACAGCCACGTCAACAACAACAATTTGGTACGGTCAATCGTGGATGCGCAACGCTATCATGGCGCGGCAAGCTGCAGATCAACGTGCGCACGACCCTCATCAAGAACTCACCTCATATCTCACCTCACCATTGGAGGAGACGGATGATGTTGTGGCATGGTGGGGTGTGAGTACTAGGTCCTACCTATCAGTTCCCGGCTTACATTCTTGATTAGTTACATTCCCTGCTGTATCCAACCCTCGCTCGTGTTGCGCGTAATTACCTGCCAATTCAAGGCAGCGCTGTTCCATCTGAACGCGCTTTCTCCAGTGGGGGGATTACATCCACTCTCCGCCGCAATGCACTTGCGCCATCCACATTCTCCGCCCTACAGTTGATGAAGGCAGCTTACCGGAATGGACATATCTCAGCAGCAGTAGAGGCAGAGGGGCACGCGGCTGGTGTGTAGTTGGACTAGCCACTCAATATTGTATCTATGTACCATATCAATGTTTTTCTTGCGCTTGAAAAAATTTACGGTTCGGTTCAGGTTCAGACCAGAAAAAAACCGAACCGGACCGCAAAGAACGGTTCTCGATGGTCCGGTTCTGGGTTCGACGATTTTGTAGAACCGGACCCATGGTTCGGTTCTCGGTTCTCGTCCAGGACCCTCTGAACCGGACCGAACCGGACCACGGCAGCACTAAGTGTACGTAGCTTGCCTGTTGTGAATTTCTGCTGACTTGACAATATCCTAGGTGCGCTATCTTGGCTTTTTTTATATTGTGTATGTTCAGAAGGTTTGACAATTGGTGTCGTGCTAATCTGCTATCTCTCACAATCAGCATAAACATACTGGGTATGTCTTCTCGCATTCACAGTGTTTGTTTTTTCTCACCAGTGGCATACAGGCAGTGTTCCGACTATTTTGTTGACAGATGCAGTGAGTCTTCTGCACAGATGCCTGCTATTCCCATTCAATTAATCGCGACACCCTGTAGGGGTGAGTGTCATTCTTGACCAGCTTCTTCGTTTACTATCATAACTGCTACAGATGTGAGTCTGTTTGTAGTGTGTGATCCACCAAAGGCCCATCACTCACCGGATTTCTCAGGCCGGATAGTGTACCTCATATATGGTTGGACGGATGTTGTGGTATTTCCAATGCTGTGTGGTGAGTTGTACAGTAACAAGACCTATGATATTGACTTGACTGAAACATGTTGCAGTCATCTTGATCACTCGGTTACATGCCATGTATCAACGATCCACAAGGATCCTGATATTTCTCGTCGTCGTGTCCTTGCCTATCAACATTTTCGACGTAGTGGCCAATGCAATAGTAACAAGGCATGATTCAGGAGGTACACTTAATTGTAAATGAAAAACGTGCATAACGCTCACTGATGAATACAAGAGGAACTCATTCTCTCTGGCACCTATGCGTGCACGATTGACTATGCAGACAATTTCTCACTTGTGAATTCCATTTCTTGGATACTCAGCACTGTCTGGGAGGTCCTCGCGATGTGTCTCGCAGTCTGGATTGCTGTAAAGCACTTTCGTGAACTGCGACAACATTCAGCAGGAGGGATAATTGGCGACTGTTTCACGGTGTTGATAAAATCTCACGTGTTTTACTTTGCGAGGTGAGCTCATATTGTGAATATGCTTCCCTTTTCCGCTGAATGATTGCATGTGCTAGCTTTGCTGCCGTGTCTTGCTTCAGCCTCGTAATTAATTTGTCTCCGACGATCTTAGCGGTATGTCAATATTTCGCTGACCTCTGCATTCGGCCGCGGTTCATCATTTCTATAGAACCCATTTTCCCTCGAAACTCAGATTGTTATTGGTGTTGCCCAGATTTTGCAAGTCATACAGTGCTATGTGCTAGGACCGCGCCTCATCCTAAGCCTTCGAGAATATCACGCTCGGCTCGTGGCTGACTCTGATGCAGCAACCGGCATGACCTCAATCGCTTTCCAGGAGCGCGTGCAAATATCGACAGGCAGTGGTGTGTAGCACGGGAGATGCTCGATGAAGTTAGCGGTAATCTGGTGCTATGCAGGGAGCAGGAGAATTTGACTTTTTATTCTGGATTTTCAAGTGTCGTCGTGGTACTTATTTATTTCGTGGTGCAGAGTGAATTTCAAGGAAAGATGGGCCTTGGCACATATTTCGTGTAATATGTATTCAATTTATTTGTTCCGAAGAATGTTTGAAAGAGACAGGACAAGGTGTTGAGTCAGACCTAGGCCAACCCTAGGCCATTACCATATCTTTCGCATTTACGTTCGCAGACTCGAGTCCCCAGGCTGAGTTAGCGAGGCGGCGACGCTGTTGATTTCATTTGGATCACGCCCTGACTGGCGTTTCTTAGTCAGATCCTTGTGCACACTAGAATGAGAAGTTGTAATTTGCGAGGCTGTCATGCATGAGCATCTGGGGATGCAAGGAGGGACCACGAATGTTCCATTGTAAGGAGCGGCTTCGCACGTTGAGAACGTGCATTCTCCTCTTCGTCAAAGGGGACGAATAGGGAAGGCATGGATTGTGTCCCTGGTGGTATATATGCTGCTTAATGGGCGGAGCTGCTTTGGTTGCACTCGAGGTTTGGATGGCGGCGACTTTGGTGGGGAGCTCTCGGGTCGTCAACTTCTCTCCGCCCTGCTAACCTCCTCAGCATCTCCCTGGTCGGTTGCACTGACCTGCACCGTGGCTTAGGCACCCCAGCCTACATCAACTCGATACTCTCGTGGCTCTGTAAGTTCGGGCGCAAGATGAGAGGGTATGTTCTACTTTTGTCTTTGGCCTTCTCCTGACATCGCGTCATCCTCAGGACACCGGTGGTCGCTGTCGCCCACGGTTGGGACCTAGTGGATGGCTCCGGGCGTGGAACGTGGGCCCCGCTTTTGAAACCGAGGACACCCACTGGGCAGCTCAATCTCCTGGCTGGGTTGTGATTGCAGGTGTTGCTAATGTTCCATCCAGTGCCCGCCGTGTCCGGGTGTGGCGTCGTTACGAGTCTGCTTCCTCTCCAAGAAGCTCAACTTGGGGAGGGGTTTAAAACGCCAACGAATCAGTGACAAAAGACTCATTCTGGACAAGAGGAGAAAGAAAGGTCCTGGGGAAAGGTGAGATCCTCGATTTACTAACTTTCTTGATTGTCTTCGAGACTGCTAGTATCTGCTCGAGACGCTATGCAACGATATTGCACGTGCTGATCATGCACTGTAATTGCATGGAGTATCGAGCTGATCTGACACGCGACGGTTTATTTCCATGTACTTCCACACCAGGCCCAAGGCAGTGTGCGAGTTCTGCGCAAGCAAGTGTTCTCTGGTTAGTTAAACGGTCTTCCCGTCAACATTGACCTCCTACAGTTATTGCCGCACGACTTGAATTTCTGCTTCTCCGCCACTGACTGCAGGAATGGCTATGAAACTCGAGCTTGTCATGGACCGTGCTTGCAGGAAGGAAGCTGATAGGCAAGCCGATGGCACTAGGACTTCAAGCTTTGTGCTTCGCCATTGATAAGTCTTCTTTGGCACGCGACTGTAGGAGGAACCTTCCCTCTCATTGATATTGGGGATACAGGCATAGCAAGTTGTATTTTGAAACAATTTTTTAGATTCCTGAGACCGGCGCCTTGAAAAGACGTCGACTTCACCTCAGAAGATCGCCACGAAAACAGCAGCATGGGTTACAGACGTGTCTTATATGTGGAGATTTACGGCAAGCCATGACTCGTCAACAACAGAAGGATGATAATCAGAGGGGGCACTGAGAGGGCCTGAGGGGTGACGAAAGGACGGAGAGATAGGTATAGAGCGCCGAGACAATCTGGGGCGCATGTTCTTCCAGGGCGACCATGTGTCGGGGCCAATGATTGTAGAGACAAAGTCGAAATCCAACAATGAACTGCGACCAAGCTATGTTGCTCGATAGTATGGATGTGCTTCATATGTCAGGGGTATACTATAGGAACGTGTGGGGAGGTGTCGAAGCTTGGAAGACGAGATGTTGAAATGCCGTGATAAGAACAGAGGGAAAAAACGAAACGAAAGGTGATCCAAAAGATCGTGGAAGGTATCAGGAAAGAGTGATGACGTTCGGACTAAAAATAAGGAGAGATAGGTGGGACATAGAAGGTGCGTCCGCAACCTGGTAGAAAGAGCAACAGTGGTCGGAACGCCGAGGGTTGGAGTGAAATTCAAAGAGAAACAGGATGGCAGACGTCGGAAGATGCACCCGTCATCCGGTAGAAAGAGCGGTGGTGGTTGGACTAAATGAATGACGATAGTTGGAACGAGGTTCAGCGATATTATGCCGCACTGCCCAGCTGGATCAGAGGCGTCGTTGGTTATGCTTGGAGCGTCCCATGTGAAGGAAAAATGAATGCATGTGCAGCTCAGCCAGATGAACAAGTGTGGATGTATCGTGAAGGAGAGGCTGGGAAGATATAAGGGTAGAATGGCGGGGATGGAACAGGGGAGTGCAGAAGATACTTTAAGAACGGAAAGGACGTCCAGCTGGGAAGGAGGGAAGGTCAGTGAAAAAGAAATCAGTGTCCAGAAAGAAACGAGGGTGAAAGGAGAAAAAGCATTTTTGCTCACCAACACAACCGATGTCAGGCTTTACCACATTCTAGAAGCAAGAGGTACGAATATGACTTTGGTTGACCAACGGCGCGCAACATCGGCATTGTCTGAGTTAGTATGAGGATTGCGAGAATGCAAACGCAAAGGTGCGAGTGTGCGAGTAAGAGAATCGTCCGTGACTCAGATGGTGTGCTCGAAGCTTCAGAGCACAAAGCATGAGGAGAAGGAGATTCTGTGCTTGAACCAACATCCTCCAGTATTTAGAGCGTGGTCGCTCTCGATTCAGAGCACATGGACAGGCCATGATCGTATTGTGAGGTTCACATCGTGAGTGGTTCGTTGGACGGCATGATGCGCAAGTGAAACTGCGACATGGGATTTCTTGATGGAGAACCACGGACAGGCGAGGGCGGAAGGATATGGGCAATGGCACTTTCACTGGACGGAAAGAAAACTGTGCACGGGAGCGCGGCCACGGAAGCGTTCAGCGATGGAAGACCGACAGATAGATCGTAGTTGGAACGTGCGGTCACTGAATATCGCAAGCAGGTCCGATGATGGAACTACCCTCGTTTGAAAAGCAGAAAGCAGAGAAATCGAGGTGGGCCCAATCAAGACGGAGCAGCAATGTGTGGTCTTGCATATTCACCGTCAGGCGACAGAATAGTATCAGGCAGAGTCAAACGATCTGCATTTGGAACACTAAAACAGGCGAGTTCATTGTCGCGGTCTTATCGAAGACTGGGGAACAAGTACGTCGTGGTCATCGGCCAACACGAAACTTTACTCTGCCTCGAACAAATTCGCACGTTGTTTTCGACAGTAACCTCAGGCACAGAACTCCATCGCTTCAAAGTTCAAACTTGGTGAATTCCGTCGCACTTTCACCCAAACATAGTGTACTGGCGTGCGTGGGCTATTGGATCTGGTATTGAGAAGTGATGGGACACAGAGCCCCGTAACCGACCCAGACAGCCATTTAATAAGCCAGGAGGACTGCAACACCCTTTCGTGTATCGTTCTCTCGGGATGGAAAATACATCACATATAGCGGATACGACAGCAACATCACGTCGCCGCCGCCGTCTTGCCTTGACGTCATACTCTCGCATTCGACTGCCTTCCATCCTTTTCTCACAGAGCTATCACAGGTTGACGCTACAAATCCTCTCACAGAAGATTCAGAGGGGGGAGAAGACCTATATAGCAACTTTTTTCAGGTAGGCCTCGTTTCGTCATGCGAAGGGTACCATTGATGATAAACATTCAAAGCCTTATCATGCTTCGGCACTGTCTGGTCCCTCTCCTCGTTCCAAGCGTCCTCAGCCTTACTCCGCTCATCGCCTTTGGAACTTCCTCATCCCCTCTCGATATCGTCCTACTGCAAGGGGGTCCATTGCGATGCAACAACACCCCAAACACCGTCTCTTCCGGAAGAAAAAAAGGTAAGCAGTGTATTAGGTGTCCCTCCTTATGATGTAATTATACATCACCTAATCTTCAGAGAGTCTACGTAGCGCCTCCCCCTGTGAAGGCCACCTCGAAAGCTCAGACTGGTCAGTCGCCCTCAACAGTAGCTCAACCTGCGTCGCAGCCACATTCGACCCCTCACCATCAGCCTGAGGCACAGACAGCGACACAACAACCTACTCAAGAAGAAGACTATGGTTGTTGAGGCAATTTTTGCCTCGCGCTTTGGTGTATCCCGCGCTGAACTCGTCTCGCTGTCTCTGCTTCTCAGCCTGCTGCCCCGTGATGTAACTCTTCCTGTTCCGTATTTCCATCTATATGCAATATATTTGCTTCGGTAGTGACTGATCTTTGGATACGCGATTTACGCTTACTCTCTTGCTTGGTTAGGCTATGTATGTTGTTTTTGTCGGCATCTCCTTGACACTCCATTCTAACTGTTGGTAAGCAAGTCTTAGGAGGTGTTCGACATTCGAATTCCGAAGGTACCAGCACATTGTCTGTGTCCTCCAAGAGTATAGTAGTCACCATCTCGCCTCTCTCGGTCCCAGATTCTAATTGAGCCCTCTAGATCTCTGTCTCCAGCAGTCCAGGACTCGTGGACCTTCAACGGTCTATCTTCTCTCCTCTCGAACAGGCCGCGGACCCAGGCTAATTTCCAATGCGGGTGACGTGAAGTGCCGCTACCTCTTCCAATGCGCCCGGAGTTACATCCAGGAATCACATTCGAATTTCTGGAGATCGGTCGAGAACTCTATCGAGTTCGTGCTCACGCATCCGAACGGTTGGGAAGGTCAATAACAACAACAGGTAACAGGTTAGACGCGCTGTCGAGATCGCTGGTCTCATCTCATCTGAGGAGCAATATCACGTGCAGCTTTTGACTGCTGGCGAAGTAAGTCTTCATTTCTGTTTTACCAGCATGATTGCATCGGATATATTCTCTAAAAACCTTATAGATGCGTCAGATTACTCGGACGAGGATGGATATAAATCTGACAACCAGGGAGTCATCGTTGTTGATGCTGGAGGCGGAACTATCGATCTCGCCTACTCAATGAACTTATCTCCGACTTCGTTCGAGGAGATTGCCACAGCTGAATGCGAACATCAGGAAAATCCCACTCTTACAATCCTCGAGAATTTCATCAAATTCCGTCAAGGCATGAAAATCGTACATCGGCGAATCGAATTCTCGAGGATGGGATCAGATATCCACCAATCACCACTCCGTCTACAGCCTCTGCATTCTCAAATTCAGACAACATTTCTGCATGATCTGGAGGCTCTGCATTCTCGAATCTTGATCTTTAGTGGGTGTTCTGGGGGGGTTGGTGTACTATGTAATCCCAGTAGTAACCGGCTCATGTGAGATATTGACGGTATTCCACACCAGGCAACCCTACGAACAGCGGATGAAGAAGTCGACTTCATCACTCCAATCAGCATCGACTACATGATGGATTTAGTGTGGTACGTTTCGTATCGGGTTTCATTGTATTCAATGTTGAAGGTGTGCGCCGGCAGCCAGACCGAAGAACAACAAGTCAGGCTTGATGCGGTCATTAACGGTGCTTCTCGCTCTTCTTTTCCCCCATGTTGCTATCTTGAGCTAGAGATGGTGTTGTATCTTCACCAGATATCAATCGCGGAATTTCAACCATGATGCACATGTCTCTGGCTGTGAAAACTGATGCCTCTCACCACCGCACCAACTCCACGATGCAAATTCGAAAATACTGCGCCCATCATGCATGATGACCAGCATGTGAGAATGGCATCAGAAGCAAGGTGACAAAATCACGAACAGTTCTAGATGTTCTTTCATCTTTTGCGGTGTTCAAGTTCTGCCCGTGCAAATGTGTTATGCACATTTTTTTCTACGTACTGTAACATTTTTCAATCATTATTTTTACGCTGATTAAGTACAGGCTGGTAACACTGGCTATTAGAATGAAAATCAACGATATAAAAGATCTACTGGTACCTGTAGTGATCGACTTCGATAGAAGGACAGACACTGCCGCACCAACACTAAACGATTTTGCCATTGGCGTGGGGTGCGGTGATCGCTGGCATCGACCCTTCAGTTCGCATCACCGGTATTTTATTCAAGTCCCGCTACATCACTTCGAATGTGACATCATATCTATTGACAGGAACGAATATCGCGAATCATTCCTCGATCTCTTTTTGGTCATCTAAGCACTGGATGGTGGTGGTATATCTAGCACGAATATCATCGTCATATGTCCACCAAGTTCCCTTCTCCCTCACATCCATCCTCAGTATGACCCTAGTCTCAAACGACCCTAGTTATTGGCCACTCATCAACGCTTGGCGTATTGGCAGTTATTTTGTAGGTTCGTGAAGAGCAGTCAGATTTCGGCGCTCATGTCTCGATCTGACCTTGATTGTGGTTTTCCAGTTGCCGCTGGTGTTGTAGTAGCGTATGATTGGGGTGAGCATGATAACCTTAGAAAATTGCTGATTTCTCACAAGTATTTCCAGTCCTTACGATTGGAAAAGAGGTATGTTGATGCTATGACCGGGGCAGCCATATCGCTGATATTTGTTTGTAGGTTGAACTGGTCTGGGTGAGCACAGTTACACGTCAGAAGAACAATGTTGATTTGTGACAGAGACAACGCTGGTCCCTTATGACCGTCCTCTATCTGAGTGTACGTAGCTTGTCTGTTATGAATTTGTGCTGACTTGACAATATCCTAGGTGCGCTATCTTGGATTGTTGTTTGTCATGTATGTTCAGAAGGCTTGACAACTGGTGTCGTGCTAATCAGCCAACTCGCATACTCAGCCTGAACATCCTGCGTATGTCTTCTTGCATTCACCGTGTTTGTTTTTTCTGACCAGTGGCATACAGTCAGTGTTCAGACGATTGTGTTGACAGATGCAGTGAGTCTTATGCACTGATGCCTGCTATTCCTATTCAATTAACCGCGACACCACCCTGTACTAGGGGTGAGTGTTATTCTTGACCAGCTTCTTCGTTTACTATCATGACTGCTACAGATGTGAGTCTGTTTGTAGTGTATGATCCACCCAAGGCCCATCACTAACCGGATTTCTCAGGCCGAATACTGTACCTCTTGTGGGATTGGACAAATGTTGTGGCATTTCCAATGCTGTGCGGTGAGTTGTGCAGTTACGAGACCTATGATATTGACTTGACCGAAACATGTTGCAGTCATCATGATCACTCGGTTACATGCCATGTATCAACGATCCAGAAGGATCCTGATATTCCTCGTCGTCGTGTCCTTGGCTGTCAATATTTTCGACGTAGCAGTCGCTGTAATGGTAACGAGGTATGCTTCAGGAGGTACACTTAATTGTGAATCAAAACTGTGCATGGTGCTCATTGATGAATACCAGAGGAACTCATTCTCTCTGGCACCTATGCATGCACGGTTGGCAATGGGGACAATACCCCACTTCTGGGTTCCATCACTTGGATATTCGGCACTGTCTGGGAGGTCCTCACACTGTGTCTTGCAGTCTGGGTTTCTGTTAAACACTTCCGTGAACTGCGACAACATTCAGCAGGAGGGATTATCGGGGACTGTTTCACGGTGTTGATAAAATCCCACGTGCTTTACTTTGCGAGGTGAGCTCATTTTGTGAATGTGGTTCCCTTTTCCGCTGAATGATTGAACGTGCTACTAGTTATGTTATCGTGTCTTGCTTCAGCCTCGCAGTTATTTTTTCTCCGACGATCTTAGCTGTATGTCAATCTTTCACTGACCTCTGCATGCGACCGCGGTTGATGATTTCTATAGGACCCAGTTTCCCTGGAAGCTCAGATTTTCCCTGGTCTTCTTCAGATTTTGCAAGTCATACAGTCCTTTGTGCTAGGACCACGCCTCATCCTAAGCGTTCGAGAATATCACGCTCGGCTCGTGACTGACTCTGATGCAGCAACCGGCATGACCTCAATCGCTTTCCAGGAGCGCGTGCATATATCGACAGGCAGTGGCGTGTAGCACGGGAGATGCTCGATGAAGTTGACGGTAATCTGGTGCTATGCAGGGAGCAGGAGAATCTGGCTTGTTTTCTTGATTTTCAAGCTTCGTCGTGGTACTTATTTATTTGGTGCTGCAGCGCGGATTTCAAGGAGATCTAGATATAGTCTTTGCAAATATTTCGTCGTAATATTTATCCAAGTTGTTTGTTCCGCAGACCATAATTGACACTCCGGATTCGAGAGAGGCGAGTTATGCCATTTGGCTTGTTCATTTATTTGCGTTCTCATTCAGATCACGCTCCTACCCTACAAAAAGCTAACAACGTCATAACAGATCAAGACATCGACTCGAAAATTGTACCCATTCATGTGATGATAACGTAGGTGAGCATCTCGCAGACTATACAACTCCCCGCTGCCCATTCAAAACATCGATACGTTAACTGCGGGCTGCATTATGAAATTAGTATGGTGCATTCTGCAATCAGTTTTCGTCAGTCGCCTTAGGCCAACCCTGGGCCCTTTCCACATCTTTTGCATTTACGCTTTCAGACACAAGTCTCCAGGCAGAGTTAAGCGAGACGGAGATGCATTTCATTCGGAAGCCCTGACTTGTGTTTCTTAGTCAGATCCTTGTGCACAGAGCTAATAGTTGTGATTTGCGATGGGCTGCCAATAGGGAAAAGGGCTATCGGGCATGAGCATCTGGGACGCGAGGAGCGATCCTTGATGGCCCGTGGGCGTGACTGCACTCGGATGGAGGAATCTTTGGTGGGTAGATCGCAGATAGAAAGCTAGTGCAACCTTGTGAAGTGAACACTCTGTTCGCGGAATGAGATAGCAGAGCAATGGCAAGATGGGGCTGGGTGATGGGTCAGTGGTACGTAAATCAAGGGTGTGTTAAAAAAACAAAGCCAGGGTTGTTGAGGCTGAGGTACGTTTCATTAGCCTGGCGACTACCAAACTTCGCAGAAGCTAGATTGAACAGTGCCACGGGGCGACAGGGCAGAGATTAGTGGCGCATTCGTAGTTCTTCATGGATGTACCGACATCCTTCTTGTCCTGCAACCTGCGATAGCATAAGAGAAGGACAGCGTACAAAAGTATGTACTCGTTCCACCCAACGACATCCTGGTCTACATATGCAGATTGGTTGCTTATCTACCATTCAGCATCATGAGCCTGCACTGTCACGGTGAAGCCAGCTGGTGGTGCGGACGCCTAGAAGAAAGTCAATTCGTGGTGAATGGGGATACATAGCACATGCTAGCAATTTGGACGAGGTTTGCAAGTCGGGGTAGCTGGCCAGTCGGAAATGAGTGGAATTGCGTGTGCAAGGCACATGACACTGTGCAAGGACGGGAATTAACCATAGTAGTACCGTACTACTACTAGTACTTAATGCTAAGGGCTCAAATTTACCGACTCAAGTGTGTCACAGCGAACACGTGACAGAGCGTGTCATTGTGACCCGACGTGCTTCCGCGCTCCGGTGTGAACACGACAATACCACGCGCAGTGCGCACCCTGCTATAGCACGGACGACCATGGCACCCGCTAAGCTCTCAAACACCGTTGCAGCGACAGGGAAAGACCTTCGCTCTTTCTTCGGTGGTGCTGGAATCATTCGGTGAGTGTTGCGTTCAAAGTATTGATGACATGTTTTTATTGATTTTCAGATGTTGCATTCGGTTATGCGTGCGCCTCTGAGCTTTTTCGAGACAACGCCAACGGGACGGTGCGTTACATTGAACTATCCAATGATTTCTTGAAGTATGAACCATCTCGTGTTGCAGTATTTTGAACTTGTTTTCTCGCGACACATATGTTGTCGATCAAATCCTGGCGCGAGTGATCCAAAATATGGTACGCACGAGCGCGGTCTGCGCTTCTATCGTATTGGTCATCGGGTTCAGCTTCCCGCCCTTCTTGATCGCTGTCGTTCCGCTGGTGTGGTTTTACTCCAAGGTTACCGCGTACGAATGGCTTTCTTCTTCTTCTAGAATCATCCTGACACTATTGATAGGTACTATCTCTCGACGTCGCGTGAACTCAAGCGTCTAGATGCGGTGTCCCGCTCACCCATCTTTGCGTGGTTCTCGGAATCCCTGGCCGGAATTTCCACCATTCGGGCCTTCGACCAGCAATCTGTTTTCATTGCCAGCAACGCGCGCCGTATTGATCGCAACCAGTTGTGCTACCTCCCCAGTACTTCCGTCAACCGCTGGCTTGCAGTCAGACTGGAGTTTGTTGGAGCAATCATTATTTTCGTCACAGATGTTTTGACTGTCGCTGCCGTTGCGACCAGTGATGTTGATGCGGGATTGGTCGGTCTGGTTCTGTCGTATGCTTTGAGTACGACAGGTTCACTGGTAGGTGGCTGTACTTCCGTCTCGAGGTATTGCTCACTAAGCGACCACAGAACTGGTTCTCCTCGCTTTCAGCAGGTCAGAGGCAGCTTTTGTGTTTCGCGAGGGCGCTCTTGCGCAAGGTACGCGCGTTCGTTTTGATTGATTGTGAGGTTTGACGGCCGACACTCCCTAGACTAAAGTGCTCGTTCTCGATGAAGGTTTGTATGAGCGAAGTCCTGTTCTTCTGCAAGGCTAATGTGCATGATTCTGTAGCAACATCTGCAGTTGATCTAGATACCGACAGAGCAATTCAAGAAATTATCCGGGGTCCAATCTTCCGCGATGTGACCATTCTAACCATTGCGTATGTCACATGTCCATCGTCGACGACTAGTAATGCTAATATGGTCAACATATAGGCACCGCTTGAACACGATCATGGAGTCTGACAGGGTTCTAGTTTTGGATGCTGGAAGGGTAAGAATACTCGAATGTCGTTCATTCATGATGTATTGATTGGCCAATTTAGATCGCAGAATTCGATTCTCCACAGAAGTTGCTGGAGAACAAGAGTTCCATCTTCCGTTCTATGGCGATGGAGGCTGGTTTAGTTCAGGCCCAGCCTGATGATGAAGTGAAAGCATAGGTGAACGTGCCTAATCATGCATGTCCGAGAATCTAATGTTATAACTACACATATTTGTTCTTGCTCTCGTCTTTCTCTGTCAATTATTTAATTGCATTCATTGATGAAGCTAAGGAGGGCTGCCCCGATGCTCGGTTCACAATATATCGCAGAAGCATCATATGAGCGGCAGATAATACTAGCGTGGCTTTGTTGCTGCCCGATGCACCCTCACGTGCAATGATAGTGAGACGTCAACAACATCGTCATCTCCGCTTGCTCTCCACGAACCTCTAAAAACGAGCATTACTGATGAACGTTGAACGGCCACCAAGCGGAATCATTTGAGACGTAGTAGGTCATATCAGAATGGAGCGATACTATCGAGTCCGTGCGCCAGCTACCACGTGCACTGGTGCACTGGCCGTTTCAAATTGGAATCCGAACTCATGAACCACAACCGTTGATTGATCACAGCAAGTAGAAAGGGGATAGTCATGTGTAAGAACTTCGCCCTCGTTCGAAGCATAGTGCTACTTTGAATTAACTTACATTTTCAGGTCTGCAATAGTCTGCAATGTTTGAACACCGAAAAAATCTGTTCTTAGATGATTTTTGTGGTAATTGAGGGGTTCTGCCACTGATCAAAGCGGGTGGCGAGCACAGTCGCAAGATTGTTCAACACATTCATCAGGGAATTTATGAGTCCGAGATATTGTAGACATGACAACTACAGGCCTAGACCGCTTCATCGAATCCTGTACGTTCTTTCATCTTTTGCTGTGTTCAAGTGGAAGTTCCGCCCGTGCAAACTATGTACGCTGCCCCACATCAATCAGTTTGTCTGATTAAGCACAGGCGTTTTTGCAATCCAATCCACGTCTCTACCCTACGAATAACGCGAGTAGAGCTCGACTCCTGCATTCGCATCAACTGCATAGTGAAGTTATGGTGGCATGTTTTGCAGTTTTCATTTGATTAAGCGTTGAGGTTGTGCGTTGGCAGCTGTATGTTATCTTGTTCATGAGGAATCACGAACAGTTAAAGTTACGTTCTTTCATCTTTTGCTGTGTTCGAGACTTTGTTCTGCCCGTGCAAACCAATTTGATTTTTGTACGCTTCCCCACATCAATCAGTTTGTCTAATTAAGCACAGGCGTTGTTCCAATCCAATCCATGTCTCTACCCTACGAATAACGCGAGTAGAGCTCGACTCCTGCATTCGCATCAACTGCATAGTGAAGTTATGGTGGCTTTTGCCGTTTTCATTTAATTGTTGAACGTTGAGGGTGTGCGTTGACAGCTGTATGGTAAGTGTGTTATCTGGCATCATGATTGATCTTATGCAAGGAGATCTATTAGTACGTACTAGAACCTGTACGATCACTTTCGCATCACCGGCATTTTATTAAAGGCCCGCTACATCACTTCGAACATGACATCATATCTATTGAGTGGAACGGATATTAGTATCCCTCTATCTCATTTCAGTCATGCAAGCACTGGATGGTGGTGGTATATCTAGCACAAATATCATCGTTGTATGTCCACCAAGTTCCCCGCTCCCTCACATCCATCCTCTAACAGTATGACCCTAGTCTCAGACGACCCTAGTTATTGGCCACTCATCAACGCTTGGCGTATTTCCAGCTATTTTGTAGGTTCGTGAGGAGCAGTCATATTTCGGCGCTCATGTCTCGATCTGACCTTGATTGTGGTTTTCCAGTTGCCGTTGGTGTTGGAGTGGTATATGATTGGGGTGAGCATCATAACATTAGAGAATTGCTGATTTCTCACAAGTATTCCAGCCCTTACGTTCGGACAAGAGGTATGTTGATGCCATGACCAGAGCAGCCATCTCGCTAAGATTTGTTTGTAGGTCGAACTGGTCTGGGTGAGCACGGTTCCACGTCAGAAGAACAATATTGATTTGCGACAGAGACAACGTTGGTCCCTGATGACCGTTCTCTATCTGAGTGTACGTAGCTTGCCTGTTGTGAATTTCTGCTGACTTGACAATATCCTAGGTGCGCTATCTTGGCTTTTTTTATATTGTGTATGTTCAGAAGGTTTGACAATTGGTGTCGTGCTAATCTGCTATCTCTCACAATCAGCATAAACATACTGGGTATGTCTTCTCGCATTCACAGTGTTTGTTTTTTCTCACCAGTGGCATACAGGCAGTGTTCCGACTATTTTGTTGACAGATGCAGTGAGTCTTCTGCACAGATGCCTGCTATTCCCATTCAATTAACCACGGCACCATGTAGGGGTGAGTGTCATTCTTGACCAGCTTCTTCGTTTACTATCATAACTGCTACAGATGTGAGTCTGTTTGTAGTGTGTGATCCACCAAAGGCCCATCACTCACCAGATTTCTCAGGCCGGATAGTGTACCTCATATATGGTTGGACGGATGTTGTGGTATTTCCAATGCTGTGTGGTGAGTTGTACAGTAACAAGACCTATGATATTGACTTGACTGAAACATGTTGCAGTCATCTTGATCACTCGGTTACATGCCATGTATCAACGATCCACAAGGATCCTGATATTTCTCGTCGTCGTGTCCTTGCCTATCAACATTTTCGACGTAGTGGCCAATGCAATAGTAACAAGGCATGATTCAGGGGGTACACTTAATTGTAAATGAAAAACGTGCATAACGCTCACTGATGAATACAAGAGGAACTCATTCTCTCTGGCACCTATGCGTGCACAATTGACTATGCAGACAATTTCTCACTTGTGAATTCCATTTCTTGGATACTCAGCGCTGTCTGGGAGGTCCTCGCGATGTGTCTCGCAGTCTGGATTGCTGTAAAGCACTTTCGTGAACTGCGACAACATTCAGCAGGAGGGATAATTGGCGACTGTTTCACGGAGTTGATAAAATCTCACGTGTTTTACTTTGCGAGGTGAGCTCATATTGTGAATATGCTTCCCTTTTCCGCTGAATGATTGCATGTGCTAGCTTTGCTGCCGTGTCTTGCTTCGGCCTCGTAATTAATTTGTCTCCGACGATCTTAGCGGTATGTTCAATATTTCGCTGACCTCTGCATTCGGCCGCGGTTCATCATTTCTATAGAACCCATTTTCCCTCGAAACTCAGATTGTTATTGGTGTTGCCCAGATTTTGCAAGTCATACAGTGCTATGTGCTAGGACCGCGCCTCATCCTAAGCCTTCGAGAATATCACGCTCGGCTCGTGGCTGACTCTGATGCAGCAACCGGCATGACCTCAATCGCTTTCCTGGAGCGCGTGCAAATATCGACAGGCAGTGGCGTGTAGCACGGGAGATGCTCGATGAAGTTAGCGGTAATCTGGTGCTATGCAGGGAGCAGGAGAATTTGACTTTTTATTCTGGATTTTCAAGTGTCGTCGTGGTACTTATTTATTTCGTGGTGCAAAGTGAATTTCAAGGAAAGATGGGCCTTGGCACATATTTCGTGTAATATGTATTCAATTTATTTGTTCCGAAGAATGTTTGAAAGAGACAGGACAAGGTGTTGAGTCAGACCTAGGCCAACCCTAGGCCATTATCATATCTTTCGCATTTACGTTCACAGACTCAAGTCCCCAGGCTGAGTTAGCGAGGCGGCGACGTTGTCGATTTCATTCGGATACAGCCCTGACTGGCGTTTCTTAGTCAGATCCTTGTGCACACTAGAATGAGAAGTTGTAATTTGCGAGGCTGCCAATATTTGGGGAAAGGGGCTGTCATGTATGAGCATCTGGGGATGCAAGGAGGGACCACGAATGTTCCATCGTATGGATCTTCTTCGCACGTTGAGAACGTGCATTCTCCTCTTCATCAAAGGGGACGAATAGGGAAGGCATGGAATGTGTCCCTGGTGGTATATAGGCTGCTTAATGGTCGGAGCTGCTTTGGTTGCACTCGAGGTTTGGATGGCGGCGACTTTGGTGGGGAGCTCTCGGGTCGTCAACTTCTCTCCGCCCTGCTGACCTCCTCAGCATCTCCCTGGTCGGTTGCACTGACATGTACCATGGCTTAGGCACCCCAGCCTACATCAACTCGATACTCTCGTGGCTCTGTAAGTTCGGGCGCAAGATGAGAGGGTATGTTCTACTTTTGTCTTTGGCCTTCTCCTGACATCGCGTCATCCTCAGGGCACCGGTGGTCGCTGTCGCCCACGGTTGGGACCTAGTGGATGGCTCCGGGCGTGGAACGTGGGCCCTACTTTTGAAACCGAGGACGCCCACTGGGTAGCTCAATCTCCTGGCTGGGTTGTGCTTGCAGGTGTTGCTAATGTTCCATCCCGTTCGCCCCTCAGTGCCCGCCGTGTCCGGGTGTGGCGTCGTTACGAGTCTCCTTCCTCTCCAAGAAGCTCAACTTGGGGAGGCGAGATTATTAGTGCGAGTAAGCCCACCCCGGTTTAAAACGCCAACGAATCAGTGACAAAAGACTCATTCTGGACAAGAGGAGAAAGACTCAGAAAGGTCCTGGGGAAAGGTGAGTTCCGCGATTTACTAACTTTCTTGATTGTCTTCGAGACTGCTAGTGTCCGCTCGAGACGCTATGCAACGATATTGCACGTGCTGATCATGCACTGTAATTGCATGGAGTATCGACCTGATCTGATACGCGACGGTTTATTTCCATGTACTTCCACACCAGGCCCAAGGCAGTGTGCGAGTTCTGCGCAAGCAAGTGTTCTCTGGTTAGTTAAATGGTCTTCCCATTAACATTGACCTCCTACAGTGATTGCCGCACGACTTGAATTTCCGCTTCTCCGCCACTGACTGCAGGAATGACTATGAACTCGAGCTTGTCATGGATCGTGCTTGCAGGAAGGAAGCTGATAGGCAAGCCGATGCTACTAGGACTTAAAGCTTTCTGCTTCGCCATTGATAAGTCTTCTTTGGCACGCGACTGTAGGAGGAACCTTCCCTCTCATTGATATCGGGGATACAGGCATAGCAAGTTGTATTTTGAAACAATTTTTTGGATTCCTGAGCCCGGTGCCTTGAGAAGACGTCGACTTCACCTCAGAAGATCACCACGCAAACAGTAGCATGGGTTACAGACGTGTCTTATATGTGGAGATTTACGACAAGCCATGACTCGTCAACAACAGAAGGATGATAATCAGAGGGGGCACTGAGAGGGACTAAGGGGTGATGAAAGGACGAAAGGATGGGGAGATAGGTATAGGGCGCCGAGACAATCTGGGGCGCGTGTTCTTCCAGGGCGACCATGTGTCGGGGCCAAGGATTGTGGAGACAAAGTCGAAATCCAACAATGAACTGCGACCAAGCTACGTTGCTCGATAGTATGGATGTGCTCCATATGTCAGGGGTATACTATAGGAACGTGTGGGGAGGTGTCGAAGCTTGGAAGACGAGATGTTGAAATGCCGTGATAAGAACAGAGGGGGAAAAAACGAAACGAAAGGTGATCTAAAAGATCGTGGAAGGTATCAGGAAAGAGTGATGACGTTCGGACTACAAATAAGGAGAGATAGGTGGGACAATGAAGGTGCGTCCGCAACCTGGTAGAAAGAGCAACAGTTGTCGGAATGCCGAGGGTTGGAGTGAAATTCAAAGATAAACAGGATGGCAGATGGAAGATGCACCCGTCATCCGGTAGAAAGAGCGGTGGTGGTTGAACTAAATGAATGGCAATAGTCGGAATGAGGTTCAGCGATATTATGCCGCACCGCCGAGCTGGATCAGAGGCGTCGTTGGTTATCTTTGGAGTGTCACATGTGAAGGAAAAATGAATGCATGTGCAGCTCAGCTAGATGAACAAGTGTGGATGTATTGTGAAGGAGAGGTTGGGAAGATGAGAGCAGAATGGTGAAGACGGAACAGGGGAGTGCAGGAGATACTTGGAGAACAGAAAGGACGTCCATCCGGGAAGGAGGGAAGGCCAGTCAATAAGAAATCGGTGACCAGAATGAGACGAGGGTGAAAGGAGAAAAAGCTTTTTTGCTCACCAACACAACCGATGTTAGGCTTTACTACATTCTGGAAGAAAGAGGTGTGAATATGACTCTGGTTGACCAACGACGCGCAACATCGGCATTGTTTGAATTAGTACGAGGATTGCGAGAATGCAAATGCAAAGGTGCGAGTGTGCGAGTAAGAGAATCGTCCGTGACTCAGATGGTGTGCTCGAAGCTTCAGAGCACAAAGCGTGAGGAGAAGAAGGTTCTGTGCTTGAACCAACATCCTCCAGTATTTCGAGCGTGGTAGCTTCCGATTCTGAGCACACGGACAGGCCATGATCGTATAATGAGGTTCACATCGTGAGTTGTTCGTTGGACGGCACGATGTGCAAGTGGAACTGCGACATGGGATTTCTTGATGGAGAACCATGGACAGGCGAGGGCGGAAGGATATGGGCAGTAACTCAGGCACAGAACCAACACAGAACTGAGAAAGGCCCCCGGAAGCTCCAGCCATCCAAAACCGACCCAGGGTCCCAGACAGCCATTTAATAAGCCAGGAGGATTGCAACACCCTTTCGTGTAATATCGTTCTCTCGGGATGGAAGATACATCACGGAAGATTTGGAGGGGGGAGAAGATCCATACAGCGACTTTTTTCAGGTAAGCCTCTTTCGTCATGCGAAGAGTACCATTAGGTACCATTGATGATAAACATTCAAAGCCTTATCCTCAACAGTAGCTCAACCTGCGTCGCAGACACAGCAACCTACTCAAGAAGAAGACTATGGTTGTTGAGGCAATTTTTGCCTCGCGCTTTGGTGTATCCTACACTGAACTCGTCCCGCTGTCTCTGCTTCTCAACCCGCTGCCCCATGATGTAACTCTTCCTGTTCCGTATTTCCATCTATATGCAATATCTTTGCCTCGGTAGTGACTGATCTTTGGATACACGATTTACGCTTACTCTCTTGCTTGGTTAGGCTATGTATGTTGTTTTTGTCGGCATCTTCTTGACACTCCATTCCAACTGTTGGTACGCAAGTCTTAGCCAGATATTCGACATTTGAATTCTAAAGGCACCAGCACTTTGTCTGTGTTCTCCAAGAGTAACCATTTTGCCTCTCTCGGTCCCAGATTCTAATTGAGCCCTCTAGATCTCTTTCTAAGGACTCGTGGACCTTCAACGGTCTATCTTCTCTCCTCTCGAACAGGCCGTGGACCCAGGCTAATTGGAAATGCGGGGACGCAAAGTGTCGCTACCTCTTCCAATGCGCTCGGACTTACATCCAGGAATTACATTCGAATTTCTGGAGATCGGTCGAGAACCCTATCGAGTTCGTGCTCACGCATCCGAACAGTTGGGAAGGTCAATAACAACAACAGGTAACAGGTTAGACGCGCTGTCGAGATCGCTGGTCTCATCTCATCTGAGGAGGAGCAATCTCACGTGCGCCTCTTGACTGATGGCGAAGTAAGTCTTCATTTCTGTTTTAGCAGCATGATTGCGTCGGATATATTCTCTAAAAACCTTATAGATGTGTCAGATTACTCGGACGAGCAGGAAGATCAATATCACCGCCAGAGAGTCATTGTTGTTGATGCCGGAGGCGGAACTATCGATCTCAGTACCTACTCGATGAAGTTATCTCCGACTTCGTTCGAGGAGATTGCCCCAGCTGAATGCGAATCCCGCTTTTTTGCGTTATCAACGGCATATAGCTTGTTCAAATACTATGCTGTATCCCTCGAAACGTATTCTAAACACTCCAAATAGATCAACATTTGAATGTCCTACTGCGCACAGGCCTTGGAGTGGTGAAATCTTTCTGATCAAGCTATCCACGTTTGAGCACAGAAACATTCCTATGACGATCCACATCGATCGTGACGATGAAATCGTCAAAGACCAAATCGGAGGCTAAAGACAAGTAGGTTCTTTAATGCTTTACCATCAACCAATCCCACAACTCCAGCCAACTTATCGTCCTGGTTTGATCCTGTTATATCCGACAGGTAGTAGTGATATCCACCAATCGCATCACCTCACTGCTACAAATCACCTCTCTATCTACAGCCTCTGGATGCTCTAATTCAGGCAAAGCTTTGCTGCACGATCTGGAGGCTCTGCGTTCTCGAATCTTGATCTTTAGCGGGTGTTCTGGGGGTGTTGGTGTACTATGTGGTCCTGGTAGTAACTGGCTCACGTGAGATATTGACGGTATTCCATGCCAGGCAACTCTACGAACAGCGGATGAGGAAGTCGACTTTGTCCCTCCAATTAGCATCGACTACATGATGGATTTAGTGTGGTACGTTTCGTATCGGGCTTCATTGTATTCAACGTTGAAGGTGTGCGCTGGCAGCTAGGTCCAAGAACAACAAGTCAGGCTTGATGCGGTTGGAGTAGGGGTCCCAAGGGCAGGGACTGTCCATTCGGGGTCTCCACGGCCCTTTCCAGGGCTTAGTCAGCACGTAGACCAGGTTCCTGCATGTTCGTAGCTTAGCATCATCATCACACTAGCTGGTTTCCTTGCTCTTGGCTGAGGCCGCTGGCCCTGCTCCACGGTCATTAACGGTACTTCCCACTCTTCTTTTCCCCCATGTTGCTATCTTGAGCTAGAGATGGTGTTGTATCTTCACCAGATGTGAATCGCGGAATTTCAACCATGATGTCTCTGGCTGTGAAAACTGATACCTGTTACCACCCCACCAACTCCGCGATGCAAATTTGAAAATACTATGTCCATCATGACCAGCATGTTAGAATGGCGTCAGATGCAAGGTGAAAAAATCACGAACAGTTCTAGATGTTCTTTCATTTTTTGCGGTGTTCAAGTTCTGCCCGTGCAGATGTGTCATGACTAACTTGTTCTACGTACGTCGAGCCCCACATCTTTAAATCATTATTTATTCGCTGATTAAGTACAGGCTGGCAACACTGGCTATTAGAATGAAAATCAACGATATAAGAGATCTACTGGTACCTGTAGTGAACGACTTCGATAGAAGGGAAGACACTGCCACACCAACACTAAACGATTTTCCCGTTGGTGCGGGGTGCGGTGATCGCTGGCATCGAACCTTCAGTACCCGATCACTTTCGTATCACCAGTATTTTATTCAAGTCCCGCTACATCACTTCGAACATGATATCATATCCATCATGACAGGAACGAATATCATCCCTCGATCTCATTTTGGTCATGCAAGCACTGGATGGTGGTGGTATATCTAACACGAATATCATCATTGTATTTTCACCAAGTTCCCCACTCCCTTACATCCATCCTCTAACAGTATGACACTAGTCTCAGACGACCCTAGTTATTGGCCACTTATCAACGCTTGGCGTATTAGCACCTATTTTATAGGTTCGTGAAGAGCAGTCAGAGTTCAGCGCTGATGTCTCGATCTGACCTTTACTGTGGTTTTCCAGTTGCCGCTGCTGTTGGAGTGGTATATGATTGGGGTGAGCATCATAACATTAGAGAATTGCTGATTTCTCACAAGTATTCCAGCCCTTACGTTCGGACAAGAGGTATGTTGATGCTATGACCGGAGCAGCCATCTCGCTAAGATTTGTTTTTAGGTTGAACTGGTCTGGGTGAGCACAGTTCCACGTCAGAAGAACAATATTGATTTGCGACAGAGGCAACGTTGGTCCCTGATGACCGTTCTCTATCTGAGTGTACGTACCTTGCCTGTTGTGAATTTGTGCTGACTTGACAATATCCTAGGTCCGATATCTTGGATTTTTTTTTGCATTGTATGTTCAGAAGCCTTGACAATTGGTGACGGTCGTGCTAATCTATCTCTCACAATCAGCATCAACATAGTGCGTATGTCTTCTCGCATTCACCGTGTTTGTATCTTCTGACCAGTGGCATACAGGCAGTGTTCCGACGATTTTGTTGACAGATGCAGTGAGTCTTCTGCACAGATGCCTGCTATTCCCATTCAATTAATCGCGACACCCTGTAGGGGTGAGTGTCATCCTTGACCAGCTTCTTCGTTTACTATCATAACTGCTACAGATGCGAGTCTCTTTGTGGTGTGATCCACCCAAGGCCCATCTCTAACCGGATTTCTCAGGCCGGATTCTGTACCTCACGGCGAATTGGACGAATGTTGTGGCATTTCCAATGCTGTGTGGTGAGTTGTGCAGCTACAGGACCTATGATACTGAATTGACCGAAACATGTTGCAGTCATCATGACCACTCGGTTACATGCCATGTATCAACGATCCACAAGGATCCTGATATTTCTCGTCGTCGTGTCCTTGGCTGTCAACTTTTTCGACGTAGCGGCCGCTGTAATGATAACGAGGCATGATTCAGGAGGTACACTTAATTGTGAATGAAAACTGTGCATGGCGCTCATTGATGAAAACCAGAGGAACTCATTCTCTCTGGCACCTATGCGTGCACGATTGGCTTTGCGAACTATTCTCCACTCTTGGCTTCCATTATTTGGATACTCGGCACTGTCTGGGAGGTTCTCGCGCTGTGTCTCGCAGTCTGGATTGCTGTAAAACACTTCCGTGAACTGCGACAACATTCGGCAGGAGGGATTATCGGCGACTGTTTCACGGTGTTGATAAAATCCCATGTGCTTTACTTTGCGAGGTGAGCTCATATTGTGGATATGGTTTCCTTTTCCGTTGAATGATTGAACGCGCTAGTTACGTTGCCGTGTCTTGCTTCAACCTCAATATTGATTTTTATCCAACGATCTCAGCGGTATGTCAATCTTTCACTGACCTCCTGCATGCGACCGCGCGGTTCATCGTTTCTATAGGACCCAAATTCCCTCCAAGCTCTGGTTTTGTTTGGTATTACTCAGATTTTGACAGTCATACAGTCCTTTGTGCTAGGACCACGCCTCATCCTAAGCGTTCGAGAATATCACGCTCGGCTCGTGGCTGACTCTGATGCAGCAACCGGCATGACCTCAATCGCTTTCCAGGAGCGCGTGCAAATATCGACAGGCAGTGGCGTGTAGTACGGGAGATGCTCAATGGAGTTGGCGGTGTTCTGGTGCTATGCAGGGAGCAGGAGAATTTGGCTTGTTTTCTTGATTTTCAAGCGTCGTCGTGGTACTTATTTATTTGGTGATGCAGCGCGGATTTCAAGGAGATCTAGACATAGTCTTTGCAAATATTTCGTCGTGATATTTATCCAAGTTATTTGTTCCGCAGACCATAATTGACGCTCCGGATTTGAGAGAGGCGAGTTATGCCATTTGGCTTGTTCATTTATTTGCGTTCTCATTCAGATCACGCTCCTACCCTACAAAAAGCTAACAACATCATAACAGATCAAGACATAGACTCGAAAATCGTACCCATTCATGCGATGATAACGTAGGCGAGCACCTCGCAGACTATAAAACTCCCCGCCGCCAATTCAAAACATCGATACATTAACTGCGGGCTGCATGATGAAATTAGTATGGTGCATTCTGCAATCAGTTTTCGTCAGTCGCCTTATGCCAAACCTGGGCCCTGACCACATCTTTTGCATTTACACTTTCACACTCAAGTCTCCAGGCAGAGTTAAGCAAGACAGAGACACATTTCATTCGGAAGCCCTGACTCGCGTTTCTTAGTTAGATCCTTGTGTACAGAGCTTATAGTTGTAATTTGCGATGGGCTGCCAATAGGGAAAGGGGCTATCGGGCATGAGCATCTGGGATGCGAGGAGCGATCCTTGATGGCCCGTGGGCGTGACTGCACTCGGATGGAGGAATCTTTGGTGGGTAGATCCCAGATAGAAAGCCAGTGCAACCTTCTGAAGTGAACACTCTGTTCGCGGAATGAGATAGCAGAGCAATGGCAAGATGGGGCTGGGTGATGGATCGGTGGGACGTAAATCAAGGGTGTGTTAAAAAAACAAAGCCAGGGTTGTTGAGGTTGAGGTACGTTTCATTAGCCTGGCGACTACCAAACTTTGCAGAAGCTAGATTGAACAGTGCCACGGGGCGACAGGGCAGAGATTAGTGGCGCATTCGTAGTTCTTTATGGATTTACCGACATCCTTCTTGTCCTGCAACCTGCGATAGCATAAGAGAAGGACAGCGTACAAAAGTATGTACTCGTTCCATTCAACGACGTCCTGGTCTACATATGCAGATTGGTTGCTTCTCTACCATTCAGCATCATGAGCCTGCACTGTCACGGTGAAGCCAGCTGGTGGTGCGGACGCCTTGAAGAAAGTCAATTCGTGGTGATTCAGAATGGGGATACATAGCACATGCTAGCAATTTGGACGAGGTTTGCAAATCGGGGTAGCTGGCCAGTCGAAAATGAGTGGAATTGCGTGTGCAAGGCATATGACACCGTGCAAGGACGGGAATTAATCATAGTAGTACTATGATACTTAATGACAAGGCCTTAAGGGCTCAAATCTACCGACTCAAGTGTGTCACAGCGAACACGTGACAGAGCGTGTCATTTGTGACTCGACGTGCTTCCGCGCTCCGGTATACCACGCGCACCCTGCTATAGCACAGACGACCATGGCACCCGCTAAGCCCTCAAAAACCGTTGCAGCGACAGGGAAAGACATTCGCTCTTTCTTCGGTGCTGGAATGATTCAGTGAGTGTTGCGTTCGAAGTATTGATGACGTGTTTTTATTGATTTTCAGATGTTGCATTCGGTTATGCGTGCGCCCCTGAGCTTTTTTGAGACAACGCCAACGGGACGGTGCGTTACATTGAACTATCCAATGATTTCTTTAAGTACGAACCATCTCTTGTTGCAGCATTTTGAACTTGTTTTCTCGCGACACATATCGTCGATCAAGTCCTCGCGAGTGATCCAAAATATGGTACGCACGAGCGCGGTCTACGCTTCTATCGTATTGGTCATCGGCTTCAGCTTTCCGCCCTTCTTGATCGCCGTCGTTCCACTGGTGTGGTTCTACTCCAAGGTTACCGCGTACGAATGGATTTCTTCTTCTTCCAGAATCATCCTGACACTATTGATAGGTACTATCTCTCGACGTCGCGTGAACTCAAGCGTCTGGATGCGGTGTCCCGCTCACCCATCTTTGCGTGGTTCTCGGAATCCCTGGCCGGAATTTCCACCATTCGGGCCTTCGACCAGCAATCTGTTTTCATTGCCAGCAACGCGCGCCGTATTGATCGCAACCAGTTGTGCTACCTCCCCAGTACTTCCGTCAACCGCTGGCTTGCAGTCAGACTGGAGTTTGTTGGAGCAATCATTATCTTCGTCACGGCTGTTTTGACTGTCGCTGCCGTTGCGACCAGTGACGTTGATGCGGGATTGGTTGGTCTGGTTCTGTCGTATGCTTTGAGTACGACAGGTTCACTGGTAGGTGGCTGTACTTCCGTCTCGAGGCATTGCTCACTAAGCGGCCACAGAACTGGTTCGTCCGCTCTGCGAGTGAAGTAGAACAGAACGTGGTTAGCGTCGAGCGTATCGTCCACTATGCGAAAGACCTTGAGCCGGAAGCCCCTTATGAGCTCCCTGAGAACAAGCCTGCCTCTAGGTGGCCCACTGCTGGGGAAGTTGAATTCCGGTGAGTTCGTGACGCTATATGCACGAACTTGTATTGAACTTGTCTGGTTTAGGGAGTACTCGGCACGGTATAGGCCTGAGCTTGATCTGGTCCTGAAGGATATTTCTATGACCATAGTCAGTCATATGCGCCAGTTTTCTCACAAATGCACGCTGACCGCAAATGCTCCAGAAACCCAAAGAGAAAATAGGAATATGTGGCCGGACTGGGGCAGGAAAATCATCCGTAAGACATTTGCTGTCGGTTTTTGGACTGTGACGACGCTTCTTGCAGCTTCTTCTCGCCCTCTTCCGGATCATCGAGCCTGCATCTGGAACTATCTTCATTGATAAAGTAGACATAAGCAAACTTGGCCTGCATGACTGTGCGTCTTCCTAACGATATCCGTGTAGGCAGCCTTTGATCGAGCTATCATTAGTGCGTACCGCGATATCCATTGTTCCTCAAAATCCAGACTTGTTCGAGGGCACATTGCGAGAGAACATCGACCCTGTTGGCGAGCACCAGGACGTTGACATTTGGACTGCTCTGGAACATGTCCGTTTTGAAATATGCGTATGCTCCTGATGCTTACTGACAACGCTTCTACAGGCCCATCTGAAGGCATATATAGAATCACTCCCTGGGGGACTAGATGCTCCAGTACAGGAGGCCGGATCATCGCTTTCAGCAGGCCAGAGGCAGCTTTTGTGTTTCGCGAGGGCGCTCTTGCGCAAGGTACGCGCGTTCGTTTTGATTGATTGTGAGGTTTGACGGCCGACACTCCCTAGACTAAAGTGCTCGTTCTCGATGAAGGTTTGTATGAGCGAAGTCCTGTTCTTCTGCAAGGCTAATGTGCATGATTCTGTAGCAACATCTGCAGTTGATCTAGATACCGACAGAGCAATTCAAGAAATTATCCGGGGTCCAATCTTCCGCGATGTGACCATTCTAACCATTGCGTATGTCACATGTCCATCGTCGACGACTAGTAATGCTAATATGGTCAACATATAGGCACCGCTTGAACACGATCATGGAGTCTGACAGGGTTCTAGTTTTGGATGCTGGAAGGGTAAGAATACTCGAATGTCGTTCATTCATGATGTATTGATTGGCCAATTTAGATCGCAGAATTCGATTCTCCACAGAAGTTGCTGGAGAACAAGAGTTCCATCTTCCGTTCTATGGCGATGGAGGCTGGTTTAGTTCAGGCCCAGCCTGATGATGAAGTGAAAGCATAGGTGAACGTGCCTAATCATGCATGTCCGAGAATCTAATGTTATAACTACACATATTTGTTCTTGCTCTCGTCTTTCTCTGTCAATTATTTAATTGCATTCATTGATGAAGCTAAGGAGGGCTGCCCCGATGCTCGGTTCACAATATATCGCAGAAGCATCATATGAGCGGCAGATAATACTAGCGTGGCTTTGTTGCTGCCCGATGCACCCTCACGTGCAATGATAGTGAGACGTCAACAACATCGTCATCCCCACTTTCTCTCCACGAACCTATGAATGGCGAGAAAAATGCGCTTCAATCACCAGCTGTATAGCAATGTACAAAGAATCACTGCACTTGGTCTTGGTTATTGCCTCGGTTCTGAAAGCGAGCGGAGATCACTAACGCCAGGTTCAATTCATTGGCCTGGCCTGATATGGGGGTGCAAAGCTGTTAACGGTTCTTCGTTAAGTGGGATCGCCTCCTTGAGGTCTTGACCATTGCCATGGTGCGCGAAATTATGATGTTTCGTAGCAAAATACGAGAAGTAAACTGGATCCTGATGAAAAATTTCCTTTGCGCCCACCACCACCAGCCTGGCGTATACTACCACGGATGCTCGAGTGCCGTAGCCAGCAAAATTCACACATCTCAAAAACGCACGTGGGCAGAATGGTTACGAGTCTAGTCGGAAACGTTCTTTCGTCTTTTGCTGTGTTCAAGTGTTCAACGTTCCCGGGCCCGTGCAAACATCTTTATGTAAATCTGATTAAGCACAGGCGGCGTTGTTCCAATCCAATCCACGTCCCTACCCTACGAATAACGCGAGTAGGAGGTATTGCTAGCCTGGGTAGGTGGATCTCCCCTACTATTTCTAACGGCTGGTCTGGCATCATGCCGACGCAATGAGCCAATATTGTGCATCTTGACATGCCGATCACAAATTTCGCATCACCGGAATTTTATTCAAGGCCCGCTAGCTACTAGACTCGTAACCATTCTGCCTACGTGCATTTTCTACGCCACTCGAGCATCCGTGGTAGTATACGCCAGGCTGGTCACGAGCCTAGCTAGCTGCATCAATTCGAACGTGACATCACATCTATTGGAACGGATATCATTTCGGCCATATAAGCGCTGGATGATAGTATATCTACCACAAATATCACAATATTGTATGTCTACCAACTTTCCCGCTCCCTCACATCCATCCTCTAACAGTATGACACTAGTCTCAGATGACCCTAGTTATTGGCCACTCATCAACTCTTGGCGTATTGGCAGCTATTTTATGGGTTCGTGAAGAGCAGTCAGAGTTCGGCGCTCATGTCTCGATCTGACCTTGATCGTGGTTTTCCAGTTGCCGCTGGTGTTGGAGTGGTGTATGATTGGGGTGAGCATAATAACATTAGAGAATTGCTGATTTCTCACAAGTATTCCAGCCCTCACGTTCGGACAAGAGGTATGTTGATACTATGACCGGGGCAGCCATCTCGCTAAGATTTGTTTGTAGGTCGAACTGGTCTGGGTGAGCACGATTCCACGTCGGAAGAACAATATTGATTTGCGACAGAGACAACGCTGGTCTCTGATGACCGTTCTCTTTCTGAGTGTACGTAGCTTGCGTGTTGTGAATTTCTGCTGACTTGACAATATCCTAGGTGCGCTATCTTGGAATTTTCTTTGTCATGTATGTTCAGAAGGCTTGACAATTGGTGTCGTGCTAATCTGCTATCTCTCACACTCAGCCTGGACATACTGGGTTTGTCTTCTCGCATTCACCTTGTTTGTTTCTTCTGACCAGTGGCATACAGGCAGTGTTCCGACGATCTTGTTGACAGATGCAGTGAGTCTTCTGCACCGATGTCTGCTATTCTCACTCAATTAACCGTGATGCCCTGTAGGGGTGAGTGTCATTCTTGACCAGCTTCTTCGTTTGCTATCATGACTGCTACAGATGTGAGTCTGTTTGTAGTGTGTGATCCACCCAAGGCCCATCACTAACCGGATTTCTCAGGCCGCATTCTGTACCTCTTGTGGGATTGGACGAATGTTGTGGCATTTCCAATGCTGTGTGGTGAGTTGTGCAGTTACAAGACCTATGATATTGAATTGACCGAAACATGTTGCAGTCATCATGATCACTCGGTTACATGCCATGTATCAACGATCCACAAGGATCCTGGTATTTCTCATCGTCGTGTCCTTGGCTGTCAACATTTTCGACGGAGTGGTCATGGCAATGACAACGAGGGATGCTTCAGGGGGTACACTTAATTGTGAATGAAAAACGTGCATGGCGCTCATTGAATACAAGAGGAATTCATTCTCTCTGGCACCTATGCGTGCACGATTGGCTTTGCGGACAATTCCCCACTTCTGGCTTCCATCACTTGGATATTCGGCACTGTCTGGGAGGCCCTCGCGCTGTGTCTCGCAGTCTGGATTGCTGTAAAACACTTCCGTGAACTGCGACAACATTCGGCAGGAGGGATTATCGGCGACTGTTTCACGGTGTTGATAAAATCCCACGTGCTTTACTTTGCGAGGTGAGTTCATATTGTGAATATTGTTCCCTTTCCCACTGAATGATTGAACATGCTAGTTATGTTGCCGTGTCTTGCTTCAGCCTCGCAGTTTATTTGTCTCCGACGATGGTATGTCAATCTTTCACTGACCTCTGCATGTGACCGCGGTTCATCATTTCTATAGGACCTATTTTCCCTCGAAAGTCAGATTTATGCCGGTCTTGTTCAGATTTCGACAGTCATACAATCCTTTGTGCTAGGACCACGCCTCATCATTAGCGTTCGAGAATATCACGCTCGGCTCGTGGCTGACTCTGATGCAGCAACCGGCATGACCTCAATCGCTTTCCAGGAGCGCGTGCAAATATCGACAGGCAGTGGCATATAGCACGGGAGATGCTCAATGGAGTTGACGGTAATCTGGTGCTATGCAGGGAGCAGGAGAATTTGGCTTGTTTTCCTTGATTTTCAAGTTTCGTCGTGGTACTTATTTATTTGGTAGTACAGAGTGGATTTCAAGGAAAGATGGGCCTTGGCAGATATTTCGCGTAATATGTATTCAATTTATTTGTTCCGAAGAATGTTTGAAAGAGACAGGACAAGATGTTGAGTCAGACCTAGGCCAACCCTAGGCCATTACCATATCTTTCGCGTTTACGTTCGCAGACCCAAGTCTCAGGCTGAGTTAGCGAGGCGGCGACGCTGTTGATTTCATTCGGATCCAGCCCTGACTGGTGTTTCTTAATCAGATCCTTGTGCACACTAGAACGAGAGGTTGTAATTTGCGAGGCTGCCAATGGGGAAAGGTGCTGTCATGCATGAGCATCTGGGGATGCAAGGAGAGACCACGAATGTTCCATCGTATGAAACTTCTTCGCATGTTGAGAACGTGCATTCTCCTCTTCGTCGAAGGGGACGAATAGGCAAGGCATGGAATATGTCCCTTGTGGAATATAGGCTGCTTCATGGGCGTAGCTGCTTTGGTTGCACTCGAGGTTTGGATGGCGGCGACTTTGGTGGGGAGCTCTCGGGTCGTCAACTTCTCTCCGCCCTGCTAACCTCCTGGGTAGCTCAATCTCCCGCGCTTAGAAACCATGTGTGTTTTTCATACGCAAATAGTAGCAGGGGTTACAAACGTGTCTTATATGTGAAGATTTACGACAAGCCATCACTCGTCAACTCCACTCCAAGCTAACAGAAGGATGACAATCAGAGGGGATGCTGAGAGGCCTAAGGTGTGATGAAGGAATAAATGGGTATACACACCTTAGGAATAAATGGGTATAGAGCGCCGAGAGAATCTGGGGCGGCCATGTATTGGGGGCCATATATTGGGGCCAAAGATTGGGGAGAAGAAGTCGAAATCCAAGAATGAACTGCGACCAAGCTGCATTGCTCGGTCGTATGGAGGTGCTTCATACGTCAGGGGTATCACGCAAGAGGGTGTAGGGAGGCGTCGAAGCTCGGAAGACGAGATGTCGAAATGCCGTGATAGTAACAAGGGAGGAAACGAAACAGAACAAAAGCTGATCTGAAAGGTCGTGGAAGGTACCAGAAAGAGTGATGACGGTTGCACAGGAAGAATGACAAGAGTCGGACTATAAATAAGAAGATAGAGAGATAGGCGGGACATAGAAGTTCGTGCGTCCGCAACTCGATAGAAAGAGCGACAGTAGTCGGAATGCCGAAGTTAGAGTGAGGTTCAGCAGAAAGAGAAACAGGATGGCAGACGGAAGATGCACTCGTCATTCATTAGAAAGCGGCTGGACTAAATGGATGATTATAGTTGGAACGAGGTTCAGCGATATTATACTCGAACATGCCGCACTGCCGAGCCGGATCAGAGGCGTCGTTGATTATGCTTGGAGCATCCCACATGAAAAAAAATGAAAGCCTGTGTAGCTCAGCCGGATGAACAAGTGTAGATGTAGTGTGAAGGAGAGGTTGGGAAGATATAAGGGTAGATTGGTGAGGATGGAACAGGGGAGTGCAGAAGACACTTGGAGAACATAAAGGACGTCCGGCCGGGAAGGATGGAATGCCAGTCAAAAAGAAATTGGTGACCAGAATGAGACGAGGGTGAAAGGAGAAAAACTTTGTTGCTCACCAACACAACCGATTTTAGGCTTTACTACATGCTGGAAACAAGAGGTACGAATATGACTTTGGTTTACCAACGGCGCGCACCATGGCCATTTTCCGAGTTGGAACGAGGATTGCGAGAATGCAAATGCAAAAGTGCGAGTGTGCGAGTAAGATAATTGTCCGTGACGTGCTCGAAGCTCGAGAGCACAAAGCCTGAGGAGAAGAAGATTCTGTGCTTGAAACAACGTCCTCCAGTATTTCGAGCGTTGTCGCTCTCGATTCAGAGCACATGGACAGGCCATGATCGTATAATGAGGTTCACATCGTGAGTGGTTCGTTGGATGGCACGATGTGCAAGTGGAACTGCGGCATGGGATTTCTTGATGGAGAACCATGGACAGGCGAGGGCGGAAGGATATGGGCAATAGCGCTTTCACTGGACGGAAAGAAAACTGTGGGCGGGAGGGAAGACGGAAGCGTTCAACGATGGAAGACCGACGGATAGATGATCGAAGGCATGTGGGCGGGTTATAGTTGGAACGTGCGGTCACTGTCGTGGTCTCCTAGTGGAGACAATATTGCAAGCAGGTCCGATGATGGAACAATCCTCGTCCGAAAAACAGAAAGCAGAGACATCGAGGTGGGCCCAGTCAAGATGGAGCAGCAATGTGTGTGGTCTCAGGCGACAGAATAGCATGAGGCGGATGTCAAACGACCTAAATTTGGAACACCAAGACAGGCGAGCTCGTTGTTGGTCTTATCGAAGACTGGGGGAACAAGTACGTTGTGGTCGTCGGCCAACACGAAACTTTACTCTGCCTCGAACAAATTCGCACGTTTAGCTCAGGCACAGAACTCCATCACTTCAAAGTTCAAACTTATTCGCGGGTGAAGAATTACGTCGCAAGTACTTTCACCCATACACAGTACTTGTACTGGTGTGCGTGGGTTATTCTGGTATTGAGAAGTGATGGGACACAGAGTTCCAAAACCGACCCAGACAGCCACTGTTAAGCCAGGAGGATTACAACACCCTTTCGTGTATCGTTCTCTCAGGATGGAAGATCCACACAGGTAAGTTCCGTGCTTCGTCATGCGAAGGGTACCATTGATGATAAACATGATATTCAAAGCCTTATCATGCTTCGACATTGTCTGGTCCCTCTCCTCGTGCCCAGCCTCCTCAGGCTTCCTCCGCTCGTCGCCTTTGGAACTTCTTCACCCCCTCTCGATATCGCCCTGCAGCAAGGGGGTCCATTGCGATGCAACAACAACCCAAATACCGTCTCTTCCGGAAGAAAAAAAGGTAAGCAGTGTATTAGGTGTCCCTCGTTATGATGTATAAATCACCTAATCTTTAGAGAGTCTACGTAGCGTCTCCCCCTGTGAAAGACCAACTCGAAAGCTCAGACTGGTCAGTCACCCTCAGCAGTAGCTCAGCCTGCATCGCAGCCACATTCGACCCCTCAGCGTCAGCCTGAGGCACAGACGGCGACACAACAACCTACTCAAGAAGAAGACTATGGTTATTGAGGCAATTTTTGCCTCGCACTTTGGTGTATCCCACGCTGAACTCGTCCCGCTGTCTCTGCTTCTCAACCTGCTGCCCCGTGATGTAACTCTTCCTGTTCCGTATTTCCATCTATATGCAATATCTTTGCTTCGGTAGTGACTGATCTTTGGAAATGCGATTTACGCTTACTCTCTTGCTTGGTTAGGCTATGTATGTTGTTTTTGTCGGCATCTTCTTGACACTCCATTCTAACTGTTGATACGCAAGTCTTAGGAAGTGTTCGACATTCGAATTCAGAAGGTACCAGCACTTTGTCTGTGTCCTCCAAGAGTATAGTAGTCACCATCTCGCCTCTCTTGGTCCCAGATTCTAATTTAGCCCTCTAAATCTCTGTCTCCAGCAGTCGAGGACTCGTGGACCTTCAACGGTCTATCTTCTCTCCTCTCGAACAGGCCGCGGACCCAGGCTAATTTGCAATGCGGGTGACGTGAAGTGCCGCTACCTCTTCCAATGCGCCCGGACTTACATCCAGGAATCGCATTCGAATTTCTGGAGATCGGTCGAGAACTCTATCGAGTTCGTGCTCACGCATCCGAACGGTTAGGAAGGTCAATAACAACGACAGGTAACAGGTTAGACGCGCTTTCGAGATCGCTGGTCTCATCTCATCTGAGGAGGAGCAATCTCACGTGCACTTCTTGACTGAGGGTGAAGTAAGTCTTCCTTTCAGTTTTACCGGCATGGTTGCAACAGATATAATTTCTAAAAACTTTATAGATGTGTCAGATTACTCGGACGAGGAGGAAGATCAATCTGACAGCCAGGGAGTCATCGTTGTTGATGCTGGAGGCAGAACTATCGATCTCACCTACTCGATGAACTTATCTCCGACTTCATTCGAGGAGATTGCCCTAGCTGAAAGCGAATCCCGCTTTCCTGCGTTACAAACGGCGTATAGCTTGTTCAAATACTATGCTGTATCCCTCGAAACATATTCTAAACACTCCGAATAGATCAATATTTGAATGTCCAACTGCGCACAGGCCTTGGAGTGGTGAAATCTTTCTGATCAAGCTATCCACGTTCTAGTACAGAAACATTCCTATGACGATCCACATCGATCGTGATGATGAAACTGTCAAATACCAAATCGGAGGCTAAAGACAAGTAGGTTCTTTAATGCTGTACCATCAACCAATCCCACAACTTATCGTCCTGGTTTGATCCTGTTACACCCGCCAGGTAATAGTGATATCCACCAATCACCCCTCCGTCTACAGCCTCTGCATTCTCAAATTCGGACAACATTTCTGTGATCTGGAGGCTCTGCATTCTCGAATCTTGATCTTTAGTGGGTGTTCTGGGGGTGTTGGTGTACTATGTAGTCCTGGTAGTAACTGGCTCAGGTGAGATATTGACGGTATTCCATACCAGGCTACCCTACGAACAGCGAATGAAGAAGTCGACTTCATCACTCCAATCGGCATCGACTACATGATGGATTTAGTGTGGTATGTTTCGCATCGGGCTTCATTGTATTCAACGTTGAAGGTGTGCGCTGGCAGCTAGGGCCAAGAACAACAAGTCAGGCTTGATGCGGTCATTAACGGTACTTCCCACTCTTCTTTCCCCCGTGTTGCTACTGTGAGCTAGAGATCGTGTTGTATCTTCACCAGATATCAATCGCGGAATTTCAACCATGATATCTCTGCTGTGAAAACTGATACCTGTTACCACCCCACCAACTCCACGATGCAAATTTGAAAATACTGCGTCCATCATGACCAGCATGCTAGAATGGCATCAGATGCAAGGTGAAAAAATCACGAACGGTTCTAGATGTTTTGTTTTTGCCGTGTTCAAGTTCTGCCCGTGCAAATGTGTTATGACTAACTTGTTCTACGTACGTTGAGCACCACATCTTGAAATCATTATTTATTCGCTGACTAAGTACAGGCTGGCAACACTGGCTATTAGAATGATGATCGACGATGTAAGAGATCTACTGGTACCTGTAGTGAACGACCTCGATAGAAGGGAAGACACTGCCCCACCAACACTAAACGATTCTGCCGTTGGCGCGGGGTGCGGTGATCGCTGGCATCGAACATTCAATGTTCAGTACCCGATCACTTTCGCATCACCGGCATTTTATTCAAGGCCCGCTACATCACTTCGAACGTGACATCATATCCATTGACAGCAACGAATATCATCCCTCGATCTCATTTCGGTCATCCATGCACTGCATGGTGGTGGTATATCTAGCACGAATATCATCGTCGTATGTCCACCAAGTTCCCCGCTCTCTCACATCCATCCTCTAACAATATGACCCTAGTCTTAGACGACCCTAGTTATTGGCCAGTCATCAACTCTTGGCGTGTTAGCAGCTATTTTGCAGGTTCGTGAACAGCAGTCAGATTTCGGCGCTGATGTCTCGATCTGACCTTGATTGTGGTTTTCCAGTTGCCGCTGGTGTTGGAGTGGTATATGATTGGGGTGAGTATTATAACATTAGAGAATTGCTGATTTCTCACAAGTATTCCAGCCCTTACGTTTGGACAAGAGGTATGTTGATACTATGACCGGGGCAGCCATCTCGCTAAGATTTGTTTGTAGGTCGAACTGATCTGGGTGAGCACAGTTCCACGTCAGAAGAACAATATTGATTTGCGACAGAGACAACGCTGGTCCCTGATGACCGTCCTCTATCTGAGTGTACGTAGCTTGCCTGTTGTGAATTTCTGCCGACTTGACAATATCCTAGGTGCGCTATCTTGGAATCTTCTTTGTCATGTATGTTCAGAAGGCTTGACAATTGGTGTCGTGCTAATCTCTCTCTCACACTCAGCGTGGACATACTGGGTATGTCTTCTCGCATCCACCATGTTTATTTCTTCTGACAAGTTGCATACAGGCGGTGTTCCGACGATTTTGTTGACAGATGCAGTGAGTCTTCTGTACAGATGCCTGCTATTCCCATTCAATTAACCGCGACGCCCTGTAGGGGTGAGTGTCATTCTTGACCAGCTTCTTCGTTTACTATCATTACTGCTACAGATGTGAGTCTGTTTGTAATGTGTGATCCACCCAAGGCCCATCACTAACCGTATTTCTCAGGCCGGATTATGTACCTCGTGTATGATTGGATGAATGTTGTGGCATTTCCAATGCTGTGTGGTGAGTTGTGCAGTTACGAGACCTATGATATTGACTTGACCGAAACATGTCGCAGTCATCATGATCACTCGGTTACATGCCATGTATCAACGATCCAGAAGGATCCTGATATTTCTCGTCGTCGTGTGCTTGGCTGTCAACATTTTCGACATAGTGGCCAATGCAATAGTAACAAAGCATGCTTTAGGAGGTACACTTAATTGTGAATGAAAACCGTGCATGGCGCTCATTGATGAATACAAGAGGAACTCATTCTCTCTGGCACCTATGCGTGCACGATTGGCTATGGGGACAATTACCCACTTCTGGATTCCATGACTTGGATACTAGGCACTGTCTGGGAGGTCCTCGCGCTGTGTCTCGCAGTCTGGATTGCTGTAAAACACTTCCGTGAACTTCGACAACATTCGGCAGGAGGGATTATCGGCGACTGTTTCACGGTGTTGATAAAATCCCACGTGGTTTACTTTGCGAGGTGAGCTCATATTGTGAATATGGCCCCCTTTTCCGCTGAATGATTGAACGCGCTAGTTTTGTTGCTGTGTCTTGCTTCAGCCTCGTAGTTAATTTGTCTCCAACGATCTTAGCGGTATGTCAATCTTTCACTGACCTCTGCATGCGACTGCGGTTCATCATTTCTATAGGACCCATTTTCCCTCGAAGCTCAGATTGTTTTTGGTTTTCTTCAGATTTTGCAAGTCATACAGTCCTTTATGCTAGGACCACGCCTCATCCTAAGCGTTCGAGAATATCACGCTCGGCTCGTGGCTGACTCTGATGCAGCAACCGGCATGACCTCAATCGCTTTCCAGGAGCGCGTGCAAATATCAACTGGCAGTGGCGTATAGCACAGGAGATGCTCAGTGGAGTTCACGGTAATCTGGTGCTATGCAGGGAGCAGGAGAATTTGGCTCTTTTTCTTGATTTTCAAGTTTCGTCGTGGTACTTATTTATTTGGTGTTGCAGAGCGGATTTCAAGGAGATCTAGACATAGGTCTTTGCAAATATTTATTTCGTCGTAATATGCATTCAAGTTATTTGTTCCGCAGACCATAATTGACACTCCGGATTCGAGAGAGGCGACTTATGCCATTTGGCTTGTTCATTTATTTGCGTTCTCATTCAGATCACGCTCCTACCCCACAAAAAGCTAACAACGTCATAATAGATCAACACATCGACTCGAAAATCGTACCCATTCATGCGATGATAACGTAGGCGAGCACTTCGCAGGCTATCCAATACTTCGGTGCCGGGGAGAATAGTAGTTTGTCGAAGGCACGTACTAGTAAAGTCGTGTACAACCTTCTGTTAATTAGGCTGCTTGGATGCATTTTCTACTTGGATAATTTACGATTAATAACGCAGCGCATGCATGCATACATATTGCACAAACAACGCCTTCCGAGCCGGGGCGTAGATCTTCACCATTATCGCTTCGCCTCATACTTTTCCCAGCCAACTTCGTCCAGCTTCTCAACCTTGCCGATAACCTCGCCCTCTAATCCTCTCAGATACGCATCCATGTCTGCAAACAGATGAGGTATACCAGCCCCGAGAATACGCGCAGCTAGTAATCCAGCATTCATGCCGCCATTAATCGCAACCGTTGCCACGGGTATACCGCGCTATATAGTGACATTGAGACATCAACAAACTACATAAAGACACAACCCTCAACTCACCGGCATTTGCACGATACTATGCAATGAATCAACTCCGTCGAGCGAGCTACCTTTCACTGGAACTCCAATGACAGGAAGTGCGGTCATCGCAGCAACCATGCCAGGGAGATGTGCTGCGCCACCTGCGCCAGCAATGATAGCCCTTAGTCCCCTTGAGCTCGCTGACCTTGCATATTCAACGAGGCGATCTGGTGTGCGATGTGCAGAGACGATAGTAAGTTCATAAGGAATCCTGAACCGATCTAGAATGCGAGCAGCTGGCAACATTACTGGAAGGTCGGAATCGGAGCCCATGATCACACCGACAAGCGGGTATTTGTGGGGAAAGCCGCTGCCTTGTGCAGGGCTCTCTGGGGCGTATAAAGCGAGTTCTTCTTCGGTACTCCCAGATGGCAATGCTTTCAACAGTGGTCTGAGGCGAGAGCGGACCTCTGCATCTGAGTTGCCCACGATGGTGACGTGTCCCATTTTGCGTCCTTTGCGGCACTCGGATTTGCCATACAGATGGACCGCACAGCCGTCTGTCTTGATACACTCGGATGCGAAATTTGTGACTTCTGCTATGTTGGATGAAGCGCCGATGATGTTCAGCATTGCAGCTGAAGGCACCTTTAGTGACGTGGAACCAAGTGGGAGCGAGAGTATGGCGCGCAGATGATTTTCGTACTGAGAGGTTTCGCAAGCCTCTATGGTATAATGTCCAGAATTATGTGGCCGAGGAGCAATTTCGTTGATATATATAGAGCCTGACAGAATACGTGCGTTAGACTGGCTCACAATCCAAAAGGAACTGTCTTTTACCGTCTTCCATAAGGAACATTTCAACTCCAAAGATACCGGCGCCTTGGAAGGTCTTGACTGCGGCCTCGGCTATGCCCTGTGCGCGAATAGCGACATGTGGGTCACGACTCCGTAGGGGAGCGAAAACCAAGTGACAAATGTTCTCTTTATGAACGGTCTCCACGGCGGGATACGATCGAACTTCCCCTGAGGTCGAGCGCACTACCATGACAGCGATTTCCTTTACAAACGGCACCCACTTCTCCGCATACAAGGGGCGATTCCCGAGGGTAGAGATGGCCTCTTCAGCTTGAGCAATATCCCGAACAATAAAATTACCCCGTCCATCATATGCCAAAGTGCGGCTCTTGAGCATAAATGGCAAACCAAGTTTTTCCGCAGTCTGCTGTATTGATGTTACATCGGATCCGACACGGAGGAACTCTGAGACAGGACACTGGTGACTCTGAAGGTGTTGTTTCTGTATGAATTTGTCTTGAATAGTCTTCACCGTAGATGGACTAGGATGAATGGCAGCTCCGGACGCTGATTGAATCTCTTCGAGTACGCCCGTATCGACGTGCTCAATCTCAACTGTCAGGACGTCGACCTTGCTGGCCAGCGCCTTGATTTTTTCTGGGTCTATGAAAGATCCATCGATGTGAGTGAGTGAGGGAGACCTCGGGGAGACGATCTGCTTCGCTGGGCTATTTTCTCCAACGTCAAGGAATACTATATCGACGTTGAGCAGAGCCGCCGAAGCGGCCAACATTCGCCCAAGCTGACCTCCGCCTGGAACGAGCAAGTCAGAGGAAACCATGAAATGCTAGAAACATAGCCTGGCAGATGACATGAGCATTTTTTATCAAGAAATTCAACGCTGTAAGCTCACGCGCACCCAGAACCCCGACGACCTTGCCACTCATTGTGTTTGAAGTCGATTCGCGTAGATCGAGTGAAAGATCTGCAATGATCATTATGTAATCCCAACATTGCGAAATTTATTGATCCTTCAGCCTAAGTCGGTCAGTACATATGGGCCCACCAGCACCAAAGCCTGCTGCTCGCAGGAGGAACAGGAAACGCAAGAGACGGGCCGTATCCTCTGGCTCTTCGTCTTCTTCTGACGATTCTTCTTCTGATGAATCCACGAAATCCACACCTCAAAAGCCAGCACTTCTTCCAACCAAAGAACCTGAATCCGATGCGACTTCGTCGTCTGAATCTACATCCTCGGACAGCGACTCCGAATCAGATGATGACGACGCTGGTACATCCACGGTAAAGGAACAAATGCAGACCGACAATCTCAAAGTTTCTCATGAAAAGGACGTTCCTCGGCCAAGGTCACCTTCACCTCCCCTGCCCAGTGCAGAAATACCATCTTTCCTACCATCAGATCCGTCTGCGGATGATGTGGCGCGTGAACAGGCCATGAAAGACAAATTCAGGAAGTTCTGGATGTCCTCCCTTGCAGAAGGGTTCAAGGAAGATCTTGAGGAAATACGAAAGGTCGGCGGATGTTTGTTTCAGACATGAGACGATCCTTATGAACAACTCTTGCAGGAGCCGAATCTGGGACCTGCCAGGCTAGCGCTGCTTATTGATTCGCTCGCAGCTGGGGCAGATATTTTCACGTCATCTGCGTCGAGCGGGACAGATATGAATGAGGTGGATGTTGTCATGGGCGAATGATACAAAGTTCGTGGTTATCTTATCCTCTTGTTCTGTATGTAACCATGACTTGCAGAGTCTGTTAGTCGTGTTAGACCCCCGACGTGCGCTGAGACTATTCGAAGCGAAATCGCAGCACACGCATTTAATCATGATCTTGACACGCTCCCGTCGGCCATGATTTGGGACACCGTCAATATTGCAAGAGTCCCGGTTTGCATCTCGAACAGAGATATTAAATGCAGTCCGTTATGCAGACGATGAGGACTTTGCAGTTAGTAATATCTTAGGCACCCATCCCGACTTTATGGTTTACGAGTAGGTCGATACAAGTACAATGTCACTGGTACACATTGACAAAGACGAGTCTGAAAAGTTGTATTATAGAGCAGCGATGGGGTGATCCTTTGCTCCTGTTCACTCTTTCCTGCAACTTACTAGAATAGTTCACAAGGAACCTAACGCCAGCACTCGTGTGGGAGACGGAAGAGTCAATACATGCATGTACATGCGAGCAAGAAAACGAATGAATCATAGATATTTGAATCGCGAATATACCCATCAATAGCCAACGAATTGGATCAATAATTAACGAGCGCTAATGGCGTAAAGGTATTCATCTAATGTCTATTAAAATGACAATCAGCACAGGATATTCCATCGGCGACGAGGCTCCTACCTTTTCCATCTCGTCGAGTTGTTGGAAAGGACCAGCGTACATCTCTTGAATGTCTGGGTGTAGAGTCGTCACATCTATTGGTTTCCCAAATAGCAACTCTTCCACTGGGTCTACAGAGGTTTGAGGAGCCTTGGGGGCTGAACCAACAATTTCAATGATCGCCATCATATGAGAGATGCCAAAATCATCTTTGGAAATGTAGGGTCGCTTGACGATTTGCGGTTTCGGTGCGGTGTCGGTACGTGGCGTTTCAGGGGGGCTGATGAGCTGTCCCGTGGGGGTGGCGTACATCGACACTTCTGACATGACAGAAGCGATCGATGATTGACGAGGAGCGCGTGAAGCGCTCGATCCTTGTTTTGATGACGGAGTGGTGGATCGGGTGCGACTGTATCGGCCATCTGCTGCAGTAGGCGTCGGTGTTCGAGATGTGTCAGACACTGGTGACGCAACGCGTCGAGCCCCAGTGACACTACTCGCAAGGGGTGTGGGAGTCCTGCCGTCAGAACCAGAACGAGCAGTTACGGCATCATCGACGGAATACTCTGAGGGGGCAGAGCCAGCGGAAGGAAGACCATCAGAACTTGAAGCTGCTGTAACGACGTATTGAGCGTGAAGCCGCCCGTCTTTGATTTTGTTCAGTACGCGATCAATCTTCTCGTTCATGCCTTCCTTGTTGCGCCCGAGAACACCTTCTAGCAAGTCGCTCTTTTGCGCCGAGTTGGGTTCGCACAGCTCTTGCTCGACGATATCACTGATATCAAATGACTCGCCGTCTTGCACGTATGAATAGCGCATTTTATCTCCAGAGTCGTACCTGGAGCTGCGGATCATAGCGTTTCCGGGCAGAAGAACATCAACGCCACGAAGGGAATTCATCTGGGCCGAAAGAATGGCCTTTTGACTCGCCCGCGATGCAGCGCGCTGTGCTGCTATGATCTCTTGTCTTGACAGCTGTCTCGGTTTGACTTCCTCGGTACCCGAAGTCTGATTGTCAGAGCTGAGGCTAGAGCCGGATACCGAATCACGGAAGTGCTGAAGAGCGATTTCATCAAGGGGTGCGGACATGCGGTGACGAGACGATGAGGTTCGATAGGAAATTGCACGGCGGAGAATAAAGACGGGATCGTCGAGATGAACGTCATCTATGCTTCCAAGCAGCTGAGCGGAATCGATGGATCTGCGCTTGCCTTCCTGAGCTCGGCGGAAACTGGGAGGGCGAGTGTATGCATCGATAACTCTACTTGAAGGCGAAAGTTCTCGTTCTAAACCAACGAAATCAGCACTTATGTGTTTACGCTGTGTATATCCTTACCTTGTCCTCCAACATCAGCTGTGAGACCATATCGAACTTTGCTAATACTCCGCCTCTTCGTCATCTTATCTTCGACTTCGTCACCACCATCAACGACGCCCTCCAAGATACCGAAGCGCTCAAGACCAAGCTCGATCACTTCAGCAACAGTGACATTCTTCGGGAATGTGAAAACTTTGCGGCGCTGGTTTTGTGATACACCAGAGGAAATCGATGATGTAGATTGGACTCTGTCACGCAGCGTGTTCTTGAATACGATGGCTTCGGTGACTGGGTCGAAGACCATATCGTCGGGTAGGTCCTCGGGGTGGATGACAAGTTGCAATGTGAAACGGTACGAGGGAGAGCTGAAACGATCAGGAGTGACGTTGATACTGCCCGGAGAGGCGTTGAGACCCTCGGCTACGTCTTGAGACGCATCAGCCTGCACTGTCTCGTCGCCTTCTTCTGTCGTGGCGCTATCATCTGCATCATCACGGCGTCTATTGAGGTAGAATTTGACCACGGAGTCGTCGCTGAAGTCGTTCATGGATAATTTCTTGATGGCGGGATGCATGGAGAGGTTGCTTGAGACGGAGCTGATACTGCCCACACTGCTCCGCTTGACTTTTGGTAATTCCATAGCGGCCTCCACGAGCGACTCGAAGACTCCGAGAGGCTTTTCTTCCGGGAGCAGAACTGCAGATGAACCCTCGACCTGTTTGATAGTGAGGTAGTAGTCCGTTCCGTCCTCACCAGCGGGGAGACGGAAACGTTGTATAGCTTGCCGGACGAGGTCGGATGAGGTAGTAGATGCGTTGAGGAGAACAGTCTTGAAAGTTGCCTCGGTCTGCAAGTGTTTGCCTGCAAATACACGGATGACGCTGAGCTCAGGTACGCCAACGCCTTGTCCGTCAGCAGTGGGCGAAAGTACAAGGGAGCCGGGTCGTGGTCTAGAGGAGGGCAGGCCCAGCCCAAGCCCAGCGGCAGAGCTAGCAGATGTATTATACGAACTCGAACTTGACAACACAGCGGAAGCCGATTGTAAACCGTATGAAGGCGCTTCCGGCGGCGATGATGGCGAGCGATTGAGATACTGCTGATACAGTGCCTGCTGTTGCTGATCGCGCTGACGGAGTTGTGACGCATGTTGCGACACCTGAGCCTGTACTTGTTGTGGCGGTGTCTGAGGTGTCTGCTGTGACTGAAGTCTCGTTGGCGTCCTAGATTCGTTTGACGTGCGAAGAACTTGCTGCTGCTGTTGCATGGCAGATGCAGTGACAGGAGACATTGGGGGTTCCGGTACGGGTCCGTGCAGGTTGCTGGAGGACCGCCCCGATTCTTGAGACCCGCGAGTTTCATTGGAAGCGGTCTCGATGGAATTCTTGTCCTTCCCTTTATCCTTCTTGCGGCCAAAGAGTCCGAATACGCCTCCTTTCTTTCTCTCCTTTTTCTCCTTCGTCTCCTTCGCTTCATCATCTGTCGTGTCGCGTTGCTCTTTGCGAAGCTTACCAGATGCCTGCACAGGCTTTTGCGCTGGGGTATTCGAAACGGGTTGTAGAGGCTTGTCTTTATTCTTGAGCTTCTTTTTCGAGGCTTCTTCGAGAACTTCAATTTCCTCGCGGGTGCGTTGCCGCTCGATCTCCTGCTTCTGCATGATTGCGCTAGGAAGAAGGGGACCACTCAACGCTGGAGCTTGTTTAACTTGCTCATCACGAGCAATTGAAGGTGTCACGGAAAGTTTCCTCGTCTCGGTTACCTCCGCGGGATCAATGCTCTTACTAGATGACGACGGTGAAGGTGAACGGACATCAACAGTGATACGGTCGCGTGAGGATTGATGGCGTAGAGCTTGTTGAGCAAGAGCTTGCTGGTCCTCCTGCTGCCTCGGTTCAGTAATTATTATCTCCTGCCGCTGTTGCACCTGGATCTGCGGCTGTTGTCTCTCGGGCGTGCCACCAGGCCGCAGAGCATCGGGCGCCAGAAGCATCTGTTGCTCTATTTTCTTCTGCGCGTTTTGTGCTTGCATGTCTTCTGCAACACTATCGTCCCAGCTCATTCCGTCATCCGGCTCCATCTGCATGCCCATAGAATCCTGCTGCTCCTCGCGGCCCATCTGACCTTGGCGCTGTCGAACAAGCATTTCTTCGGCAAGGTCTGGATCTTCTTCCTCATATGCGCCGTCATCCCACTCTATATCCTCTTCCTCTTCCTCTTCCTCATGCCATACAGCAGGTGGATAGCGATGGACAGACCGTGCAGTTGTGAACGTGACACCTTTGCCCTGCCCAGCACCTGTTGGTGGGAAACCAGGGGTAGGAGAGGGAGAGTGATGCGAGCCAGCGCGAGAAGAAAGGTTGTTTCGCACGCGTTCGACGTCTTCTTGAAGTTCTTGTGGGGTCGCGTGTGCAAGCTGCGAAGGAAAGTTATGGGTTTGAAATTGTTGGTCATGGATAGTGTAGGACTCACATCCACATTCCTGTGCTTGTTCAACCTGGCAAGACGTTCAAAGGGCGTTTCAATATTCTCTGCAGGAATATACCCGACGTCCTGGGTCTTGAGCACACGGACAAGCCACCAATAGCTATTACTGTCGTCCATAAGGAACAAGCTATCGCCCTTGACGACGCTGGCTTGACCTTCGACAGTCGCAGCGAAGCTGTGCAGCGAGTAGACCAAATCAAAGTCGATAGATTCATTGGGAATAGAAAGTGAAGACGAACGGTCGTCGTCTTCGTCCATATACTCTATCTCGCGTTCTTCACCATCAGAGTCATCCTCTAGAACGGAATGCTCCTCGTCAGAAGCACCTGCATAGGTATTGGTTGCATCTGCGTGAGCGTGCATATGGGCAGACGCTGTGTGGTCGTCGGCCATAATTTGGTCACGAAGGTCGAAAGTGTCCTGGCGCTTTGGTGAACGTCGGTCCTGTGTTTGCATACTGTACGTGATTAACGAAATATTAGCCTGGGACTCCAATGGTCTATACGAATACAATCAACGAAAGCTGTAAAACATGAGAAACGAAAGACAGTCTGTGCACAGGTAAGGTGACGAAGGAATGATAATGATGTTCAACCTGTTAGGACTGTTCAGCGTTGTCCTGGCGAACGTTGATGGCGGCCTTGAACTGCTTCAGTGGCTGTGCAAGTTTTCTATTCCCACTGCTCGTACGGCACTGCGGCGTGGTGCTACTAATACCGACAACCAGCAGCTAGTACGCTAGCTATTGAATGCACTAGCTATACTAGTAGCTCTGTAAACAACCGTGATGATACAGGTAAGCCCAAGGCGCGTCAGCGGCTGGCGAGACGAAATCCATCTTTCAAGTCTGCAGCGCATTCCACTGCTCGGATCATCCAGGACTGAACCTAGAGTCAGAGAAACGGTGAGCACATTGAATCACCAAGATACGAGAGCCCGCTGAGAGTGCGGTGTGACCGTCATTTTCAGTCATTCCCCTAGAGCATTTCTCTTCCATCATGGTCCGAAGTCGAAAATTTCTCCCCTAGGCAGACCTTGGAAGATAGTCATGACTCGTTCCTTCTAAGAACCTCGAGATAAAGTTCAGCCAAACCCTGAGAGATGTCATTCCTCAACCTTGTTTTTTACTCTGTTGTTCTGCGGTTCTATCATTTTACCCAGCAACCAGCAATCACGCCGATCAGCGGATTCAACACTCTTCTAGCCTGAGACGCTGAACCCCAACGGTGTGTATAATCACGTCATACCGGAACGACTGATGGCCGCAACAGATTGCTCCAAAGGCGGCTAGGACTCTTTTTGTGTTTCCCAACGTTCGACACCACACCCCTTCCAGATCTTAGGCTGGCTGCTGGCATGAGCAACTTCTTGTACCCCCAGCCCGACAATGTGGACTTACAAGTCACCCCAATATTGAGTTTCTCCAAGGTTGCCGAGGAACGTAGTTGGCTCAGCCAATCTGGAAACCAACCAAGTCAGCTAGACAAGTCCTATGAACGAAATCCTGAGTTGTCTCGGGTTTAACTTGAACACCATCGTTTGCTCACCCGGAATCGCATCATTTGGCGTCGAGTCAAGGCCATCTTGAAGGCACTCATTCTACTCTTCCTCTCGGCCGGATACTTGACCTTCTGCTACATGGTTAACCGCCGTGCCGTACCACTTAAATCTATATGACCGTACTCAATTACACCGAACAACTTTGGTTGGTGTTGCTCTATTTATTCATGAAGCACAAATTGTTGATGTTCAGTTGTAAAGAAACAGTCAAGAGTGCGATTACGACGTTCAATATTGCTCTTGTCACTCTTGCTCTTTACCCCATTTCCGATATCCTATTGAAGCTGAAGGTGAATTGTCTTATACAATTCCCCGAGTACTTATGGTCCAACTGATGTGCGCAAGAGCGAAGAATTCTTCCATGCACTTGCTGAAAGAGGGAGACGAGGAGTGCCTCTCTCGACAATCAATACCATTTCTAGCCCGGCATTTGGAATGCTGAACTCGATCTACGCAATAATAGTGAGGCAATGCTCACGATTTTTTGTGGCTGCTACTGTTGGATCTCTTATCGCGTTCGCAACTTCAATCCTTGCACCAACTGCATGTATGTCTCTATTTATCTTTCCGGATGACCTCGGTGATATCAATTATCGCAGTGAGCATTCAAAGTGTCCTTGCAGATGGCGACATTGTAGCCCTTCCAGCCGGGGCAGTGGCTAATAACAGTGTCTATAAGTAAGTTGATTGTCAACCTTGTTTTCATCATCATTCTTAGTTAAAAGCAATAGTACTACCTTCGGGTTAGAATATGCATCCGAGTATTATGCTGAAAACAACGCAGACTTTGCCGGGTCTATTCTATGGGCGGAGATGAGCCTTGGAGTACGGTACAACTTTTCTGTTGCTGCTAGTCTTGAAGCAGATGTCTCGGCGTTCATCGTACCTCAACCACTCAATCTTCCGATGACTTTGACCGCCCGCTGGGTGACGGATGTGATTGGCTTGAGGCCATCTTGCACATGGGCGTCCACTAACATAACCCAGCCTATCATTGTGTCTAATGGATCTTCTTCATCGCCACTGGCAGGAGTATATCTGGAAGAACTGGATTTAGACATGGCAATTGATTCCAATGACGTTGGTATGTCTCGATCAGTCTGCGTTAGTATAACTCACGAGCCAACTGTGTAGGGTTAGGGTCGCAAGCAAATATTGCTGTCAAGAACCCCGCGTCTTCTTTGTTCAACCACACCACCCTTATGCCTCCTACAGACGGCTCATCAGTCTTCCTCGCTAGTCAATGCACCGAAGGCTGTCTGATCGATCCCACTTCCAACTATGTATGGTTGAATTTCACTGGGATTCCGACGTTCACTCTTGAACTCCCTCCTTCGATGACCTTTGGGCAAACCAATGTATTGCAATTGGCTTGTCTTGTTTGCAAACCGAATGCAGTAATTGAGACTTGTGAGGTTCGTGCAGAGGGGGGTGCCATGTTGTCGGTCCAGCCTCTCAGCGAAGGGAAGCAACTCGCGCGTCAAGGAAACCTTTTCCCGCTCGATACAACGACCATGTTGTCGTTCGCACTGAGTAGCATGCAGAATGCTGGACCTTCAAATTACAATGGCACGATGGATCTCGGGTCTCAACCCTTAGTCAAGTTCTTTTTCGGTTCCGAGCAGGTGGAATCCTGGCCAGGATTGGACAATGGGTCTGGCTCAGAGTTCGTGAATGTTACGTTCCTCCCAGTCGGGAATCTTTCGACATGCTTTGGACAGATGCTTCAGTCAGCATCTAAGGGTACGTTTTACTTCTACTATCTTGCAGATAATTGCTAATGTTTTGCCATGAAAAGCATACTTGTCAGGCTACCTGGGGTCTGCCTATGTTCCAGCCAGAATTTCAGCTCTTGAAGTTGTTTTCATGTCTTCTTTGCCACTCGTTCTCATCTCCACCGCGACTTTCCTCCTCTTATACAAATTTCTTGGTCTTTTGCGTCTTCATAAAAAGGGAGAAGAATTCAACTTGTCGGTGAGTGAGAATCAGAGCTTGTGGATTTGCCTGTGCTCATGCATGAACAAGAACATCGCAAGAATCATCCACGGCTCGAATCTTCCCGAAGAAATGTCACTATTGGCGCAGGAAATCGATGACGGGACCGGCAAACGCACTGAGCAGGATGTCATTGGACAGATCGATTGTTCTACGAGAACACGTTGATGGCTCAGATGTTCTCAAACTTACTTGATTTATTGCGGGGCACGAGATTCCACGCTTCTGATATCAATCTTTATCAAGGCATCAACTTCGAGTGGTGATTCTACTCGTTCCTCATCTTGTATTCATCTACATAATGACACGAGCACACATGGCCTACGCCTCAGCGCAATCCTGCGGATAATCTTGTCTAGGACTTCGCGTTTACACAGCCTCCTGACAGTGTTTTGAAATGCACGACTTGCTTTCCTTCTGACTAGGAAATCACTCCCAGTTGATTTCTGTGGCTCCAACCCATCTGTGGGAGATGATCCACCCCAGGTCAACGAGTCAGAGGCATTCGTCAAAAATGATTGGGATGGGAGGCTTTTTCGATGGTCGCATGACACCTAGTAGGTCTGTATTAAACCAATGAACTACATAGTTTCGCTGATGCAACCCGACAAGCGTCGCAACTTGAAGTCCTCGTTGTAGCATCCTGAAGACACTATGCTCCACAACTTTTAATTAGGTTGCCGTACAAAAATGGCAATCGTGGATGATGATGCCCTAAACGAAGGAGTTGGTGCAGTGCATCATCATGTAGGTATCGACGGGACTGGTAAATTCAATGAGCGGGATGTTATAGGACAAATGGATGATCGGATGATTGTCCTATAACAACGCGGTGATGGTTCAAGTGTTCCCCGAGTTATTTGCTACTAGGCACAAGGTTTCATTTGTACGCTTCTCGGTCAATCAGGACGTACATCGGCTTAGGTCGGCGTTTCTCGTCCTTCCCTGTCTTGCTTTATGCACATGACGACACAAGTACCCTTCGTATTGACATGCCACGGAGTATTTGGTTTTGTCACGTCGAGTCGAATATCATCTGGAGTCTTTATCGCCATGCTGCAGCTCTTTGATAGCCAGGTTGAGGGGGCGTTGAATGCCGATGGCAATATCGGAGATGTTGCAATCGACGGGAGAGAAAAACTTGCAGATGTCAAGTTCAGCGAGTGTGGGATCAAACTCAGGAAGAGTCGTGGAGTGGACAAGAACTGATACAGGGAGAGTCGGGAGAGGGACGAAACATGCTTTGAGGAGGTGATCATTCTGTTTCGCCGATATGACGATAGGAACTTCGGTGTCCTGCACGACTGCAGGCACATTTGAAGCAGGATTTCTGTGAAGAAACATGTAGGTGATAGCTAAAACACAAACTGTGGAACACGTACCTATGTATGAGACGGAATGTTGGGTGTCCAAACGGCAGGCTTCAAGCCACCAGAGAAGTAGCGTGAATCTTTGCGGCTCCGGAGGCCCATCATTAATATTGCTATTCGAGTTGGCGAACCTAAAATTAGGTTCGTCGCAGCCGACGAACATGTTACACATGAATATATAATGCTGTGTTAAAATTCCCACGAACCTAAGGTCGAAATTATACAGTATTTACTATCCACAGTGTAACTCCACTGAGCATCTCCCGTGCTATACGCAACTGCCAGTCGATATATGCACGCGCTCCTGGAAAGCGATTGAGGTCATGCCGGTTGCTGTATCAGAGTCAGCCACGAGCCGAGCGTGATATTCTCGAACGCTAAGGATGAGGCGTGGTCCTAGCACAAAGAACTGTATGGCTTGCAAAATCTGAAGAAAACCATAAAAAATCTGTGTTTCGAGGGAAAATGGGTTCTATATAAATGATGAACTGCGGTCGCATGCAGAGGTCAGTGAAAGATTGACATACCGCTAAGATCGTTGGAGACAAATTGACTACGATGTTGAAGCAAGACACGGCAACAAAACTAGCGCGTTGAATCATTCAGCGGAAATTGGAACCATATTCACAATATAAGCTTACCTCGCAAAGTAAAGCACATGTGATTTTATCAACACCTTGAAACAGTCGCCGATAATCCCTCCTGCCGAATGTTGTCGCAGTTCACGGAAGTGTTTTACAACAATCCAGAATGCGAGACACAGTGCGAAGACCTCCCAGACAGTGCCGAGTATCCAAGTCATGGATAACATAAGTGCCGAATTGTCCGCATAGCCAAGCGTACACGCATAGGTGCCAGAGAGAACGAGTTCCTCTGGTATTCATCGATGAGCGTCATGCACATCTTTCATTCACAATTAAGTGTACCCCCTGAAATATGCCTCGTTGCCATTAACATGACCACTCCTTCGCAAATGTTGACAGCCAAGCACACGACGAGGAGAAATATCAGGATCCTTCTGGATCGTTGATACATGGCATGTAACCGAGTGATCATGATGACTGCAACATGTTTCGGTCAATTCAATATCATAGGTCTTGTAATTGCACAGCTCACCACAGATCAATGTAAATGCCACAACAGTCGTCCAATTCCACACGATGTTCAGAATCTGGCCTGAGAAATCCGGTGAGTGATGGGCCTTGGGTGAATCGCACACTACAAACAGACTCACATCTGTAGCAGTCATGATAGTAAACGAATTAGCTGGTCAAGAATGACACTTACCCCTACAGGACGTCGCGGTTAATTGAATTGGAATAGCAGACATCAGTGCAGAAGGCTCACTGCATCTGTGAACAACATCGTCGGAACATTGCCTATATGCCACTGGTCAGAAAAAAAAAACACTGAATGCGACAAGACATACACAGTATGGCCACGCTGATTGTGAGATATAGCAGATTAGCACGACACCAATGGTCAAGCCTTCTAAACATACACATTATAAAAAAATCCAAGATAGCGCACCTAGAATATTGTCAAGTCAGCACAAATTCAGAGCAGGCAAGCTACGTACGCTCAGATAGAGAATGGTCATCAGGGACCAGCGTTGCTTCTGTCGCAAATCAATATTGTTCTTCTGACGTGGAACCGTGCTCACCCAGACCAGTTCGACCTACAAACAATTCTTAGCGAGATGGCTGCCCCGGTCATAGTATCAACATACCTCTTGTCCGAACGTAAGGGCTGGAATACTTGTGAGAAATCAGCAATTCTCTAATGCTATTATGCTCACCCCAATCATACACCACTCCAACACCAGCGGCAACTGGAAAACCACAATCAAGGTCAGATCGAGACATGAGCGCCGAAATCTGACTGCTCTTCACGAACCTATGAAATAGCTTTCAATACGAAAAAGTTGATGAGTGACCAAGGTCGAGACATGAGCGCCGAAATCTGATTGCTCTTCACGAACCTATGAAATAGCTTTCAATACGATAAAAGTTGATGTGTGACCAATAAGTAGGGTCGTCTGAGACTAGTGTCATACTGTTAGAGGATGGATGTGAGGGAACGGGGAACTTGGTGGACATAAGACGATGATATTTGTGCTAGATATACCAGTGCTTGGATGACCTAAATGAGATCGAAAGATGAAATACGTTCCTGCCAATGGATATGATATCATGTTCAAAGTGATCTAGTAGCGGGCCTTGAACAGCACCTGTGACAGGTTCTAGTACTAAATAGATCTCATATGATCGATTGTCCTTCTAATAATAGTGTCATCAGTTGCATAAGATCAACAAGATTAGGCCCATGATGCCAGATAACACACTTACCATACAGCTGCCAACGCACACCCTCAACGTTCAACACTTAATCAAATGAAAACTGAAAAACATACCACCATAAAATTTAAATGCACTATGCAGTTGATGCGAATGCAGGAGTCGAGCTCTACTTATGGACGTGGATTGGATTGGAACAACGCCTGTGCTTAATCAGATTTACATAAAGATGTGGGGCAGCGCACACTGTAGATCAAATTGGTTTGCAGGGGTGGAACGCGCGGAACACTTGAACCCAGCAAAAGATGAAAGAACGTAAAGCGTGATTCCGACACCTTGTTTCCGACGATTCCCAAAATGTGTCCATCATGACAACGCAATCAAGTACTTCCCATTTTTTCAAAGCCTGAGCCTCCTCAGGCCGAGCCCTAGCCCCGGCTTTTGAGCCGAGCCGAGCCATCATGACCTTTGTATTGACATAACCTTCTAATAATGTTACGAAACGACGGGTTATGACAGCACGCATGACCTGTATTCCCTGTTTGACTGCCTAATTACCCTCAGTTAACTTCCGTGGTGTTCCAGACCATCTGCGGGAGATCATTCACCCCGACGAGCGTCACTAGCCCATCTTGCGGTGTCCCGAACACATTATACAAACCAGAACTTTGAGTAGGCTGCGGCGCAAAAATGGGAACCTTGGTTGAATTAGACGATGGTGTTGTCGATGTGGGGGCTGGTGCAGCGCTAACAGGCGCCAAAGAATCCATTTGCGATAGATCATCCACACCAACAAGATATACTGCTTCGTCCGTTCCTCCATACACGTCGTATTTGTTGGAGGACAGTAATTTCTGTTGAGCTGTCACCTCAGCGGATGGTGATGGTGACGAGGTTGGCGTTGTTAATACTAGACATTGAGCACTTTTCGTCGGAGTTGAGGTTGGTGTTTGGGAGATCTGAGAACCGGTGCGATTTGCACCCACAGGAAATGCGAACCCATAGTGTCCGGGGCAACCGTCTGTTGGGAAACGATAGGCGCTACACACGACAATCGAGGTTAGATATCCTGTAGTAAGATTTGGAAGGGCTTACAGATAGACGCTTCGTAGGAAAGGTAAGCCGAGGCTAACAGAAGGCAGCAGCGTGTCCGACTTGTTCACGATGCCGACGCTACAATAACCTTCAGCGGGACTAAGAAAATTGTATGGCCGAAGTAGACTGCCGCTTGATTCGATTTGATAGTCAATGCCATTGATTGTAGCTGATAATGCCACGTAAGGGGTAGTCACATTGCATGGATATGCCAAGACTCCGTTTGCGATCACTGGGTTTATAGGTCCCATAAAGCCTGGGCTGGAGATGTATGTTGTGACATTGGGTATTGTTATTGTGTTTGCCACTGGGGTATGTGGTATGTGTGCATGCCAATTAGAAAACTAACCGCCATTTGGTAGGTCATGAGACTTACGAGAGTCAAGATTGGCAGTCAAGCTGTTGCCGGCTGGGATGAATGAGCCATTGTACCCCTTCAGACCATCAATGCTGAAGGTGTTCAGAGAGTCGAAAGATGCATCAGGAGCATTTATTTCCACCCAGTTCAAATCTCCATCATAGTCTGCTGGGTCCAGAGCACCGATTGTGATTTTGGGGTTCAATGGATCAAACCGGAAGCCTACGACAGGGTTGAGAAGTTGACCCGACTGGTACAACTGCGAAAAGATGTGTGCAGATGGGGAAGTGTCATTGGATGGGTTAACGAATGCACCTAGGTGTCCGTTTTGAATCGTCGACTGCAAGGTATAGTTTGAACCACTTTCGATAAGTGCTAATGTTCAATTGTGAGAAAGAGTAATGATTCGCATCCAGAGTTCACTCGTACCAAATTGTGTTTCTGGCGCATTGAGGATTCCGCCGAATGAAACCCGATCCATCACATCAGTGCCACTAAACCCAGGAATGGAGTTCATCCATGTTGAATGTAATGGCTGCGGTCTTCCATGTCAGACTACTGAACTCATTGTTGTACCAACTGGCACTTACCTGAAATGAAGATGATAGCAGTGCATTGAATGAAGTCCCTCCACTGCATAGTATACAATCGTACGCATATGCAGCTAGCCAATCGGCTGCAAGATCAACTGTAAGCTCGACTTCTTGAGGAGGCGTACCAAAGTACGTCCGAACTGTGGCACCATTGAAGACAACGTCGGCCTCAACAAGGGACCGCAGGACCCTCATAGGCAAAGCTGCCCATGCTAAGCAGATGTTTCAGCCTCATACTGCTGCCATAATCTCAGAAAAAAATACTCACAACTCGCATTTGCCGGGAGGGAGAACGCTGAAAGCCCGAATAAACATATCACACAAAAACGCCTCATCGTAACTGAAGCTTTGAAGGCCTACAAAATCCGATCCGACTTTCCAAAGATGAGCCTATAAACTTCTTTCTTCTGGTACTGGCAAAAGGAGCCGTATTTCACGGTAAAGTTTGATGGAAAACGCAAGAGCATGTCCTACTGCAAGCCATGGATACCCTGCCAAGGCCGTATACCATGTGGGGTAAACGTTAACTGAGTCAAAGTTCAACTGAGATGATGGTGATACTACACACGACACGAAGACCCTTGATCACACTCCGAGGCCCGGGCTGTCAACGAAAAAGGCAAGTGCAATCAGCATACATAAGCTCCCTCTTTCATCAACCACCATGATGCATGCCGGTAACAATTCAAGTCCACCCCGAACTTCGCACCAGAAATCAGTAATCCACAGCCTTCCATAGCGTCATGAACCTTCTGTGGATACTGTAATACGTTTTCCGATTGGTCGGTGCATCAGCCTAAGTAGAGTTAATTGGTTCCGATGTCATGCACTTGTGCTCCGCGGTGGTAATTTATCTTCATTTCAGTCCGAGATACACTACTGAGTTACAGTACTAGTGATACCCCGTCGATGTGACACGAAGGCTTACATCTATCACTGCAGTTTTGAACTCATCCTTGCTCCTTTCGTCACCATGTCGGACAACTATGAGCTGGACTCTTTCTCTTCTACAAACAGACTCACGCCAAACCGTGTTTCCAGCATTTCGATGCCACTGTTGAATCAAGACACATCTCGTCTAGTGCCAAACCGATGGCAAGATCACGCATTGCGCGAGGACAACCACCGAACTTTCGAGTACAAACAGCAGGTTCCAGGCCTCATGAAAAGGATGTTGACAGTCGCGAAATTGTTGACCCTCCCTCTTGCAGCAAGTGCATACTTGGTATTTTGCGTTATAGTCAATAAACGCCTCATCACACTTAAGAATGGATTTTATGCATTCACTCCAAATCATATTGGTATGTCAATTCTTGCCACCGATCTGTTTGAGACTTATTACGTATTATTATTGTCTTGAAAGCTACGATAAAAGCCGGGGTTACGTCTTTGAGCCAACTTGTCGTTTTCGCCGCCCTTTACCCGGTGGCGGACATGGTGTCGAACTTGCAGGCAAGTATCCATGTCCGTTGTTGTTGCACCTTCGGTATACTCATCATGCTATGCAAAATAAATTAGTGCGAGGAGTTTTTCCGTATTCTTGGTTCTCGTCGCATGCAAGGTGTTCCTCTAGCTATACTTGATAAGAAGTCAAATCCGAACTATGGCTTTATGAGGTTCCTGAGCGACGCTTTTTCGCGCACATCTTCAATTTACATGTTTTCCGCTTTTGTCGCCACACTGATAGGTGTGGTAATATCATGGGTCACTCCCGCTGCTTGTGAGTGACATGTAACACATTCCGTTTTGGCCGGATTTGATTTCTTGCCAGTGAATGTTGCAACTGTTCTTGTAGAAAGCGAGACTGTTGCCCTCGCTGTCGGGTCAATCCCTTCACAAGGCGTGTATAAGTGAGATGTTTTCTCATTCCATTGGTCTCCTGTTTTCAGACCTATGATTTTAGTGCCTCAATCACGAGCCCAGGCTTGCCTGGGTGGGGTGCGTATACAAGCAATAATCTCGCCGCTTCTGTTCTCTGGTCCGAGATGGAGCTCGGAGCAAATTACTCCTTCTCTGCTGCTGGATCTGATGCAGAGTTTGCTGCATACATTGTCCCAAGTCCAATTGATCTGCCCACAACTGTCAGTGCACACTGGATGACAGATGCAGTTGGTATGAATCCGACTTGTGAATGGGCTTCGACGAATATTTCGTCGACAACACAGCTCGAAGGGAACCAAAGTGATTTTTCTTCGACCGCTGGTATCTACCTTCAGAACCTGGGCCTGGATGTCTCAATTACATCGATCAACTATGGTATGTATTTAATCGGCTTATCCTCACGCCTCTGACTGCTTGATAGGCTTGAGTATGTTGAACATCATCGTGATGGACCCTTTATATGCCGTTTTCAATCATTCTACTCAAGGACCGCCAACAGACGGTTCGACCGTATTTGCTGTTTCCCAGTGTTACACTGGCTGCGAGAACCTCACATTATTGAACCCAGTTCTCCTAAACTGGACAAACATCCCAACATTCATTTTGGACGTCAATGCAACCACATATTCCCAAGCTCAAACTTGGCAGTTTGCGTTTCTTGCATGCAGACCTAATGCTGTGATTCAGACTCGTGAGGTACTCAGCAACGGGACTGGGTTCCTGGAAGTCCTTCCTATTCGACAAGGCAAACAATACATCTCGCAGGGCAATTTACATCCCACTCAAACGCCCCTCATGCTATCCATCGCGTTGAGCGGTATTACTTTTGATGCCGGCCCGATGAATCAATCGACTACACCTGCGGGAAGCTATTCTACGGTTCAAAACGACTTCCTTTTCGGACAGGAACAGATAGACAACTTGACTCAGCCGAGCTTCGATGCCCCATCCGTAGTTTTGACCATACTTCCGACTGATATCCTGGCACGGACGTTCGCTGGAATGTTGCAATCTGTGTCAAAGAGTACGCACGCTGAACTTGATCACGGATTGCACTCTGATTTGCTTCGCAGCTTATATGGATGGCTCTCTTGGGACCGCATATGTTCCTGCGAAGGTGTTCAGTCCTCAAGTTGTTTTTGTCTCTTCCATGCCTTTTATCATAGCTTCTGCAGTGATGTTCGGAATACTTTTCATTCTGACCATCATCATGCACTTCAGGCGTCATGAGAAAGCCTTCACGCTAGTCAGCGTCTCAGCTGCCCTTCGTGGTTCCAATCTTCCAAAACACTTTGCGCTCGCGGAAAAATCGCCGGCTTTGGTGGCTGGTGGCGATCAAAGAGTTGTTCTCCAGAAGGCTGAGGACGGTACGGATGTCTTGCAGATTGTCAGAGAGTAGGGAAGGAGTGATGGCGTAGGCCATCGTTTGAAGTTTGAAGGTTGTGGTAGACTACTTACACGAAGGACTTTCCATGGCCCATTAACCACAACATTCTCGTCGAGTGCCGATATGTATCCTATTCGATGGTTTCCTCCGCCCGTCATTCGCTAGTATAGTAGCCTCCACTCAATCATGATTAATGACAACTGTACATCTTCGGGTATCTTCTGAACTAAGTGCTAATTCAGTGTTATCTGCATTGGATGTGCGTACCTTGTCAAAGAGTACTGGCATTATTAGGCCACTGAGAGAGATTGACGCCTGCGCCAGAATTGGCGCTCGGCCGGATTAGGATATGAGGTTGTTCACACAGAGTTTTTGTTGGAAGATGTGGAAGTCATGCTCAGCGCAATCGCGGCGCGAAGAGCAGCACAAGTCTCCTTAGATTCATCCAAGTCTCCCAGCTCTAATGAGCTCTCACCGCTGCCAACGCCTTCAACACCATCCGCGGATCTCATTTCCGAGCCAAAGCGTAACTCAAATCCTCCCTCGAAACGCAAATCCAGTTCTGTCAATGGAAAGTCATCGCGGAACAGCAAGAAAGCAAAAATCTTGCCACAGCGAGTGCCGACCGCTCGGTATTTCGAGTCGAAGGACATGGTTGAGGGAGGAGAGGATGTAATTATGGTGGGGTCGAGCTCGGATTCAGAGTCGGACGTTCAAGTGGTCTTGGATTCATCTGATGACTCAGAAGCCGAAGAAGCACAAAATCCACTTGTTCCCGTTGAATTACCATTATTCCCCCAGCCTTCAAGATCTGAGCCTTCCCAACTGTCCACGTTCAGACCTACTCGTGATCTTAACGTTTACGAGCTCTCTGCAGATGAAGTTAATGACATGGGCTTACAAAATGAGGCTTCGGTGCTTTCCATCGAGCGGGAGGAGACACTCGCGCTTCTAGGGACATACGCTCTCACTGTTTTGAAAGGGTCTATTTCCATACTCGGCGTAACCTTGTCTGCCTCAAAGGTAGCTCACCATGTGTTCGCCCCTCGTTCTGCTCCGATTCCCATCTTACGATGCGTCTCGTCGGACGTACATGCCGACTTGGACATATATTCCCTTCCTCCTCGCATCAGGAATTCCCGTGATGGGGCTGTAGTAGCAATTCAATCGCTCGACACGGGTGTGGAAGGTCTCGGACGTGTTTGTCGCGTCTTTGATGGGGTTTTCGAACCTTCGCGTTGGCAGCGGAGCTCGGCAGAATTTATACGGCCTGGCGTGAGCTTGGTACGTTTGCTGTTTTTTTTAATGTATGGGAAGCATCATCAGTAACATTTGCCTGCCAGGTGACGCACAGCACAAGGGACGTGCTCCCGTTCGTGCTGCCTGGATCATGGAGTATTGCACTGAGCGCTGCAGAAACGCTACCCTCTTCATCAGATCCCGTACCGCTCTCGGTGTATGTTGTCAAGGGTCCGAAAAAGTCCGGGAAAAGTACGTTTGCTAGGACGCTTTTGAACAGGCTTTTGGCGAAGTATGTATGCAGTTCAACGTAAATAAATACAGCTAACGGTGCTCTATAGATTTCAGCGCGTCGCATATCTCGAATGCGATGTAGGGCAATCTGAATTTACACCTGGGGGTTTGGTCGCTCTAAACGTTATTGACAGTCCGGTATTTGGTGAGTAATTACTACATCTTCCTTACAGAGCCCCTGAAATATTCGTATATCTAAGGCCCGCCTTTTACGCATCCTACTCTTCCATACCGAGCGCACTATGTTGGAGCAACTTCACCGCGGTGCAGTCCAGCACACTATCTTGCGGCCGTTCAAGCGCTCCTCGAAACGTACAAGCTCGAGATTCAAACGTCCATGCCCGATGACGAATCGATTGATACACGGATCACCGACGTCACTCCCCTGGTGGTCAATACCATGGGGTGGACGAAGGGTCTTGGTGCCGACTTGAATGCCAAGATCGAAGAACTTGCTGAGAATACTCATGTATTCGAGATCATCGGTCCAGAAGAAAAAGGGTGGCCAACTGCTCCGCCAGCCTATGACACTCTGTACAACCCGTCTCCGCAGAGCAAGGCATTCCAGTACACCCTCGAAGCAATATCGCCCACCTTAACGAATACGCATTTTAATGCCGCCGACCAGCGCAACTTAAACATCTTGTCGTATTTCCATGCTACCTTTCCATCAATTACATCAGCATCATTTCCGTCTCCATCCGCTCCGATTCGTCAAATGACAGCAACTAAATGGGAGACCTCTCACCCTCTCTGTGCCCGGTATCCGTATGAGGTGGACTGGAGCCAGGCATATGACCAGGTCATCCTGATCGGCGCAGGATACGAGGACGTGATCCCCTTGGAGATCTCCAATGTGTTAAATGGCGCGATCGTTGGCCTTGTCGAATGCGAGCCCGGAACCGAGGATCCAGTATATGCGGACCCTTCTGGCGCCCTGGAATTGCCCTACACCCAAGCCAGACATCCGCCCGTACCCTCAACCTCCACTTGCCACGGCATTGCCCTCATTCGTGCTGTCTCGCCTAATTCATCGCACATGCATATCCTCACCCCGGTTCCGCCCGCTATTCTTGCGCGTTGTCGGGTGATCGTCAAGGGCGAGCTGGAGCTGCCTATCTGGGGAATGCTCGATTTTACAGACGTGAATGAAGGGGTTGCAGGTGTTGAGAAGTGCCGGGTACCATATTTGCAGTGGGGTAAGAGTGAAGGCTTGGGCGGCGAGCGTAGGAGAGTGAGGAGAAATCTCATGCGAAAAGCCCAAATGTGAGGTAAACAAACGAAAAGTACACTACATCTATCAGATACAAGCCGCGTTACAGCAATTACCATCACATCAAAAGTACGTCACTCAAACACGATCACTACGTCTGGACCTTTATTGTCCAGCCATCGCTTCCAAAGCTTGCTGTATTTTGACGACCACGGTCGGTTTACACGGAACACTTGCTCGTCTGGCAGGAGGCGTGCAATCCGCTGAATTTCTCTAAGGTCTCGGTGAGAGTGATGCTTCATGCGCAGAGCTGCCTGAGCAAGAGTCGGGTGATGCTTCGATCCCAAACACCAAGCATGCATCACTTTTTCTGAGCAGCAGTATCAGATGAAGAACTTACCGACCGCCGAAATACCATCCTATGCCACTTGCAAAACGTTTTGGCGGATATGGAAAATTCAACGCTCCCTTCGTCGGAGTGTTGTACGTCGCGGTATTGAGGCAGCAGACGTGGGGTATAGTACGTCACGAGAGGTATCTCGGACGTCTCATGCGGCGGCCGACGAGCACTAGACTGTGCAAGGTGGCGTTGGTAACGAGCAGCAATGCACCAATATTTCGCTTCCGCTTCGAGCGTGGGGAACGTCTCGTATCGTGAACGCACGGGGCATGGAAATAAGAGGCGGACGCGAAGGCAAGTAGAGGACAGTGCGTGATAGAGTCGTTGGAAGAGACTGTGCACGAAGGTCCTGCTGGAGCCTCCTTGCAGTAGGCGCCTCCCAAGGTGAGTTGCGCAGAGAGATCGCACCACCCATGTGGGATCGACGAGCGGGATGCTCGTTAGTAGCAAGAAAGTAACGATGGCCGGTGGCTTGGAGTAGATAATGCTCTGTGCTTCGATCAGGCCTGCGTTCGTGACAGTAGATCTGAACGTGGAACTCACCTGGAGTTGCATTTTGCGAGTCTATTCGAGAATCGACGATGATTGGGTTGCAGTTCAAATGTCTGCTTGATTAGCCTTTAGAGCCTATGAAGAGTATGCTATAAGGCAGCCTTGCAAGCGTTATACGTCAGTTTCGATAGTAATAACCAACACTTACGAGACCTTCCATATTCCCTAAGCCCATCCGCTTTAACCATCCAACCTCATGGTAGGCCGCGAGGCATAGTGGCTGGGCAGCACTATTTGTGGGGCGATATCCGTACAAGAGCAGCGCCGTTTCAGAACAAGATAAGAAGATTTGTACTGTTGTTGCCATTTACAGGCCAGAGGTCAGAATCTTCCAAATGTTTGACTGTGTGCAGACCGTCAGCGAGTGTGTAAAGAGCGAGCGCTAGTGTTGTCAGAAGGCGAAACTTGATAATTACGCTGCACCTCGAGGCTTTAGGTAAACATTAAAAGTGAATGCCCAATTTTACATAACCTGATGCTTTTGTGCTGAGAGGTTGGTATTCAAGTTCAGTTAGTATACATTTATCCGAGAAAACAAATTAATGTCATGCGATCTTCTACATGTTAGGTGACGTTATCGAGGCTTGAAGGGGGCGCACGTCGTGAAGTCAAGGGTTTCGTCCAAGCTAATCAGGTGGAATACGAAACGTACATACACACGTAGCGATGTAAATGAAGATGCGTATGATCACCCAGCAGCCTGAGTCCGCTCCAACATCTTATTCACCGCGACAGGCCTGCCAGAAGACGCATGCGCCATATCCGACAACCTGTTCTCCCTCATCCTCGTCAAGACCTGTAGCAAGAAGGTCGGCGTGACACCATGTGGCCTATGTACATCGTCCAGGCTCTCCACGGGCGTAGATACCCCGCTATGGCTTGCTCCCGGTTGTGCCTGCGATGAGGCATGTCCATGGAATGATGTCCTTGCAGAATCAACGAGATCGGAATCTTCAAGGTACCGCTCCCAGAGTGTATACAGCGAAATGATTTCTTGTGCAATGGTGGCGACCAATGACATTGAAATATTAAGCTCAGCAAAGAAGGCAACAAAGTCTTGTGAGGGTTTCTTTGCATGACTTGATGATGTACTAGAATTTTGCCGCGACGATCTTCTCGGGGAGCTGTGGGCCGGTGTAACATCAGCTGAATGAGACTGCTGTTGCAGGAGCTCCCTAGTTGGACCGTGTAAAACCACAGCGAGATAGAGCGCTGTAATGGCGAGTAGATGGGGAGGATACAGCAAGCAGAGATCTGAGCGATATGTGTCGTTGATGATAGACCTACAATTGAAATCAGTTATGATAATGAGTCACTCCTGGAAATTCGCTCACCAAGCTAACTGGAACGCATCATCTGGCAACTCGAGTTGCCCATCTCCACTCCCCCAATACCGTGGCCCGTCATCTACTCCCACTCCCACTTCACCAGCTTCTGTCTGCAAGTCATTCGAGCTCTCCTTCTTGCAAATTGACAGCAGGGTACGATATGGATGGAAGACAGTGAGGTCGCATTCGAGGTCCGCAACGAGGTAGAACTCCATCTCGGCGAGCTTAGAATTATCAGAAGGAAAATATTTCACGCCATACGGCTGTTCTGCGCAACCTGATATCAGCATTCAAACAAATAAACTTGGTGATGAAACACACGGCTGAAGAAAAGTCGAGCCTCTGCTACCATATTCTTGATGTGCACGGGCGACTCCTCCGCCTTCCCAGCCACGTAACAGCATGCTGCGATGACAATAAATGGATCGGTCTCGCAGTAAGAATTCTTGATATAAAATCTTCGAAAAAATACAATGGCTGTTGAAATGACGCGCTGCCTGAAGTTGAGCTTCTTCCCTAGTTTCGTTATAACTAGAAGGATTGAATGGCATTCTGCATTCCGCAAGTGTATTGAACTCACCATTGGCAAAGAAAATTGCGAAGAAATCGAGATACTCTGGATCGTCCACGTATTGTAGGTCATCTGAGCGAGACTCCTTCAAGGTAGCCCGGTCCACTATCCATCGTTTGCTATTTTGCCCACCATAAGCCTCTTGTGTCGATTGAGACTTTGATCCTCCTCACTAGTGCGAACTGGCCCAAAAATCAGTGGCCATATGATATCGGGGCAGTGAGTTTCAGTCAGGACGGAACAAGAAATGGAGGGCGCGGGACCCTGGAGTAGCTTTGCAAAGATGAGAGCGAGTATGTATGCGGATGAACTTCAATGCACGGTTGAATCCGGTACCGGCGTATATGTGACGTAATAGCATCCGGGGTGTCTTTTTCCTCCTCGTCTGGGCAAGTATTATGTAGCAATATTATTTTGCAAACAGCGCTGGGCATATCAGTACATTTCATGTGTTAGAATAATTCCTTTCATTAATGTCGATCTCTTTGAGCCTCCTATCTCATTCAGTATTCCTCCCGGCCTGTCGCAGGTCCAAGGGGACAGCACACGTATAGCTGTGATGAAAAGAACGGTCCGAGCTTTTTCAGGACTAGCGGACCTTCAACATATGCTTATCATTGGCGTTGTTCCTTGCTTTTGATCTTGTCTATCCTACTACCACCGCAGCCTTGTAATCTATCAGTCTTCTTTTGTTGATCCGTCGTCAGCGCTTCGCCAACGAGCTTAGGGTGTTGTTGACAATAGCCCATACGGCCCCTTGCATGAGATAGTGTAACACTCTCACTTCCACACTTCTTCCACCTCACGGCCACACATACCATGCACCACGATGCCCTCACCAAAATATCCCCCATGCTACGCATCGCCCACCCTTCAACCCTTCAAAAATTGGACGTGGCTTGTTCTGAGATAGCGGATGCTGAAGCCGTCGCTCGCATCATCTTCTCCAAGCTCCCTGGCGTCGATCGAGTTATCCAGCGACATAATGGTGATGCCGGGATGCGCTTCCGGAAGCTGTGGGATGAGGTCAACAGACATCTCAATACTTTGATGGGTCCAATTTTGATGGGTCCAATTTCACGGAGCAGGCATATTGGGTGGCTGATGGACGAGTCCGAGGAGGAGACGGGTGAGTCTGAGGGGGAGACGGACTGACGTTTGTGAGATTTCTGGAGTTATACGAGTCTATCATGTGCCCAAAACGCGCCATGTTTCAACGGTGCGCACAAGTACATGACAATTCATGTACTCGCAAGTAGTCCTGGCAGAAGTACTCAGACGATGTCCACCGATGCACAAAACCATGCACAAAAGAAAAAAAACAAGTCCTACATCTTCTCGTCTTCCCATGGCTCATCCGGTAATAAACCCACAGCCGGAATATCTACCCGAAGACCAGACATTTCTTCTGTACTGATGTTATACGATTGGATTAGCTGAACGAATCGATCCAATGAACCGCGGTCTGCGCGTTCCAGGAAGGTCGACTGCCTATCATACTCCTGAATCCGAACATGCACTTCTCTGCTCGTCGGCGACTCGTGGTAGGACTTGCTCGCGAGCTTGATAATCCTACGAATCAATTCCTGGTTTTCCGACACAAGATATAACGTCTGCAACACAGGAGTTAAGTCGATGATGTACTTCATGGAGCGCTGGAGCGCCGCGCAGCTGAGGAGGACCTGTCATTATTCTCTCAATCAAGGATAAGTAGCAGGACGCACGACCGTTGATACGCCTCGTAAACCCAGTTCGCGATCACAACGCTTGCCACTATCGGCACTACGATGGGAGCCGCAGGTCCGGCCAGGGCAGACAAGATGCCGGAAATAGTACCCACAATGGAGAGCCCGAATGCACTGCGAACATTGGATGAGATGACATACATCTGTCATGTAAAAGACTGCCTTACATGTTCCTGAGATCAGCAGTGGGTCCAATGTCCAGCTCATGTACGCCCTACGCTACGCACAACATTAAGCATGCCTATCGCACACTGAATCTAGGGCGCTCACAGAGTCGCAGAGCCTCGGAGCTCACACACTGAGTTGAGCCAGGGTGCACGTTGTTACTATATATAGATAAAGTGAATCAAATGGAAGTCCATCTGGAAGCCGTCGCCGTAATCGAGACTTCGACGCGATGTACGCCTCAATGATGGCGTGCTCATTGCCCACTGGATTAGGGCGCTCTCCACAATAGTACTAGTACTAGTGGTTATAAACCTATCGCAGTGCTGGACAATTCTCATTGCTCAGTCCCAGTATCATCTACCTTCTGAATCATCCATGGATCCTTCAGAGATAAAAGAGAGAATCGATCGCTTTCGAATCCTCATCATAGGAAGAGCGAACGCAGGAAAAACTACCATCCTAAAGAGGATTTGCAATACCAAAGAGAACCCAGATATATTTAATGGTGCTGGGGAAAAGGTGCGCATCGTGATGCTAGTACGATACTGATAGTGATGACTGTCCATCGACATCAGATCGACGACGTCGATGTTTTGAAGGAATCCAGAGGGGTAACGTCTACTATCGTCAGTTAGCAACATGAACTAACGTGTTCTCAGCGTGGAGTGCACGACATCAAGAACGAGATGGTGTTTCGAAAAAACCCAGGCTTCATCTTTCACGATTCACGCGGTTTCGAAGCAGGCGGCGAGTCTGAGTACGATAAGGTGAACACATTTATCGCAAACCGCTCGAAGAGGATAAATATCAAGGATCGAATTCACACTATATGGTAATCGGTCAACTTGGCAACATGCATTGGCTCATTTCTTTGACATAGGTACTGTATCCCAATGGATCAAGCAAGCAGGGCGTTCACCGAAGCCGAACTCAAATTTTTCTCCCGCTGTGATACCGGAAGTAGTAAGCTTTCGCATCTGTCCTTTGACTGACTGATTTACAACTTCCACTCCCATTCCCAGTCCCAGTGATCGTTATATTTACGAAATTCGATGCCCTTTACGACGTTGAATTCGCGCGATTACTGAAGGAAGGAAAATCGAGGACAGACGCTAAAAAACTGGCTCCGAAGCACGCCTGGAAGACATTTGCGAACGGGTCGCAATTGAAATTTCTATACCACTCCAAGGACATTCGACGGCCACCAAAATGTCACGTATGCCTTCCTGGTAAGCTGTGAATTGTTGAATTGAGAGGCATGATGACCATTGATCCATCAGACATGGACAAGGATGATGCAGACTGTGGGCTACTCATCGAGCGCACGGCTGAAACTCTGGACAGTGAAGTCCTTCAGCAATTGTTCGTCTCAACACAGCAAACCAACTTGGAGATCTGCGTGAATTATGCAGTACATGGGTAATTGCTCATAGGCTCATTTGGCTGCCGCGAAAGTTGTTGACTATTGTCCAGCGCACTTAAAGAAATTGTTGTCCGAGTCTCTGATGCGACTCGGAAATTCTCATCTGATGATGTAATAGCGATGTTGGGTGGCTGGTTTCCACATATCTGGGTAAGATCATACAGATGTTTGAAAGTTGCTCTCATTCATGTTGGGCGTTTGCTTGCAGGTAGTACGTCTGTTGATCCTCGTTCGAGCTCGAGCGATGCTGATCCAAGCCATTGCCCACTGCTCGCAGGAAGTGAGTGTCTTGATCCTCGTTCGAGCTCGAGCCATGCTGATCCAAGCCATTGCACACTGTTCGCAGTACGTGAGTGTCTTGATCCTCGTTCGAGCTCGAGCCATGCTGATCCAAGCCATTGCACACTGTTCGCAGACTGTGAGTGTCTTGATCCTCGTTCGAGCTCGAGCCATGCTGACACAAGCCATTCCACGCTGTTCGCAGCCTGTGAGTGTCTTGATCCTCGTTCGAGCTCGAGCCATGCTGATCAAAGCCTTTGCCCACTGCTCGCAGTTTGTGAGTGTCTTGATCCTCGTTCGAGCTCGAGCCATGCTGATCCAAGCCTTTGCGCACTGCCCGCAGTACGTGAGTGTCTTGATCCTCGTTCGAGCTCGAGCCATGCTGATCCAAGCCATTGTGCACTGTTGGCAGTACGTGAGTGTCTTGATCCTCGTTCGAGCTCGAGCCATGCTGATCCAAGCCATTGCGCACTGTTCGCAGCCTGTGAGTGTCTTGATCCTCGTTCGAGCTCGAGCCATGCTGATACAAGCCATTGCACACTGTTCGCAGCGAGTGAGTGTCTTGATCCTCGTTCGAGCTCAAGCCATGCTGATCCAAGCCATTCCACACTGTTCGCAGACTGTGAGTGTCTTGATCCTCGTTCGAGCTCGAGCCATGCTGATCCAAGCCGTTGCTCACTGTTCGCAGCTTGTGAGTGTTGTGATCCTCGTTCGAGCTCGAGCCATGCTGATCCAAGCCGTTGCCCACTGTTCGCAGGTTGTGAGTGTCTTGATCCTCGTTCGAGCTCGAGCCATGCTGATTCAAGCCATTACCCACTGTTCGCAGCGAGTGAGTGTCTTGATCCTCGTTCGAGCTCGAGCCATGCTGATCCAAGCCATTGCCCACTGTTTGCAGACTGTGAGTGTCTTGATCCTCGTTCGAGCTCGAGCCATGCTGATCCAAGCCATTCCATACTGTTCGCAGACTGTGAGTGTCTTGATCCTCGTTCGAGCTCGAGCCATGCTGATCCAAGCCGTTGCCCACTGTTCGCAGCGAGTAAGTGGCTTGATCCTCGTTCGAGCTCGAGCCATGCTGATCCAAGCCGTTGCCCACTGTTCGCAGCGAGTGAGTGTCTTGATTCTTTGTCGAATTCGAGGCTTGCTGACGGAAGAAATTGTTGATCCATTTGCAGAATGTCAGTGCATTAATCCTTCACAGACCTTTAGCCATACTCACCAACAAATTGCTTATCCGTTAATAGCTTGTGAGTGTGTTCATACTCTATCGACCTACCACCTTGCCTATTCACGTGTTCAGGGTGTGAGTTCATTCTCCATCGTCCTCGTGTCATGCTGACAGAAGACGTTGCTGATCCGTTGACAGATTGTGAGTGGGTTGATTTGCTGTTTGAGTCTAGCCATGCTTATCACTGACGTTGCACATCCCCTCACAGACTGTGAGTGTTTGATCTTCGAGCCTTACTCGCCAATGGGATTCCTCATCCATTGACAGGAAGTCAGTGTGTCTATCCTCTGTCGATGAGCTCAGCTTATAACTGACATTGTGCATCCCTTGACAGAATGTGAGTATTTGATCCTCGAACCTTCCTCATGAACGATATCGCCGATCCATCAATAGGAAGTATGTTTGTTCATCCCCCTTTGACCTTGGGCCATGCTTACCGAATATATTATTCATTGACAGTTTGTGAGTGTAATGATCCTCAGCAGAGGGTGACAATTTTCAACTTTCCATCGTCATTCACCAGCTTAGAAGGGATCGACGTGTAGAGATGGCGTCTAGGTTACTCTCTGTGGTATGTCCGATTGGTAACAGACTACACATAATCCGCATGTTGAAAATTTTGCCAGGCCTCTGGCTCATCGCCATTGGAGACAATTGTTCAGTTTAGCTCTGGTGAATTTTCAGGCGAAATTGCAATGAACCTGCTTATCATCGATCACTTAGCTGCTCTCATCATTTTCGAACACTCTTTCTATATTTTCGACAAGCGGCAGTATCTTCAGGACCAGCAGCAGTCTGTTCTCTGTGTTTTTGACGCTCTCGAGCAGTACATGGCGTCTCCACACGCTCCTGCTGTCAGAGAAGCTGTGAGCGCTGCCGTCCTCACATATGAAGAAGCTGAGAGCACTGCTGTTCTCACATATGAAGAAGCTGAGAGCACTGCTGTCCTCACATATGAAGAAGCTAAGCGCACTGCCTTCCATGCATATGAAGAAGCTGAGAGTGCTGCCTTCCACGCTTATGAAGAAGCTAAGAGCGCTGCCGTCCACGCATATGAAGAAGCTGTGAGCGCTGCCGTCCATCAATATCAAGGAAACCGGTCTACTTGGATGGCGAAGTTACCGTTCGAGCGCTTCCGGGGGAAGGAGAGGAGGGCAAAAGAATCTTTTGAACGCTCTCAGGCAAAGATGAAACAAGATTTTGAACGTTCTCAGGAGGAAGTGAAACAGGCTTTTGGGTGTTCTCGGGAGAAAGCGAAACAAGCTTTTGAAAGTTCTCAGGAGAAACTGAAGCAAGAGTTTGAACAACGTTCTCAGAAGGAAGTGAAACAACTTGTTCGTCGTTTATTTCATTCTCAGTGGCGCTCATACAAATGTGTGTCTATTTGCTTTAAGGCGAGGATGGAATTATTCCAAAGAATTCTTCAAATCATTTCACAGTATCGCCTGCGTATGTTTCAACTCTGAAGATTGTAGCGATTCCGCTGACCTCTTTGTAGCAAGACCTCAAGGCAAAGCAACATAGCGTCATTGTTGTTCCGGTCCAAAGTGGAGTTGAGGTGTCTCGGCGGTGAATGCAGGTTTCTTGAATGTGGTGTGTCGAGGTAGTTTCAGGAGGTGGAACTGTACGTAGTGTATAGCTATATAATCATGCAATCTGGCGTTTTTTCTGGTATGGGTTATACGTCTTTGGATGATATCGGTCACCCTCAGCCGAGACGGTGGCGAGACCGCGATTGGGCTTAATTATCTGATACCTCCCAAGTATCCGTGGTCCGATTGCAAGTGGATTACGGTCGTGTATGTGTACAATTCTCCTCACAACTTTTCTCGATGTGTCTTTGAGAAAAGAAAGAAAATTTCGTGTATTATGATTTCACAGTTACACTTTATGTAAACATATGGGACGTATGACAATGCTAGTCGCTCTAGCTAGTGGATGCTGTATAAGATCCCTCAGAAGACTTGGCTGTCAGCAGATAATAACCTTCGAACTGGATGGAGTTCAAGTAGCGGATGCACTTTGAAAATTTACAGCTTTCGTTTTTCGAGGGACAGCGTGCAGGTTACCCAGTCAAGAGTAAATATCCTTCGTGCGTCAACCGTTTGGCTACCGCCCTATGCATACCACAATCAGAGTCCTGTGTTGATCATAAACTCACTCTAGATGCATCATCTCAAAGGACCAAGGGATGATGTAAAGAAGACGATGGATTGCAGAATATCTGTATAAACTTGTGGCGCTGGGTGTCACCTATGCCATGGTTTCTGGTGGATACCAGCACGATGACCGCTACATGCGTGCCTTACAAATGTACGAGTGAGGTTATGATCATGAATAAGCCTGAAACACTTGCCTGTCCAATCCGTTTAACGACGAAGTCCCGTGTCTGTGAGGTTTGCAGCGACCAATAACAATATCAATGATGTTCATCGCTGAGTGTATGTCGATTCTTCGACTGACTCAAGGAATTACAGAGCTTCCGGTCAGCAGTGAGTGTATTGGTTTGTAGTCGATCGTGCTATACTGAAAAAATAGATATCCCTCGCTTAAAGTTTTGAAAGGGATGCGTTGATTATAATGCCTTCATAATAAGAACATGGAGGGGCGGAGGATGAAAAAGGTGCAAGCCGGGGAGACATAACTGTTGGCACCATCCAAAATAACACTCATCACGTTTTCTTTCCGGCTGTCCCACCCACCAGCGCATCGTGATGCAGCTGAATCAGGAGGTAAGTATGCCCCATTCAAAAAATGGCAGCTTTAGTTCTTTAAGACCCACTCAGCTGCCTTGCGAGTTGAACATGGAAGCAGGGGATCAAAAGATGCAAGCCATGGAGGGCGACGACGCGTTCGATGAAAATGAGAACGAAGACGCGAATCGTTGGGGTGAGGAATGACGGGCATTGGGTGGTTGGTTGGGATAGGGTTGTTGAACGTCGACCCGTTGAATCTTGAAACCCAGTGAAAATCGACCAGAAAGAGGTAGATATGTGTAGATAAGGATCGAAAAAAATATATGTAAATAGATGTTTTCGCTACGTTTCTATCTGTATATAAAAGTGGGACTTTTCGAGACGCAAAATGATAGAGATCGAGAATTAATTTTACTGCGTAGATAGGATTTTCGATGGCCTTAGATGAATTTTAGATGTAAATGTGCGCTGAATTTGGGTGGATGAATACAGATCTAATGCCATTGAATGAGTATCTAAGGGTATCGCTATGGTTAGGTGTAAAAAAGGTATCGCTGCGCCCGCGCTCGCCCGCCATCCCGCCCATCCCACTATCCCGCCATCCCGCCCATCCCGCCTCGTATCCATTACTCCTCGTCCGCGTCATCAACGGCGCCGCTCTCTTCAGTAGTTCCAGCTGATTTAACCTATAAAGGAAACCGTTGTTAGTATCATATTAGACTATATGAATACCACGCACCTGTAGAGCCAATTTGCGCTTGTATACCTATAAGAGTAGTTGTCAGTAGATAAATGATATCAATATTAAAACGACGTACCTCTTTGTCGGTGCTTGATAGGCCGTTCCAGTAGGTTGCAAATACGCTCGCTGGTTCTTTTTGATGGCCGTTCGATTGCCATTCGACGGCGCAAAGATTCCTAAAATAATGATAGTGTTAACCTTGCTTGCTATGATAATAATAAATAGAACTCACCGTGCTGTGATCTTGGAGCTCACGCGCATAGGCTTCGTGCTTGGTTGGCGCTTCTTGATCGTATTAGGGTGCGCTTTCATCTCGATTGTCGTGCTTGATTGGTTGATGAGTTCGGCCTTTACAGCTAGTGAAGCTGCGTCAGTGCACGAAGGTGTAGATGGCGGTGCAAGAATTGGGCTGGTTCCAGAAGTCGAAGCAGTCGGAGAGTTGATGGAAATGGAAGGGGATATCCGGTTGACTGGCTTGGGCCTAGGTTTCAATACAACATTAGACCTACATAGATAGATCAATCATATTAATATCAGACAGATCACGAGAACTCACAGCGGGTTTTTGATCTAGTGATTTTAATCAAGTCAAGTCAGCGTCTGGATTGAGTGTGTAAATTCAACTCACCTCAATAGTAGTCACTTCTTTATCTTTTCCTTTGTCGGCGCGTGGTGGTGGTGTTAATTCACGCTCGGGTGAGGGGTGTCGTGGTATATCAGGTATCTGTAGATAGGTCGATTAGCGAGCGTCAAGTACTGAACAAAAACTTACCGCTTCGTCGTTCTCGGTGATAGGTTCAATGACAGGCTGATCGGTTCGTGCGCATTTCTTTGGATGATCGGATTCGAGATCTTGATCAGAATTACCCCCGCGCTTCTGAACTGAGGGTAAGGCGTCTTCTGAGAGATCTGGACTACTCTCTCCATGCTCAGCCTTGATGCGCTTGCCGGTTCTTTTCTTCACGTGGTAGTTGAACCACTGCGAGTAATTGTCGGTCATGAGTTTCATGACTTTCCAGTTGTCAGCACATAAACGAAATTCGAAACAATGTTTCCGTAGCGTGTGAATCAGCCAGTGTAAGACTTGCAGGGATGCTTGGCCGATAGAATCTGGGGCGAGGCCTTGAGTGTCAAGTTGCCGGAAGCTCGATAGCATGAGGTTCCGGATTGTCTTGGCGCGTTGAGCAGAGACAGATACACCTTGCTCATCCTGTAGGTATGTGCATGCGACATTAACGCCTTGCGCCATGCGCCCAGATCCTCGAGATGAGCTTCCAGAACTTCCAGGCACAGCTGATGTCGTCTTTGGATTCTGGTCCTGCCATTCCTTCCTCGTCCATGATTTGACAGATGGATAGTCCTTCCGATCAAGTTCTTGATCAGATTCTGTGGGAACGATCCTGTCCACTAGGGAAGGTTTCTCATCGGCGATGGTGTTCGAGGTGTCGGAAGGGGGCGATGATGAAGATGTCGAGGACACGGAGCTTGCGGAACCTCGCATATTAATGATCATATTCCTGTAGCGATTTTTTGAGCGCATATATGCGCATATATTCAGTGGAATTTACTTACTGTAAAGTCTGGCAGGTCGTATTGAGACCAGCGTTCTCGTTGATAAGCCGAAGTCTATCGGCTTGTAGACTCATAACAGCATGCTGTAATTCGGTGAGCTGCTGTTTGAGTTGCGCAACATGACCGTTGTCGGTGTCATTGCACGCCAATGGATCTTGGCTGAGTAGAGAATCTAGATACATCAGAGAAGACTCACCATGTGTTTCATATCAGAATACGAACTTCAATTCATCAATGTAATTAATATGATGACTCACGCTAGGTTCTCGAGTTGCCATTGGGTTACACAAATAGTACGTGTCGCTGGGCCCAATATTCGGATCAAAGGGCTGTGGTAACGATCGTGAAGTGATTTGAGATGTCGAGGAGTTGAGGTATCCGGCGGATGAGATTGTGTTTTCGAAGGACATGATGGTATGAGTTTGAAGAAGTCGAGAAAGGAAACTCACCAAGTCCGCATATTACCAGGTATCATTATGCTACCAGAGTTGCGCGACCTCTAGTATTGTAATTGTAACTGATACAAAAGTGTGAATGTAATAATGCTCGTGTCCTCAGCGTGATGGGATCAGTCTGATGGGATCAGCTTCTTCTGATGGGATCAGCTTCTATTCCTCGTCAACTACATCCTCCTCAATACCACTTATTCTCAATATATCTAACCCTGGTCGTTCTATAAGGTAGAAAAGCGTGCCGTCAATACCCGGAAATTGGTGGGGGACCATTGCAACTACTGATTGAATAGTAGTAACCTCGACCAATCTCAATGAGGCATCTGCACGATGGGTACACGCATAGACCGTTTGAAAAGATTTCTCGAGGAGATCTGAGTGTGGTTGGCTGTATTCGGAAACCAGCGCGAGTGTCTTGCGCCGATCGTGAATGATCATATTGAAGTAGAAGTATACTTCGGCGATGCTCGTATGTCCGTCAATGAACAACTTTGAAATGAAAATCAATAAAAATCAATATTAAGTGTGCGATTGATCAAAAAAAAAACATTACCTTCACATTCCGCGACATTCTTGGCTGCCTTGACATCGCGTTTTCCTTCCAGGCCGATCATGCAACCTGTCCATTAGGAAGACGCAGTCGAGCCCATCTCGTGACAAGAGGAGCAGAATCGATGTGTATGCCATTGATGGCCAAGTAGTGAAGGATGGTGTCGGATTCACACGGACGAACTGCATGCGCTGCTCTCTCCCGTCGACGGAGTAAGACATAGCCCTGCCCGAGATCCAGTGATCCTTTGGGGGGAGTATTTGATGCGGGTTCGATCGTGGGAATGATGGCCTTGATAGCATTTATTTGACAGCGGCGGGCAGCGCGTTGAGAGAGGTTAGCGTAGACAGAGGAGTTGTGTAGTCTAATTTCCTGGGCAAGATTGCCGATCGTGCGTTCCATAGTCCATTGTGATGAGCAGATAGGTGGTCCCTTGTTGACCGTCTCACCAGCAATATGTGTGATCGAGTGGAGCCACGGTCGAACGAAATGAAGTCGATCGATCCGGCGCTGGTAGTAGAGCTCTTCAAATTCATCCGCGAAGTTAAGAAGGTGATGGTGGCCTTCAATGAGATCTGATCTAGATATATGGTATTGTTGCATTATACGTAGTCCCCGGGCAAGATGACAGAAATGCGACCAATAGGGCTCAGGAAGGATGCCGTAGAGTGTGGCCGGTGCCATCCCATACAGGTAGAGAAGCCATTCCCATGCCTTATACCCGCTGCTGATCTTCTCTGCAGGGTTACGAGGAGGTTGATCAAACGAACCCGGCAGAAAGGGTGTTGCATCTGCGATCAGAGATCCATGTGCCTTCCAAGTCGCCTTCGTCAGAACAGCCCAGGCCCACGCGGATTTATCATCCGTAATCTCGGCTCTAAAGGTTCCTCTCCAGAGGGGTAGAAGAAGATCGCCGGTATTGATGGCAGCGATGTGCATGATATCAGAGCCAAAGCACAGCGGCACCAGCAAAATACGGTCAGCATCGAAGCCGCAGAAGATACTTGGTTTCGTAATGCCTGTCTCAAGGCGTGCAAGCTCGTATTCGGCCATGTTGGAACAGCGGATCACACGCTCGAGGTTCCGTTCATAATCGAATGATCCGGGTGTTGGAGTATGCAAGTCGTTACGGCCCGAGTAGCCGTGACGCAGTATGATAACATTTACTTATGTTTCGTCTCACTTTGTTTTACCGTTTGACAGTATCTCGTTACCATCGCGCCAGACGTGCGATGTCTGGCGGACGATATGATGCGCAGCACGCCTTATCATTTTCCCGCTGTCCATTCCGTAGTATATATTCACGCTAGCTACTTACTACAGACCTCAGGCGTTGACACTCTGTGTGCGCGAGCTGAGGTCAGTATTCCCCTTAGTACTTTGTCCCATTCTCTTAGCTCATGCCTTACCTTAGAGTACTATCTGATTGCAGGTGAATATAGGCGTTGACACTCTGTGTGCGCGAGCTGAGAGTACTATCTGATTGCAGATAGCGCACATACAAGTATACTAATTGTAAAAGGTTATGAGCCCTGAGCTCTAATAAAGAAACCTACCGCCTCACGCTTCCCCGCACAACGATCCAAGCAACCTAGCCCGCTATGTCCTCAACAGTCCCCATCACCACAGACACCCTCCCCAGTAACGTGCCCAAGCTCGATGTCAAAGGCACGAACTGGGCAATCTTCTCGCTCCGGTTCCAGATTGCCGTCGAAGCGAAGGAGCTGTGGAAATGTTTCGACGGAACGACGTCACGTCCCGTGGGGGCATCTAGCACTGCCCAGGACGGAACGGTTACCGTCTCCCCCCCCGATGCTGTTGAATTAGCGAAATGGTTGAAAAGTGAGAACACCGCGAAGCACTTACTAGCCCAGAGAATCCCCGACTCCACAGTGCTGCGTGTGAGGACCTTGTCCAACGTGGCTGCCATGTGGGCAGAGATCGTGCGCGAATACACCGAGAAGGGTGCATACGCGCAGACCGACCTGCGAACGAAGTTCCTGGAGTCGAAGTGTGCCGCTGGTGGCGATATACGCCAGTTCCTCGATGATCTGCGCGCCAAACGAGACGAGTTAGCTGCCGTTGGCGTGATCATTGAAGAAAAAGATTACCGGTCCACCATCATTCAATCCCTCCCCAATCACCTTGCGAGCTTCGCGTCCAGCCAACTGGCGGCTGCTCGACTCTACAGCCCAACCCAGACCATAGACCCTGACATCCTGATCTCGTTGATCATCGAGGAGTCCGAGCGACGTAGTCGCAAGGACGTTCGTGGCGGCAACAGCCGCGGCACGACGAAGGGGAAGGATGGTGAGGAAGCCCTATCCGTGGCCCCAGGTGACTTCCCCAGTCGAGGACGAGGAAATGGGAGAGGAGGGAGACGAGGTGGCTTCAATGGGCGCGGCAGACAGCGCCCACCCTGCTGGAACTGCGGTTCCAGGGAGCACTTCAAGGCTGACTGTAAACAGCCAGACAAGTCAGCGGGCACAACGGCAGTCGTCGTGCGTGGATCTGCTCACGTTGTCGACGACTACGACTCCGAGGAGGACGGCGTGTTCGCCGTCGACTCCATGTCAGAGCTGGACTCTGACATCCCCGATCTCCTATCCCTATCCGACAGCGACGACGACGAAGAGCGCAGGACGTACGCTGGGGAGGACTCAGATTGGTTCTCTGAGGCAGGGGGAGACAATGAGGACATACCGTGCGCAGAGGATGCCATTGAGCTGGTTGCCCACGTCAGCGACGAACGCGCTGAGACGCCTGTCGTCGAGCTGTACGATTCAGGCTCGACGAGGCACATATCCCCATACAAAGATAAATTCGAGTCACTTACCCAAATCCCGCCCAAGTCCTTTGCCGCTGCGAACAAGCAACGTTTCGACGCCACTGGGATAGGTAATATGATCATCGAGGTGCCAAACGGGACGAGTGTGTCGAACTTACGACTCACCGAGGTGTTGTTTTCCCCCGAGGTAGGATACACGTTGGTGTCCATTGGCCGACTCGATGCACTCGGATTCTCCATCTCATTTGCAGATGGCACCTGCACGATACGCGACCCATCGCACGACGTAGTTGGCCGCGTACCAAGGTCTTCGAGAGGACTCTATCGTGTCGTCCACGACGACACCGACAGCGCGAACTCCACGGTCGAAACGATCACCGTCATGGAACTGCACCGCAGGATGGGGCATATTGCACCCTCTGCAGCTCGCCGTCTTGCAGAGAACGGCCTCGTGTCCGGAGTACGAGTCGACTTGTCAACAGGAGAGCCAGTCTTCTGCGAGTCCTGCGTGTATGCCAAGGCAACACGCAAGCCGATCGCCAGAGAAAGGGAGGGAGAACGCGCCAAGGACTTTGCAGGTGAGGTCCATACTGACCTCTGGGGCCCTGCACCTGTCGCGACGCTGGGTGGCCGTCGTTATTACATTAGCTTCACTGACGACAAAACCCGACTCACTTACCTTCACCTCCTGCGCCAGAAAAGCGAGGCATTCACGGCCTACAAGGACTTCGAGGCATGGTGCCTTACCCAGCACAATGCCCGCGTGAAGGTCCTGCACTCTGATAGAGGAGGGGAGTATCTGGGGAAAGAGTTCAGCGTCCACCTCAAGGCCGCTGGCACTGAGCAGAAACTTACAGTGCACGACACCCCACAGCATAACGGTGTTGCCGAGCGCCTCAATCGCACCTTGCTGGAGAAGGTGCGTGCCATGTTGCACGACAGCGGCCTGCCACAGTTCTTGTGGGGCGAGGCCGTTCGCCACGCGGTGTGGTTGAAAAACCGCACCCCCACTAAGGCGCTGGATGGAGGAACCCCCCTTGAGGCAGCCACAGGTAGGAAGCCTGACCTGCGGCGTGTACGTGCATGGGGATCACCAGTATGGGTGCGAGTGGAGGCTGGGAGCAAGCTGGGTGGTCGTGTCGAGGAAGGCCGCTGGATCGGCATCGACGATGCCAGCAAAAATGGGTGCCGTGTGTACTGGCCGTCCAAACGATCCGTCTCCGTCGAGAGGAACGTCTATTGGGATGCCACCTGCGCTGAGGCGTTAGCTCGCGAGGGGGAGGAAGAAGAGAACTCACCTGGCGCGATGGTAACGCCCTCAGCACTGACAAGTTCAGCAGGATCTGGTCAAGGGCAAGGCAATACTGCCTTTGTCCCAGACGCGGCCAAACCTACCAACAACCCGTCCCAAGTCCCATCATCCCCACTCAAATCCCCAGACAACCCCATCCATCCCACCGAGAACGATCCCCCATCTAGACGCATCCGCAAACCCAGTCAGCGCGTCATCGACATCGTCAATGCAAACGGTACCATACCTCGTGGTGTCCAACTGCCCTCCAGCCATGAAAGCGACTCGCCAGCGAATGTCGAGGAAGAGGAGGCCGTGGAGAGGCTCTTGTCGATCATCGACGACCCCGATGACGAACTCGCAGGCCTCGATCTTGCGATGGCGATAGGCGAGGCAACTGCAGAGTCTGAGGCGCTGGAGCCTAGCACTCTGGCAGATGCTAGACGTCGTCCTGACTGGGCACATTGGGAGGAGGGCATAAGGGAGGAGTTAGCTACTATCCAGGCGGCAGGAACTTGGGAGCTGGTGGACTTACCAGCCGGCGCTAACCTTGTTGGCTCCAAGTGGGTCTTCAGGGCGAAGAAGGACGCCGCTGGCAACATTGTGCGCCATAAGGCGCGACTCGTTGCCCAAGGCTTCTCCCAGGTCCCCGGCATCGATTTCTTCGACACTTACGCCCCGGTAGCCACCCTCGCATCCATCAGGACGGTCCTGGCCTTATCAGCGCGTCTAGACTATGAGCTGCATCAGATTGACATAAAGGGTGCGTATCTGAACGGAAAACTCACCCAGGACGAGGTCATCTACATGCGCCAGCCGCCGGGCTTCGAGTCAGTCGAATTCCCTCATAAGGTCTGTCGTCTTCGCAAGACGCTGTATGGGCTGAAACAGAGTGGGAGGAGGTGGTACCAGAGACTGGTGGAGATATTGGTGGACGGGCTGGGATTTACCCAATGTGCGGTGGACCAGGCGGTATTCTCCAAGCGACGGGAGGACGAGCACACAATAGTCGTGGTGCACGTTGACGACTGCACGATTGCAGCGAGGACGATGAAAGGAATAGTGGAGTTAAAGGACGAGATACGCAAACACGTGGAAATCACCGACCTCGGCGAACTCCATTGGCTCCTGGGAATAGAAGTCCTTCGGTCACGCGACAATCGGCTGATTTCATTATCCCAGCGTACTTACGTCGACTCGATCATCCGCCGGTTCAACTTCGACGGACTTAAGCCGGTTTCTAACCCCATGGAACCAAGCTCCAAACTCCACTCAGGTCAGTCTCCTTCCACTGGATCCGAGTTTGCAGCCATGCGCCACGTGCCTTACCGTGAGGCCATTGGCTCCCTCATGTACGCCTCGTTGGGTACACGCCCCGACATCTCGTACGCCGTCACCACTGTCTCCCGTTTTTCCAGCAATCCTGGCATGACCCACTGGGACGCCGTCAAGCGTATCTACCGCTACCTCATCGGCACGAAGGACCTGAGGTTGACGTATGGAGGAGTGGAAAAGACGCTGGTGGGCTATGCAGATGCAGATGGGAGTATGGCAGAAGGTCGGAAGGCGATATCTGGGTACGCATTCCTGATTGATGGTGGTGCCGTTTCGTGGTCGTCTAAACGCCAGGACATCGTTTCGCTCTCGACGACCGAGAGCGAGTACGTGGCCGCCACGCACGCTGCTAAGGAAGCCTTATGGCTGCGCTCCTTCATCGGCGAGCTCTACGCTCCCCTCACCGATCCCACCATCCTATTTTCAGACAACCAGTCCGCCATTGCCCTCACCAAAGACCATCAGTATCACGCTCGCACAAAGCACATCGATATTCGCTTCCACTTCATTAGGTGGGTCGTTGAGCACGACAAACTACGTCTAATCTACTGCCCTACTGCCGATATGGTCGCCGATACGCTGACGAAGGCGTTGCCCTCTCCCAAGGTCAAGCACTTTGCCGTAGAACTCGGGTTGCGTCCGACTTGAGGGGGAGTGTTGGAGTATGCAAGTCGTTACGGCCCGAGTAGCCGTGACGCAGTATGATAACATTTACTTATGTTTCGTCTCACTTTGTTTTACCGTTTGACAGTATCTCGTTACCATCGCGCCAGACGTGCGATGTCTGGCGGACGATATGATGCGCAGCACGCCTTATCATTTTCCCGCTGTCCATTCCGTAGTATATATTCACGCTAGCTACTTACTACAGACCTCAGGCGTTGACACTCTGTGTGCGCGAGCTGAGGTCAGTATTCCCCTTAGTACTTTGTCCCATTCTCTTAGCTCATGCCTTACCTTAGAGTACTATCTGATTGCAGGTGAATATAGGCGTTGACACTCTGTGTGCGCGAGCTGAGAGTACTATCTGATTGCAGATAGCGCACATACAAGTATACTAATTGTAAAACCGGGAAGGGGAAGCCGATCAACGAAGAAGTCGGGGTGATCGGGGTGATCGGTACCATGAGGTTGACGTAGGGGCGGATAATAAGTAGGTGCACCTGGTTTATGTCTCCCTGGGAGTCCGCAATAGAGACGACATGCGAATCTGCCGTGGTGACCAACAAGGCCAGTGAGGAACGCCATACCAGGACCATCTGCTGTTGCAACGAAGAGAAAAGGATTAGATTGAAATAGAATATTCTTTGCGCCGTCCCAGATTGGAAGCCCTTCAGTCTGGATTGCGCGAAGATGGTGTAGGCCGGGGAAAATGAATGAATCTAGATTCTTGGGTTTTTTTGGGCCGGGGATGATACCACCTGGGAGTACATACTTCTTCTTGTACCGGTCGTCTGGCGCATGATCGAAGATTACCCATATATATATCCAACAGTCGGATTGTTTGGATTCATAGAGCTGTGCTCCGTCGATCGAGAACATAAGAACTGCATCACCATCTTTAATTTTGCCAGATTGGCACGCGTCCAGATATTGCTTCCCATGGAGAACATCTTCATATACCTCCGGAATGCCGTCGGTTGTCTTCAATTCGTCGATGATCTTGTTGGTGTACTCCTGGCGCCATCGCATCTTCTCTGCCTGGTCTGGATGGCGCCATAGGGCCTGGAGCTGCGGTCCAACAGGAAATGTGTCATACGTCTTCCTAGCTACCTTCTTGTGAGGTGAGCTTTTTTTGGCATCCCATCGATCTTCTCCACATCGAGGGCAACGATCGAGCTCGGCGTACGGACCTGTGAATGCGAGACACGTGTTTGAACACATGTCATTAACGATCGGGACCACACCACTAAGCTCACAGACAGCCCGCTTAACCCGGTAATGACTGTATACATCATCTTCAGGGTGTCGTTCGATTGTGGCCTCGCGGATGAGATTGTAAGAAGCGATTGTTGTATTGGCAAAGTAGTATTTTAAGGACAGGATAAGATCGGGATCTGATGTATCGGGGAGTTCGCGGGGAGGGTTTCGTAGTCTATCTAGCGCATCTGGAGGTAGTTTAGAGTGTTCGTCGTCTAGGGATGCTTTGCGGAGAGCAGTAATGAATGACATCGAGTCCTGGGCATCTTCGAGGCGTGCCATCTGCTGTAGCTCGTCCAGGTCCTCGTCCGTCCAGCCCATGGTTCCAAAGTCATTGTCCGCAACCTCGGGAACAACGTCATGTGGGGGGATTTCTTGATCGAAGTTCTCGGGTATAACGTCCGCGACACGAACTTCCTCTTCCTCCACCCTGTCCTCGGGTCCCATTTCACCAAACTCGGTGTCCTCGACACGAGCTTCCTCTTCCTCCTCCCTGTCCTTGGGTCCCGTATCACCAAACTCGGTGTCCTCGACACAAGCTTCCTCTTCCTCCACTCGAGCTTCCTCTTCCTCCACCCTGTCCTCGGGTCCAGTATCACCAAAATCGGTGTCCTCAATGTGATCGAAAGCTCCATCGAGTGCGTCAGGACCTGGAATAGTTGGTTCTTCTTATTCATATGAGCATATTGATAATGATCACAGGTTTATTAACGCACCGTCTTCTGCATCAATGGCAGTAATCCGATCATCCTTATGCTTCGATATGGGTGGCTGTTCAGGGTGATCAGAAGCATCCAGAGGACGCTTGCTAGATGATGGCGCCGGTATAGGAGCTGGAGTTTGTGCAGGAAGTGGTGGGGGGAAAAGTCTAGCGACTCTGTTGGGTTTGTGCCGGAAGTAAGTAGTTCGGGGTACGTGCTTGGGCTTGCCTTTGTTCTTCCTAAGGCAGGCATCACAATCGCATATGTGAATATCAGTACCGTTTACCAGTCGATGTATGCCAGCCTCGAGGCTCTCGGAGGTTATAGAATTCATGTAGCTGTGTGATCGCGATCAAGGAAGCGTATATGCGCAATCGCATAATCTAGGCGTAGCTTTGCAATTTGCAAAGTGTCGTTTGCATCATTTGCAGCAAATACAATGCAATTTTCAAATCTTTGCACGCAAATTTGGACTTTGCATTTATTTTCACATTTTGCATTTTTTTAGTTTCGAATTTCTTAGATTTCTATCTATCTCTATTTGTACTTAGACGTCTATTGTTACCTATCTACCTCTTTCTGGTCGATTTTCACTGGGCTTGAAAGCTTGATGGTCAATTGAACTCGTATTCATGATGGGACTCCAATGTACTATGCAATGCCGCTGGTAGTGCAAAGTCAAGAGCTGTTTGTGTCTATTTGCACCACTAGTAGTAGTACTCCAACATTTTAAGTACTTGCGGTGCTTGCAACGACATGCAAAACCTTTCACGAGCCCATATGTAATCGATTTGCTTTGGGCTGACAACATCCTCAAAATAAACACTTTCTATCCCCTACTACGCTCCCCCGGTGCAACCCATCTGTCATTTATCTGAGACAGTGTCCGTTCGTGTAAGCGGCTTGTAATTTTGTGTTCCCCACCCTTCGACAGGGCAGCATGCAAGCAGATATCAAACTTACCCTCCTCAGTGGAAATTAGCGAGCCTGAGGCCTCTCAATCACTGACAGGAATCACCGGCACAGGATATTCTCTGCATCATTCAGCCAGTCAAGACACAATGAACATCGTGTGCGCGGGCGGCGAGATGGACGTTGCTGTGCTGATCGTATAGTACTGTGCCACTGCGTGAGGTCTACGTAGACTAGACGCAGACTTGGTGACTGTCCAAAGTCTTGCCTGGGCAGTTTGTTCGGAAAGCGCCGGGAAGCATGAAAGCTCTCTCAAAGCTGCTTTACGTCATATCTTTACTATCATGCTCAGCGTTGTCAGCCTCTCCAGTCATCTAGCCCTCACCCGCAACCTCCTGCAAGACAAAACGCGGCAGAGGTTCATCGATGCATCCTTCTATATAGTTCTCACTGTCAGCGGTCCTGGATAAACCGAACTGGGAGGCTGAACTGCTGGTGGCCGATGCTCGCGGGATGTCGAAGGGAGATATTTGGCCAATCCGAAGGCAATTGCACGCTTTCGTGGATCAAGAAGTGGGGTGGTTGTGACAGAAGATGACGAGGCTGTTTTATCAGAAGGTAGGCATTCGCATCATTGATTGTAAGGAATTGTCCTGACGTATATAGCGCCAACAAGGGAGAGGCATCAACGAGGGACTCGGGCTGAGATTGATCTGAGATTGACCTGGTATGTGAGAATAGCAGAAGGAGCCTTGTCTATAGCTTGATGTTTCACGGTCAAAGGGTTTATGAAGCTTCACTTTCGAAGGTTTAGAGTCATTTCGCATCAAGGTATGTGTCCAATTTTACACTGTTAAGCTTCAACACTACAGGTTCAAGTGGGCAGTGGTAGAGCCAGGTAGACGCTAAAACAATTCCACCTGTGCCAGGATCACCGATTATGGAGACATCTGTAATGTATCACTATGACATTATGGACACAGCAAGCAAGAAGCAGGCTCACCTTTTCCTCTTATGTGCAGCTGTAGGACCCGTCTACGCCTACACCTCCATTGACGACGGTACAGCAAGTCACACAGTCGCAAGCCTTGATGAACTCGATAGTGTTGTCTTCCAAACAGTAAAACAAAAACGAATCGCCTTCGTTAAAACCCGCGAGCTGTCCGCACCCATACATATCTGCAAGCACCCGTAAGTACAGTCTGACATCCAAACACGGTATGCTGAAGGTGATTACCACTTTGGGCGCATGGCATACCGTCGGGGGTTATTGCTGTAACTATGCCCGCCAGTACTGCAGCAGACATAATCATAGTGGTGAATGAGGTAAAATTCATTGTTACTCTTCAGGATGGGGCTGGACAGCTGGATGGTTGAACTGAAAGTTATCACTTCGCTTTTATACACAGACGGTATAGGGTGTCAGCCCAGAAATATGCATTTGCTGTGCGTTCCTAACGCTCCGTGGCAACACGATATCTCTTGACGCTGCATGAGAATTCGCTGGTGTCAAGCTCGCGTCGACATTTCACAGAGACAATTAGGTTTCCCGACGATCTACAGATAAGTAAGTTCTATTGTCAAGACAATATCTCTTCTCAAACGAAAGAAAGCTTATGACGAGTTGAATGTCCAACATAGGGACGCGAAACAAGGCAGCTACCAAATTTTTCACAGTCAATTTATTTGTGCTCTGAACAGGGATATAGGCAAATGACTTGGACAGCGGGCAAGAACTGTAACAGAACTTGCTCATTAAGAGATCGTCAAAAAACGGTATATTCATAAGTACAGACAAATCATTACGAGCTGAATCTAACTCTACTTACCCCTGCCAGCACACGGATTATGCCTATGGACACTAAATTGTGCGTGTCGCTATGGTGCAGTCGGACGTTCAAGTAGATGAATGCTAACCACTCGTGACACTACTGTATAAAACCGCACGAGAGTGCGCGAGTAGGAAGGGGTGCGTAGACCGCTAGAGGATGTGGGGTGAGTATAGTCAGCTGGTGGAGAACGAGTGAACAAAATAGAGATGTTAGTTGTAGAGTATGGAAGATAGCGAGTGCGGGAATAAATGACGATGCTGAATATTATTGCGCTGGTGTGTAGGAACTGTACATGGGCTACTTATACTGCAAAATGGTAAGGGTCCTCGGGTACGATTGAGCCGAACGAATATGTGGCGACGGAGGCTGAAGGGAGTGGCGTCGCGCCTGACAGGGTAGAATAGTGAATATTAAGAAAAGGTGATAAAACTGAGTGAGTGGTGGTGTGAATGGTATCGTATAACGAGATGAGGAGGGACGCATAAGTTTATTGACGGAATTCAAACGAGTAGATGGAATGGGGTGATGGTGACGAGAAATCGGATCCGAGAATCGAGTGGGTCGTTAACGACACGGAATCGACGGTGAAGGGTTGACGGGGCTCATGCTGGTCGACGTTGGCAGTGAGCTGAGGTGGCGGTTGAGGTGAGTGGTGGATCGGCCGTTTCCGGCGGTAGAAGATTGGTAATCCTTACAACTGCCTGCGCAACGACACACACAAAGCCTTCCACTGGCACGAACCCGCCATGGATTTGCTGTGGCGGCTGAAAAAGGTCAATTATAACCAATGTTGCCAGGCTAGTCAGTGGGCGGCGCATCATTTAAATATAACAACAGGTCATGTCTTGCAAGCCCCTAGGCAATACTTATTTGCCACTTTGTTGACCTCGAGCGCTAATTAGAGCATTAGGCACCACGCAAATGCCACCTGAATGGAATTCAGCTTGGAGCCACAGCCTGGGACTCGGAGCTCCTAGGCCTTTGTCCTTGAACCTGACCAAGGAAACTTTCCGGCGGCGTTGTTGAGGCGACATCATCATGGACCTCGTATGGTTATCTCGTCAAATCTTCCAGCTGCCTATTGCATGTCCGGCCTCTTGCACTAGTGTTTCTTTGTTCCACTGGTATCGTTATGTACTCGCTCAGTGCATTTTCTCTGCAGGTTATCTTGAGTGTGGGTCTATAATATCCAGCGCACTAGTAAGTGGTGCATAGCATTGTCTAGCATCGGTAGTATAATACCAATAATTCGAAAGTGTCCGTCTCACTGCCTCTGCACTTCCTCACGGGTGCACACTGTGGTCGCGCACCACTGAGTATACCTTTATCAAAACCATATACAGCGCCTGCAAACTGCCCCCATGCCACAACAGAGCTCGGATGCAACTGCGAAATCACAGCCAATGAATGAGCGAGACGCATCGCCAAGATCATCCGAATTGATCTCAACGAACCTACATGATAACTGTAATCAAATGCAAAATTGATCAGCGGCCACCAACGAGAATCATTTGAGATTCAGCTCATATTTTCCCGTGGTAGTGAGAAACTGTGAATACGAGTACAATAGCCTGTTGTACATACGTGTGTTTTGTCAACAATGAAAATTGCTGAGATCTATAAGGTGCATACAAACAGCTACAATATCTCGAGTGTCCTAACGTCCATCATGTCGTGAACAGAAGAAATGTCTTTGACTTGTGCAATGATATCATGGTCTGATGCGATTCTCTTGTATTCTCCATCGCGCTGCCGCGCTAGCAAAAATGCGCTGAAAGGCTGCCCAAGGCGAACGACCAAGCGCAACGCTCGCGAATCAAATTCCGAATCAACCAGCCCTTGCTCAATGGGAGATGTACTGGGTGAATCTTGTGACGGAGACCCAGGCGGAGTCCAATCCTCCACGCTCTGCATATCGTCCGCAAATTCGGGAAGCTCCAGGAGACAACGGTCCCAGGGACGGACGAGCAATGATGTCTGCCAAGCAGGAGGCCTTGCCGAGAACAGCATCAACTTGTCTTCTGTGGTGATCAGCAAATCATGGACCCCGTCTGCCTGGACATTATACGCGAAATATGTCTCCTGGTCGTCGTCGCGCCTCCGCTTGACTGTGGTGACAAGGAATGTGATGCAAGGCAGATGCAAACGGCGGTTCGCGAAACGAGGCGCACTGAGGCAATCCAGTTTCTGGTACAATCTTGAAGCCAACTCTACGACATTGACTTCTCGCAGCGACGAGACCAACCTCTGCACCTCATCTTCGGGAATAGATGGCAGTGAGCGTGGGGAAGTTTCGTACAGAGTTATGTCAGCTGGCAAGCAGCTGTTGAACTCGGATGATTTGCCGACCCAGTCCAGGGCACTGATGTCACCTGACTGAGCCACGACTTCTTGCAAGAGCCGCCCAAGCGCGTTGTGCTTCTTCTCGCCATAGATAACAGGCAAATTGACACCAAATATGCCAAACAACGAGTAAGCGACATCCTCCTGCCATGTAGTGACACGCTTTGAGGCCCATTGGAGTTTCTCTCGGGCGCCCCTCATTCCCGGACGAAAGGCAACGAGTGCCCTTGCATCTATGCCCGTTGCGTATCCCATTTCCTGCATGATCGGAACGGAATTCTTGTGGTTGGGAGAACGATTCCCGAGGTATAGAGTCCAATCCTTTTGATAGAAGAGGACAATTTTGGGGGCTAGGAACTCTTGAAATGTCCATCCTCGCGTGTTCCAAGCGCTCCTTGCTAGTGCGCCTGGTTTTGACGAAGGTGGAACGTCCGACAGGTAGACGATGGTAAGTGCTGAGTGGCGATACCAGATAAACATAGAATTGACCGATTGCTGTAGCTCGACATTGTTTTTCTGGTCGATACAACACGTATCAATCCATGCCCAGCGATACCCCATATCACGGGCAGTTTTGCAAAATGATTGCAACTTGGCAATGCCGCCAACGGAATTCAAGTCGTACACAACCTTGTCCTGGATGTCGCCCAGCAGCGGTTCCCTCCCTTCCCACCTATGTGATAGCATGACATAACGGAAGTATGTCGCCACCACGTCTTTGATGCGTTCGGTTTGAAGGTCTACATGAGTCAATGTTGACGATAAAAGCTCCTTGTACTCCGTGCTCGTTTTGAATGCATCAGTCTGCGCCCCTCGATCGTATAAGCGCCCGGTGAAGGTGTCGAATAAACGATAGGGGGCGTTGTCGAGTTGAGCATGGATGATCTGTTGGACAGCGCCCTCAGCTTCGGATAGTGAGACATACTGCCGGCGCAGCTCTAGAGAAAGATTCAAGCTTAAGTCATGTGTTAGTTTGGGCCTTACCTCGTACTTGTGTGTCAGGGACACTATCCAGCTTGGAAAGCATGACCTGGAAGGCCTCGATTGCTTCATCATAACGTTGCGCGCCGTGAAGCGCCGCATGCTTCAACTGGTATCCAAGATAAGAGCGAGAGTCGAGTGCGATGACCTACGTATCATCAATGTGAGCACTGGGTGCGAGTTATTTGATAACATCGCACCTTTTGAGCATCGGTAAGTGCAGCTTCCCATAGCATTTTGTTTGACCACGCCCTACTGCGGGTTTCAAAGACGGTAGCAGTTGCAACATCCAGGTCGATTGCTGCTGAGTATAGCTCGATAGCTCTGTCGTGATCGCTCGCAGCCAATGCAGCATCTCCCTTTGAAGCAATGGCAGCAACTCCTTCTGCAGTATAGAGCATGCTGTACTCTTGCTTGAAAGCTAGTGAAACGCAGGTTAGGAGAATTGTATCCTGGTGACATCGGTGACAACTTGCCAGTAGACCAATCAAAGAACCCAGCCGTCGTAGTTCCATCACTCATATCCATCATGTATCGGTACGATTGGCGGGCTTCTCTAGCTCTACCTGCACGGAGGAGTGCATAGCACCGATTCTGGTTGGCGGTTTCCCACAATGACTCTAGATGCCACCCGAAGAGCTGGAGAATGCACTATTGGGCACGAATAGCATGTTCGGTTGCATCATATCGACGTACCACGGCAAAGTCTTGACATTGAGAATGAGGGTCCCATTTAGATGAGCAAGCGATGATTTTTACAGCGGCGGTGAAATGGGTAGCGGCTTCGGTGTGACACGCGCAATCTAATGCATTTAGTCCCAGCTGAACACGCATATACGCCTAATGAGCAAAGCGAGGATCAGTGTCAACGCATGGATATGGACATGACGGAGTCGAGAGGACTCACTTCCACGTTACGACAGGCAAGAGTATTAGCATTCGGAAAAGTTGAGGCCAGCTGTCGGACGCGCATGATTGCCTCGTCATGTTGATTTGCATTGAAAAGGGTGATAGCCTGAGAGACATCATGAAGCAGGGAGTATGTGAAGCAGAAATCGAGGCACCTTAATCAAGAGCAGAAGATGAGTGACATTCGGATCTCTGTCCACGAACATTAAAGCGAGATCAAATGCTTTCATCGCGCCGCTGAATTGTTTTGTTCCGCAGAGGGAGATACCCTTGGAGATACAGCCTGTCAACGAGGGCTGAATGCTCATGCTCTATGCCACCATGTGAGTTAGCCTATCATAGCGAGGTCAAAATGTGACTGTGTATGTCACCTTAAGTGCGTCTTGAAGTGCGCGGTCCCAGTCGGATTTTCGCGCCATCACAAACGAGCGATTCGCATAAGAGTTGTAGCTATTTCCATCAGCGTTGATCTCTTCTGTTAAGAGCCTGTCAGCGGTAGGCAAGTCCCCGTTTATGCATGCATCGCGGACTGTGGTGTTCATCGCGATGATCTACATCACGCATGGTCAGAATGTGTTATTGAGGAAGGATAGAAACATACCTGATAAGCAGGCTCTTGAGACTTGGCATGAAAATTGTTAATGTGCACAAAGAACGAGTGGGCAATGGACGGGGTTAACTCACATTGGTTGTCACCTGTTCCCTCAAAGCGTCCTCCGGCAACGTGTCCTTGGATGAAATGTGATAAGGAGGGGACAGAAAATGAATAGGCACTTACCTGCGAAGCCTGTTCCTCGAAGGTGTCCTCCAGCAAAGCGTCCTTGGGTAATTCCCACTTTGTGACTGTCCCTTCTATACCTCCACTGAGGATGTACTTCCCATCCGTGGAGAACGTGACAGAGTACACACTGTGGAAGTGCTTGAACATTGCGATGGTTCGTCGATCCGAAAGCCGCCAGAGGCGGACATGGTGGTCGCTGGATGCGGAGGCAACAAGGGTGCCTGTAGGGTTCACGGCAATGGCATTGACGCCATCAGTATGGCCCTTCCATGGTTGATCAACCTGCCCCCAGGTCAATGTGTCCCACTCCCGTATGGTGAGATTGCACCAATTAGTCGCTGAGAGAAGCCGTGTGCCATCAGGCGTCCATGCGAGTGAAAATATATGATTGAGTGGCTCAACCGAGTTAAAGGATGCGGTGCATTCCTTTGTGCTTGGATTCCATATTTGAATAATTTGTTCTGTAGCGATGGCAAGTTGTTCACCAGACGGGGAATACCGAACGCAGCTGACTGGCCCACGACAATTGATTGGATTTTCTTGCACCTGCCATGTTATTGTGTTCCAGAGCTCCGTTGTGGTATCCACTGAGCCACTCGCAAGCATTGCGCCATCTGGAGAAAAGTTGAGGGATGTGATCATTCCGGAGTGGACTCCGATGGGTTGGGCGAGAGATTCGCCGTCTCTGTTCCAGACCATGAGCTCTCCACTTACATCACCAGTTGCTATCAATTGCCCGTCTCTCGATACCGCAACTACTGGTACCGAGTCGCGATGCCCCTCCATACCCTTCAACACAACACCAGTTTCTAAGTTCCACAGACGAGGCAATGTGTCCTCAGACGAGCACGTCACCATTCGGCGTCCATCGTTGAAGACTATGACTGCCGAGACTTTGCCTTCATCATTGGCACGAAATTGAAATATCTGACTGTGCTTGGTGACTCGAAGGATAGGCTCTGCTTCCGCCATTCTGCTAGAGGTGGGAGATGGTCTTGAATGCAACCGTGGACTTGCTCAGCCTTTTTGTTCTGTTTCACAGCCTCAACCTTTAGACGCCCAAGACACGAGGCTGTTCCTGGCTGTACGCCCCGCAAACCTATGTTCGCCGCAAAATTTAAAGCTGTAGCCAGCTGATTGTGCGTTTCGCTGCCGCAAGCACTTCCAGTCCATCTTTCGTTGAATAAAAATGCAATCAATAAGTCACAGCTCATCCATGAGTACTGGTTTGCTCAAATATTGGCCGACAACAACCTTGGATCAGTCCGGAACCGCAGTAATGGACTCAGTCTAAGGTATGCCGTACATACGTGTTAATCACATTTACGGCCCCATCCACTTTAGTTCCCTAATCTCCCCCGGCCCAATTTGGGGACAAGATCTGGCTAAACAGCTGGTTAATATTTGCCCGGTTGATTTTATCACGAACACTATATCCGATGGGCTGGGCGCTAAAAGTACAAGTGATGGCCTATACATTGACTGCCATGGTGATCCTCATTGTATGTACTATGCATATGATTCATCTGAATAAAAACCCCATGTACGACACCGGATGACTCGCTATTTTCCCTTCACAGATTCAAGTTGGCTTTCTCGGCGTTGATGCGTCTCCTCATTGTGTTTGCGGCTCTGCTCGCAGCGGTCGGCGTCAGCGCTCGTAGGATGACCAAGTATGAGATTAGTGAACGCCAACTCGAGGCAGCAAAGCGTTGGCAGACTAGCAGTCCTCAAAACCTAAAGCGAAATGGTGTTCAGAATATCACATTCACGAACCCAAAGGCCTCAGGTGAATGAAGTGCCACAAGTAGACATCTAATACGCCTGATCTACTACGTTCGTCAGAATTTTACGTCGATGGCAGATCACTCCCTCTGGTTGACTTCGACGTTGGTCCTAGCTGGGCAGGTCTTCTACCCATCAGCAACAGTCCTAACGAGACGCGTCAGGTGTGTATATGAGCGGTTTATGCATGGCCTCTGCTGACATCGGGACCGACAGCTCTATTTCTGGTTTTTCCCTCCCGGTCCCGAAGGAAGTCTTGATGATTTAATTTTTTGGTATGTCATCAGAAGCGGTGTAGTGTTCGCCACTGACCCGACATGTTCTACCTGAAGGACAAACGGCGGCCCGGGCTGTTCCTCCCTCGAAGGTTTGCTGCAAGAGAATGGAGTAAGCCTCTTTCTTGACGGAAAGACTCGTATAACTGAGAAGCTTAAAGCCTTTCAGCTGGTCCTTGGGTCAAGCCAAACCAACGGTGAATGAACACAGCTGGACTAACCTCTCTTCCGTCCTTTGGGTGGAGCAACCTGTTGGCACAGGGTTTTCTCGAGGCATTCCAAATGCACAGAATGAGGACGATGTTGCTGCTCAACTTGTCGGTTTCATGCAGCAATTCCTCGAGGTCTTTTCGGAACTAAAAGGCAAGAAGCTGTATTTAACGGGTGAAAGTGTAAGTTTGTCTCCCTCGGAGAGTCTGTTCAAAAATTGCGCTCACTGTATCCAGTACGCTGGAACATACATCCCTTGTCAGTTGATCAGCACTTTTCTTTGGTCATATCTGAAAGACCAACAAAGATATCGCGAACTATATCTACGAGAACCCCACTCTATTAGACCTCGCGTTGCAAGGGATATGGATGAATGATCGTGAGCAACATTTTAACTTGCTTTGCTCTCGAGGACTTACACATAGATATCAGCTTTAATCTCGTGGTGGGTGGTACAAGAGGAGATTCCTGCAGTGGACTTCGTGAACAAATATGCTGGTCTCTTCTCTTTCAAGTCTGTTCATTTCACTCGAACCTAGTTTGCAGGTTACTCACTGATAGGATCCAGTCAAACGTTCACAAAACACCTCGAGAAGAAGGCCGCGAAGTGCAATTACACTGGCTACATGGATAAGTACGTGACATACCCTCCAGCCGGCCTTCTTCCTCTGCCAGGGGACTCGGTTGAGGCGGCCGAGGGCTGTGATGTCTGGGACGACATTTTCAATGCCGCACTGATTATCAACCCCGCCTTTAATGTCTATCGCATCTGGGATACTGTGAGTCGAACAGAATTTGACCAGTACTTCGCTCATTTCTTCTCCGCCCAAGTATCCGATTCTATGGGATGTCCTAGGATTACCGTTCGCCATTCAATTATTGACTCGATGCAACTCAGCTGACGCATATCCAGAGGTTCATTCCCATCGACGCAGTCTCCCATATACTTTAACCGAACAGATGTGAAGATCGCCATTCACGCGCCCGTCGACACTGATTGGGTGGTGTGCCCCAATATCAATGTCTTCCCGAACGGAGACAGCAGCTTGCCCCCTGCCTTCACCGTATTACCGAAGGTTATCGAGAAGAATCAGCGGACTGTCATCGTGCACGGTCTTGCGGACTTCATTCTCATTGCTGACGGGTATGATTTCGTTCGCAAGCCTTGCACTTCGTATATTCTGATGCGCGGCTCGATGACTTTATAGAACAAGAATTGCCATTCAAAAGTAAGTGCGTTCTTGGCTGTGATATCTATTCCCTCAATTGATAGGAATGATTTGTAGCATGACCTGTGCGTGACTAGTAATGTTTGATGTACGCCACTAGTCACTCATTATATTCTAAGGGGATGGTTTGCAAGGATTCCAGAAGCCTATCGCCAAAGACAGCTTTATTGTCGATGGTGTGGGTGCTTATGGGACGATGCACTCAGAGAGAAAACTCACCTATTACGAAGTAGCCTTGAGTGGACACATGTGAGTCCTTCGCAATATACAATGTCTCGTTTCTAATGTCTTCTGTAGGGTTCCGCAATTTGCGCCAGTAGTAAGTCGACAATGTTGTCATGCAGATGCGCCCTAACGCAGAGACCGATGATTTCAGGCCGCCTTCCAGATAATGCAGTACTTGATGGGCTTTAGGGACATGCCCTAGATAGATACTTTCCCCCTACATACCGTAGTGGCATCTCGCGGACGTAGTTGAGCTTGGACGAGCGCCGCCATCTTGCCGGCCCTGAATCAAAATCATGCGTGGGAGCCCCTGTCACGAGAGCTCACTCTTGTACCACCTCAGTGTTTTGCACATCCCAATTGTATAGTTTTTTTTGAAAGTTTCTCTGTTGAAGAATGCCTGCCGTCAGGACACAACTGCGCTCAACGAACGGCGCCATCGACACACATAAGACGATAATCTCAAGGGCTTCCATAGTTGGAGAGGAAATGCAGGACCTGGCAGATTGTAAGCGCGGGTGTCATTCGATACCATCACCCATGTCACACAACTCTCATGAAACTGTCTTCACAGGCAAGATGCATTATCCCTTGAGTGAAAAGGAACGTAACACCTTCAAGACGCGTGACGGCAAGGCAAGCAACATGCATTGAGACTACGCAAGACTATTTTTGAGTCCATCATGGTTTTCCCAGCGCGTCACTCCGCATCAGTGGGCAGTATACGACTTCACCAGAACAATTCCTTGTGGTCGTGTCACGACATACAAGGACATCTCCGTCGCTCTCGGGCAAGGCTCGCCGCGATCAGGTGCGCGTCTCCAACACAATCCCTTTGTCTGCTCTCATCACCTCATTTCCCAGTTGGTTCTGCGCTTCGAAACAACCCATTTGCCCCGTTTGTGCCCTGCCACCGCATCATTGCATCAACTCTGTACATTGGTGGATTCTTTGGTGAGTGGGGCACAGGCGCAAACGCTAGAGGCGGACAGAAGAATACTGGGGTGCAGTGCAATAGAAAGATGGAGATGCTTGAAAAGGAGGGGGTTACGTTCTCTCTGGAAGGCTATCTTGCGGACGAATCTCTACTTTGGAGAGACTGAACTAACTTCCTTGGCTGTTCTGTATGATCACATCAGGGCTATTGTTGTGTATCACTGAAGTACTCCCTTGCATTAAAGTGCCTGCTCGCAACTTTGTAGCACCTAGTCGTGGTCACGCTGGCATGCATCAGTGCTACACTATAGGCTATCCAACCTGTGGCACGTCGTTCATTAAACTCTTCCGCAAAACTGGCACGCATCTAAGTATCATACTTCAACAACAACACGACGAGCAAAACAGTCTACAACAGTCTACTTGCCTGATGGCAAGTTGCACACTCAAAAATGTCTCTCTGACGGAGAATCGAACTCCGCTTTCCCGCGTAGCTGCTTTATGACAGGCGGGTGTACTGACCGATATACTATCAGAGATGAAAATTTGCGGACGCTATTGTACATAAATAGCTCGACGTATTTGTGTCTGTTTACCAGCACCTTCAATTTCTAGCAAGGACAAACAACTTGACGATGAGCATGGATGTTCTCCTAGATGCCGCGTTTGCTACGGGGCTTTGCTATTTTCTAGTCCCAGCGGGATGGCAGCCAGTCATCATAACGGTGCTCGTACTCCTGTTCACTAGCCATATCACTGTGCTGCCTCTCCTGGCAGTTCCAAGCGTTTTGCCCAGACATATGGCATCAACACTTGAGAGTGCCATAGAGCTCTCGATCTTGGAGTACATCGCATGGTTGATCAGCTGCTCAGTTATCATGTATTCAACTCACTCATTTTGGGAGAAACTCCTCATGGTCATCCCCTTACTCGGATTTTGTGGGTTCATCGCCTTGCAATGGGCAAGTTCCCCCATTCATCGGTCACGGACCGAGATGGATGTGCCGGCGCGAGACGTATTTGTTTCAGTTGGTGACTACCGCCCAGACTTGCTGCCTTTGGAGCATCCATTATGTAGACTCGTCGTGAACACCGAGGCTGAGCTCGCAAAAGCCTATTCTCTCCTTCGCTCTTTTGCTGCTGCCTCTGTGGATATACGTGGGCCCCTCGATATTACCTGGGCTGTCCAAAAATACTCCCGCTACATCGGCAATCGCCAGTCACAAATCGTCCGTTTCGTGTCTCCTCGACGATTCAATCCGGACAGTCCCATGTTCCCCCCTCCTCTTGGTCCACGTTATGCAATGCTTCACAGTGAAGCCGACTCCCTGGAATTACCATGGCTATCGAAGTTTATTCCTAGTTCAATATGGATTGATAGACGATTGGCAAGCATGTGGGAAGATGAAAGACGAACTGAGCCTCCTCCACCTCCAGGATATAACGGGTATGTCGTCCTTTTTGATCGCAGCTGTGCGATACATTTATTGTTGATTCTCAGTCAATGTGATCTCTTCCTCAAAGCCACCATTTGTCATGAGATGTTGAAGGCAATTCTCATTGACGTCGAGAAGACTGGGCAGCTTCCAGATGAAGATTAAGCTTGTACGAATATCGTGGAGGAATATAAACAGTGACGCACAGTCCGCCACTACCGATATCGCGTTTGTGTCTCGCCGTGTCCATCGAATATCCCATCAGCTATATGATTTGCGATAGCGATCAGATGTAGATATAGGGAGCCCGGTAAGATACAGAACTCTGTGTACTTCTATATGTTTCCCTTGCTTGCCATATGCAATCCTCCGACAGCAGTTGTTCTACTGGGAGCTCTGCTATAATAATATTCCACACTAAAGTCATGTCATCGTGCGTGACAGGGTTTTCCGGGAAAGTGGCAGACTTGCTACCATCGAATCTAATTTTCAAGGAGCCTGAGGCGAGATGACCTTTCACAATAGGCGGATGGTTGAAGTAATGTGGAAAGCACGCACTGTAGGGATGGGGATGGATGTGAGATGGGGTGGTCTGGAGTTGTATGGATCATGCTTGACTAGGTGCTTTGTTTGACTTCTGGATCAATAGACCAAACAGAAAGGGGCGATCATATCGAGCGAGAGAGGTGTTGGCGGGGCGGCGGATGGGAGAGGCTGAAAGCCACTTTGATTCATATTGGGCATCACGATCAGATCAGATACAAGCTCTGCGATTGCGTGCCCATTGCAGATACACCCTGAGACTCGTGGCTCAGCGCTCAGGAATTATAGTACCTGATGCTCGGTAATTTTCACCGACGACGGAGTCCCGGCGGTGCATGCGTCCATCGACGTTGATCTCGATCGGAAAGGCCGTCTTCACATATCCTTTCGAATATCAAATCAATGTTGGGTTAGCCAATCGCACTGAAACTGTTCAGAAATTTGGTGCAGACGTGTTTAATTATGCCGTCCGAGGGGGGGCCGTTCCCAACGGTGCGATTTAGTTTGGTGTTGAGTACTAGTTCCCGGCAAGGCACTAAAATGACATTCCGTATCCATGGTCAATTAATAATGAGAGGTGGAAGGTGACAAGCCTGCCGATTCATGGGGACTAAGAGATATGGTGCTCCATGATACAGTTGTCTTCAGTGATTCTACAAGGAAAGGTGAACATATCAACAAAGAAGTTTCTCGAACTTAGTAGTACAGCATATATCATCTATGATATAAGATCAGTGAACGCGATAGGAGAAGATGAACATGGTAATCACTTCAGGACCCAAAAGTGTTCCACGTGAATTCACGTGGCACGGACTCGGAGCCGTCCTCGGAGCTGTCCTCAGAGCTGTCCTCAGAGCTAAACTCATAGCTATCCTCATAGAAATCCTGATCCAAACTCGTGTCACTAGTGTCAGAGTCTGCGGAAAGCGTTTGACTGCAATCCGCAGCAGCTTCTTCTTCGTCCCAGTGATAGCGCTCACAAGCGAAATTCTCCATGTGAGTCATCTGTTCGTCCGCAACAGCTAACGACGTCGCGTCATGGTTAAATGCGACGACACCAAAGTCCGTGCGGTCTTGGAGTTCCTCCTTGCTGCAGTCAACAAGGGTTTCAAGGGAGGTTCCGAGAGGTTCTGAAGCAACGGTAGCATAGGTTTTGGCATCAGACTCAAGAACGATGTGAAGGAAAGGAACTTTGTGTGTCGCTCGGACGCCTCAATTCGCCAAGCGGTCAACAATGCGGTCAGGCGCCTGCATTCAAGATCAGCTTCCTTCGTGAGGAGGGCTTGAGCGATGGCCTCGCTGGACAGGTGTCTCAAGCCACGATGTAGTAGATGTTTGCCCTGATATGATGTCCCTCAATAAGCAATGCGTGGAAGGACATGGATTGACATACGTTTTGAACATCCGTGAGGCTGGTATCAGTGTTTCCTGGGGTAATATGGCCCTCAGCAAAGCGGGGGGCCCACGTAGTGGAACCATCCCTCTCGTAAGGCTTGAATCTTCTTTTTGCGCGGTCCATATCATGATAGAGCGACAGACGACGAATTATGGTGGGAGGGGATGCAGGTGCATACATAGTATTTGAATGATGAGATGAGGATGACCATGGGGGCATGACATCCCTGGACTGGTAGGCAAGACTAGGCCCTCTGACAGAGGTCGGAGGAAGATTAAGATGGGGGGACATGATGAGCTCCTGGCTGAGGTGCTGATGAGAACATCAAGTTATGCTCCATATTTATATGTATGTCGTTTATGCAGACTTGAGACTTCTGGTATAGTCAGTTCAAGTGCGATACTTCAACGTTGTCTATATTAGGCAACACTTTGAGAAGAGTTGCCTATTCAGGCCATGTCCGATCGGCGATCGGCCATCTGGACGTCCTAATATGTCTGCCAGTGACTGGCCTCAATTCGGCTCGTCCTAATGTGTCGGTGCAGAAAAAGGCAAGTCCGTATGATTCTGTTTCGTCCGGGCTACTTCAATCACTGACTATCCTGGATGGTATCCGATTTAGCGATCAACAGATATAGGCAGCATTGCGCTGCAATATTAATGATATACTTCCACATCAATCCCAAAAGGTGTGTTAAGATAGCGGCTGCTACCACGATTTTGATTCACTGCGGACAACTATTATGGCACGCATGCAGGACTGATCGCTGCCAGTAGGCAAAGGCCTGACCCTCGCTTCCTTTTTCCCAACAGCCTGAGCCAGCCACACCCAGGCGCCGTTCGGCCCATAGAAGCCACCTTCGGCCTGGAATCGAGATGATTCCATCTCACAATCCCGCACTTGCCCAGGAGCCGTTCGGGTGAGATGCGCTGCAGCTTCAAGACTATTCACAATATTATCTAAACTACGATCAAAACCATGGTTCCAATTACTCCATGTCCACTGCACCTCATTAAGCACACTGAACGTCCAGGAGCAGCACTAGTACTCCTCAGGCTGCCTCACATATCACCCGCCTCCGGGTCTTAGCTATTCACTTCCAAATCAATCGACTTGAAGCGTCGACAATGGGGACCCAAAAGAGCTTCACCAGCATCCACTTGATACAATGACACCTATTGACGTACAGATAACCCAGGGGTTTAGGCCTTAGGAGTGAGCCCATATCATACCTCCCATGCCATCGATCATACCAGTTTTCTTATCTGCGGAGGTAGTAGAGGATGTAAAGAAAAGGGCATACACACGAATGGTTATGATCATCTTTGATCGGACAGTCTTTGCTGCCCGAATATACACTAGACGAGGTGCCCTTTTATGTACATTCATTCATTAACTCATGAAAAAAGGGCGGCGGGGCTCAGGAAGTGGGGGAGACGCCAGAAGGGTCAAACCGCTCGAACTTTTAGAATTGAGCATCCCAAAGAGCTTACCAGGCGAGTACAGTCGCAATATTATTCAACACGCTAGGTCAATCACGGTGATAAACTTCTTGCGAAGCTACGTGCACCGCTTCATCGAATCCTGATGTTCTTTGGCAAATTTCCTGAAATTTTCTTTGCGCCCACCACCAGCACGTGTGGGAACTTCGGAAGTATGGCGTCGGAAACAAGGTGTCGGAATCACGAACACAGTTCTTTACATTCTTTCAACGTTCCGCGGCCGCCTGTTTTGCAGTTTTCATTTGGTTAAGCGTTGCAACGTTGACGATGTGTGTCGTCACGGTAAGTCCCGCTACATCGCTTCGAACGTGACATGATTCATAGTAATACTATCCATTCACAGGAACGGATATCATCCCTTGATCTTCGGCCATATAAGCGCTGGATGGTGGTGGTATATCTAGCACGAATATCATCGTCGTATGTCCACCAAGTTCCCCGATCCCTCACATCCATTCTCTAACAGTATGACACTAGTTTCAGACGACTCAAGTTATTGGCCGTTCATCAACGCTTGGCGTATTGGCAGCTATTTTGTAGGTTCGTAAAGAGCAGTCAGATTTCGGCGCCTTTGTCTCGATCTGACCTTGATTGTGGTTTTCCAGTTGCCGCTGCTGTTGGAGTGGTATATGATTGGGGTGAGCATCATAACATGAGAATTGCTGACTTCTCACAAGTATTTCCAGTCCTTACGTTCGGACAAGAGGTATGTTGATACTATGACCGGGGCAGCCATCTCGCTAAGATTTGTTTGCAGGTCGAACTGATCTGGGTGAGCACAGTTCCACGTCAGAAGAACAATATTGATTTGCGACAGAGGCAACATTGGTCCCTGATGACCGTCCTCTATCTGAGTGTACGTAGCTTGCCTGTTGTGAATTTCTGCTGACTTGACAATATCCTAGGTGCGCTATCTCGGAATGTTCTTTGTCATGTATGTTCAGAGGGCCAAACAATTGGTGTCGTGCTAATCTGCTATCTCTCACACTCAGCCTGGGCATACTGGGTATGTCTTCTCGCATTCACAGTGTTTGTTTTTATGACCAGTGGCATACAGTCAATGTTCCGACGATTTTGTTGTCAGATGCAGTGAGTCTTCTGCACTGATGCCTGCTATTCCCGTTCAATTAACCGCGACACCCTGCACTAGGGGTGAGTGTCATTCTTGACGAGCTTCTTCGTTTACTATCATGACTGCTACAGATGTGAGTCTAATTGTAGTGTGTGATCCACCCAAGACCCATCACTAACCGGATTTCTCAGGCCGGATTGTGTACCTCGTGTATAATTGGACGAATGTTGTGGCATTTCCAATGCTCTGTGGTGAGTTGTACAGTAACAAGACCTATGATATTGAATTGACCAAAACATGTTGCAGTCATCATGATCACTCGGTTACATGCCATGTATCAACGATCCAGAAGGATCCTAATATTTCTCGTCGTCGTGTGCTTGGCTGTCAACATTTTCGACGCAGCGGCCGCTGTCATGATGACGGGGCATGTTTCAGGAGGTACACTTAATTGTGAATGAAAACTGTGCATGGCGCTCATTGATGAATACAAGAGGAACTCATTCTCTCTGGCACCTATGCGTGCACAAATGACTATGCGGACAATTACCTACTTCTGGCTTCCATTATTTGGATACTCGGTATTGTCTGGGAGGTCCTCGCGCTGTGTCTCGCAGTCTGGGTTGCTGTAAAACACTTCCGTGAACTGCGACAACATTCGGCAGGAGGGATTATCGGCGACTGTTTCACGGTGTTGATAAAATCACACGTGCTTTACTTTGCGAGGTGAGCTCATATTGTGAATGTGGTTCCCTTTCCCACTGAATGATTGAACGTGCTAGTTTTGTTGCCGTGTCTTGCTTCAACATCATTATTGGGTTGTCTCCAACGCTCTTCGCGGTATGTCAATCTTTCACCGACCTCTGCATGCGACCGCGGTTCATCATTTCTATAGGACCAATTTTCCCTGGACACCCAGATTCTTCTTGGTTTTGGTCAGATTTTGGAATTCATACAGCTCTTTATGCTAGGACCACGCCTCATCCTTAGCGTTCGAGAATATCACGCTCGGCTCGTGGCTGACTCTGATGCAGCAACCGGCATGACCTCAATCGCTTTCCAGGAGCGCGTGCAAATATCGACAGGCAGTGGCGTATAGCACGGGAGATGCTCAATGGAGTTAACGTTAATCTGGTGCTATGCAGGGAGCAGGAGAATTTGGCTTTTTCTTCTTGATTTTCAAGTTTCGTCGTTGTACTTACTTATTTAGTGCTGCAGAGCGGATTTCAAGGAGGTCTAGACATAGGTCTATGCAAATATCTCGTCGTAATATTTATTTAAGATATGTGTTCCGCAGAACTTTGAAAGAGACGTGACGGGGTGTCGAGTCAGACCGGGACAATCATTATGGGGTGCAAGAAATCAGCGTGGCGTAAATATTAATCTTTGGGTCTAATATCGGTGCACGTGCATGGGGAGAGGTTGAACATTGTCAGTCATTGAATATTCACTGTCGGGCATGAGTATCTGGGATGCGAGGAGCGACCACGAAGGTTCCCTCGTACGGGGCTTCTTCGCACGTTGAGAACGTGCGTTCTCCTTTTTGTCAAAGGAGACAGCTAGGGAAGGGATGTGTCCCCTGTGGAATTTAGACTGCTTGATGGTCCATGGGCGTGACTGCTTTGGTAGCACTCGGATGGAAGAATCTTTGGTGGGGAGATCGCAGATAGAAAGCCAGTGCAACCTTGTGAAGTGAACACTCCGTTCGCGGAACGAGATAGCAGAGCAATGACAAGATGAGGCTGGGTGATGGGTCAGTGGGACGTAAATCAAGGGTGTGTTGAAAAAACAAAGCCAGGGTTATTGAGGTTGAGGTACATTTCATTAGCCTGGCGACTACCAACCAAACTTCGCAGAAGCTAGATTGAACAGTGCCACGGGGCGACAGGGCAGAGATTAGCACTATGGCCTGTTCGTAGTGCTTTACTTATATATCGGCTTCGGGTTCGTTTTCTGGGTCATTCATAACAAGCTCTTTGGAGATAACGAGATCTTGCTTTAATGATCACCACGAGCATCCTTGTTTACTTCCTGAAAAGAATATTACTCTGGTTACACTGCTTCACGTCTCCGAGGCGAGGCACGTAGAATATCGTCCACCCTGTGCACATCACGATCAAAGGACAGCTCATGATCCGGAAGGTGCACTACATACCTTATTATCATCTCCGCTGCTTCGCTTGCGCTGATCACAACCTGCCGCTTCAGTTTATAGCTTTCCGTAACACCGAGTTGTCTCATCGAGCCAATGCTGCCCTGGTTCATATCTAAAGACCCTATAAGTTCGCAATCTCAGCCCGAAAAAGCATACAATCATACCGAGTCCGGCATCTGACTGCCCCTCATAATGCGCTGCTCTTAGCCTGGCAACGAGGTCGCTCGAGTCATAGCCAGCGTTGTCCGCGAGGATAGTCGGTATTTGTCTCAGCGCACGGCTGAATGCCTCGGCAGCTATCGCCTTCTTGCCCTTGACCTTCCGCCCGGCCTCCTCCACGGCGCAGCTCATTAACATCTCGGAACATCCGCCGCCCAAGACAATCCGTGTCTCTTTGACTGTCTGCGATAAGACAGAAAGCGCATCGTGCAATGAGCGCTCGGCCTCGTCAACCATCTGATTAGTTGAACCACGAAGCACAACAGTGCAGGCTTCGCCCGCAGCAACACCAGAGAATTTTATGAGCTGTAATTTCTGGTCAGCGCAGGATCACCGAGTAAACAACGATCGCGCTAACCTTGTCCTCGCCAATCATGATTTCCTCGATCAAGTCGCACTTCCCAAGCTTTACCAGATCTGGTCTATCGAACGTGCTTGCAATCTCACCGCCAGTGACAAGTGATAGCCGCTCAACACCCTCGAAATCGGCGTGCTCAATCACCATGATGCCTTTCTCTGTCAAGAGAGACTCGGGGTAATTGTAGATGAGTTGCCGGTTGACAAAGCAGTTGATGCCGTGTGCGGCGATCGCGTCGACTTTTTCTTTCATTTTTTCCTGTAGCGCGTGCGTCGTTAGAAATCAAGAAGGAAAAGCAAGCGTGCAAGTACCCGTTCAGCCCGCTCGAGCTCAGCAAGTTTTCCCGTCGAGTCTACTTTTACTCTGGCTCCAAAGATCTTGATCTTGTCAGTATCCATCGCTTTTGAGGGACCGGGCATTAGTCCCAGATCAATGCGAGATGGTCGCACACGTACAGGTATTTGCGATCAAGATTTTCACGTTCTCCATCCGTTTGGGCGAGTTCACAGCGATGGTTTTGTTGAGAATGAAACCTTGAATGAGAACGCTCGTAAGACAAGCAATACTAGTAGTGTCTCTCAACCTACCTTCGTCAAGGTATGAGTCTGTGAGTTTGCCTCCGACCTTTTTGATGATCTGGATGTGCTCCAAATCCGTTGACCCCTCAAAGATAGTTAATACCAGCGTCAAATACAGCAATTTACAACGTACCTTCAATCGAAGCACAGCATCCACTGCTAGGTTGGCAAAGTAATCTTTATCTTGTGATAAGACTTTTGATGACAGGGTCGTACGAGCAATGTTGAAAAGATCCTGACGGAATTGGACAGCATCAGAGCTATTTGGGAGCACAAATCAGGTCGGTTCCATCAGAAATATCAAAGAGGCGCGAAAGACATGAAAACCTACGCGTGATCGACAGCTGCCTTCTCAAGTGCAGCAAGCGCAGCGATGCTCGCGACCCGGTACCCCTCCACGATCGTCTGGGGATGTATCTTCATAGCAATCAATTTCTCTGCTTCCCTCAGCAGCTCTGCTGCCAGCACACACACGCTCGTCGTTCCATCCCCGACTTCGTCATCTTGGACTTTCGAGATGTTGACGAGGATCTTGGCAGCTGCATTATCGAGCTGGATGGACTTGAGAATCGTTGCACCGTCATTGGTCACGTTGATTTCTCCCGTGGATGCCGATTGCAGAATCTTGTTCATGCCCTTTGGCCCGAGCGTTGATTTCACAAGATCGCCGAGCGCGAGGGCGCCGACGAAGGAGGATAGACGGGCATTTTCAGCTTTCTCCTCTGTTGCCTGTATAAAACCTAGTGACGTCGAGCACAAGAGGTCATTAACCTGCTAGACTTACCTCGTTACCGAATATGTGCATGGACATGGCTGCAGTTTTGGTGTTTGCGGGACAAGTTTCAAATTAAAGTCAATCGCACTCCATCGCGTTCGATTATGTAATACCGCATCCCTTTTGATCAATGCTTCGTTCTGCGGATTGGAAAACATTTGTAGGGAAGGAAATAATATGGTAGAATGATACAGCAGCCTGAGCCCGCTCCGATATCTTATTCACCGTGACAGACTAAGGAGACGTATGCGCCAGTATTACCCGACAACGCAAGGTGAAATGTCGCACGTTTCTCAAAGCGAGGACGTACTAACCCTGCATGATGAATTGGTCTTCACGTCGACTCAAGTGTCCTTTCGGCCTCGCATCTCACCAAGAAGGACGAGCAGATCCCACAAAATGAAAACAGTAAATCGATAAACACATCGGGCGGAAATAGTAGTGGCCAGAGTTGAAAATACGTGAGCAGTGGGAAAAGGACGTCAGCAATAAGAAAGCTTGGATGTCCAGAGGGAAAGAAATTGGTCTAAGCCTCCTTCGGTACAAAGGGCAGCGGAAGGACCGAATAGTCCAAGTGACCAACGATGGGAAGGTTGCGGCCATGCCGGACCCGGCGTTTTACCCAGTACTGAAACACCTCATCACTATCGAAGTGGTACTCCGGCGTGTCCATCGCACTCCCGCTGAACCGAAGGTGAAGGCTCAACTTGGACAGCCATCGACACGTGAACGTAGAGAGGGTGACGCTAGTGGGGACGTACGCAGCCCAAATGTCGTCGGTAGAGGGGATGTAGACTTTGATGACCATCATACCATTCTTGGGCGCCCACCGCGAGTCTCCTGATCTCCTAGAGCATGGGAGGGTATCGATGATTTGGCCGCGCTCGGTCAGTGTCCCAGGGGTGATCTGATAGGAAGCTGCTCGGGAGCGACGGTGTTTACCGTGGAAGTAAACGACGGGAGAAAGTTCCAGGCCTGGGTAAACAGGCGATGATTTCATGAGGACCCTGTCCGACTGTGAAGTGGCTCCTGGTGCGCGGGTACCGCCTTCATTCTCCTTGCTCACACAACTAATATCGAACTGCTGGCATCGACTGCTATCTTCGATGAAATCTAGAAGAGTATTGGAAGCCTGGTTCCCAGTCTCGTCTTCGCTCTCCTTCCTAGATTCCGGAGAGTCTTCGTGCGCCACTTCGAAGGCAGGTAGCCGACAAACAGGAGTAGAGAGCGCGTCAGTGTACTTGGCAATATGGACAACTTGAACACCACGGCGGCGAGTGCCCCGAGGAGAAGACGATAGCCGAGAAAGCGAGGCGCGTGGCCAAGATCCATCGGGCAGTTTCAAGAAATCTCCTTGACGGACAGAAGCACCAATAGACGTGATATTGAAGTCGTATGTTTTCTTGACGGACGTGGTATTGTCGTCGGAGAGGTCCTCGAGTGCGATCCTCGGAATGGTTGGCATTGAGAGAATATAGGAATGATGTTCAGAGTCCGCAGAATCAGACCTGTAAAATGACTCCATGTCTGGAATATGCTGGAACTCTCCAATCCTACTGTTTGAAGCAGGAAGCGGCGGGCTGTGTTCCATTGAAGTCGTAGACTGAGTGAGTAGAGTAAGCTACAATTTCAACTGCCTATGAAAGTTGGTATACCGCATGAAGATGCCGCAGGCTAACTTCGATGAATACTGTATCGGATGTGCCGCTGCAAGTATCAGAAAAATCCACCATGGAAAGGCATTCGATGGGGGACACTTCGACTGAAGAATAAAGTTGATGGGGAGTATGGCTCTCGAAATAACAAGGGTCCAAGGCAGCGTTGGTGGAAGACACGAGGCAGGGTGTAGAGATGTCCGTCGTGAGCCGTTTAGCAGCAGGCCTGGCTGGAGCCTCAAAAGAGTCATCATGGGTGACGACAGCGGGGAGAAGCAGATCGTGAAGACCAGACCTCGGCTTTCGGGCTTTATTCTTTGAGCGGTAGAGATATCCAATGGCAGAGAATGCAACTACAGAGAAACAGAAGGAGCCACCTTTGAAGTAAGCATCTTGTGGGATCCCAGAGCCCGACAGCCCATCTGTGAGGTAGAAGGATGCAAAAGTAGGCGAAGGGGCGACTGAAGTTAAATGAACGGAAGGTATGTTTCGAACATTACTGGTAGCAGGGGCCATGAGAGAGGTGAATGAAAGTCATTCATTTGAGAACTGGGATGGTTTCAAGGATGGCTGGCGGGTGACGTCGAAGAGGCTGACGGTTACTACTGAAAATCGAGTCGTTGGTGGTGAGAACCAATAATGATTCACTGACATGTAGGCTTTTCACACAACACACCATCATGTGAGACGATCATGGCTGTTGCTGTCAGGACTCAGTACAGGGTCTATGATAGACATGCATCGCTTGTACATGCGGATAGAACAGACCTGGAACGTAACATGAAGCAAATTATACATCTGCACAATCAGCTAGTTCAGCGGGCTTGGTCATCTGTGCATGATATTTTACTTAACTGCGCAAGTCCACATGCTCAATATTGCCGACAGTGAGAAGGAACTACTTGGTAGCCCATATTTTTATATGGCACAAGCGCGCGCACGTGACCAGATCCTTCCGCCAAGCAGGTTGACCACAATCGTCGAGCTCTCCATCAGTGCCAGCATTGAGCAATGGCAGCGTCAACGGCGCCGACCTCTCAAACGCACCCAGCTTCGCTACCACCTTCTGTGTTCACTCTCCCCCAAACTGCACAACTCGAGGCCCTGTACACCATCATTCGCGATAAAACCACAAATCGAGGAGATTTCTTGTTTTACTCTGACCGGATCATTCGTCTACTCGTTGAAGAAAGTTTAAATCATCTCCCTGTGATACCAAAAACAGTGAAGACTCCAACTGTATGTCTTTTTGTTTTGGAACGACTGGGTTGAGGAAGAAGCTGTATCAATTTACCCCCTATATTGACGTGTTTCCACTGAAGGGCGCCACTTATGAAGGTGTTGGATTCGAGGGAAAGATTTGTGGAGTATCGATCCTGCGCGCTGGTGAGGTATGTCGGTCATCATTGTATGAGTGGCACATGAACTGACAGTTCGTAATGCTGAACATAACAGGCCATGGAAGCTGGTCTTCGAGAAGTGTGCCGTAGCGTGCGCATAGGGAAGATTTTGATTCAGCGAGTAAGATCACATATATTTGTCGTCTGGTCATAAATAACGACTTTTCATCCAGGATGAGGAGACTGCTCTTCCGAAGCTATTTTATTCTAAGGTAGATAATGCGCACTTGCGACAGGCATTGTGTTGACTGCTTTGGGACTGCAGCTTCCTGAAGACATCGCATCCCGATACGTACTACTCCTTGATCCAATGTTGGGTATGTCGTGTTTCTCTTGCGACGTACGCCCTTTTTCATGGACATATCGAAGCTACTGGAGGCTCCGCTATGAAGGCAGTTGATGTTTTGATGGAGCAAGGCGTTCCAGAAGAGCGAATAATTTTCATAAACTTGGTTTGTTATTCTTCGAGCTTCATCCGACAACAAGCATTTCATTGTCGTCTAGATTGCAGCACCAGAAGGTTTGAAGAGATTCTGTGGTAGATTCCCTGCTTTACGCGTGGTGAGCAGGCATTTACCAGGACAAAACTATCAACGTAATGTATCGTCCAGATCACCGGATGGATAGACAAGGGCCTCAATGAAAAATCCTATATTATTCCAGGTCTGGGTGACTTTGGGGAACGAAGGTGCGTTCGCTGCGCATGTTGTTTTTTATCATCACTGACCATGGATCTAGATATTGCGAATGAAGAATAACGAGTAACGTCAATTACGTACACTCGAATGACTTTCATGAAGCACTCAAGTCCTTGATCCCCATACTTTTCGTCAACTACCTGCCCTATTTGCTGGCTGGACATCTGACTTAGTATGTTAAATGAGTGAGCTTGTAAAGGCGATATTGTCACTAGACCAATAATTTACAAGAAGTCGCTCGTGATAAATGTACATATACGTTCGCTAAGTGCTAGTCATGTCGTCTAAGAGGAGCGCCTGCGGGCCTCAGTTGGACAGAAAAAAAATTACACAAAGGGTGGTGGTGTTGACATGGTCACTGCAGAGGCGTTTGGTACTTCTCCCTCGTTTTCTTTACCAGGCTTCTTTCTATGCCTCGCACTGTCTGGTATCATCAGTTTGATCGCATGTGCCTTTGGTGCCGGTCGCCAGAATGAAGGGATTGAGCGAGGAGTATCGATGGAAGGATGATGTACTCCGTATGCAAGTGGCGTCGTTGCACGGGAGGTCATGGTATTTCCGAAGACACCAAGCGTGCGAGGTGTTTGGTATATAGGTACTGCCCGCATGTGATTGAAGAGAGCGGGCGCATTTCGAATGGCTAGAGGAGTGTTTTGAATGTCACGTTGAAACAGCGACGTGACTTGAGGTGAAGATTGCGGAAACGCCAACCACGGTGTAGATGCTCGGGATGGGGCTGCGGGGCTGGGCGAGGCGGAGGTAGGTCCCATACACGGAGATTGACTCAGGTGAGTGCTGCGTGGTGGGGTGCAAGGTGAGGTCATGTCATGCTTCACAGTTTCCCTATCTTCTACCGGATTCGCCTGGGCAGTCTTAGAATTTCATATCAATACTATTACCGATATCGGCTGCAATGGCTGAAGGCAGTACTTACCTGGCTATTTGCCATGCATTCGATCCAGTCTTCTATCCTTATAACTGTCCCCTGCAGCTCTGTCAATGCATCAGTAAGACTGGCGATGCCCCTCGACACGGCATGACCGTCAACACCAAGAGAGATGAGGAAGACGCCCGCCCGTGTGAGCAATGCAGTGATTGCTCTCAGGGCATGACCATATGCAGCAGCTAGTTTGTTCTTGTCTGGTAAAGAGAGTGGTTTCATCTTAGCTGTGGTTGTATAGTCCGTGTAATCGTAAATGTGGTTTGGTGTCAACCGCAGAATAGAATAGGCTTTTAGTGCCTGTTTACTTGTATTGACGCGACAGATCACGTGCATTGATTTTGGCTCACTTTCCGAGTTTGTTCCGAGCCCAAGGTTTGATCATTGACCAAGTCCAAACTTCCTCCCTAGGTCAATAGGCTGTGGCGCCTCCGCACTTGCTCCTTGAAGACAAGCAAATTAGCTCCTTTGAGTGCTGCTGGGCTCCAGCGGCCAAATCTACCATAAAGAAGAATCGAAATTTTTGGGAGGCTAAGCTGGACCCGTGCATACCATATTACTTACCCTTTAAGATGTGGTCTTGATGTAGTCGACCTGTTTCTTTACTTCAATTGGACCCTCACGTCCGAGACTCACAAGGTCGGGGTAGAGCGAAAGAGCCGATGCTGAGCAGGCTGCGAGCGCTCAAAGAGTGAGGTAAGGTCCGTAAACCTCCTAAGTGTCATACTCATTATTATGGTAGATGAGTCAGGACTAGTGCCACAGACTGCCACCCCGTCTCAAGATTGTTCGTCCCTGTCATCCCCTGGGGCATAAAGCGCTGTCAATGGCTTCATCAAAATGCAACCTATTCGAATCAAGGTTTTCCTTTCCATATTGATGCTCCGCGATGCCCGGCTCCATTGGTTTTGGGGTTTCAAGTCAGTCTTGGTTTTGTCTGTGAAAGTTTCCCAGAGAAACCGCTATTCTCTACTAGTAGAACTCATCCGAGACCTCCTGCAGCGACGACATTTTCACACTGTGGGTGCGAATTTAACGAATGGGGCTTTGATGTACTCCATACGTGAGACTAGGATACTTAAGCTTGGTCGATCCCACCACAAAGCTTCCCTTCATCCGCGCGTTCGTCCTTGGTGTGCCTCGCAGTGGTCGTTTGACCTTGTGAACCCTCGGAGGCTTGGCCTGGAAGATGGTGGATTTTATCTGACTTCGAATTCCCGCGTTATCACTCAACCAACCGGCAAGGTTATCGCGGTCGTTGTGAACTTCGACCTGCAACGACATTTTACACGTCCTTTCACGGTATTATTCTAATCATTGATGGTTCGTCTTCTTCTCTACTTATCCATATCATGTCTGCTAGGCGAACGGTTAAGTGAGCTTTTCTAAAAGATCGCATGTCTTGCTACTTTTGTATCAGATACACGGTTCGGCTGCTGTTCCAACGGATGTTGATAGTGGCCTCGTATGATTATTTTTTTTGCGCACAAGTATCTATCTCAGTGGTATATGCCCCGCCTCAAACTACAAGACTAGCCCCTAACAAGGTGCTGTTTACCGTCTATCTTTCTAAATTGATACCACACTAATAAACACGTATTAGCCTTATTCAAGCATCCGGGAAGCACGCAAGTTTTACTGTTCGTGTTTACAAAGGTATCACAAGAGAGTTTAGTTCTGGCATTAGCGTTTGTTTCCATGCTCCACTTCCGATTGATGCCCGACGGCATGGAAGCAGTCCACATGATGGATGTGGTCATTTTATCTCTCAAACGAGCTTGAAGAAATACAATGGGAACACATACAGTATGTAATATGCAAAGGCTATTTCATTCATTCTTATGGATCATCGAGCTCACGTACAGATTCATTCTTAGTGGCTTTTGTCATGCCTCCCCCTACTTTTCAGTATCTGGACTTCATTAAGATTCTGTCCAGCTACAAAGCTTGACATACCATCTCCGTAAATAATTGTGGCTTTGTGCAGCGGTTGTGCGACTTTTAACTCCACGATGATGAAGATCACCATACCTACCATGACTTCATGGGTGTGTCACAGGCCTACAGGCTACTCAATACTTACCATTTCAGCCGTACAGGTGACTTCTCTTATCTAGACTGCGCTCATCATCTGAGATATGGCAGTTGATGGTTGGTTGATTGAGAGGATGGCTCAATGGTACAACGCATTTCCCACTATCTCCAGCTCATCAAAATCTTCTTTTAAGACCCTAACAAGCTTGAACAGTTCTTGTGCGAACAAATTTAAATTCCAATTTATTCATGATATTTGTGTCTGATTGTGTGAGATCTGAGTGTGTTACACCTTGTGAAAATTTTCACTGCTTGTGCCGGACACGCGGATACTTGCGGATACTGAGTGCTCAGAACTAAATTGAATAAGTACTTGCGTATCTGATATCCGGGGTTCACCTGCAGTTACATCTAGTCACCTCTCTTCCTCCCACATCGACTTCTTCAAAATATGTCTGACGTTCAAGTAGAACTCTCCGTTCGTCGTCGCCGCCATTCTGGTTCCACCACAGCGCCAGCACCAGTCCGTGCCAGTCTACTCAAAGCGCAGCAAGATGATGAAGCTATGATTGCCCCCCCACCACGACCAAAATCCACTCCCGTTGACGAACGACCCCAACGACAACGCAGGTCCGATTCAGCCGAGTCTGATTCGGAAGGCTCCGATAAGGAGACAACCACTATGCAAGTTGATAACGATTCAACTAGCCAACAAACTCAGCAATCTTCTTCATCTCCATCACACTCTGCTCAAAAACGGGGAGTTATCACGCTCAAGCCAGGAAATTCTAGCCCAGAGCGTCCTACTCGTCCTCTACCTGCCAAATCTCGGAAAATGGCCGGAAATCCATCCAACAATCCCATGCCGCAACCTGCGAACCCGTCTATGCTACCAGTTCAGGCTCACGTACCCCGTGGTGGTATCGCATCGAGCCAGAGGAGGCTGTTTGTCATCCTAGAGCAAGCTTGCTTGGAGGCATACAGAGTGTCAAGTGGAGGCAAAGGCAAAGGCGGCAGGGAGGGCGATGTCAAATACACTCTTCTTAACTGCGACGATCATCAGGGCATCCTCGCAAAAACCGGAAGAGATATTGCGGATGCTCGTCCGGACATTACACATCAGGTGCGCGCTATCAGGATACGACTTGTGACCCCTTGATACTAAATTTGTTCCTTAGTGCCTGTTGACGCTTTTGGATTCGCCTCTTAACAAGGCAGGTCTGCTGCAGGTGTACATCCACACCACAAAAGGAGTTCTCATTGAGGTCAACCCTCATGTGAGAATTCCTCGTACCTTTAAGCGATTCAGTGGATTGATGGGTAAGTTGTCCTACGCTTGTTCATCTGTACTCGTCACTCATTTTGTTTGGAGTTCAACTGCTTCATAAATTATCTATTCGCGGTGTCAACGGCCCAGAGAAGCTACTCAAGGTTATTAAGGTATGTTCTGCATCCTCTCCGACCTTCAAGCGTCCCCTGACCTTGTGCTTCAGAACCCTGTGACCGACCACCTTCCTGCTAATACCATGAAACTCAGTTAGTCAACTCATACTTCCCGTGGATGCCCGCTCACCCCTTATACCTTATCTAGCCCTTTCTGGTGATGCTCCCACTGTCAGACTCTCCCGTTATCTTCCGACTCTTCCGGATACGCACTCGGTTGCTGTCTTTGTGGGCGCTATGGCTCGAGGCCGCGACGACTTCGCCGATCATGTTGTAGACGAAAAGATCAGTATCAGTGACTATCCTCTTTCCGCATCCGTCGCTTGTGGCAAGGTGAGTGCCTGTGGCAATATGTTAAACTGGACTCTCATTTTCTGGTAGTTATGTTGTGCTCTGGAGGAGCTCTGGGACATCGTTTGATATCCTCTCCAAAATCTCTTGGTATCAAAAATTGAAAAACTATCGATATGTTGTATCATATTGGCTGTCAGGTTGGTTGTACCTTAGAAAACATTCCGGTCTTTTTTATTTTTGTTTGCATACTACTTTCTACCGCATTCCTCACACACACAGTAGCATTTCAACCTGCGTCGCTCCGTAAATTTATTCGCTGAGCCGCATCGTGTACTACTAGTAGATGGATTACCCCCAAGCCCCCTCGCATTAGGAGCACGACTCAACTCGTGTTTCTGGGCTCTGGAAATAATGATGCGATTGCTGCTTGATTTATGGTCTTTGTCTTGTTTTTGTTCCTCGTATGTCATCGAAGCTGTGGAATGGTGTAATAGCCACCGTGATAGTGGGGCGGCTGTTGCAGTACTGTGATCCCCAATTTTAAGTAACGCCTGTACTTCACCTTTGACCATGTCTACACTCGAACAAGCTAGCGCCAGCCCTATGCCAGACGGCATCACTGATCCTAACTTCCGTCCTCTGCCAGGGCGGGTTGGAAATCTCACCGTCCCGCAACAACATGCCCTTCAGACCTTGAAGAATCAGCTCCGCGACGAAGGTCATTTCGTCGAGGAGAGAATGGATGATCCGATGCTGCTACGGTATGTCCTACCTCCGCAATCCGGGAGTCTATCGATACGTTCTGTGTCGCAAACCCGCGATTTATGTCAGATTGGCCGTTGTGTTGACCCAGCCTGCAGATTTCTGAGGGCACGCAAATTTGATGTCCCAAAGGCAAAGGCGATGTTGTTGGCTGCTGAGCAGTGGAGGCAGGACATGAAAGTCGATGACATCGTGCGGTTCGTCGCTTGCCTGTGGTTTGGGCCGATTAACCTGACCTCGCCCACGCAGGAACTTTGATTTCACTGAGAAAGAGCAGGTCGATCAATACTATCCTCAATACTACCATAAAATAGACAAGGTAACTGTCACAACCATCAGACGCGTTCTCTCACCAACTGTTGTGCTCTATTCTTTTGTAGGATGGCAGACCGGTATATATCGAGCGACTCGGCAAACTCAATGTCCCAGCGCTCTACGGCATCACGACAAAGGAACGGTTGCTCCAGCGCCTCATCCTCGAGTACGAGAAGTTTCTCATAGAACGTCTCCCAGCAAGCTCTGCAGCTGTTGGTCACCCCGTCGAGACAGTCTGCACCATCCTCGATCTGAAAGGCGTTTCCCTCTCTTCCTTTTACCAAGTCAGAGACTACGTGAACGACGCTTCAAAGATCGGACAGGACCGATATCCGGAATGCATGGGCAAATTTTACATCATCAATGCGCCGTGGGGCTTCTCTGCCGTGTGGTCGTTGATCAAACCCTGGTTGGATGAAGTGACCGTGTCGAAGATAGAAATTCTTGGGAGTTCATACCAGCAGAAGTTGTTGCAGGACATTCGTGCGGAGGATCTTCCTGCAGATCTAGGTGGCAAGTGCAAGTGTGCAGGCGGGTGCTCGCTGAGCGATGCAGGACCATGGAACCCGAGTGAGAAGACAGGAAATGGTGTTGCCTAGAGATAGATATCCTGGTAGCGAGCTGGCGGGCACGCTCTGGCGGTAATCTACGTATACAACATACTTAATGGATTGTCGTTTCAGCATTCAACAATTCTTATTCATTGGCAGTAGATCAAACACCGAGGTACAGATATATTAGGGTTGGGGATGCAAATAGCAGACGGCGTACGTGACCGCTGGAGATGTGTTGAAGGTCAATATGTGATGAAGATATATACGAAGTGATTAATTGACTTTAGAGAAGTGCTCCCCTTCGACTGGGGAGCTGATTTTGTGCCTGAAGACAATTCGATGAATAGGGTACGACTTGATAGAATGCATTTTGTACTTGGCTTGGAGATGCTGCTGGATACCGTGCAACAAGAAAGTTCGCGGGCGATTGCAAGGTTGGCAACGATACTGCTGGCCGGGCTGAGGGTTTTTTTTATTTTTTGACAATTTATTGTGGTCGTAGGCTGGCCTAGTCTGAGGGGGGGTAACGAAGAATTTCGTTCCTGGTGGCGGTAGCCCTACGGAAGCCTGGTCATAGCTAAAGTCGACTCCTTGATTCGGAGTGGTGATTCCATGCCTACCAGAGGTGTTAGTAAAGCGAGTGTAACAGAAAAGGTGTTGTCTTACCATCGGACATGGTCGATGACATTAGCCTTGTTAACTGGGTTTTCGCGATGTCTATCGCACTTGTTACAACACCACACTCGATCACTAGCTCTGGGATATTCGGGATGTTTGATGTCTTTTAGTTGCGCAGCACTCAAGAGCTCCCAACGAGGCTCTGCATGCGATTGCTCGACGTGATGGATGACCTAGAATACAGCATAAATATTGAGCACAATGTCAAAAGACACAAAAACAGGAACGAACACTCCGACGCCAGTCCATCGCCATTCGGTAGGATCCTCCATTCTCTGGCTTGGGTGGACAGTTGGAGCAAAAAAAGTGACACTGGAGCTGATCCATTGTGGTTGCAGTCGTAGTTTTGGCATCAAGACCAACTAAGCTTAATAAAGAGCGAGCTGCGGCAATCCCGGGCTGAGAGATCGAAAATGTGCAAGACGCTGTGCGATATCCGAAAGAATAGCATTTGTGATTCTGCACACTGTCCCATGTGATCAGAGGGACAAGGTGCGAGAGAGTGCATCGGAAAATAGAAGTGGCTAGTTGTAGTGATGTCTCGTCAGGGACGTCAGCACCCTGATTTTGTAGCGTCAGGGTATCTTGCAATACGTCGGTGGAGGTGCCAAGGAGTTGAGTAAGCGCGAGCTTCGTTTCATGGATATATCCGGCGCACAACTCGGGAATTTTGTCGGCGAAAGCACGACAAGCTTCGGTGTCGTTTCCTTGTTCCACAGTAGGTGGACTGTTGATAAAGTCCGCGACATCACATAGCTCCAAGAAGCCTTTGGAAGGAGGTGCGATAGCCCTTCGCAAACGCACATAGCCGTCGTACATGTCCAGGAGGCATGCCTTCCGGCGAGACGATGCATATCTTTGGTCGTCGAGACGACACTTTTCCTTCGATTCAGCAAGTGAACGCTCGATTCTTGGGAGCAAACGCTTCCACCCTGGAAATTGAAAAAGTATGAGGACAAATCTTTACGATGGTGGTAGAAGCACTGACGTGCATCGGTAAGCTCCTTGCACCCGCCATGGTTACGATAGTCACGATCATCGAACATGCGCCTCACATCCTCAGCATCGTGGCCGAGATGGACTAATCTAGCTTTAATCCTGGGATAGGATCAATACGTGATGAGATGACGAGTCAATAAAATATACTTACAGCACTTTGTTTTGGCTGCGAATATCGATAGCCGACGAGAGATGGCGGTTGCGGTCCCTATCGGCCCACGCATTACAGAACGCAGTGTGCTTCTAGGGTGTTAGATCTAGTGAAACCACTTGCAGAAATCTTACATGGACAACAGAATTAACGAATTCCTTGCGTGATTGCTTGAAGTCTTCAAGTGCTTTCTTGGCACCTGGTTTGAACATGTGTACACCTTTCTGGTACACCCCCAACTGTACTGCCATTCTCAATACGTCGTCTGACCAAAAAAACTTGCTTCCACTGGCATTGCCATGAGCCCATCCACCGACTACTCAGGATGATCAGATACTGACAAATCACAGTAAGAAAGCACCCACTATTAGTGAATGGTATTAAATCCATGATGACCGGATCGAAGTCAGGAAATTTTGATGGAAAGTTGGGCTTATAGACCAGGCTTGACGAATCGTTAGACACACACGGGTATAATCATAAAGTGATGCTCACTTCTTCTTGAGGCACGAGGTACATGCTCTGCGCCCGATGCCGAAGTCTATTCGCATAATTCCCTTGGTGCCACACACCTGGGTTGTGGTCATGAAAGTGCGAAAGGTGAGAATGGAGACTATACATACACAACACTGAGAACCACCAAAAAGCAAGTTAGCCCATTTGACCTCGGACATGCCAGGCATGCAGTCGGGAACATTGCCACGATTGACGCGGGCAGCTTTCCAGACTGAGTTTGCATTTTTAGATAAGAGAACCTTCCGGAAAGCTTTGGTCGTGCGTGACAGAAACAAGAGGTCTGCCGGATCCAAAAGGCTAAAGATCTAATTGGGAGTGCAAGTCAGATAACAAGTAAGGTGCACGCTCATTGACTAACTTCAAGGAGAATGTCAATCGGCATAGTGACAATGAGATCAAGAGTTTTCTTTTTTCTGCCAGAGCCTTTTGCTGCTGATGCTACTCTCGTGACGGGAGCTTTAGCTGCCCTAACGCGCTTCTTCGCGGGTTGTTGCTCTGAAAGCAAAAGTTAGCCTTGAGTAATGACACTTGGAGAAATAAAAGATAGAATTACTATATGTCTCTCCGCCATATTCACTACCGCTTGATTCACTGAACGTCTCCTCTGGGCTGCTATACCCGCTACTACTACTAGTACTGTCTTCCAGGTCCGTTAAAGGGGAATCATAACCGTCATCGGCCATATCATGAAGATCTAGATATGGTCCAATGTCGATAGGCCTACTAATACCAGACACGCACCCCATGACGTGCTGGACCAGCAGTGTAGACTCTGTAGAGCAGCGTAAAGCGAAACTGTCAGGCTTGGCTCAAATTTAAAGGGTTCAACTACTGATCCCGAAAATGACGAGAAATAGATCAGATGCGGAAAATGCCGTTCCATTATTTACAAACCCCATTTTTAACTGTCAAAGCCAAGTTGCGCCCGCGTATCACGGGCGGTGGATGCTTGCTTAACGCCATGACGCTGTTAGAATGTCGAGTAGTCTGCACATATAATTGTTGATCAGCTACACTCGCCTACTAGAATGTCGGACCCCACTAGTGATGTCAGTCGACTCGCTCAGTTGTTGCAAGCGCTATCGTACGCGTTTGACTCAACGAGTGCATAAATACAACACATAATGAACATTCTTCGTACAGAAATACAAGACACGACAGCTGTATTTGGGACTTGTGGTCGCAAGAATCGCTGAAAATTCGAATACAACAAAGAACGGATTCAAGTTGTTCTCTGTAGGCGCTGTGCACTTGCCCAATTCCAACACAAAGTGCATGGACTACTTTGGTATGTTGGCGTTGCCCACACGTTTCCTTATGCAAGTGTACCTTCTTCCATTGTCACCCACAAGCCACCCTAGGGACATGTGAGCAATAAGTTAATAGCTCGACATCAGGAGCGACTCACCTGAACATAAGTTGTAAGGTGGGACTTGAAGACAACCTTGTCTACACCCTTCCGTCCAGGAGCATTGGCCCATTCCGTCGGTGGAAGGGTTTGCATTTTCATATCCAGTGATACTGACGAGAAGCTCTGAAGCAACCGAACAAGGAAGAAAGACATCTCGTGGTATGCAAACTTTGGTTCATGAGAAACAATAGGGTAGAATATGCGCGAAGGGGATTACCTGTTGACCAGGGCATATTCTAGGACCAGCATTGAAAGGAAGAAAAATGAATGGGTTGGGACTGAGATACTTCTGGAGTCGTTCATCCAGGAACCGATCAGGATCAAATTCAAGAGCTAGGGAACATTAGACGCGAGGTACTTCAGATATTCAGAACTTTCGTACCATCAGGCCCCCAAAGGTCCTTCCTGCGATGCATCACAAACACAGAATATATGACCCTGCGTGGATTTGATGAGTACACATTTAAATCAAAGTGAGGAATATCATACAGAGTATCGGCCGGAACAAACATAGGGCTACCGCCGTTGACAGCGGGCAACACTGTTGCTTCACAGCTTGTCCTTCAAATCTATCGTCAACAATTCAAAAGGCGAGAGCGTTGGTTGAACTAACTTAAAGTTGAAAGGACTGTATAACCCGAATAATTAGTGTCAGGGCAAATGGCGCACTGGAACTCACTCACACAGGTGGATATAAGCGAAGCGTTTCTGCATATAGCTTCAGCATGCATGTCGCACTCTCGAAAGGAAACAAGATCACCATTAATCACCGCTCTCATATACCTCAAGGAGCGCATATCTTCATGCGTAGGTCTCCTTGAGGGTCCGATTGTGCTCAGGATCTCCTGTCGAAGACGGTCCATCACTTGGGGATGTTGAGATAGCAAGTAAACGAGAAAAGTCAAGGTTGTTGCGGTCTTGAAGAATAATTGATTATTAAATGCCTGAGATTATGACAAGTTGTGATCACTTACTGTGTCACGGCCTGCAAGCAGGATATTTATGGTTTCGTCTCTGATTATAACAGGATCTGTACAGCGTGAGCATTCGCATTTACCAGGAGAAAATATTAACAAAATGCCTCACCTTCCGAGCAACTGACTAGATGGTCAAGCAGAGTGTGACCCTCCTGTACGTCCTTGTCCTGGGAGCTACCAGTCAAAGATTTAGTATTGCCCAACGCCTTCTTCTTTTCCAGTGCCTCCGTCAGGATAGGGTCGACGAAGCTGTGGCAGACTTTCATATGTTTCTTGACTTTGTCCCCCCAGAATTCTGACATCCTCCAAAACGGGCCGACGGTACTACGAGGTGAAGTGAAAACCTGAGCTTCATGAAACGCGTGGGCGAATTGATTTGCTGGATGATGAAGGACAGCCGGATCCTTGGAGAGGGGCGACGACGGTGGATAGACCAGGCCTGCGGAAAGAGAACATACATCTTTTCCAAGCAGAAATTCAGTCGCAGAGTCCATGGTGAATCTGGATATCATGTCCTGGAAGTCCACGGGATATCCCTCCCTCAACCGGGTTTTGATTTGACTAATAGCGTCGTCTGCGTGATTCTCAAAAATGTCAAAGTCGCTGACACGATCCTTGCTGAAGAAAGGACGAGTCATGGAGCGGTGAAATCTAACACTTAATGAGCTGCAAGGATCATATTCGCATGCAAATCGTCATACGCACTTCCACACGTCACCTGTCATCGAAGATTGAGCTGTGGTAAAAACGGACCATTACGGTTGCACCCACCGTCAGAGTTGAAGACCCCCGAGCCCAGCAAGGACTCAAATTGGTCGAAGGATACAGCCCCTTCAAACCAGGAATGATAAGGTCAATAAAAGCAGTAATAAACTGTACTCACCCTTCTGGAAAGAGTTGAATTGGGTTGATAAGACTGCCTGGGAGATACTGGTGTCAACGTCGACGAAACAAGATGACGATTATAACTCACTTTGACATGTTCCGGCTCTGCTGTGAGTATCTGAATGCTACCATGATTAACCATGAAATTCAAAGATGCGTCTCCACTGCAGGTATACACACCTTATCCTCAAACAACATTCTGAGACGGAGGGTGTGCCCATATTCTTGACAAAGCTTCTCGTGTGGCTCGCCTATAGAGGGTTTACGAATCAGCATTCACTGACTAGCTGGCAAGAAGAGAGACAAACCCATATAACCATGTTTGATATTGTCAAGGAGCTCTACAAGTCGGTCTATGCCAGCAGGCCAGCGGTTGTGTACTATGGGAGGAAGAACAGCGCCTCTCTTCTTCGCTTGGCGATGGTTAGAGTACCGGACGACGAGGACCTTAAGATAGACGACTGCAGGAGGCACCAGGAGACAAGCCGTAATCCTCAGCCAGCGCGGAATCGCATTGCCAATAAGCAAATTGCTGGCCCCAAAGGCTATAGCAGGTGGGAGCACAACCCGAGGGATGATCTGAGCGAGGAATATGAATCCAGGTGGGATCTCCATCCGAGCGGTTCAAACTGAGGAGCTCGACATTCGAATGTATATTTATATAGGCTGCATTTCATCGAAAACCGTTTCTTGCAAGTTAATGCCATTCGTATCAGTGTCACTAAGGCCCAAATCAATGGAAAGACTCCGATGAGCGATCAATCTGAGCTGGATCCCCATTTTGTTTTTAGTTGTCAGACCCCCGACCACTGCTTGGCTGTTCTGACAACGGCATATAAAAACAAACATCCTAGTTGCCGATTTTACTTATGTATATAGATGGACAATGGAAGCCTATGATATGTACACCGAGCTAAGTCTTGGCCCAAACGCGGGTGGAGAGTATCGCAGGTCCTGCGTCGTTGATCGCCAGGGATTGTGGTTGTCTGTTCGAGTAGATCACTGTTGACAACAGAACCTTTTTACCCAGGTGGACCAGCCATCCACTCACGTAACTGATGAGGGTGCGCCTGCACGCCAAGGTTAACCGTGACAGCGCGGAGCCCATTCATATCGAAGTGAATTGTGTTCAACGATGCGGTCATTCTAATGACATACATCCCTGCAAGATGTGAATCATTTCATGGTTTGGAAACGGGGCGGTCACTCACAAATTCGTACTATTAAAGCGCCGTAATAAATTCTATTGCGAGGAAAAATCTGCATGGTGAGTGAGTTTCAACTTATAATCAGGACATGGGATGAAAATCCCGTATTCGTGCGGTACAGCAACATCAATTGTACAATGCTTTATCCGGGGGTATAAGTACAAGCACACCAGCGCACTGACCCGAAAATTAATGTTTTAATGAGCAACGACTCGGGGCTGATTCGAAGAACGATGGCTTATGGGAAATGTGCTGGACGTAAATCAGGCAAGCCAAATAAATTGCCGTGCGGCGTCACCTATGCCCTTGATTGATTTGAATGACAGATATCTCGAGACCGTACTCGCTGTGCACGCTTGACACAGTCATAGGATGGGCGGTGGGACGGATGTCGAGGGCTGGATAAGACATTGGTAAGATTTTTGAGGAAAAGTTGACAAAGGTAAGGACATACCCATGTTTTGCGTAGGCCGCCGGTAGGCGACACGCGCTGTCCAATCATTATCTAGGCAAGACATTGTAGCAGTCAGATTATAATTGCCAGACATCCAGGTGCAGCAGCAGTACTACTGTGGAGAGCCCATACATTGGTTACACTAGATTCGGAATCACGCGGAGCGTGCATTACATCGTGCGATACATAACGGAAGGAGAAAGAGCTGGCAAAGACAGACCTGAATACTCCTTGATACGAGGGCAAGCCTGCAGAGGCCAACAGCATGGAAATCAACACGAGCAAGGTGGTTGGGGTCCGGCCAGGGTCAAATGTCATTTTCTGAGCACTGATTCAATTTGAGACCTGGTGGGAAACGCAGACGTGGCAAGCCATCAATGCATCATGCATCATGATCGATACCTTTCTTATAGGAGCATACTCTACGTCAGTCTATAATTTCCCGTCATTGTGGATTCAGAGATGAGAACCGCTCACGCACTAGGCTACTGCGCAGCTAAATGTTATCTCGACTTCACATCCAGGTTGCTCTCGAGAACACACTCCGACTTTCTCCGGCTTGAGTATGAGCTGCGTCTATCGCACTGCGATGAGCGTAGGGAAAAAATCTAGCGGCGTTGGCGATGAATTCCAGTATGTGATTTACGTAGAAAACGGCTGCAGGCTTCAACCATTGAGTGAGCCCAGATCTGATTGGTGGAAAAGAGTCACCGCACAGAAACCTTGCTTATGTGTGAATGTGTAAGTTACGGCCGGTCTGGGTGCAGGTCTGCGCAGACTCTAAGTCTGCGTCTGTGACAAAGTCTGGGTGCACGCTCGGCAAGTCTTGGTGCCGTCGGCAAATCGAAGCGGAGTTATTATGAAACTCCTATGCGCTCATCACCCCCACCACCTCATCGTTGCCCGCCTGCCTGCTCCCCGCCGCCCACGATATCGATATCGAAAGGAATGCTGATTGTGGGATGTGTTTATGGAGGGGGGTAGGACTTCAGGGGCAACCACGACAAATATGGTGTGATGCTGAGGCTGTAGAATGTCGACTTTGGCCGCTGCATGGCTACAAAGATGGACCCGACGTCCATGGTCCGTGCTCAGCGTGTGGGCAGGGGCGGGAAGCGGCGGGCAGCAGGTGGTTGTGGCAGTGATACGGCGGTATTCATCCGCTGGCGACTTCAAACTCCGCAAACCGTGCCAAGTGTACACCGAGACTTTGTCGCAGACGCAGACTCCAGGTCTGCGCAGACCTGCACCCAGACCGGCCATTTCAGACTCGTCCTCGCTTATGTACACTATGTACGTACGTCGTGTGGTAAAAGTCACCAAACCCAACCCTACGGCTCAGAACATAAAATCCGACTGTTAGTCACTGCTTGTGCCGCCGCATCCGCCGAATCCGCCGCACTTTGGGCCGTACTTTTTGGCGCCGTACGGTTGGTTTCCGGGATGTTCCCGTCGTGTGTCACGGTACTAGTACTGTGGACGCAGGCGGGCCGGCGCCAGACTCCGTGACTTGTTCGTACCACCTCAGACATCAGTACTCAGTTTTCAGTATCAATAAAGGTCTGTGAGACCGTATTATTATATTACAACCCCATCTCTTAGAGTTGGTTCGTACGGGGTACTACAAGTCTGCCCAAAGTCTGCGCCGGGAAGTCTCAAACAGCCGTTTTGCATCGTATCTTTACTACTCTCTTGAAACTTCCTGGCCACCTCAACGGGGCTGAGGTTTTTCCTTATGATATATCATGATTAGTACCGTAATTCTCATTGTCTCCGAGTCGATCACTCAGAGTTGAAACCTATATTTATGGGGGTCTGGTTGTCTCAATAGCCAACACACTGCCGTGACAGGACGACAGGAACCCTTGCGATCAGTAACCTATTTTTGTTTGTCTCGTGACTGAGTCCAGCCTTACGATCTCAGTAGAATGACACGAGCGAGGATCGACGCGTTGTTGTTCGTATGTGCGGCAACAGTCCCTTCGTGTTGATGATGATCGTCCCTCGCTTTGCAAAATTCCGACAAAGAATCACCTATGGTCCAAACCCCACGGCCAATACAGAGAGCAGCAGGTACGAATTTCCTCCAGAGGCGAGCTACAGTACAGATAATTAAATGGTTTGTCGTCTTGATCATACGCTGTCCGTTATATTTACACAACCTCCACAGGGCTGGCTTCCTCCATCCTAACCCATAGCCCGTCCTATACATGAAATGAGCAACGAGTCAAAGAATCACAGCAGAGTACTTACATGTGCATAGATGGTGAGGTGACTTTTGATAATGATCTTTTCGATGGCCTTGCGGCCAGAACACTTGGCCCACTCCGCGGGCGCGGGGGTCTGGACATCTGTGGCCAAGGAGAATGAAGAGAACTGCTGGAGAAGTCGTACGAGGAAGAAAGAAGTCTCGTTATATGCGAACTGGAGAAAAATGAATATCAGCATGAATACTGTGAAAGAGTAGCCGACAGACCTGTTGCCCGAGACAAATCCTAGGCCCTGCATTGAAAGGCACGAAAATGAATGGGTTGGGTGTACAGTATTTACGGAGGCGCTCGTCAAGGAACCGATCTGGGTCAAATTCTTGAGCTGGTCGAGAAATGTGTGAGTAAATATTCGTTACGATGAAAACAAGATAGTCATGCTTACCATCTGGTCCCCACAAGTCCGTTCGTCTATGCGTCAAGAATACAGAGTAAGGAGTCCTGAGAGATGCATCGTCAGTTGAACAAACAGCCCGTTTCTCAGAATGATCACCTTGTGTTTGGAGGGATATAGATCGGTTTCCCCCCGTCAACCCCCGGCCACACCGTTGGTTCTGTGCTGGTCCTAGTCCGTTCATGAGCACATGGACGCACGCATTAGCGGAGCTAGTATTTACCTGACATTGAATGGCCTGGGAAAAATAGAAATTCGATGAGAGAAAGTACAAGAAAGTGACCGAACCTGATACTCACACAGGCGGGTAAAGTCGAAGCGTCTCTGGAATTCCCGTGTCACATCAACGGTGAAAGTGGCCTATGGATGGGACTCACCATTGATGACTGCTCTCAAATATTTCATATCGCGCATATCATCGTAGGTAGGCCTCCTCGAGCTACCTACTTTGCCGAGAATTTCCTCACGAAGACGGAGGAGGACATCGGGATGTTGCGCAAGCATGTAGACGACGAAAGTCAGAGTAGCTGCAGTCTGGAAAGAGCGATCTTAGCATCTGACAATGACTGTCCACAAGAGGTGCATACTGTATCGCGTCCAGCAATCATGATGTTGAGAGTTTCGTCCCTGATGACGATGGGGTCTGGGAGGAAACAAATGTCAGTTGAGGTGGCACGTCAACACTGCATTGCGTACCTTCTGTGTAATTTACCAAGTGACCAAGTAGCGTTTCGCCTTCTTTGACGTCTATATCCTCTTTGTCCACCTTCTCGTTAGAATTTTCCTTGAGCGCCTTTTTCTTTTCTAATGCTTCCTTGAGGATGGGGTCGATGAACTGGTAACAAACATCCATGTGCTTCTTAACGTTATCACTCCAGAATTCAAACAAGCGCCACGCTGAGCCAAACCGGCCGCGGTAGGAGGTAGCAATCTGAGCCTCACTGAATGCATGCGCAAACTTGTTGGCTGGGTGATTCTCAAACGCGATGTCTTTAGAAAGGGGCGATGACGGTGGGTATATCAGCCCAGCTGAGAGAGAACAGACGTTCTTTCCGAAGAGGAACTCCGACGCAGAGTCTAGGGTGAAGCGAGAGACCATGTCCTGAAGTGACGTCAGTAAGAACGAAGAATAAAATAGTCAATAATGTTTACCTGGAAATCCACGGGGTAACCATCTCTGAGTCTAGTCTTCAACTGACTAATTGCGTCTTCCGCGTGCTTGTCAAATATATCAAAATGACTGATGCGGTCTTTGCTGAAGAACGGGCGTGTCATCGAGCGGTGGAATCTGTAAGTCACTGGATTGAGCCTGTTGAACGATGAACGAAAATAGATGATTTACTTCCAGACATCCCCTAAAATGGACAGTAAATTAATTGACACGACAGATTACAGGAAACGGACTCACCATCGGAATTGAACACTCCGGTGCCAAGGAGGGAGTTGGCTTGGTCCCAAAACATGGGCCCTGTTGATTGAAAAAATTATTCCATCAGATCGGGACAGTACTCCGCATATCAAATCGCCGACCTTTCGCAAATGATGTGAACTTTGATGCCAGAATTGCCTGTTACGCATGAATATCTGGGGTTACAACACTCCGATGAACTCACCTTCGTATATTCTGGTTCGTCGGTGAAGATCTGTTGATCGTGACAAGTCAGGGAAAACATCAGGGTGTGAAAGAAGGCACTCGCCCTATTTTCGAAGAGGACTCGCATGTTAAACGTATGTCCAATTTCGTTACACTGCTCCTCCATTAAGTCACCTGCGATTGTAAGTATCAATAGAGGAATGTGAAGCTGCTAAGTGACTTACCCATGTATCCGACTTTAAAGTTTTTTACCAAGGCTGCGAGGATATCAAGACCGCCAGGCCATTTGCTGGGGAACTTGGGCGCGAGGACGGCACCATGCATCGCAGCCTGGCGCCTATCGCGATAGTTTGCTGCGAGCACGCTGCAAGTGAAGATGGCAGGGAAAGATAACAAATATGCAGGAATCTGTGACCATCCTGGCAAGGAGACGCTAAATGCAAAATCGCAGATGCGATTTAGACCATAAACGACTGCGGGTGGTAATAGGAGTTGTGGCAAGCAACTGATGAGGTAGATGATCCCAGGTGGTAATTCCATTATGGTACAAAGTGCGTTTGATCTGAAAGGAGTTGCCAGCTTTATAGTAGGAGCTGGGACTGGGAGAATCACATGTACTGATTTCGTATGTGGTTCCGGTTGAAGAACGATTGAATTGGCTTCATCATCCCACCTGCTTCAAGCCGAGGACTGGGGCCGCCGGCGCGCAGGTGCATGAGGAGATTACAAATTTTGACTGTCACAGGATGTTACCCGCCGGCACGAAAATGAATAAAATTTAATGTTTAAAACTCCGCAACAATGTTCGGTGCGGGTACATGTGAGATATTAATATTAATAATCCGGAGATGCAAAGCACCGAAGGGTCACACGTCGTGATCTATTACTTGGCGGTGTGGTTGCAGCTTACCATGTTCCTTTTGACAAACATCATTGATCGCCGATCCCCGAAAACGCTGCGGCGCAGTGTGTATGTAAGTACTTTGAAGCTACTAGCATGCGGCTGTTCACAAACTTGAACATCTGAACCTCCGTAGGCGGCGGCGGCGCCACACACAACCGATGACAGGTAACTTGTAAGACCTTTACTAGCGCTGTTATTCACAGGTCTACCAACGGGCCTATTTCCTTCAAAGCTTGACAGTTAACGCGCATCACATGAGACCTCAACGTTACCGACACACACAGCTCACATCGGTACCTGTTGATTTCATACCACTCAAGAGAAACAGCCAGCTATTATCCTCAGCACAACGGTATAAGGTCCTCCGTCTATACGAAATTACATCATACCCTTTGCGCAATCACGGATAATTGAATGTTCCGTCGGTGCAATAATTTCGGAGAAGAGAACTACTCATCTTCGCTCTTCTTTGGAAGGCTCCGAATTAATCGTCGGCGGCGATTGTAATGTCTACTTACTGCAGGTGGGGACCTGCGGCCACCTGTGGCGAAGGACTGTACGCAACAATACCACTATTGGCGTACCGGAGCCTGAGGAAAGAGGTACAGCAATCCTTGATGTCATCACTGTACGTTATTCCTTCATGAAACAAATTTGTTAGTGGCGCATCTATTTGGTCACGCACACTCGCTGAAATTTGGACCTACTAATGATCACACTGCTCTAAGAAGTTAGCGCCATCTGCTCTGCAAGGTTTGTTGTGCAATGCCTTCTAAACGTGATAAATTATCCGTTGCGAGCGGCTAGGTACAAGTCACGTTCCCCCTTTCATTTTACTACCTCAGAACGCGTTGCTTGGGAGCGTTCCGCAACCGGGGTCACAGACGTTATCCTCATTGACTTCCTGACATTCTTAATTATCGGTAGCACGGTCCTCTCCCTCAACACATTCACTGCGCCGAATACTCCGGCACACTTTGCTAGTAGCTACATCAGCAACCTGTGCTCATCGTGGTACAGTACTCATGTGCAACGTTCAAGCAGTGCCATTTCGGTCTTGGAAGTGAGGTTTCGGTCCTCGGATGTCTTGTCGAAGAACATATCTGTAAATCCATGTCGCCAAGACTTACAGGAAGGTGTGATATCTCCATGAGTGTATCTGTCGTCAGATGCTTCATAGAGGGCCATGACAATGATCACGAGAAGAGAAATCTCTCATCCAGTGTGAGCTAGTGTGAGCCAGTATGCCATTGGGTAGAATTTACAAATACAAAGTGAAGTAGGTATCCCCAGGTGGAATTACAAATTCGCCCTGCTTCTTTTAAACGTACCTAAATCGTGTCTAACCACGAGCTTATTTGCAAATTGCCACGCTTGTTCTCCAGCACTGAGCAGATGACAAGCAGGGCAAATGAATGTCGCTGAATCGACTCACGAGCATCAGTAACAGAAATTGCAGGACATACTCACATTCACCTATCACAAATTGGCCTTGTCGACGTCGCTTCCCTTGTTCTGGTACTAATCTCCGGCAATCTGAGCAGGACCGAAGTATGGGGAAAGCGTCCCGACACTGCAATATTCAATATCATCAATTGATCCACGAGGCTCCTCGAAGTTGCTACCCTCGCGCGAATTGCTTATGACAAGAATGAAATTCTATAGATCTTGGAGAAAGACTTAGTTGCGCTATGATATAGTAGTCAAAGATCATACGATGTTCAAGTGGCCTTTGTTGATCGTCATGGAGCGTCTCACCGTGGTGAAATCGCCATCTACAACAGTGACGAAGGAGTTTAAGAGTTGCAACGTATTGATGTCTGCAGTGCGCAAAGAAGATGGCTTTTGAGCATTGTATTCGTAGCACAGTGCCGTCATGAAGGAAGAGTGGCGAGAGGCAGGGAGCCGTAGTAACAGCTTGCCAATGCACTTTGGTCGCACTTGAATGACTTGGCAATAATAGTGCATCGACTTCCGAAATTTCAGCGATAAGGTGCAGTTTGCTGGCAAATGGATTGCGGTCGCACTTGTGACTTCAATAATCAGCTGGCCCATCAGTGAATCTGCTTTACCGAAATTTCAGAAGTCGGGAATCCAGAAAAAGTAGATCCCCATGGACACTGAAAACCAATAGTTACACATGTAGAAGAATGTGAGCAGTGGCGATGGTTTGTCACTCTGCTCACGCGCCTGGCCACCAGCGCTAGAAGCAATACGAATTAAGTATGTAACCTAGATAGCAGATAGCAGAGCTTCACTCCCGTTCACTGCGCCGAATACGCCGACACGTTTCGCCAGTAGCTACATGTGTCTGGCTCAGCACCCTATATTCATAGCACATATGACACAGTACTCACTCGCAACGTCCGAGTAAGGCCATGTCGGTTGTGGAAGTGTAAACGTGAGGCACTCCCTCGGAAGTCTTGTTAAAGATCATTTCTGTGAAATGTTGTCGCCATTTCTTCCAGGAAGGCGTAATATCCCCTGGGGTGTATCGGTGGTTAGGAGTCTCATATATGGCCATAGCCATGAAGGAATTCGAAAACGCGGTGATGAACTGAGAATTATTGTATATAGGACCAGTCCTGAAACAGTATGTGTCAGCGTAGGTAGTGAAATGACCCTACACAACGACTTACAAATACGAAGTGTAGTACTCTCCGACATCAATTCCATGCAGACCAGGTGGAATGGCAAATGTGCCCTGCTTCTGTTAAGCATACGTAATTACGACTTACAGTGAGCTTACCTTCCACGCTCGTTCTCCGAATGCTTTGAGCATATAATAAGTGGGGCAGACGAACATTGCTGAATCCACCCATGAAATCAGGCACAGGAATAAATTCCCCGAAGGACATACGCACATTCACCCATCACGAGATTTGCCTGATCGACGTTGCTTCCCAGGTTCTGGTACAACGTCGCTGCTCCAGTAATCTGAGCGGGACCAAAGTTCGGGTAAATCGTGCTGATATAATCAGTAACATTTAATGTTATTGATTGGTCCACAATAATGTTGCCCTCATGCGTATTCACTACCGCAAGAAGGAAGTTCTAAAAGAAGGGCATGAGTATTGCTGTAAGATAGATTATTTCATGGATCATACACCATTCAGACGACCCTTGCCGAGCGTTACGGTCGGCCTTTCCACGATGAAAGTGCCATCTACAACAGGGACGAATGTGAGCATGCCATAATAGCCGCCGAGGTTGATGTTCGAGTTCAAAGTTTGCAGCGTATTAACGTCTGCAGCTCGCACACAAGAGAGGGTATCCGAATTTGAGCCACAGCTGTAAGTTGAGGGTGTCAGCTCGGGAACGGCAAAATGTAAACTTTGAAAGCACTCGCTTTGTTCCGTCCACAACCATACTGTACAGCATCTGGTAGTGGCATTCAGGTCACAATAGACGTGGATCTCATGAATAGAATTACCTCCGGAATTCGGTCGTTATAGTTGTATTGTGAGTTCAAGAACGTGGAACTCGTCATGACAGCTCGGAAGAGGGGAGGCTGCGTGTTTCCTCCGTGAGCAACAACATGCTGTATCACAGAACCGGCGCCTGAAACACAAATAGTAAGCGAGGTTAATGATGACAAGAGTACTCAACATGGCTCACCGGCAGACTGTCCCCAAATCGTGACCTTCGTAGGGTCGCCACCGAAGCTACTTATCTATCTTCCTATCAGATAGGGTACAAAACACACAAGTAGAGGACGTTGCTCACATGTGCCTGGACCCACTGGAAAGCATAATTCTGATCGACTTGGAATTTAAGTTCAGCCAAGCTGAAGGACTGTCAAAATTTGATGCACACTTACGTAGTCCAGCGTTGGGCGCACCCCCTTCTTTGACTGCTTCTCCAGCCAGAAAACCTAGCTAGCTTAAGTACGTTTCACAATCAGGAGCAGTAATGAAAACATACCGAACAAACCGAGGCGGTATTGGAGCACGACGGTGATGACACCGTAGTTCGACTCCACAATCAGCTCTGCACCATTGTATAAACTCGCAGCTCCTAAAATATACCTGTAACATTATAATAATCAATTTTATTAACAGGGGATCATTTCCAACGTTACTTACCCTCCTCCGTGAATATACACGATTACTGGGAGCCCACCCGACGCAGTGGCCACCACTTGACTTCCAGGAGTGTATACGCTACCGGATGCAGCCGTCAATCATAAATGTCAACGTCATCGTTCGAGGCAGGGCTTACTTCAAAAATAAGCAATCTTCTGACTGGCTGACATCTCTCTTGCTCAGAGAGGTGTTTTCGAAAGGATTTGTTGAAGCGTTGCCCAGGGGTGCTTGATAACATTCATTTGGTTGCGTGGTAGCTTGCTGAATGCCTGACATGGTCGGTGGAGGCTGCGGGGCTGCCCATCTCAACTCGCCTATGTGCTCAGTGAGTGGGCTGATATTGTAAAATACACAGAACTGGACGTACCAAGCGGAGGAGCTGCATACCGTATTCCAAGGAAGCTGGTAGTGTTTGTGACTGTGTCCACTGAGCCCTGGTACTGAGCATAACCCAAGTCGACGATGGGCGTCGCCAATGCTTCTAGCGCAAGCAAAGCCTGCGAAATGGCCAGTAGGTTGACTTTGATCAACATTTTCAATCCCATAGATGCGAAGCTGACGGATCGCGGGACCGCGTTATAAACCTTGCGCATGAGCGGAGTCCGAGACGACCCTACTCACTGTCGGTGACAGATTGATCACAGGACATGACAACCCTCCGGTCCCTAAGACTGACAGTTGAACAGTCGAGGACGCGCGTTACGTAGAGCATGACGAAAGAACATAACTGGCAGTTGGTCAACTTTTGAGATTGTGTTTCGAGTTTCACGATGAGCTACATGATTAAGACTAATTTGAGATTAGTATTGAGTACATGCCTCAGTCAAAAGAAAGGTTCCACCTAATGGTATTCCACCGCCGTTCGCAGCGCATGGCGGGGACAAAGCGGCGAGCCGTCGGCAGCTTGCAAATAGACTTCGGTCGCAGTGCAAGTACGGTAGATCGTCGTGAACAATAAAAATGCAGCTTGCTTCAACGGTCGCATTACGAATGACCTGGCAACAGGGAATTTGCATCGTCGAAATTGCAGCACAATTTAAACGAAGTAGATGCCGGTGGATGGTGAAAACCTCTGACCACTACTAGAAACAACAAGGGACGATGATAGAATTGCCAGTTGGTGACGTTGCTTGTGTCGTAGTCGTAAGAAACTGCCCTAGCGTTTCCACCCGCAGGGCTGTTACAACAGGTCGCGTCAAAAGGACGCTCTGAGAGTCACCAAGGCTTGTTTTGCGAGACTCTGAAATTTTGGCAAATGATGTTGCAATTCAAGGGTTGCACAGGCAGGCACCTTTTGAGGCACCCTTTAATAACGTAATATTTATTTTCGTCATTGTTTGTTCGCCCTGTGCCAGCAGCATTGCAGCCTAATGCTGCACTGACAAGAACTCATAGATGTCCACTCAAGGACATGCATGCGTATGTCGTGTAACTAACGACAAACTTGAAGAATAAAATTAAACTGTTACATCCAGGCTTAATGTATGTGAGTGCGTCTCAAGGTTTGAGGCAAAATAATAGTATACTATTACCTGTAACATAATGAAAATCAATTTTATCAACAGGGGATCATTTCCCACGTTACTTACCCTCCTCCGTGAATATACACGATTACTGGGAGCCCACCTGACGCAGTGGCCACCACTTGACTTCCAGGAGTGTATACGCAATGCGCATGTTTCAAATCCCCACATCTGCAGCCAGGCCTCCCCCGCTTCGGTTTTCGGTCGGCCTGACTCGACACCCCATCATGTCTCTTTCAGCGTTCTTCAGAACAAACAACTTGAATGCATATTACGACGAAATATTTGCAAAGACCTATGTCTAGATCTCCTTGAAATCCGCTCTGCAACGCCAAATAAATAAGTACCACGACGAAACTTGAAAATCAAGAAGAAAAAGCCAAATTCTCCTGCTCCCTGCATAGCACCAGATTACCGTTAACTCCATTGAGCATCTCCCGTACTATACGCCACTGCCTGTCGATATTTGCACGCGCTCCTGGAAAGCGATTGAGGTCATGCCGGTTGCTGCATCAGAGTCAGCCACGAGCCGAGCGTGATATTCTCGAACGCTAAGGATGAGGCGTGGTCCTAGCACAACGGACTGTGTGACTGTAAAAATCTGAAGAAAACCAAGAAAAATCTGTGTTTGGATGGAATATGGGTCCTATAGAAATGATAAACCGCAGTCATGGTCAGTGAAAGATTGACATACCGCTTGGATCGTTGGAGACAAATTGACTACGAGGCTGAAGCAAGACACGGCAACATAACTAGCGTGTTCAATCATTCGGCGGAAAAGGGAAGCATATTCACAATATGAGCTCACCCCGCAAAGTAAAGCACGTGGGATTTTATCAACACCGTGAAACAGTCGCCAATAATCCCTCTAGCCGAATGTTGTCGCAGTTCACGGAAGTGTTTTACAGCAATCCAGACTGCGAGACACAGTGCGAGGACCTCCCAGACAGTGCCAAGGATCCAAGTCATGGCACTCTGAAGTGGGGTATTGTCCGCATAGCCAACCGTGCACACATAGGTGCCAGAGAGAATGAATTCCTCTGGTATTCATCAATGAGCGCCATGCACAGTCGTCATTCACAATTAAGTGTACCCCCTGAAGTAATCCTCGTTATCATTACCACGACCACTCCGTCGAATATGTTGATAGCCAAGGACACGACGACGAGAGATATCAGGATCCTTCTGGATCGTTGATACATGGCATGTAACCGAGCGGTCATGATGACTGCAACATGTTTCGGTCAAGTCAATATCATAGGTCTTGTTACTGTACAACTCACCACACAGCATTGGAAATGCCACAAAACTCGTCCAATTGCACATGAGGAACAAAATCCGGCCTGAGAAATCCGGTTAGTGATGGGCCTTGGGTGGATCACACACGACAAACAGACTCACATCTGTAGCAGTCATGATAGTAAACGAAGAAGCTTGTCAAGAATGACACTCACCCCTGCAATACGTCACGTTTAATTGAATGGGAATAGCAGACATCGGTGCAGAAGACTCACTGCATCTGTCAACACAATCGTCGGAACACTGACTGTATGCCACTGGTCAGAAAAACAAACACTGTGAATGCGAGAAGACATACCCAGTATGTTCACGCTGATTGTGAGAGATAATAGATTAGCACGACACCGATTGTCAAGCCTTCTGAACATACATGACAAAGAAGATTCCAAGATAGCGCACCTAGGATATTATCAAGTCAGCACAAATTCACAACAGGCAAGCTACGTACACTCAGATAGAGAACGGTCATCAGGGACCAGCGTTGTCTCTGTCGCAAATCAATATTGTTCTTCTGATGTGGAACCGTGCTCACCCAGATCAGTTCGACCTACAATCAAATCTTAGCGAAATGGCTGCTCCGGTGATAGCATCAACATACCTCTTGTCCGAACGTAAGGGCTGGAAATACTTGTGAGAAGTCAGCAATTCTCTAATGTTATGATGCTCACCCCAATCATATACCACTCCAACACCAACGGCAACTGGAAAACCACAATCAAGGTTAAATCGAGACATGAGCGCCGAAATCTGACTGCTCTTCACGAACCTACAAAATAGCTGCCAATACGCCAAGAGTTGATGAGTGGCCAATAACTAGGATCGTCTGAGACTAGGGTCATACTGTCAGAGGATGGATGTGAGAGAGCGGGGAACCTGGTGGACATACGACGATGATATTCGTGCTAGATATACTACTATACAGTGCTTGCATGACCAAAATGAGATCGAGGGATGATATTCGTTTCTGTCAATAGATATGATGTCACGTTCGAAGTGATGTAGCGGGCCTTGAATAAAATGCCGGTCATGCGAAGGTGCTCGGGTACTGAAGCTTCGAAGGTTCGATGCCAGCGATCACCGCACCCCACGCCAACGGCAGAATCGTTTAGTGTTGGTGCGGCAGTGTCTTCCCTTCTATCGAAGTCGTTCGCTACATGCATAGCCAGTGCTGCCAGCCTGTACTTAATCAGCAAATAAATAATGATTTAAAGATCTGGGGCTCAATGAACACCGCAAAAGTTGAAAGAACATCTAAAACTGTTCGTGATTTTGTCACCTTTGTTCTGATGCCATTCTCACATGCTGGTCATGATGGGCGCAGTATTTTCGAATTTGCATCATGGAGTTGGTGTGGTGGTGACAGGCATCAGTTTTCACAGCCAGAGACATCATGGTTGGAATTCCGTGATTGATATCTGGTGAAGATACAACACCATCTCTAGCTCAAGATAGCAACATGGGGGAAAAGAAGAGTGGGAACCACCGTTACTGACCGCATCAAGCCTGACTTGTTGTTCTTCAACCTAGCTGCCAGCGCACACCTTCAACGTTGAATACAATGAAGCCCGATGCGAAACGTACCACACTAAATCCATCATGTAGTCGATGCCGATTGGAGTGATGAAGTCGACTTCTTCATTCGCTGTTCGTAGGGTAGCCTGGTATGGAATACCGTCAATATCTCACGTGAGCCAGTTACCACCAGGACTACATAGTATACCAACACCCCCAGAACACCCACTAAAGATCAAGATTTGAGAATGCAGAGGCTGTAGACGGAGAGGTGATTGGTGGATATCACTACTACCTGGCGGGTGTAACAGGATCAAACCAGGACGATAAGTTGTGGGATTGGTTGATGGTACAGCATTAAAGAACCTACTTGTCTTTAGCCTCCAATTTGGTCTTTGACGATTTCATCGTCCCGATCGATGTGAATCGTCATAGGAATGTTTCTGTGCTAGAACGTGGATAGCTTGATCAAAAAGATTTCACCACTCCAGGGGCTGTGCGCAGTTGGACATTCAAATGTTGATCTATCCGGAGTGTTAAGAATACGTTTCGAAGGATACAGCATAGTATTTGAACGAGCTATACACCGTTAATAACGCAGGAAAGCGGGATTCACATTCAGCTGTGGCAATCTCCTCGAACGAAGTCGGAGATAACTTCATCGAGTAGGTACTGAGATCGATAGTTCCGCCTCCGGCATCAACAACAATGACTCTCTGGCGGTTAGATTGATCTTCCTCCTCGTCCGAGTAATCTGATACATCTATAAGGTTTTTAGAGAACATATTCGACGCAATCATGCTGGTAAAACAGAAATGAAGACTTACTTCGCCAGCAGTCAAGAGGTGCACGTGAGATTGCTCCTCCTCAGATGAGATGAAACCAGCGATCTCGACAGCGCGTCTAACCTGTTGTTGCCTGGCTGCAGATCCGCAGCCTCCACCGACCATGTCAGGGATTCAGCAAGCTACCACGCAACCAAATGAATGTTATCAAGCACCCCTGGGCAACGCTTCAACAAATCCTTTCGAAAGCACCTCTCTGAGCAAGAGAGATGTCAGCCAGTCAGAAGATTGCTTATTTTTGAAGTAAGCCCTGCCTGGAACGATGACGTTGACATTTATGATTGGCGGCTGCATCCGGTATCTCAAGCCGCCTATGTGCTTAGTGGGTGGGCTGATATTGTAAAATACACAGAACTGGACGTACCAAGCGGAGGAGCTGCATACCGTATTCCAAGGAAGCTGGTAGTGTTTGTGACTGTGTCCACTGAGCCCTGGTACTGAGCATAACCCAAGTCGACGATGGGCGTCGCCAATGCTTCTAGCGCAAGCAAAGCCTGGAAAATGGCCAGTAGGTTAGCTTTGATCAACATTTTCAATCCCATAGATGCGAAGCTGATGGAATCGCGGGACCGCGTTATAAACCTTGCGCATGAGCGGAGTCCGAGACGACCCTACTCACTGTCTGTGACAGATTGATCACAGGACATGACAACCCTCCAGTCCCTAAGACTGACAGTCGAACAGTCGAGGACGCGCGTTACGTAGAGCATGACGAAAGAACATAACCAGCAGTTAGTCAACTTTTAAGATTGTGTTTCGAGTTTCACGATGAGCTACATGATTGAGACTAATTTGAGATTAGTATTGAGTACATGCCTCAGTCAAAAGAAAGGTTCCACCTAATGGTATTCCACCGCCGTTCGCAGCGCATGGCGGGGACAAAGCGGCGAGCCGTCGGCAGCTTGCAAATAGACTTCGGTCGCAGTGCAAGTACGGTAGATCGTCGTGAACAATAAAAATGCAGCTTGCTTCAACGGTCGCATTACGAATGACCTGGCAACAGGGAATTTGCATCGTCGAAATTGCAGCAATGGACTCAACCAGCAGCACAATTTAAACGAAGTAGATGCCGGTGGATGGTGAAAATCGCTGACCACTACTAGAGACAACAAGTTGAACTTGAAGGGACGATGATAGAATTGCCAGTTGGTGACGTTGCTTGTGTCGTAGTCGTAAGAAACTGCCCTAGCGTTTCCACCCGCAGGGCTGCTTCAACAGGTCGCGTCAAAAGGACGCTCTGAGAGCCACCAAGGCTTGTTTTGCGAGACTCTGAAATTTTGACAAATGACGTTGGTGAAAACTTGAACAGTCTCGGTTGCACAGGGCCAGGCACCTTTTGAGGCACCCTTAACGTAAAAAAATATTTCGTCATTGTTTGTTCGCCCTGTGCCAGCAGCATTGCAGCCTAATGCTGCACTGACAAGAACTCATAGATGTCCACTCAAGGACATGCATATGTCGTATAACTAACGACAAACTTGAAGAATAGAATTAAACTGTAACGTCCAGGCTTAATGTATGTGAGTGCGTCTCAAGGTCGTAGAAATCAGAAGCATTGCCGTTCTAGAACACGATTTCTTTTCATTCCCTCTTTCATCATGTTTAGAAGCACTCTGTGGTAGGGGCACTGAGAATAAGCGGCAGTAATATAGCGAGAGATACGCACTGCGGTGGACGATACCAGGACCGGACTCGTCGTACTCCTGCTTTGAACACCACAGGTTCTGGAAAGTCGACAGCGAAGCCAAGATCGAACCACCGATCCAGACCGAGTATTTCCGCTCAGGGGGAGCGACGATCTTGATCTAGAAGCGATGATGAATAAAAATGATGCTTCACGCTAAAGTCTGACGCGAACCTTCATGCTTGACGGTGCGAGCAATGTCAACTCCTTCTGCATACGATCGGCGATACCTGGGAACATGGTAGTACCACCCGACATCACAACGTTACCGTACAAGTCGCGACGGATATCAAGATCGCACTTGAAGATCGAGTTGTACCTAGAAGGGAAGGTAAGTCAGACACAGTTCCTGATACACGATGTGATTGCTTACGTTGTCTCATGGATACCTGCGGATTCGAGACCAAGGAATGAGGGCTGGAAGAGAGCCTCAGGTGCACGGAACCTTTTGTGATTATATGAGGTGTGATGACATGGTCGATAGAAATCATCTTACCGCTCGTTACCGATGGTGATGACATGACCATCAGGAAGCTCGTAACTCTTCTCGAGAGCTGATGACTGTGCGGCAGTCTGCATCTCTTGTTCGAAATCGAGAGCGACGTAGCACAACTTCTCCTTGATATCGCGGACGATTTCACGTTCGGCAGTCGTCGTGAAAGAGTAACCACGCTCGGTCAGGTTCTTGATGAGATAATCCGTGAGATCACGACCAGCAAGATCGAGACGGAGGATGGCATGTGGAAGAGAGAAACCTTCATAGATAGGCACAGTGTGGGTGACACCGTCACCAGAGTCCATGACAATACCGGTAGTACGACCGGAAGCGTACAATGACAAGACAGCCTGAATAGAAACATAGAATGCAGGTGCGTTGAATGTCTCAAACATGATTTGGGTCATCTTTTCACGATTAGCTTTAGGGTTCAGAGGAGCCTCGGTAAGCAAGACGGGGTGCTCCTCCGGGGCTACTCGAAGCTCGTTGTAGAAAGTGTGATGCCAGATCTTCTCCATGTCATCCCAGTTCGTGACGATACCGTGCTCGATGGGGTATTTGAGCGTCAAGATACCACGCTTGGATTGAGCCTCATCGCTGGGTAGATGTGAGCTGATTGCGACCATAATCGCGGCGAAACATACCCGACGTAAGAATCCTTCTGTCCCATACCAACCATGACACCCTGGTGGCGCGGACGACCAACGATGGAGCTGTGCATTTACCATGAGTGTCCCGTGTAAGATGGTAATATAGAAGGTAAAACGTACGGGAAGACTGCGCGAGGAGCATCGTCACCTGAAAAACGCAGTCAGTTGGGTATGCCTACAGCACCGCGAATCGTATTGAATCACCAGCAACTGCGAGAAGGCTTATCAGACAGTGCAACAGATGAAATCGAGGATAACTTACAACCAGCCTTGCACATTCCGGAACCATTGTCAATAACCTGACAAGTTTGATCATGAGCTTGATAGACGACGACGACGGAATTGAACATACGAGGGCAGCTACTTCTTCTTCCATGGTGAATTATTTGTTGTTTAAGGATAGTCTTTGATGGTTGTTGAAGATCAAGCCAAGTTGCGCACGATATTTGAACAGTTTTTTCAGACATGCGCAGTCGGGCAGCCGCAAAACTTCGCAGGGCTATGCAAGGGCTGTGGTCACATCTAACGCCGTTGCTAAGCTTCTGCTCGTACCGCAGTCGCAGGTCATGCTGCGTGTGCACGGCGTGGGTCTGTGACTGCGAGAATCGAATCAGACTTTTGCCAGACCAAGTGCGAATCCAAGAACTTCAGCCGAGAAAGAGCGGCCTGATGTAATCGGAGATAAACCACCTTCAGAGCGTATCCGGGTAAGGAAATGTCGGCCTACCAATATTTGAGCGGGGTATCAACATCCTACTTATAGCTCCACGCCAAGGATCCATTTCTGACTGGGCTTTACTCAGTGCCAACATGGTAACTGAAAAGATAAGAAACCGAAATGGTCACGCACCAACCTCGTTTTCCCTTGGTCTCTAGGAATCAGCATAGCCAAAGTTTGACATACTTGATGTGACCTACAGCCCCACTTCATTCGTCGGCATGCACGTGCCGACTGCGGTGCTCGATATAGGAGTATCTGGGGCTACTAGGTCAGTTCCCTCTTTATTCTCAACTTCCACCATCTCATGTCTTACTTTGACGAGGTTGGTGGTGGACTAGCAGTCCACATTATTATCATTATAGATATACAACTAATCTGCGTGATCCAGGATTCATACCGTCTTCCAGAAGGTGTAAAGCGGATTGCGTATGATGCTGACACCCAGAAGTACACTTTCCGCGACCAATCCGGTCAACTTTACCAGAATTCCTCGGGAGAGAAATATGGCGTCCTGAAACCTGTATCAGCACCCGCCACTCCTCGTCGCAGGGTGACCATAACAGGCGAGCTCGTGACCCCCCAGGCTCAACTGCCAAGTGCTTACATAATTCCATACGTAGAACGCAGAGACCCTGCCCTCATCCGTGCTCGCTCTGTCAAGCGCCTCGCAAAGACTTTCGACGATTTCCTCCCCCCAGAATACATCACCAACGCAGAGGACTCAAGTTCTGCGCCCGACTCTCCCATTCAAGATATCGCGCGGATGACCCGGAGTAGTACGCTATCAAAGATCCGAAGGGGTTCGGAGGTCGCGCGTCCTCGGGAAAGTTCACCTCGCGGGTGGGAGGATGATGAGAAACGCCACTTGCTCGACGATCACACTTCCAGTCCCGCATCGTATGCGACTTGTGAAGGTGATGAGAAAGAGTTGAGTCGCTCGAATTCTACTGCATCGTCCTTTCTGTCATTGCCTATTATCGATACACACATTAGTTTTGAATGATTCATCCGGTATGAATTTAATTACTACCTTCGTATGAGTTGAAACCACTGTACTGGACTTGTATGTAGAACCACTGGACAATTTTTTGAAGTGGTGGACAAACCAAAGCTCATTCAATGGACCTGGCGCTGATGCGTTGTCCCGCTCAGTAAGTTGGCAGACACGTTAGCCTCAACTGTACATGTAAAAGGAGTCAACTTGTTTTGGGAGGCGGGAGGTACCCAAGAACAAAATAAAATCAAACAAAACACAACAAATGAACGAACAAACAAACAGGTCGACTTGAGGTCGACTTCATCCAAGACTTTATGCCAAATTCAATGAAATCCGTTCTAACTTTTCACTCCTTGTTCCTCGACAGTAAGATAGAGAGTGGCCTGAGTGGCCCCTGCACAGGTGCGAGCTTTGGATCAGCCTTGATTTCTGTCACACGACCGCGCGAGAGCACCCGTGATCCCTTCTCCCTAGCAGCTCTTGCAATGCGCTTGGGAAATGCAGCGCGGATATCCCTGTGCGATTGGGTGATAGCTGAATTACCGAATGTGTCTTCTTTGATCACGGCTACAGGCGGTGGCGAAAGGAGGGGTTTTCCGTCAGGGGAGCTCAAAAAGGAACTCTGGAACAGAATCGGTGAGTAAATGCAGGCATGATCAGGCTGCTACACACATATGGTGCTGATTCTCCGTATTCCCCGATAGCCTTGCTCTTCCGTATGCTCTGGGTCCATGTGAAGCGAGGCGATCCTTCGTGTTTATCACATCTCGTGAGTTCGACACGAAGCGGCTGACAAAACGACGAACACACCTCTCGGTCTCTTCTGGAAAAACTCGTGTGGGAAGTTCTGCAACTTCTCCTGCGCGTTTTGCTTAGCGGTCCAAGAATTCAGGATGCGGCGGTAGACGAGGTAACTGACGATGTAAGTGACGGACAAGGCGAGAAGAACGAGGGCTGCGAATGGGAAAACACGCTTGTGTGGCTCGTCCACGGTGACGGAGGATGTGGCAGTCGCGGTAGGGGAAGTGGTGCTGCTCGAAGGGGCCATGGTATTGCGTTAGGTAGGGAAGATCGGATTGGCAAGTTGGAAGTTGGCAATCAAAGACGTCCTGCTTGAATACCTTGGTGGAGTGTAAGGAAAAGGGTGGGTGGTGGGTGACGTGGATTAATATGGCTTTGGACTGGAGGCTGACACGAAGATCTGCGTCGACGTACAATTGTGTACAAGGTGACTGAATATCTAGTACTTACAGCCATATCAGGTTCTCGTGCTCAAATTCAAAAGATAATAGGTCCGGTAAGAGCTGGGTCCTTGATATGCTCGGCCGTCTCGACGTCGAGGGCGCACTAGAACGCAATGTGATGAGCTTCAAGTATCGATGAAATATGAACTTAATTGGCGCTCGAGTATCCTGTTGCACTAAGTACGTAGTAAGGACATAACTAAGATTAACGGTCATAGTACCAGCCAGTACCGTATTATGATGGAGCAATGAGTGCATTATAGCAGTACTTATAACCAGGTTTCTGTAAGAAATTCGTTCGCATGCAAACGAAAATGATGGGGATATCCAGTATCATATCAATGAAGGGAGTGGTTGTGGTGGTGGGTAAAGGAGTGTGGAAATATTAGTTGCTGCTTCGTAAGACTTAAGACCCCCGCCTCCTAACTGCTCGGGTGTTAGAGAGTTAAAGGTCGGACATAACTGATCCCATGCTTCTGGAAAGCAGGTCAGCTATGTGTAAAAGTTTAGTTTCTTCGCGGATGACGCACCTGGCACAGGGTTCACATGTGCGCGGGTATCTGAGGGACTTTCAGCCATGACCACGGCAAAACCGCTGAATATAAGGGATTAGAAATTTCTTTCGTGACGAGATTCATACACATACGCATCGAGGTGCCAATCAATGTGACTTTTGGTTCAGAGTCAGTACCTTTCTTGAAAGCTCGATGAGAATGATGTCGTACCAATGCAAGAACCAGGGGCCAGAGTTGTCGGTCACCCATCGTATCACCATTTGTTGCCCAAGACTCCCAGCGCTGACCACGTCGCGGCGAACTGGGTTCGCATAATTGAGGGTACTGTTTCCTGCGAAGCCCGCGCTCTGTATGACATCGAAGGAATGCTAATGATCGTATCAGTACCAACCAAACATGCCATTGAAGTCACAGCGAACTTACGCCATGCATGTGGATAGGATGCTGGTAAAATATATCAGGCACATAACCGTCGAAGAAATGAAACGACGCACGGGACCACCTGGACCGGTTGTTGTCAACGTCAACTCTACCACTTTGTTAGCCTCGAGAACGATGAGACTGCCATTCGGGAGCAGTTGAGATGGCTCTTGAGCTCCACTAAGAATCTGGAGTAGGACAGGAACGGTGGGGGGTTTGAATGTGACATTGTTGACGTAGAAGTTTCCGCCGATGACGGAAACCTCGAGGTTGAGGTTGATATCTGCCTTCCCATACTCTGGAATGCCAGGAGCACCAGGGTTCATCAGAGCATGCAAGTTGGTCTCTTGCAATGGGTTCTTGGGTGCAGGATTGACTGTAGTCGGGTCGGCCATTCGGGCGCCTTTGTAGCGCAGGATGGCAGAGTTCGTTCCTCCCTCGTAGGTTGCATTCATCGTATTAGGAAGATTGCGTATCCAGTAGTTATCTGTCGGCTTATCGGCTACCAGAACCACGGAATAGCGCTGACCCGCGAAAATCTGGAGCTGATCTACCACCAGAGGTTCGGTCAGCTGTCCATCTGCTTCGATGACGGTCAAGTTATGGCCATCGATGGAGAACTGGAAGTTGGGATCGCATGATATTGAAACCAGGCGCAAGCGATACCGCTTTCCCTGCTCAACACTGATTACAGCAAGATCAGACATGGGTCCGCCAGCATATCGACCGAGTCCATTGACGAGCGTAGAGCTGGCAGTATTACCTATGACGTAGCGCAAGACGGTAGCCGCAGTATGATACCTAGTGATACTACTTTAGTCGGACAGATTACCAACATTTGTAAAACTCACCAGTCGGCAAGTGTGATCACGGTACTTGCTGGAAACACATGGTGGTCAGAGGGCTAATACAAACCGGTTGCTCGCTCACCATCGTCGACATCGTACATGTATGCCAAAGGGTCATGAGGATCATAAATTACCAGCGGTCCTCTAAGACCATCACACTGTTGCATAGATTAGTTCTCCACTGCGCGATCAAGGTTCGAGTGATACTCGCATATTGAACGGAATAATGACTATGATACCAGTAAGTGCCTGCCTGGTTCGGGGCGGAGAAAGAGTGCACAAAAGAGTGGTTCTGCGCAATGGGGCATTGTGTGACGGAGGAAGTCCCGTCAGCATAGCTCGTTCCATTCTGGTAGAGACCGTGCCAGTGCTGCAGCAAACAAAGTTAAAAGGTAAACAAACGTCGATGATTTGACGCTGCTTACGACACTGGTAACCTTGAACATTGAGTCGTCCTGGAGCTCGTTGGCCACCTCAATGGCAAAATCATCTCCCTGTTGTGAGGTCAGCACTGGTGAACGACAAGGAGGTCGATATAAGTTCACCTTCTGAGCTGCAATCAAGGGTCCAGGGAATACGCCATTAGCAAGAGTTGCTCTATTAAAGATCAGGAATGAGCTCAGCTGAGTGCCATATCAATAGACTCACGAGCGTTCGAAGCCATCGGGAGCGACGACCTTATTAGCTACGGTCAGTTTAGTTTTTGAGCCGAGCACAGCGGGCCGAGATAATGGGTAGGACTGGGAACGAGATATTATAGCTGCAGCATTAATCGATGAAATAAGAGAAGCGATAAGAATAGGAATAAACATCATGATAGACAGGGCTCTCGCCAGGAGAGTAGTGGGGTATAGGGTAAGATTATAACGAGGCGACACATCGCTCTTCGTAGCTTTTATCTTGCAGCAGCCTTTAGTGTTTCTCGATTGATCATTACCAGCGTGTGTTCACGCAAACAGTTGCTCAGTGACTACAGCGCAGTGGATATCTGAATATCGATAGTGTACTGCTCCAGGAGTTAGCAACTATCGGCCGGCGCGTCGAAAAACGGTGGCGTACCACGAAAACACGACTTGGACATAACATAAAATAACTCAGGCGGCCAGAACGGCCACATGCCACAGCAGTTTGGGGGAACGCTTCAAGCACAGGAAGAGAAGGATGCAGATGGCTGGTTTTGACCGTGCGAGAGAATCGGACTAGATTTTGTCTGGAAGGAATGGTCACACGCTGCAAGGAAGCTGCGTGCCGACCTCTTCATGTCTTGAAACCGATCAAAGCAAATATCGATGGCATCTATGTTAAGCAATATGTATAAAAATGATCACCTTGCAAGTTCCGGCGAAATCACGGATGTTTTATGCCGGTATTTAACCGACACTGTCGCTGTGATGCGAAGGAAAGGCGAGTGGTGTATTTTGTCAGAACGCGGGACCAGCCTGAGGCAGTGACGCGGGAGAGTCCTGGAACAGAGCATGCTGTGCATACTTTGTGGCCTCGTTCTCTTTTCAGTAATGATCAAGAGCTTCTCGTATTACGGATAGGTCAACTTGAGAAACATCGATGCTAAAGTCATGCTTAGCGCCAATACTACCTGCTTAGATGCGCATATCAGCTTGCTGCAGACCTTCGGAGATACTGACACAACGGTCACTTATCGTGTGGCAATTGCAAGATTGTACACACTGGCATTGGTAGAATAAATAGTATGGAACGGATTAGCTCGCAACCAAAAACAAATATATTTCTTGACCAGACCTGAGGAAAACACTGGTCGGGATGACGATTCCGGTGTTGCATTGGACCGCCACACCCACACGGACACCAAGTCAGTGTTGCGTCATGCATTCCAAAATCACGCAAGAGGGATTAACAACATCGAGTCATTGGACTGAGCTATGTCATTTGAAGTAACGACGGCGGTATCCAGAGCAGAGACTGTTCGTCGAGGATTGAAGACACATGCGATGACTCCAAATAAGAACGGTTTTGCCTAAAATGAACTCAAGATGGGAAGTCGGCAACGAAGCATCGCCAATAAGTGCGTGTCGGGTCGGTTAAAACGGCGTAGCTAGGATTGGAGCCTTGTGGCCGCGGGACCTTAGCGGCGGCCGACTGTGCAACTGCACCGGACGTTCAGGTGTCTTGACACAGAATTGTGAAAGGAGGCGGTTGGTTTGATGATGGTTGCGGCGCGATCACAATGACCGAAGGATGTGCCATAATCGAATTGCGCAAGTCCGGCTCCAGTGACCATATAGAACTCATCAGCGAGAGTTCGTTCACGGCTGACAGGCTAGTATGCCAGCGACGGTGATTGTGGCACGAATCGCACGACCGCAGACAGTGGAGTTGTTATTAATTCTAGAAATCGGGCTGCTGGTGAGGAAGTGAGCAATGGCTCAGAGCCCACGTTTGGCCCACGCCGTTGTCGACTTTTACGTTTGCCACATGCCAGTACTTGATACGACAATGATACGACAGCAAGACTGGAAACCAGCCGCCGGCGTTGTCTGATCATGAGAAGGAACATTCGTGCGGGAAGAAAGAGAACCATTTGAAATCCCGCGCATGTGACCCAACACTGCCACGTCTAACGCGTCGTGTCCTTGTCACGTACGAATTTGAACGCACACCGCAGAAACAAGTTACGACAAATTTAAACGTTTGCATACTAGTCTTCAATGATATCCACACTCGACAAATCTACTGCATTAATGATCGGACGACAACCGAGGACGTTGTTGACAGGCTCTGTTGTTGGCTACCATGGGTTATCACATTCTTGTCAGTACTGTCAATGTCCGAAAACACTGACAATGTGCTCTGCCACTGTTCAGAGCTGAGCGCTGAGAGGGTGCGTGAGGTGAGCATCGCGGAGTGATTAGCTTACTGTTTCGCTACTAGATAAGGTATGGATCGAGATTTTGAATCACTGATCGACTTTGACCACTTTGCAGGCTGCTTCTCCGAGTCGCCGCGACAACTCTGATCTTTTTGACAATGTCGGGCCATGGACACATCCTTAATCCCCTGGCTTTACAGTATCACTTACTTTATCCTATCCTCTATTCTCATGTTCTCGTGAGACTAATGCTCCCAGTGAACTTCGTTGCTTCTTTCCTCAGCTATCGACCAGTTAGCTGAGTCCTGTGAAGCCAAGGTACAAGCCTCCATCATCATCATCATGGGCCTGGCTTATGTGTGTATGAGGCCAGGCCAAGCACATCGCTAGTAACTTATGGTCACTTCAGCGGCAGCCCGACTTCCAGGATTAACATTAACTTCACGATCTATCTGCGGTCGTGCAATTTGGGCCGCAGTCACCGTCACTGCCATGGCCTGCCTGCCGAGAACGGATGAGTCCTCAATGGTCACTTCAGCCCGACATGCAGAATTCAATAACGGCACAACCATTGCTCATTACAATCGTACCTTCACTATCATCAAGGCTGCCGGCCATCTCCTGTCAAAATCATGTACTGAGACACCTGAGCGCCTAGTGCGTAGTCAGCACTGCCAAGTCCCGACATATCACGAGTTGTATCTTACGGCATGGGACCATTTATTTCAAACGAAGTCTGGTCCGATACTCTCGCGCGGCCGCCACCGGGTACTATGTATCAGCCATCTGCATTTTTGTTTGCCAGTGCTTGAAGACATGCCGTACTGCTGTGGATTCCTAGCACTAACACATGGGGTCAATCGTCTGCTCTCACCGCCCGAGTTATTTATATTCTATCTCAGTCATGGTTTTTTTTGGTACGCCATCGTTCATTAACGCGCTGGCGGATGGTTGCTAACTCCAGGAGCAGTATAGCGGTGAAGTTTAAATGTCCGGGCAATGGAGGTCACTGCGCTGTTACCGGCGCGATCACACGTTGATACAGGTACTAGCTGCTTTGAAATGTGAAAACTCATGGCTATCTGTCGCTGCAAGATAAAAGCTGCCATAGCATTACAATCTTATTCTAAATTCCACTACTCTCCCGGCGACAGCATAACACCTATCGTGAATAATCACGATGATTATTCTTTTTCTAATTGCTTCTTTCCTTTCATCGATTAATGCTACAGCTGTAGTATCTCGTTCACAATCCTACCCATTGTCTCAGCCCGCCGTACATGGCCCAAAGACCAGACTGACCATAGTGAATAAGGTGATCGCTCCCGATGGCTTCATACGCCCGTGAGTGTATTGCCACAGCACTCAAAACTCACTCCTGATCGTCGACAGAGCAACTCTTGTTGATGGCGTGTTCCCTGGACCCTTGATTGCAGCACAGAAGGTGAACTCGTGTCGACCTCCTTGGCATGCACGCCAGTACTGACCTTACAATAGGGAGATCACTTTGATATCGATGTGGTCAATAAGCTCAGGGACAACAAGATGTTTACACTCACCAGTGTCGTAAGCAGCGTATTATCAACGTTGTCAAAAATTAACCTTGTGTACCGCAGCACTGGCACGGTATCTCCCAGAATCGGACGAACTATGCCGATGGGACGTCCTTCGTCACTCAATGCCCCATTACGCCGGGCCACTCGTTTTTGCACTCTTTCTCAGCCCCGAACCAAGCAGGCACTTACTGGTATCATAGTCATTATTCCGTTCAATACGCAAGTATCACTCGAACCTTGCTCACGCAGTGGATGACTGACCTATGCAATAGTGTGATGGTCTCAGAGGACCGCTGGTAATTTATGATCCCCACGACCCTTTGGCATACATGTACGACGTCGACGATGGTGAGCGAATGATTGGTTGATATCAACCATCTGACCATCATGTGTTTCCAGCAAGCACTGTGATCACACTTGCAGACTGGTGAGTTTTCCGAATGTTGGCAATCTGCCCGGTTAAATTTGGACCACTAGGTATCATTATATGGCCAAAGACTTGATTGGCAAGATACCTACTGCCCAGTCTATGCTCATCAACGGACGCGGTCGCTATGCTGGTGGCCCCGAGCATAAACTCTCTGTCATCAGCGTCGAGCAGGGAAAGCGATATCGCTTTCGCCTGGTTCAAATGTCATGCGACTCCAGCGTTCAGTTCTCTATTGATGGCCACAACTTAACTGTCATCGAAGCGGATGGACGGCTAACGGAACCTCTGGAGGTAGACCAGCTCCAAATCTTAGCGGGTCAGCGCTACTCTGTGATTCTAGTAGCCGATCAGCCAGTGGATAACTACTGGTTACGCAGTCTTCCTGATGCGGCCAATGCGACCTACGAGGGGGGGATAAACACTGCTATTCTACGCTACAAAGGCGCCCGAATGGCCGACCCGACTACGGTCAACACTTCATCCATCAACCCATTGAATGAGACCAACTTGCATGCTCTAATCAATCCTGGTACTCCTGGCACTCCAGGGTATGGGAATGCAGATATCAACCTCAACCTCGAGGTTTCCGTCTCCGGCGTACATTTTCTCGTGAATGGTGTCTCATACCAGCCCCCCACCGTTCCTGTTCTACTCCAAATCCTTACTGGTACAGACCCTTCTCACCTGCTCCCAAACGGGAGCGTCATCCCTCTCGAGGCCAACAAAGTGATAGAGTTGACATTGTCAACGACTGGTCCAGGTGGACCCGTACGTTTTTCTGATTCCTTCGACGCTTAAGCCTTACGTGTCTGATATACATTGTACTCAGCATCCGATACACCTTCACGGAGTAAGTTTGCTGTGGTTTCTGTGGCATGTTTGGCTGGTACTGATGATGATCAGCATGCCTTCGATGTCGTACAGAGCGCAGGCTTCGCAGAAAACAGTACCCTCAACTATGTGAATCCAGTTCGCCGTGATGTGGTAAGCGCTGGGAGCAATGGGCAACGAATGGTGATACGATGGGTCACCGACAATTCTGGCCCCTGGTTCTTGCATTGGTATAACATAATTTTTATTGAGCTTTCAAGAAGGGTACTAACTCTGAATCAAAAGTCACATTGACTGGCACCTCGAAGCGTATGTTTGTAAATCTCCTCATGAACGAAATTGCTGATCTTTCACATCTAGCGGTTTTGCCGTGGTAATGGCGGAAAGTCCCTCAGATACTAGCGCACATGTGGGCCCCGTGCCATGTAGGTCATATGTGAAGAGATTTCACTTCCATCGCTGAACTGCTTTACAGACGAATGGGATCGGCTTTGTCCGATTTACGATCATCATGAGAAAAACCCTCACACGCTACCTGCAGGAGGTTTAGATTCAGACCTGTGAATCGCTGATAATTGAATTACTTGTATTCTGAAGGTATCTCGAGCAATCAAATTATACTTACAGGGAAAGTTGCGAAGTGGTGAGACATGAATTGTGTGTTGCACGGATGTGTCAATGGTCAGCATCGTGGTAAGGTCACCGGGCCTCTCAAGCTATATATATATACGTGTTGACTCTTGAACTTGCATTCCGTCAGTTCAATGTTGCATGAACACAAAAGGTGAGATGCTCGAGACTCAACTCAAGTTGAACTTCAAGCCTAAGTTATCGTTCGTGCTGCGAATTCGCCTATCCTATCGGGGAAGTTCACCGAGCCCTCACCTGAAATCGTTTGTATACCTGAAGTCGTTGCTTTGCGCGTGTACCAGTCCAAGACCCTCGACCGCTGGCATGCTTGAGTGGGGCACGTCAGACAAGGCACCGTTGTATGGCTCGTCTGATTGCAAAGAGTGTGACTGCTTCATTGTGAATTCACTCTGATATTTGCGGACCCATCCTTCACATTTTCTCCTGCTGGCTTGAATGTATTGGGCTTTGAACATTTAGAAATTTGTTTGCACACGTTGGGAAAACTGGGTTTGCAGGTCAGGTCTGACAAGAGTCTGTCTCTCCTGGATTGTCTGAAACATTTATGGATGAGGACCTCGCTTGCAAGCTCTTGCAAGGACTAAGATGTCTTGATCCCCGATAACTGAAAGCATTTTTCATTGTTCAACAAGCTATGAGCAAGCTACGCGTTTACCGGGTCAATTAATTTGTCAACATGATGAAAAAAAAACTATCAGCGATTCACAAATCTGAATCTAAACCTCCTGCAGGTAGCGTGTGAGGTTTTTTCTCATGATGATCGTAAATTGGACAAAGCCGATCCCATTCGTCTGTAAAGCAGTTCAGCGATGGAAGTGAAATCTCTTCACATATGACCTACATGGCACGGGGCTCACATGTGTGCTGGTATCTGAGGGACTTTCCGCCATTACCACAGCAAAACCGCTGGATGTGAAAGATCAGCAATTTCGTTAATGAGGAGATTGAAGAGCATACGCTTCGAGGTGCCAGTCAATGTGACTTTTGGTTTAGAGTTAGTACCCGCCTGGACAGCTCAATGAAAATGATGTCATACCAATGCAAGAACCAGGGGCCAGAATTATCGGTAACCCATCGTATCACCATTCGTTGCCCATTGCTCCCAGCGCTTACCGCATCGCGGCGAACTGGATTCGCATAATTGAGGGTACTGTTTTCTGCGAAGCCCGCGCTCTGTACGACATCGAAGGCATGCTGATAATCATCAGTACCAGCCAAACATGCCACGGAAACCACAGCAAACTTACGCCGTGAAGATGTATCGGATGCTGGGTACAATGTATATTAGACACATAAGCGTCGAAGGAATGAGAAAAACGTACGGGTCCACCTGGACCAGTTGTTGTCAATGTCAACTCTACCACTTTGTTGGGCTCAAGAATGTAGACACTCCCATTTGGGAGCATGTGAGAAGGGTCTACAGCTCCAGTAAGAATTTGGAGTAGAACAGGAACGGTGGGGGATTGGTATGAGACACCATTCACGAGAAAATGTAGGCCGGAGACGGAAACCTCGAGGTTGATGTTGATATCTGCATTCCCATACCCTGGAGTGCCAGGAGCACCAGGATTGATTAGAGCATGCAAGTTGGTCTCGTTCAATGGGTTGATGGATGAAGTGTTGACCGTAGTCGGGTCGGCCATCGGGGCGCCTTTGTAGCGCAGGATTGCAGAGTTCATTCCTCCATCGCAGGTCGCATTGGCCATATTAGGAAGACTGCATATCCAGTAGTTATCCACCGGCTGATCGGCTACCAGAATCACAGAGTAGCGCTGACTCGCGAAAATCTGGAGCTGATCTACCTCCAGACGTTCAGTCAGCTGTCCATCCGCTTCGATGACAGTTAAGTTGTGGCCACCAATAGAGAACTGAACGTTGGAATCGCATGACATTTGAACCAGGCGGAAGCGATATCGCTTTCCTTGCTCGACGCTAATAACAGAGAGTGTATGCTCGGGGCCGCCAGCATAGCGACCGCGTCCGTTGATGAGCATAGAGTTCGCAACAGCTATCTTGCCGCGCAAGTCTTTGGCCATGTCATGATACCTAGTGATCCCACTTTAATCGGGCAGATTACCAACGTTCGTAAAACTCACCAGTCGGCAAGTGTGATCACAGTACTTGCTGGAAACACATGATGGTCAGAGGGTTAATATCAACCAATTATTCAACCAATTATTCACTCACCATCGTCGACGTCGTACAGGTATGCCCAAGGGTCATGAGGATCATAAATTACCATCGGTCCCCTGAGACCATCACACTGTACCACAGGTCAGTGCTCCATTGCATGTACAAGTTTGGGCGATACTTGCATATTGGACGGAATAATGGCTATGGTACCAGAAAGTGCCTGCTTGATTCGGGGCGGAGAAAGAGTGCAAAAAAGAGTGGTCTGGCGTAATGGGGCATTGCGTGACGAAGGACGTCCCATCGGCATAGTTCGTCCGATTCTGGGAGATACCGTGCCAGTGCTACGGTACACAAGGTTAATTTTTTGACAATGTTGATAGTACGCTGCTTACGACGCTGGTGAGCCTAAACATCTTGTCGTCCTTAAGCTTGTTGACCACCTCGATATCAAAGTGATCTCCCTGTTGTGAGGTCAGCACTGGCGCGGATGACAAGGAGGTCGACACAAGTTCACCTTCTGTGCTGCAATCAAAGGTCCAGGGAACACGCCATCAACAAGAGTTGCTCTGTCGACGGTCAGGAGTGAGTTTTGAGTGCTGTGGCAATACACTCACGGGCGTATGAAGCCATCGGGAGCGATGACCTTATTACCTATGGTCAGTCTGGTCTTTGGGCCATGTACGGCGGGCTGAGACAATGGGTAGGATTGTGAACGAGATACTACAGATGTGGCATTAATTGATGATATGAAAGAAGCGATGAGTAAAAGAATAATCATCGTGATTATTCACGATAAGGTGTAATGATGTCGCCAGGAGGGTGGTGTAATTTAGAACACGATTATAATGCTTTGGCAGCTTTTTATCTTGCAGTGGCAGATAGCCTTGAGTTTTTCCGTTTAAATCAGTTAGTACCTTTATCGGCGTGTGATTGCGCCGCTAACATCGCAGTGACCTCCAGCGCTCGGACATTTGTATGCTGTTCCTGGAGTTAGCAACCATCCGCCAACGTGTTAATGAACGATGGCGTACCAAAAAACCATGACTCGGGCAGAATCTAAAATAACTCGGGCGGTCAGAACAGCCAATTTATTCCAGGTGTTAGTGCTAAGATTCCACAGCAGTTCGGCCAATCTTCAAGCACAAGAAATGAAAATACAGATGGCTTGTAGTGCCCGGCGGCGGCCGCGCGAGAGTATCAGACTGACTTCGTCTGAAATAAATGGTCACACGCTGTAAGATACAACTGGTGATATGTCGGGACTTAAGCAGTGCCGACTGTGCACCAGGCGCTTAGGTGTTTCAGCACAAGGTTTTGGCAGGAGACGGCCGGCAGCCTTAATGCAATGAGCAATGGTTGTGCCATTATTGAATGATGCATGTCGGGCTGAAGTGACCATCGAGGAATGATCCGTTCTCGGCTTGCAGACTATGGCAGTGACGATAAATCATGATTGCGGCACGAATCGCATAATCGCTGATAGATAATGAAGTTATTGTTAATCCTGGAAGTCGGACTGCCGCTGAAGTGACCGGTAATGTGATGGGCTTGGCCTCAGGCCCACATAAGCCAGGCCCATGATGGGGGCTTGTACCTTGGTTTCACAGGGCTCGGCTAATTGGCCGATAACTGAGGTGAGGAGGAATGGAGTTCACTGGGTGCATTAGTCTCATGAGGACCTGAGAATATATGATAGGATAAAACAAATGATACTGTAAGGTCAGGGGATTAAGGATGTATCCATGACCCGACGTTGTCAAAACGGTCAGAGTTGTCGCGGCGAGAAGCAGCCTGCATAGTGGTCAAAGTCAATCAGTGATTCGAAAGCCTCGGTACATACCTTATCTAGTAGTGAAACAGTAAGCTGGTCACTCTACGATGCTAAAGCGTCCAGGAGTGTCCTCTCAGCTCTGAACAGTGGCAGAACAGTGTTCTCGGACACAGTGGGCTAACAAGAAAAGTGGTAGTCTGTAAAATCTCTGTCGCGTGGGAACATTGATTACGTGGATATATCTCTGCTCTTGGCAAGTTGGATATTGCCCACTTTAAAGTAAGACATGGCAGTTTGACTTATACGTTCTGTCTAGTTTCTTTTCTTTCTTTTTCATTGTGTGCCCGCAGGACCACATCGATTTTTCGCTGAGTTATAGCCGACAGGTTGCTGACTATGACACCTCCTGCAGGTCATCACGAGAAGGCTGTGCGTCGTTGCACGTGATGACATTGAAGATTGTCCCTATAACGTTGTTCATGATGTTGAAACATATCCTCTACATTACGGTACCTTATATTTTCCTCAAGTGCATACTTCTCTCTGTGGTTCCTCGGTCAGATTTTGCTCCTGGTTACAAAAGACTTCATAGCGCACCTGGCAATAAAAAATGAAAACTGTAGTCACACCATTACTTAATTTGGCTATAGGTACCGTTCTCATCACATCACTTCTTCGTAGACGATCGCTAGCAAGATCTCTTGATTCAACGCAGGATGTCTAATACGACCCATGAACCGCAGACATTCTCTGCTGAATCATACTTTGCAACACAACCGCAACCTCCTTCACTCGTCTCCGACATAGAGGCTGTCCACGATTTTATCCAACGGCAACGACAGGCTAACCGATCCGTCGTGCTTGTAACGGTGAGAGTCGTTCTCAGAAGTGCTCGCGTCATGCGTCCTGAACTCGAACTAGAGCGGAGGGACCACCGTACCGCTGGAGCTCAATGTGTAAGAACGAGCTACCACCCAAGCTGTACAAGGTCACTGACCTCATGCCCAATAAATGTGCAGCGTCCGCTTCCTCGATAACTTCAGCGCCGGTATGCTCTACTTTTAATTTTCGTTGTATTCAATTAACCATCATGAAAGGTACCCGAGGTGCAACGTCTGCCGAGTATTTCCTCAAAGCTGGCTATGCCGTCATATTCATGCATCGCCAGTTCAGCCTACAGCCCTTCAGCAGGCATTATTCCCACTCAACGAACCCATTTCTCAACTTTCTCGAGATAGATGCTGCATTACCATCGTCTTCGACTATAGATTCGGCATTCCCATACTCAAATGATCCTGCACCGCCGACACCGGCACCCCAAATCACTGTAACCACTGCTGAGCGCGCCAAGCTCTTTTCTGTGCTCCGCGCATACAAGGCAGTGCATGCCCAAGGAACCCTTCACATGCTCTCGTTCGTCAGCGTGAACGAATATCTTTGGCTACTGCGCGCGGTCAGTAGTGAGATGAGTGTCCTAGGAAGAAAGGCGATGTATTATCTTGCTGCCGCTGTCAGTGATTTCTTCTTGCCACAGCAGAGATTGGTAGGTGATCCCACCCTATTTCAATATACGATGTTGATTTATGGGTGAAAAGTCGGAACATAAGATACAATCTGGAAAAGGCAATCTCTCCATAGAAATGGATCAAGTACCAAAGATCCTAAAGCCACTGGTGTCAGAATGGAACCCAGAAGGGTTCATCGTCTCATTCAAGGTACGCCTGTGTCAGTTTATACCTCACCATGCGACCGACATATTTTTTCAGCTCGAAACTGACGAGACGATTCTGGTACCGAAAGCCCAGCAAGCGCTTGAGCGTTATGGACATCAGGTGGTGATCGGAAACGATCTCCACCACCGCAAGCACCGCGTTGTGTTGATATCTCCCGTGACGCATGCAGGCGCTACAAATAAATTGGACGGAACCGTCGCATCTCAACCTAAATATGCGGAATTTTGGATAGAAATCGATCCTCATCAACCGTCCAACCATCCCAAGGAAATAGAGGAAGACATCATCGAAGAATTGCTTAAACGGCACAATGCATGGATTGAGGGCTCGTGAGTGGGGAGACATTTTGATCTATAGCAATGCGTAGTATGTAATGATATATACACTAGAATTATGGATCTTTGATATTTTGTCGAGGCGTATGCGAGCGGGAGTAAAATTCGCTCCCCCGTTAAGTTTATTAATTTAGTAGAAATGCGTCCGACTTCAGCCGACTCCTGTGTAGCACATAGTGCCGACCGCAGCGACGTTTATCCTAGCTTACGACCGGTGATAGCCTTGAGTGTCACCGAGTCACATCCTCTCATAACTTATTTATAGGAAAAGGAATGAAACGAATATATCACGAGGCGCGTACAACATGTTATCTTGAGGTAGGTTTTACACATAAAACTGGGAGATCTTCTCGCGCAAGCGTCCTCTTTGGCCATGTTGGTGGAATGGACGACGACTGGGGCTGGTTTGCCGGAGAGAGGTCAGATGGCTCGATGGTACGCGAGTGACCCTGATCGGAAAGCGGGATGTCGACGTTATGCGGCTCGCGCTCGAGAATACTTGATGGTGTATTATTCACGGGAAGCTGCTCTGAGTGATGGGCTATATGTGGAGTGTCGACGAAAGTACTCTGCACCTAAGTCGTGTGAGTTGAGGCTTTGTTGTAATAATAGACCACACTCACCGTCAGCTTTGGATCGCCGCATGTATGGTGCGCCAAAAGGGGGCAACAGACCGAGCACAGCACAACAAACTTGTCTGTGTCTGATATTCTGAACTGTGTCACGACAGGAGGGGCGAGGAACTTTGATGGTGCAGCAGCGACGAAGGTGCATGTCGCGTGCGACGCGCCCACAGTAGTAGTCACGTCGCCCTGCTTATGCTTGGTGGCTGACTTGGTCTGTGGACGCCAGAGATGCATCTTTGAGAACCACGAGAGCACACGGGGCCAATGTTTGTCGATCGGGCTTGTCTTGTCTTTGTGGGCCGTCGATGAGCTTTGCTTGATCCTGGCTGATGAGCGCGAATGCTGGAGAAACACGAAGACCACGAGGGCACCCATGCCAATTATAGAGATTGCGAGCATGATGATGCTTGCGACAGGAAATGAGCCTTGAATGACCTGGGCCGGGCGGATTGAAGGACTGGACGTGGATGCAGCTGGGAAGCTAGCTGTATTAGTGCCATTGGAGGGTGCCATGATAGATGAGAGTTGTTCAAGACTCAGCTCAACTTGGTCCTAGCCAGACCTTGTCATCCTTCTTTCAAGATGGGAATAAGAGGCTGACAATTCTGTCAACTCCAACGCACGGAGGATTTCACACTAGACTTAGCGTATTACCATGATTCGATTCTCGCCGTCACAGACCCACGCTCGTGCACATGCAGCATGACCTGCGACTGTAGTACAGGCTTAAGCGGTGGTGGATGTGACCATGGTCCTTGCAATGTGCATAGTCCTGCGAAGAACGATTTTGCGACTGCGGCAATGTCTGAAAAGAACTTCGAATAACATGCGCAACTTGGCTTGATCTCCAACAACCATCAAGTCTACCCTTAAACAACAAATAATTCACCATGGAAGAAGAAGTAGCTGCCCTCGTATGTTCAATTCCGTCGTCGTCGTCTATCAAGCTCATGATCAAACTTGTCAGGTTATTGACAATGGTTCCGGAATGTGCAAGGCTGGTTGTAAGTTATCCTTGATCTCATCTGTTACACTGTCTGATAAGCTTCCTCGCAGTTGCTGGTGATTCAATACGATTCGCAATGTTTTGGGCACACACAACTGACTGCATTATCTAGGTGACGATGCTCCTCGTGCCGTCTTCCCGTATGTTTCACCTTCTGTATCACCATCTTGCACCGGACACTCATGGTAATTGCACAGCTCCATCGTTGGTCGTCCGCGCCACCAGGGTGTCATGGTTGGTATGGGACAGAAGGATTCTTACGTCGGGTATGTTTCGCCGCGATCGTAGTCGCAATCAGCTCACATCTACCCAGCGATGAGGCTCAATCCAAGCGTGGTATCTTGACGCTCAAATACCCCATCGAGCACGGTATCGTCACGAACTGGGATGACATGGAGAAGATCTGGCATCACACTTTCTACAACGAGCTTCGAGTAGCCCCGGAGGAGCACCCCGTCTTGCTTACCGAGGCTCCTCTGAACCCTAAAGCTAATCGTGAAAAGATGACTCAAATCATGTTTGAGACATTCAATGCACCCGCATTCTATGTTGCCATTCAGGCTGTCTTGTCATTGTACGCTTCCGGTCGTACCACCGGTATCGTCATGGACTCTGGTGACGGTGTCACCCACACTGTGCCTATCTATGAAGGTTTCGCCCTTCCACACGCCATCCTCCGTCTCGATCTTGCTGGTCGTGATCTCACCGACTATCTCATCAAGAACTTGATCGAGCGTGGTTACTCTTTCACGACGACTGCCGAACGTGAAATCGTCCGTGACATCAAGGAGAAGTTGTGCTACGTCGCTCTCGATTTCGAACAAGAGATGCAGACTGCCGCACAGTCATCAGCTCTCGAGAAGAGCTACGAGCTTCCTGATGGTCAGGTCATCACCATCGGTAATGAGCGGTAAGATGATTCTCTATCGATCATGTCACCACACCTCATATAATCACAAAAGGTTCCGTGCACCTGAGGCTCTCTTCCAGCCCGCGTTCCTTGGTCTCGAATCCGCAGGTATCCATGAGACGACGTAAGAAAACACATAATTTACCAGGAACTGTGTCTGATTTACCACCCCTTCTAGGTACAACTCGATCTTCAAGTGCGATCTTGATATCCGTCGCGACTTGTATGGCAACGTTGTGATGTCGGGTGGTACTACCATGTTCCCCGGTATCGCTGATCGTATGCAGAAGGAGTTGACATCGCTCTCACCGTCAAGCATGAAGGTTCGCGTCAGACTTTTAGCGCGAAGTATAATTCTTATTCATAATCGCTTCTAGGTCAAGATCGTCGCTCCCCCTGAGCGGAAATACTCGGTCTGGATCGGTGGTTCGATCTTGGCTTCGCTGTCGACTTTCCAGAACCTGTGGTGTTCAAAGCAGGAGTACGACGAGTCCGGTCCTGGTATCGTCCACCGCAGTGCGTATCTCTCGCTATATCACTGCCGCTCATTCTCAGTGCCCCTATCACAGAGTGCTTCTAAACATGATGAAAGAAGCAATGAAAAGAAATCGTGTTCTAGAATGGCAATGCTTTTGATTTTCTACGACCTTGAGACGCACTCACATACGCTAAGCCTGGATGTTACAGTTTACTTTTACTCTTCAAGTTTGTCATTAGTTTTCCGACACGTTTCCTTGAGTGGATATCACAATCTATGGCTTCTTGTCAGTCCAGCATTATCGCACGGCATCACTTGGGTTGCACCGCGCACCTATTACTACGTGAGACGCCTATAATAGGTCGAAAGGCAGGACCGGCTGTCGGGACCGCTAAGCCATTTTCAGCGCTTGTATTCTCATCTTACCCAGAATCTTACCAAAGACGCAAGAATTTAGGTTGATTCATAGTACATACGTATACTAACGCGAGGGCGAACGGAAAATGTGATTGAGGTCTTTCAAATGCCTCTGATGTAATCGATGGATCCGACTTTGCATCTCTCGGTAGAGAGCCGATCTAGTACTTCGGATGGTACCATAGACTGTATACAAAAGGCTTGTAGGCTGCCCGGTGCAGCCGAAGAACTGCAATGTCTTTACCAACCCCCACCGATGTCGTGCTCGTCGAAGCCGTCCAGCTCACAGCAAACGTTGGCTCAGACTGCTGGGGTCGCACGCGTGACCAGCCCGTCTCCATCTCCGTCTACCTCCACCTCAAACCCACCTTCCTTGATGTGTCCGGGCAATCCGACAACGTAGCAGACTCCATCCACTATGGTCATCTCACCAAAGCTATCTCAGCGCTCTCCGGACCATATACAAATGTTCGTGCGCTTGTGCATGAGGTCACTGAGAAGGCATTTGCTCTGGCTGGAAAGACTGCGGATGCCGTGCGCGTCGTTGTAGGCCTTAAGAAGCTCATTTTACTTGCGGAAGACTTTGAGGTTGAGGTGGTTACACCCAGCGGGCAAAATAGTTTACAGCAACCTGCAAAGGTTGTCATCAAAAGCCTTGTCCTGCCCGTGCTGATCGGCGTCAATCCTCCTGAGCGCCTTGCAAAGCAGAGGGTGATCACGAACATTACATTCTACGAGAAATCCGGTATGCACCAGGTGGACTACATTGCGATCATCAAACAAATATCGGAGGCGAGTACTCTTTGTTTTCTCTTGTCGCTTTCTGTCTTACTGAAGAGCGGCACCTATGCCAGGAAATCGACAATACTGCATACCTCACACTCGAGAAATTTGTCCTCCAGATCGTACGCAGCGCATGCCTTGCGTCTGATGCCATTGAAGCCGTGACAGCACGGTCTCAAAAGCCCAGTGCACTGTCCTTTGCACACTCTTCCGGTGTTGAGATCACTCGCTACCACAATGCCTTTCGATGATTGCCATGAGCCGTATGAGAAATGTGGTAATGTGCGTAGCTAAGCTCAGAGAGCGTCACATACTCATGCGTGTCATAGTCAACGCCAATTTCATCCATCATTGCATGTACCCGCCTCACATACAATATTAGAAGGATGCTCGTTACGTGTTTGTTTTCCGCCACGTTTGAGACTGCATATGGAGGGATGTATGTCGTTCGCTTCATAATGCAAGTACGAATGCTTGATCTCTCAATGCATGACCGACAACGTACACAGCCCAAATCAAGCCTGGAAGCGATGAGACTGACCCACAATATTTGGTCCAGATGTAATGATCGTGTTCTCGGTGTGCCGACAATTGCTGAAATGCAGGTTGTGTCTGATAGCCTTTTTGTTCGTTCATTTATCTATTATATCTGAGCTTCGGATGGAACAGGGGAGAGAACGTGCATGTGCGATGAAGTGTGCGAAATATCACCAACAAGGTCAACGATCGCGCCGTTTAAGACATTGGAGATTTTTGAGAACTGCCGCGAGATAGTGCCAGACTGCACTGCGGCACATTCATCCAAAACGTCACTCGAGGATGGAGCAACTTCTGGAGGGGTAATTGGAGGGATTAAAGCGCACACAGTGAACCGGGGAAACCATCGAGCATACGGGTACATACTGACACTCTACAGCAATGCCGTAATTAAAGACCAGCCCTTCGTGTAAGTAGTCGAATCGCACCACCTTCAAACTTCGACCGATGACCTATGCCACCGCCCCTTCCTTACTGTTTGATAATCTGTAAGACATCCGTACCATCCTCATCCTTCTGAAGAACAACTCTTTGATCGCCATCAGCTACCAAAGCCTCCGATTTTCCCCCGAGCGCAAAGTCTTTTGGAAGGTTGGAACCATGAAGGGCACATGAGACGCTGACTAGCGTGAAGGCTTTCTCATGACGCCTGAAGTGCATGATGGTTACCAGAATGAAAAGGATTCCGAACATGATTGCAGAAGTGATAATGAAAGGCATGGATGAGACGAAGACAACTTTGGGACTAAACACCTTCGCAGGAACATATGTGGTCCCAGAAAAGCCCGCCAAATAAGCTGCAAAGCAATATCAGGGTATATTCTTTGACAGGAGTTCAGCTCGCGCACATTTTGAAACAGATTGCAACATTCCAGCGAACGTCCGTGCCAGGGTATCAGTCGGAAGTATGGTCACGACTATGGGTGGCCCATCGTATCCCACTGGTGGTGGCAAGTTATCTATTTGTTCTTTTCCAAAAAGGAAGTTGGACTGGACTGTAGAATCACTTCCCAAAGAAAAAGTAGATTGATTCGCCGGGCCGGCATACGAAATTTCGCCCAACGCGATAGACAGCATGATGGGTGTTTGTGCGGGGTGTAAATTGCCCTGAGATATGTATTCTTTGCCTTGTGGAACAGGAAGGACTTCCAAGAACCCAGTTCCGTTGCTAACCACTTCACGAGTCTGGATCACAGCATTGGGTCTACATGCAAGAAATGCAAACTGCCAAGTTTGAGCTTGGGCGGATGTGGTTGCGTTGACGTCCAAAATGACTGTCGGGATGTCCGTCAGGTTTAGGACAAGTGGTGCTGGGATGCAGCCAGTGGAACATTGAGAAGCAATAAAGACGCTCGAACCGTCTGTCGGCGGACCTTGCGTAGAATGATTATAAAGAACATAAAAAGGTTTTACGGCAATGTTGAACGCCTGGCGATCGCCTATAAAGCAATCAGAGGTGGCGAGGACATGTTGTCTAAACACATACCATTACTATAGTCGTTCGTTGACATTATCACATCCAGGTCCAAGTTCTGAAGGTGGACACTAGCGCTTGCAGAATAATAAATACTTTGGTTCTTTGTGAGTTCTATTGTCGAAACATTCGTCGAAGCCCATTCACAGGACGGATTGATACCAACTACATCTGTCATCCAGTGTGCGCTGACGGTTGTGGGCAGATCAATTGGACTTGGGACAATGTATGCAGCAAACTCTGCGTCGGATGTCGCAACAGAGAAGGAGTAATTTGCCCCAAGCACCATCTCGGCCCAGAGAACAGAGCAAGCGAGGACACTGTTCTCGGATGCATCAAACCATCCAATACCTGGGGTTGTGATTGAGGTACTGCAATAAGAGAGGTCTGAAAACGGGAGACCAGTGAAATGGGAAAGCAACTCACTCATACACGCCTTGCGCAGGGAGTGCCCCAACAGCAAGGGCAAGAAGTTCGTTTTCGACAAGGGCAGTTGCAACATTCACTGATCAGCAATCAAACGCAAGCCAAAATGTAGTGCACTAAAAGCCACCCACAAGAAGCAGGAGCAACCCAAGATATTGCTACACATATTAGTGCTGTGAAGAAAGCTAAAAACATGTAAATTGAACAAGTGCGTGAAAAGGCGTCGTTCAGGGATCTCAGAAAGCCATAGTTCTGATTTGACTTCCTATCGAGTATGGCTAAGGGAACACCTCGCATGCGACGAGAACCAAGATCACGGAAAAACTCCTCGCCCTGATTTATTGTAGATCCCACTATGAGTACGCAGAAATACAACAACAATGGACATGGATACTTGCCTGCAATTTCGACACAATGTCCGTCACCGGGTAAAGGGCAGCAAAAACGACAAGTCGGTTCAAAGATGTAACCCCAACTTTTATCGTAGCTTTGATTGCAATCAATCTCAGAACAGACTAGTGACAAACGTTGACCAACCGATATGATCAGGTGTGAATGAATAAAATCCGTCGCTCTTGAGTATAATGAGGCGTTTATTTGCAATAATGCAAAACGCCAGGTATGCACCTGCTGTGAGAGGGAGGACCGACAATTTCACGACTGTCAGTAGCCCGCCAACGAGGCTTAGAACCTGCTGTTTGTACTTGAAAATTCGGTGGTTGCCCTCGTGCGATGTGTGGTCTTGCCATCGGTTACCGTCGGGCGCTACACTGTGAGATGAGTTTTGATCCAGATATACACCGAGAGCGCGGTTCGGCACGAGTCTGTTCGCAGGAGAGAATGAGTCCAGTTCATAGCCGTCCATGGTGACAGAAGAAGCCAGGATGTTCGAGTTCAATATTATTGATTCGAGGGATGTAAGTTTCGTGTCACTGAGGAGAATAAATTACATATCACCGCGCCGCCGCACACCACAATGGAACGCTGTCATTATGTCACTGCCAACCGATTGATCAGAAATCTTCGTACAGCATCTGCACAAGAGGCGCTGTTAGTGCTAGTGTTTGTTGGCACGTGAAGTGATGGAATGACCGGATCATTGCCTATCATTGCGTGATCAGTCTTGAAAAGGGCTTGCTTCCTACAATATCACTTGCCTTTTCCTTGGCAGCATGAGGGTCTTCGTGCCGTGTTACTTGAAAATGTCGATATTTGACAGGTGGACTCCGCTGGGCTGAGCCCAAGAATTGAGCAGCCCTAATGATACATTGCATTTCGCTTCCGATGATGCAGGCCTTGGCAGGTGCCCATGCAGCGCATCAAACTTTATCGTGAAATTTCGCTTCAAGTGCCAGAGTTCTGTGTGTCAATACTGGGTCATAGACAAGTACACGTTCGCATGATTGGGTTGAGGTATGAGTGCTTGTGTCGTCATGTAAATAAAGCAGGATGGGAACAGCTGGAACCACCAAGTTCTTGAAATCAACGCCCTGAGGAATATCAGAAACGTAGAATCTTGTACCTAGCAATAATCAAGTAACTTGGAGAACACCTGAGCCATCATCGTGCTGTTGTAGAACTATCGCCCGATTACCCATTTTTCCAAGGACATCCCGCTCAGTGCATTTACCGGTCCCGTCAGAGATTTCCTGTGTTAGTCGGGAAATCGCTTCGGGTAGATTCGACCCATGGACGACTTTCGCGACGTTCTTGTTCACGCATGAATACAGGTAAACCCACGGACTCTGAATCTCACTCACCGGCAAGTTGAATTCTTCACCCTTTGTCCGAAGATGCAAAAGACCAAGAAATATGTACAAGAGGAGGAAAGTCACAGTGGAGACGATAATAAGCGGCGAAGAAGATACGAAGACTACTTCAAGAGTTGAAATTCTGGCCGGAACGTAGGCAGTCCCGAGGTATCCTGACAGGTACACTTTCAATGGTAAAAGTGTTAGTAATTATCTGCAGTACAGTAGGAAAATAGCGCGCACCCTTCGATGCTGACTGGAGCATTTGGCCAAAGTTTGTCGAAAGATTCGCGATCGAAAGAAATGAGGCATTCACGATATCTGAGCCACTTTCACTATACCCGCCCGGCCAGGAGTCGACCTGTTTGGAACCGAACAGGAACTTGACTTGGGGTTCAGACCCAAGCCCCAACATGGCACTGTTGTTTGAAGGTCCAGCTTCTAGCATATGACCCAGTGCGATGGACAACATGGTCGTCGTATCGAGCGAGAAAAGGTTTCCCTGACGCGTGAGTTGCTTCCCGTCGCTAGGAGGCTGGACGAACAACATGGCGCTACCTTCTGCACGAACCTCGCGAGTCTCGATTACTGCGTTTGGTTTGCAAACAAGAAAAGCCAGTTGCCATGATTCGGTCCCAAAGACCATCGTGGGAGGGAGTTGAAGAGAGAACGTCGGTATCCCAGTGAAATTCAACCATACATAGTTGGAAGAGGAGTATGTCGAACAGCCTTCGGTGCATTGACCAGCAAGGAAGACTGTCGAGCCGTCTGTAGGACGCATGAGGGTGGTGTGATTAAATACGGTCAATGTGGGATCCTGGGCAGCAACATTTGCCAGAGACGACCCTGCGCGGTTGTGAGTGATTCTGACGCAACGATCTGATCGAGACATACCAGAAACGGCATTGGGGGAAATGCCAACATCTAAATCCAGGCCTTCCAGATATACTCCCGCCACTGGCGAAAAAGAATCTGATGCATCAAGCACTATGATTGGTTGGGTTATATTCGTGGATGCCCATGTGCAAGATGGGCTCAAGCCAATCACATCCGTCAACCAACGGGCAGTTGAAGTCATCGGAAGATCGAGTGGTTGTGGTACGATGAATGCCGAGACATCTGCTTCAAGACTGGCAGCAGCAGAAAAGTCATACTGTAGTCCAAGGATCGTCTCCGCCCACAGAATAGAAGCAGCGAAGTCTGCGTTGCTTTCAGCATTCATTTCGGTTATAACGTCTGATCCGCTATTGCGTTTGACTAAGAATGATGATAACAACAAGGTTGACAGTCAACTTACTTAAAGACGCTGTTATTTGCCACCGCCCCAACTGAGATTGCCACAATGTCACCGTCTGCAAGGACACTTTGAATGCTCACTGCGATCGTTGATATCAATGAGGTCAGCGGGAAAAAACCGAGACATACATGCAGTAGGTGCAAGGACCGAAGTTACAAACGCGATGAGAGATCCAACACTGGCGACCACAAAAAATCGTGAACATCGCCTAGTTATTATTGCGTGGATCGAGTCTATGATTCCAAATACCGGACTAGAAATGGCATTAATTGTCGAGAGAGGCACCCCTCGTGTCCCCTTTTGAATAAGTGCACGGAAGAATTCTTCGCTCTTGTGATAATCAGTTTAACCATACTCGGGTAGTGATATAAGACAGTTCACCTTCAACTCTGATAAGATATCGGAAATGGGGTAAAGAGCAAGAGTGACAAGAGCAATATTAAGTGTCGTAATCGCACTCTTAACCGTTTCTTTATAAATGGACATCAATACTTTATGTTTCGTGGGCAAATCGAGCGAGACCAACCAAAGTGGTTCGGTGTGATGGAATACGGTCCCAGAGATTTGAGTGTTACGATACGGCGATTAACAGTGTAACAGAAAGCCAAATACCCGGTCGAGAGGAAGAGAAGAATTAGTGCCTTCAAGATGGCCTTGACTCGGTGCCAAATGAGGTGATTCCGGAGGAGCAAACGATGGTGTTCAAGATAGCTTTCACGGGACTTGTCTACCTCGCTTGAATGGTTTCGGTGTTCGCCGAGCTCGGAGAAACTTAACATTGGGGCGGAGGACGTGACTTGGAACTCTGCATTGTCGGGTTGAGCATACAGGAAGTTACTCATGCTGACTGCGACCTGGAAGGGGAGTGCTAAGCATCGAGGTGTAACGCAGATGTCGAATACATGCCTATGGAACAATCTATATAGTACGTTGCGACGTGATCAGCATAGACGATGGATAGGACATCTAAACCCTGGTTGCTGGGTAAAAGCAGGAACCACAGAACAACTGAGTAGAACAAGAAGTTGATGTGACTCATCTCTGATGGGCTGAGGGTATAGACTGAACTTTATTTGCCTCCAGGCACAGATAAAAACTGATACATGATTCGTGATATTGTCATCCCGCGCATTCTGATCTTGATCTTCAGTCCTTCGGTGTAGTACTTCGGTGTCGTCTGATCCACGGGATATAACCCGGGAGAGCTGGTATGCTATGCACCAGGCTTCATTAGTTTCGCTTCGTCACCAGCCGCTGATCAGTGGTCTTACCTGGCCTGTCACTGTGCCATCAGGGCTGATCACGAGTGCGTGTTAGCTATACCATATATCGGCGTGCAGACCGCTTGTCATGGGCAGTAGGATGGCATCGACAATTCCGTCCTAGCCAGATTTATAGAAGAAACTAGTCGTTCCTTCTCATAAAGACTGACGATGTCGGCTGTGGATTCGAATGCAACTAACTGAGTGCAGTATACTATATAACCAAGTTGTGCTCCAGTGAGAGTACTAGTGCTGCCAGTGCCACGGCGGTCACCACCATAAAAACTTGCACAGCCACTAAGAGCAGCCCTTCCTTGGGGTTAGGGTTCCGAACGCAGACGACAGCTTTCTAGCAGAACGCGTCACTGCTCGTCGCGCTTTCACGATCCACAACCAACGCTTATCTCCTTCCTTTAATTACATTCGCCCAAGATGCCGCTCGAGGCAACCATGATGATAATTGACAATTCAGAATACATGCGCAATGGAGATTATATCCCATCCCGCTTCGAAGCACAGTCAGATGCTGTCAAGACCATCTTCCAGACCAAGATTGATTCAAATCCAGAGAACACTGTTGGCGTCATGACCATGGCTAACAAAGGGTACGAGTCAGTTGCTTGCGCAAAACTACGATTGCTAACGTTTCTTGCAGGCCTGAGGTTCTCGTGACCCATTCGAAAGACATTGGACAGATTATCAAGGCCTTGCATGTAACATCATCGAAAATTGGCGGATCAATAGACATTCCTACTGCCATAAACATTGCCCAGCTTGCTCTCAAGCATCGAGAGAACAAGAATCTGCGCCAGAGGATAATAGTCTTTGTCGGATCTCCGCTGGAGGGTCAGGGCGCGGATGAGCGGGAAATGGTGAAGCTCGCAAAGAGGCTGAAGAAGAACAATGTTGCTGTTGATTTCGTTGCGTTTGGCGACGGCGTTGAGGAGGATACCAATGTCCTCAAGGCTTTCGTAGACAATACTGCAAATAGCGATAACTCGTGAGTGTGTTACCCCATCAGAATGTGTACGTAGATTGATGTGCATGGTTTTTCAGACATTTAGTGTCTGTACCACCTGGTACACACCTACTGTCAGATGTGATAATTTCTTCCCCAATTCTGTCGGAAGACCGGGGGATACCACCAGAGGCGATGGGAGACGTTGGTGGTGCATCGGGTTCAGGTGGCACCAACGCCTTTGAATTCGGTGTTGATCCAAGTTTGGACCCTGAGCTTGCAATGGTGCGCTTCTAAGTATGCTGTCGAATACGCCGTTTGTTGATATTTTTGTACAGGCCCTTCGCATGTCCATGGAAGAAGAACAAGCTCGGCAAGCAGCGGAAGAGCAAACACGTCAACCGGCTACCGATGCCCAGCCACAGCCGGAGTCAGCAGGCGGAGACAAGGATGACGAGGCCATGCTTGCTCAAGCTCTTGCCATGTCCGAACGCAACGATGTAGACATGGGTGAGGAGCAGGACGAAGACATGGATGAAGAAGAGGCAATTGCTCGGGCGATCCAGATGAGTATGAAACAGGAGGAAAAAGAACAAGGGGGACAGTAGTACTCTTACATATTACCACTTGTATTTTTCTCTTTGAGTTACACTGTTTTCACGAACGGCTTTTGCTTGAGCGTAGTATGGACAAACTTGAATATTCATAACAAATAGCACAGCCACTTTAACCTCATTCCGAGTCCGTTCGTTTCCTTGAGTCCTCGATTGGTCCTCGACATATTCTTGAAATCCTCCATGCCATCATCACTCACTGCATCACAGGAGGAGCTCAAGGCGGCCAAGGTGCCTTTGGCTTGGAGAGACCAGTGCTCAGCGTACGTACTTACTTTACTCTTCGGTTGAGAACGTATGACCCACAAAACTGTTGCCCGTGATACTTCAGACTTTTGATACCTTTGAATACCTGCCGGAGAGAAAACTATTATCTACCCTGGACTTGTGAGAATGAGCGTCACGGCTACGAGAAGTGAGTTACTCTTTGCTTTTCTATTTGCTGAGGGTCTGAAAGACGTACACCAACAGGTGCCAATACGATGAGTAGGCATTTCAACTACGCACCAAAACATATGATGCTCATTTTTTCTATAGCATGATGCGGAGGATGAAGAAAATGTCAAAATTGAAACACCAGCAAGTAGAGGAGGCTGCTGAAGCTACCGAAGCTATCATCTAGACGACCTTAGGGACGCTTCTTATCAATCGCTTTCGAGACGTCAAACAATGCGACGAGATAGATGAGTGGTGTGATATGCTAGATGCAAGATGCTATTGTATGCTGGAGTTCTACACTTTCCTCCCTGTCTCCTTCTCAAACTCCGAAATTTCCTTCTTTACCCGCTCAACGACCTCTTCTGATGTACTGCTCTGCCCAAACGCTTCTACAAACTGTCCATTTGGATCCATGAGGTACACATATATGGAATGGTCGACAAGGTAGTCACCCTTGGGATCTGCGTCAGGCGGGGTGGAGAAGTAGACGCGGTAGGCTTTGCAGGTGGATTTCACAGTTGCATAGTCACCCGTGAGACCGATGATACGAGGGTGAAAGTCAGTGAGATATGTCTTCATTTGAGGGACAGAGTCGCGTGCGGGGTCAACAGAGATGAATACGGGCTGAAAGATTGTCCCATAGTCTTTCTCTGTGTTTGATGTGGTGAATGCATGCCACGGCTGAAATAATGTATGAACACAAACCCAAGGACGTCAAGACTGAGCCAATCTTGTCCAATTCAGCAGGACATATGTCGGGACAGTTGGTGAACCCAAAGTAGACAAAGTTCCATTTCCCCAGGAGGTCTTTATCACAGAAAGGCTTGTTTTCGTGAGTCGTCAGCGTGAATGGACCACCGACATGAGCTCGTCCGACGCTGCGTGATTCGAGTTCCTTTTCTATGTGGATATTTTAAAACACTGTTGGGTAGGAATGCGAAGGACGTACGCCGTTGTTCGAGGAGCTTTTGCTTCTCATAACGGAAGTAATAAAACAAACCAACGCCTGTTGCAACGAATAGAGCTGCAGCCTTTGGCGTAAATACCTAGGATCGGATGCAAGAATGTGAACAAAGAAAGCAGTTATGATGATGAAACATACCCCGACAGTAGCTCTATCCCGTGCCCCCGACGTAAAACAACGTCTGCCAGGTGTTGTTGTCGTGTTAAAGCGCTCACACAGAGGTTGACGCTGGCATCGAATGCTGCGAGTTGGGAAAGAGGGCCGCAGTGACCTGAAATGCGTGGATGAGAGCTTTGACATTTTCAGGTCGAAGTTCCAAAAGCAGTCGAGCTTGACAATCACACCTTCTTTACATTTCTGCATCGCTACAATTTGCAAATAATTAGATTCATCAGCACTTGCCAGTGCACGCGTGACGTTTGAATTTGCCAGTACCCTATGTACAACGGCGAACCCGCGTAGGCTGAAGCGCTGAAAGCTGCCATCATTTTCGAATCTTCAGCGTATTACATAATAGATCGTGTTGATCCTTATAGGTCCAACCATTAATCGTTATTGTCGTCGTCTACCCTAGTCATTGTACGGCGATGCGGTTCTCTGTCCTTGCGTATATTACGTTGGCAGCTGCCGCAGCCCCACCACCGGTTACTAGCTCCAGTTATATCGAAGATGGCCGGTCCTCCAACAAAAGCGTTAGTATCGAGGAAGGTATGCCGCACCCTTATATACGAACATCATAGGTTGATCTAGGAAAAGGATGGGAAGCTGTGAAATGTGAGTGCGGACTACTTGCTTTTCAACTATTTCCTGACGTCAGCGAAAATTACGGACGCAATACACGGTCAATTTCATCACCTACTCATCCCTGAAAGGCGCTGCTTACAACCTAACAGAAGGACTTCATTCTTTGTCTGATTCAGTACACACGTGGTACGACGGACTGCACGTTTCAGACACGGGAGAGTCTTTCTGGCACAAAATCACAGAGCTCGGCCCAAATATCAAGGAATACGCAGATGAACAATTCCATCACGCCGTAGAGCTCTATCCGTCTGAGCAGATGACGCAGTTCAGAGTTTCTGTAGACGGCGTCACCACTACAGCTACCGCCTTGCACAAAGTCTGCAGTGGAGCCGTTGAAGAAAGTGGTGTTTCTCTCGACTCCATTGCAGAAGAGCTGGCAGATGCCTTCAGTTTCCTATTCGAAGAGCTTAAAGAGATGTTTCCGCCACCCGAGGAGGCTCCCGGTCACGAGAACCGTACGATGATGATTAATACGGTGCTTGACCGCATCGAGGAGGGTTTTCTACCGTTCGCCATCAAGCTCGGAGTGAGCGAAGAACTGCTGAAAAGTCACTCTACTTCCCTCAAGTTCGATGTTCAACGTGTTGCCGTGACCATAGGCAAGTCGCGAGCGGGCACCTGACTGTTCCGGAACATTGACGACATAATATTACATGATACAGGAGACCTTGTTGAACAGCATCCCGACATCGCCAATGCCCTCGTGTTCGTTGCGACTGCAGAGATTTTTGTACCTCTGATTGGAATGTTGCTTGAGGGGTGGTTACTTCGCTTGGTTCTCCGTTTTGTCGGATTTGGACCACAAGGACCAATTAAAGGTATGTTATTGTATAGGTGCGATACTGAGCAGCATATGAATGTCTGACGTTTTTAGGTGGAATTGCTGCGTGGGTGCAACGATGGCTGTTTGGTCCCGCCACCCCACAGGGTAGCTGGTTTGCGGTGCTTCAGCGCCTAGCCATGATAGGTGCGAAGATTTGAGTGGCCTTGAAGTTGTCCGAGTTCCAGCAGGCGTTTGCATCACATTGAAATTTTACGTTTGTACATTAGATGTGATTTATTGATACCCCAGGTCCTCAAGTGTACTAGTATTTCATATTTCATTTTGTGAATGCGCTTGCCTGTGAGCATTACATCTTCATGAAATTGAGCCCAGTGCCAAATGCTCGGATCCGACCAAGCTCAGGATTGAGCTCTTTTACGTGTTCGGGGCAGTAGCTATTAATAAGAACGACTGACGGTCTGGGCATATCGGGGAGATTCTTGTTGGTCCACTGCAATAAGTACGCGAACTTAAGACCTGCACCAAGACCGCTGGATCAGTTCAACTACTTCACACACAAAGTACGCACATAATGAATTTTTACACGCAGTCGCGTGCTAGTACTGTTGCCGAGACATATCAGGATGCTTTGAGGACTAGCGTGAATTCCCGTTTTAGTAACACCGTGCGACGACAAAATGCCTGAGCTCGCTATTGAGGACAGCGAGCAGGTATGATGATGAAACATACCCACCCTGACAGTAGCTCTATCCCCTGCCGCCGACGTAAAACAACGTCTGCCAGGTGCTGTTGCCGTGTTAGGGCGCACGCAGAGAGGTTGACGCTGGCATCGAACTTTGCTGCGACTTGGGAAGGTGGGCCGCAGTGACCTGAAATGCGTGAATGAGAGCTTGGACATTTTCAGGTCGAAGTTCCAGAATCCAAAAGCAGTCGGGCTTCATGGCAATCACACCTTGTTCTCTACATCTCTACATCGCTACAATTTGCAAATAATTAGATATTCACCAGCGCTTTGTCGTCTTTTGTCGTTCGTGCCGTTTTACCGCTTCGCATTCGCTCCCTTCATTGGCTTGGCTTTGATGTTGGCGACCTTGCACTGGTCAAGTGTACTTTTTGCCACTTCCTGGAATCACCCGTGAACTGCTTCTCGCTGATCTTCTAACTGTACCTCCAACATGCTGAAGATGCCAATCATTCGTACTTGCATCGTATAGGCTTGCAAAGAGATATGCACGGGTGGCAGCAAGGTGGCGGATCAAACAAATCATTTTTGCACGTTTCAAATTCGCAGAAGCTCTACCAATTGTAAGGACCATTGCCTCGCCGAGTGACTGAAGGTGGGAAGTACTTGATTGCTTTGTCATGATGGATACATTCTGAGAATGGCGTCGGAAACAAGGTGTCGAAATCACGAACAGTTACGTTTTTTCATCTTTTGCTGTGTTCAAGTGTTCCGCCCATGTACGCTGCCCCACATCTTTATGTAAATCTGATTAAGCACAGGCGTTGTTCCAATCCAATCCACGTCTCTACCCTACGAATAACGCGAGTAGAGCTCGACTCCTGCATTCGCATCCACTGCATCTCACTGCATGGTGCATTTATGGCGGCATGTTTTGCAGTTTTCATTTGATTAAGCGTTGAACGTTGAGGGTGTGCGTTGGCAGCTGTATGGTAAGTGTGTTATCTTGTTCAAGGGATGTATTACTAGCCTGGGTGGGCGGATCTCCCCTACTATTTCTAACGGTTGGTCTGGCATCATGCCGACGCAATGAGCCATTGTTGATCGATCGTTGATCTTATGCAACTGATGACACTATTATTAGGAAAATCAATCATGTGAGGAGATCTGAACCCGTACGATCACTTTCGTATCACCAGTATTTTATTCAAGTCCCGCTACATCACTTCGAACATGATGTCATATCCATCGACAGCAACGAATATCATCCCTCGATATCATTTCGGTCATCCAAGCCCTGGATGCTCCTGGATGGTGGTGGTATATCTAGCACAAATATCATCGTCGTATGTCCACCAAGTTTCCCGCTCCCTCACATCCATCCTCTAACAGTATGACCCTAGTCTCAGACGACCCTAGTTGGTGGCCACTCATCAACGCTTGGCGTATTAGCAGCTATTTTATAGGTTCGTGAACAGCAGTCAGAGTTCGGCGCTGATGTCTCGATCTGACCTTGATTGTGGTTTTCCAGTTGCCGCTAGTGTTGGAGTGGTATATGATTGGGGTGAGCACCATAGCATTAGAGAATTGCTGATTTCACACAAGTATTTCCAGCCCTTACGTTCGGACAAGAGGTATGTTGATCCTATGACCGGAACAGCCATCTCGCTAAGATTTGTTTATAGGTCGAACTGGTCTGGGTGAGCACAGTTCCACGTCAGAAGAACAACATTGATTTGCAACAGAGACAACGTTGGTCCCTGATGACCGTTTTCTATCTGACTGTACGTAGCTTGCCTGTTGTGAATTTCTGCTGACTCGACAATATCCTAGGTGCGCTATCTTGGAATTTTATATATTGCGTATGTTCAGAAGGCTTGACAATTGGTGTCGTGCTAATCTATTATCTCTCATAATCAGCCTGAACATACTAAGTATGTTTTCTCGCATTCACAGTGTTTGTTTCTTCTGACCAGTGGCATACAGTCAATGTTCCGACGATTTTGTTGACTGATGCAGTGAGTCTTCTGCACCAATGCCTGCTATTCCCATTCAATTAACCGCGACGCCCTGTAGGGGTGAGTGTCATTCATGATCAGCTTCTTCGTTTACTATCATGACTGCTACAGATGTGAGTCTGTTTGTGGTGTGTAATCCACCCAAGGCCCATCACTCACCGGATTTCTCAGGCCGGATTCTGTACCTCGTGTGGAGTTGGGCGAATGTTGTGGCATTTCCAATGCTGTGTGGTGAGTTGTACAGTAACAAGACCTATGATATTGACTTGACCGAAACATGTTGCAGTTATCATGACCACTCGGTTACATGCCATGTATCAACGATCCACAAGGATCCTGATATTTCTCCTCGTCGTTTGCTTTGCTGTCAACATTTTCGACGGAGTGGTCATGTCAATGGAAACGAGGGGTGCTTCAGGAAGTACACTTATTCGTTAATGAAAACCGTGCAGGGCGCTCATTGATGAATACTAGAGGAACTCATTCTCTCTGGCACCTATGCGTGCACGATTGGCCTTGCGGACACTTCCCAACTTCTGTTTTCCATGACTTGGATACTCGGCGCTGTCTGGGAGGTCCTCGCGCTGTGTCTCGCAATCTGGATTGCTGTAAAACACTTCCGTGAACTGCGACAACATTCGGCTGGAGGGATTATCGGGGACTGTTTCACGGTGTTGATAAAATCACACGTGCTTTACTTTGCGAGGTGAGCTCATATTGTGAATGTGGTTCCCTTTTCCGCTGAATGATTGAACACGTTAGTTATGTTGCCTTGTCTTGCTTCGGCCTCGTAATTAATTTCTCTCCAACGATCTCAGCGGTATGTCAATCTTTCACTGACCTCTGCATGCGACTGCGGTTCATCATTTCTATAGGACCAATTTTCCCTCGAAGCTCAGATTCTTCTTGGTTTTGGTCAGATTTTGCAAGTCATGCAGTCCTTTGTGCTAGGACCACGCCTCATCCTTGGCGTTCGAGAATTCAACGCTCGGCTCGTGGCTGACTCTGATGCAGCAACAGCCATGACCTCAATCGCTTTCCAGGAGCGCGTGCATATATCAACTGGCAGTGGCGTATAGGATGGGAGGTGCACGATGAAGTTAACGGTAATCTGGTGCTATGCAGGGAGCAGGAGAATTTGGCTTTTTCTTCTTGATTTTCAAGTTTCGTCGTGGTGCTTATTTATTTGGTGTTGCGAAGTCGATTTCAAGGAGACATGGGTCTTGGCACATATTTCGTCGTAATATATATTTACATGAGTTATTTGTTCCGCAGAATGTTTGAAAGACACAGGACAAGGTGTTGAGTCAGACCTAGGCCAACCCTAGGCCATTACCATATCTTTCGCATTTACGTTCGCAGACTCAAGTCCCCAGGCCGAGTTAAGCGAGACGGGGACGCTGTTCATTTCATTCGGAAGCCCTGACTCCCGTTTCTTAGTCAGATCCTTGTGCATACAACTTATAGTTGTAATTTAAGATGTTGTTAATAGGGAAAGGGGCTGTCGTGCATGAGCATCTGGGACGCGAGGAGCGATCACGAAGGCTCCCTCGTATAGTTATATGATAACTTATATCTTACAATTGCCCCGATTTGTTTCCAAAACATATCCTAAGAAAGCCCGACGAACTGATCAAACCACCTAAACACCTCATAGTGCCATTTCAAACTGTCCCAGTCAGGGCATCAGCTCATGTCCAGTGTGTGGAACTGTGTACGCACCTATTCGCAGCATCTTGCAGCAAATGGTTTTCGTCGGGGAAGATCAGAAGGCGGCTCGGAACGCCCAGCCTATATGCGTGTCGATGAGTAAGAATCACCCGCCAAATAGCAGTATCAAGAACAAGAGGGAGAGGAACGGTAGATTGAAAAGAAACAACAGGCAAAAAAGAAACAACAGGCAAAAAAGAAACAACAGGCAAAAAAGAAACAACAGGCAAAAAAGAAACAACAGGCAAAAAATAACGAAAGGAGTATAAAAACGTACTGCTGCAATGCATGGAAAGCCGCAATGCCATTTCCTTCAGGAAGCCTGTAATCCTTGCTGCTATGAATCGTCAGTTGCGGAGTGGACCACTTAGCAACGGTGTACGCGGGATTGTATTTCCGCGATGTTTCGATTGCGGCGGGTTCCCATGGGCGTCCTCCCCATTCGTGGTTGAACTACAGTGCTTTTAGTGGTTAGGGTTGGGCAATAGGGATGGGAGACGCACGCAGAACAGTTCATCAGTGGCATAACTACTGTAAGTACTGTCGAATACCTATTTCATGCCGATGGTCAGTACCTTTCAATCCTTTCGCTCTTTCATGTAGCCCGAGTGAGGGAAAACGCACACCATTGTGGCAGACTAGTGCCTTGAACCCAAATCCGAAGTCCGGGTTGCCTTGGATCCAGCTATGAAGAATGAAAATCAACATGCAAAATGATGTAAAAGACAAGAAGGAAAAAACACGCACTTGATTACATACCCACCATAACTCGCACCAGCAGCTACCGTGCGACTTTGGTCAATCTATGCGAAGAAGTCGACTTCAGGATGTGTTGAGTGAGGGGAAGACGTGGCGCAGAACCTCACCTCTGGGTATTCTTGAAGGATATACTTCCACCCCATCAATAAATCCTGGATCGGGCGGCCTCCCCAGTTATTACTGACACCATCCGTGAAGTCTATGATATTGCGTCAGCACAAGAGCAGACAAGAGAAGAGAGTACCACACACTCTGTCCGAATGAAGTGGATCCCGTTGGATTGATAGAAACGACCACGTATCCCTGGCTCGCAAAGACTATACCAGACGCAGCCCAGCATTAGCCCACTCCTTGTAACCCAACAAAAGAAAAATGTGTACCATTTGGGTTCCAAAACGTCGACCACTCATCAAACCATGCCCACTGCGGGCCTCCATGGATAGACAACACCGCAGGCCACTTCCTATTGACCCCACGTTGGAATCCAGGTGGAGTAATGACATAACCATGCGTGTCCTGCCCCTCAGCCGTACCTTTGAACCAGAAATCCTTCCCCGGGGAAAGATATTTTCCCTGGAGCCCTGGGGTAGCGAATGAAGTAAGGCGTGTAATAGTCGTCGCCTTCACATCTACTTTTCTTCCGGCTAAGAGATTTTCCTCGGCGACATCAAGCCCACTAAGCTCATACACTTCGTTCGGGGACGTCAGGCTAGAAAGCGCAAAGGTGGCCCTGCCGCCTGGGATTGGCTTGAAGCCAGATATAGAACCGCTGGAGGTGAGGGCTGTAGGTTGAGTGGTGTACGTGGTGTTGGAGGGAGGTGTTGGCGGAATTGCCAGCGCAAAGACCTTGATGCGGGCGTGATCGCCCGTAGTGGCGTAAATGAGGGCAGAGGAAGGGGAGAACTAGAATTGGGTTAGTTGGCTAGTACAACAGCACAAGTATGTGAGGAAGGTGTAAAACGCGTGAAGGAATTATAGAGAACCACGACAGCTGGACTCACGATGATAGAACCAGGGGAGCGGTCCCAGTCCTCCGTGATGGTGAACTGGACATCCTTGTTGAGGTCGTAGATTACCACTTTGGCGCTGCACACGTGAGGTCGACAGTGCAGGAAGAAGAAGCGGTGGAGCGGAAGTGTGTGTGTGAGCGGGTGAGAGGTACATGCGTGAATTCAAGTCAGGATAGCACGCGGATAGGCTGCATGACCCACCGATCACTCTCTTGCCCATCAAAAGGAAGTTCCAGCCACGCGACTTTGTCGCCAGAGGGGCTGAAGACGGGAGAGTGCGTCGCGCCTTGGGTGCCCGAGGTGAGCTGCCTGAGGTTTGTTCCGTCATGTGCAACAAGGTAGATCTACATGGCATGTTAGCATAGAAGGGTCAAAAGAGGAAAGCGCACGCACATTTTGCCTGGTGTGCATGGCCTTGGGGAGTTGTGGGTCCTTTGCAGTGAAGATGATATGCGTTTTGGAAATATCATAGTCATCCGCCTCACCGAATGGTTCCACGGGGGAAGACTGGCTCAATTCGATTTCACCACCAGCCCAAAGAGCTGAATCAAGCACTCACAAGTCCCGTCCCCTTCAGCGCGTTCACGTAAGCTTCCCCCAGTACCCACTTCGCACCTATGTTTGCCAGACTGACCCCAATGAGAGCCTTGCTCTTGGGACTGACCCATGTACCCCATTGGCGTTCAAAAGTTTGATCATACACCAGGGCAGAATTGCCCCGATTCTCATACGCCGTGTCCTGCTCCTTTACGGTCTCGAGGAGGCCATCAGGATACACGTATGCGGAAAACACGAGACGCTGAGCGCTGGGACTGTAACGGAAAGCGCTTGCGGTGGTGATGGGGAAGGATCCTACAAGGGAGGAGGTGTCAGAGGTGAGAGGTGAAGTGGTGATGGAAATGGTGTAGAGGCTCTGTGTGTCATCTTTTGTCACGACGTGTGCGATGGTGCGGGAATCAAGCCAGAAGGCATCACCACCGTCGGGCAAAGGAATGTCATAGATATGACCATCGCCGAGAGCGACGACGGAGAGCGACATGTGAGACCTAAGGGCCAGACAGTCTTACGACTATAGAAACAAGAAAAAAGGGGGAGCGTACTTGTGATCTTGGAAAGAGTACGTGCTGATGGGTACGATAGCAAGATCGCCGATGTCGTTTGGCAAGGGAGCACCAGGCCGAGGAAGGGTGAGCATATCTTGCGGGGAGAGTGCATTTGCATCCTCACTGAGGGTAAAGTCTGTAGCCATCTAAGGAATTTGTGGAGCAGAAGCTGGTGAAATGGAACTGGAATATAATGAGATATAATGGCACCTGAACAGCAAAGCCTCAGCCGCAAGAAAGGAAGTATACGCGTGGTATCATTAAGGCGTCTGAGACTAGGTTTGTATACGCTATTCGTCCACGGTCCTGGCCCAGCTAGTTCAGCACGAGGTGATCAATTTTATTGCTTGCTGTCACTCACCGCCGCGTGCAGCACACTTGACGATAGACGTCCGCGCCAACGTCGTGTGATTAAACGACGAGCACCGCGTGTTCTCGTGGGTAACGATCACTTCAGCTACTTCAGCTCCCACACTTGTGCACTGGATATTCATGCAGGTCAGATTCAGAAGATGAATTTGAGTCTTGACCGCGACCCTCAGGATTCAAGTTATTATAATCACCTGCGATGTACATACCAACGCTCTCGGCACATTGGCGGTTTCGGAGTTTTCCCTCAGGCAAGACTTGAATCGAAATGTGAATGATAAAAGTCAGCAGATATACGAAGAATGCTCTAACATTTTTGGCAGTGTAACTTTCTCATCGGTTCATCGGTTCACTGATGCAGCCCAGTAAGAATCGGTCAGATGCCCTCGGACGGAGATTGATGGATTTGTCACCTGTGACTCCCACCTACGCACGGTAACTATAGGAGATAATGCACGTGTGTCGCACCTGTAAGATCAGGCGGATGTAGTGAATCAAAGCCTCCTCCAATATCTCCTGGATAGCTAGGGACTTTATATAGCTGTAGGTACGCAGAGGGTTGTCAGTATTACCGTACTATTAATAGAATCACGTGATGCGCTTACCGTGCCCAACATCGCATAGTGACGGGAACGTTCGAGCTCGTCGTGTGACACGTTGAGCTCGAGTATCTCACTCAAAAGTGGTCGGATTGACGGCGCGTTTCGACGAACAGCACACCAGTAATAATTGCATTACGTATACGAGTCTTATGGGTCCATCAAAGTAGACTAAGGCAATGTAAGACTACTATTCATCCCCCTCCTCTTCGTCAGAAGATTCCACAAATTCAGCGCTTTTAGGACCTTCCTGGAGCTGGGCAGGGTTCTTCTTTGCTCTCTTCAATGGTCTATGATTCTCCTTATTTGCCCGTCCTGCGCTAGACCCGTCCTTACGCTTCCGAGGTACTCCAGCATCCGAACGCTTTTTTCGTGGTTTCCGAACAACTTCCCCAGCTGAACGTCGTGTATCGAGTTCAGACGCATGAGCTTTGACCTCCGCCGGTGATAAAACGGTCCAGTAGCACGTACGTGCCTTGAGAGCATCACGGAGCTTGCGAATGTCGCCGACGGTCCCGATGTTCGAAGGGCTGGTGAACTTGACACCATGGGGCCAGCCCACAAGGCGCACTCCATATGTTTCGATGACAGATGTTTCGTAGTTATTGTAATTCATTACAATATCTTTTTTGCCAGTCACGGCAACTGTGAATAATGTTAGAAGGGGGCGGCGTGTGTAGAACACATTGATACTCACCTAGGCCCCGGAGGATCAGTCTGCGTACCTGCTTTCTCACAGCTTCCAAAGAGTCACGTTCATTGAGGTCTACAGGAGCTGCATAAGTACCCGAGCTACGTAAAGAGGCGAAGGACTTACTTTGATTCTGGGTGCACGCCCACTGTTCGTATTGCCTAAGAAAGTCAGCCATGGGATGCTCGTACACATCCTCCCAAAAATCTTCGGAATTATCTGTGCCGTGCATCGCACTTTGAATGGTGTCGTTGATGTGACCGCGGACGACAAATAGTGTGCCGTAGACACCAGTCCGAACTCGCAGATCATCCAGCTTCAAAAAAATGAGTTTAGTTAGTTGCTGTCAAAATTCAAACGTACCTCCTTCACGATCCTATCTGTTGTGGCTACAACGTCTCGCGCAGCCGCCAGATTGTTCGCCCGAACACTAACAACCTTTTTTTGACGATGCTCCTCGAGAGCTGCAATGTAACCTTCCTTTTCTTGCCTGGTAAGGCCTTTTGTTTCAGGGTCAGCCGCAACCATCTCACGAAGTTCGGCCAACGAGTACCGAGAGCCTGCGGGTCGATCTAGTTAATGCATGATAAGCTTCGTGATACAATTGAGTAAAAATTGATCCGACTTACCTGCGTTCATCTCTTTCGCCTTGGCATGAACAAGTGCGTTGATTAATTGACTTTTGCGCGAGGTTCGATAATGCGTCTGACTGCCAATGATATCATTGATGTGCTTGGGAGTAACGTGGTGAGCCCGCGAGAGTGCTTCGATTTTTGTTTTCTGTGCATTTAAGTATTCAGCGACCGCGTCGTGTAAGTTCTTCGTTCGCTCGAGCCTCTGGTCCCGCTTGATCTTGCGAGACGCCTTCTGGGCATCCGTTAGTCGAGGTGGCGGTGTCCGGGGGCGGATAATCGCTCGTGTTGGGTTCCGCGCTGCCCAAGAGGACGTGTTTGCCTCACGGATTGATTCTGGGATCTCTACAATGGTGTCCGGCACCTCTGCTTCGGTGGGACTCGGCTGAGGTGATGGTGTGCGAGCAGATGGGGTGGGGAGCTCTGGAATAGTTGGGATATACGTAGCTGCTATGTCCACTGCTTCGGTGGGACTTGGCTGAGGTGATGGTGTGCGAGCAGGGGGGGTGGGGAGCTCTGGAATAGTTGGGATATTCGTAGCTGCTATGTCCTTAGTTAGAGCTGCAATTTCATCGTTGGTAAGCGGCATAATGTACAGGGACGGGTCATCCCAGTCAATCTGATTGATGTTGGGAACCCGTTCACTGCCAGTGCTGCTGACCGGATCAAAACCGTCGCCTGAAAGACCTCCGGTCGAGATAAAGTTGCCATTGGCATCAAAATCATCAGCCGTGTAGAGATAACTCATACTTGGAGCAGTGGGTAGACAAAGCGTAGACGGGGACCCAACTTCAGAGTTTGGCGTGTGACGGATCATATAGATCACACCAATAAACGACACGCGACACCGCCGACGCACCGTGCACGTCCTATCATTCAACACAGAGTTTGGCGTGTGATGGATCATATAGATCTCGCCAATAAACGACACGCGACACGCTGTGCACGTCCTATCATTTAACACCAATTTTTTTTTGAAAAAAAAAGGCATAAAACGGTGTAAGATCTTGAGGTTGACATGAAACCGCTCAGGCAACATATTAACGGCAGTGCAAAGCAGTGCTGATCGAGGCATACCTTCAATGTACATGTTGCATGACTCGGGTCCCCATGCGGACTTGCACCTGCATAAACGGCATGAGCCATTGGCTGTTGAGTTAGGGTGCTGGTATTCTACTGGCCGCGGTCGCATTTCCAGCATGCCAAAGCAAGACAATGAAGCAGACCTGCTTCAACTTGGACCAACAACTCATTAGGTAAGCACATTCTGCTAACAAGCGCTTAATGTTTAACAAAACATATCATCGATCATCTCGATCATTGCCAGCTGTTGATGTCTGATCATATTATTTTGATCTCATCAGTTATCTATGTCTCACAGCAGGCTGTCATCACCATCAGTTATCTATGTCTCACGGCAGGCTGTCTCGCAAATATTCCTTTTCCCCCAAACCATGGTAAGCATCTTTCTTCGCATTTGAATCTGCTTGTCTCACTTATGCATTCAAAGGGACATCCGACTCGGGGGAGATCCTGCAGCTCATCATCCAGGCAGCGCACAGCTACACAACGTTGGCTCTCCAAACCAGGGTAGGTCAAATCGTTTGAGTCACTGAAATTTTGCTTACCACCCCCGGGCCCCGGACAGAGTTCGAGAAGCTCAAAACGCCAAGGCTCGTGCTCGAGCAGCTTTGTGAGTCCATCCCCCATGCAACTCTACTGTTCGTGCTCACACGAATGTTTTTTTAATTAGAAATAGGGCAAGGTAAGCACTCATATATCGCCATGGGTATCATTTACTCAACGGATCTACAGGAGGAAGAAAAAAAAACTAACCGACGATCAAACAGCACCCATCGCATCATCAATTGACGACTGCGAAGACCTGTCCCACGAATCAATTGACGACTGCGAAGACCTGTCCCGCGATGTTAGTTGGGACGCCAATGATGATTCAGTGCTCACGATGGACAACGATCTGCCCTGCCCCTGTGACTCTCAAACTCTAGATTCCACCGAGAGAATCTTCCAGAGGTGGCGAAAGGAGTGGTTGGTGTCAGAAGACAAATGGGGAGAAGCATACGAGGAAGCGCTCGCGCACGCTCGCACGGAGGGGACACATGAGACTGATATTTTCCTTGATCAATGTGCGATGCATGCTTTGGAGGGGAGGACGATCTTGGAAGCCATACGGGGGATTGTACACACCAGTTGCCCTTATTGCAGGGAGCGTCTCAAGTACGACAGTGTTTTACTATACGATTTACTGGTTTCCGTGGTTTCGCAGGTAAAATTCATGGAGGTGAAACTAGATAATGAACATTGTAAATAGGTACTATCATACTCAATCTATAATGACTGGTACTATCAGCACGCGTGCCCGACTCCAGGCTGTCTCATGAGCATTGTAGCAAACACATAGTGAACATCACAATAGCGAACTCATAGCGAACGGGTAGGAACAGATAGCGAACTCGAGTGTACGGATGCTCGGGCTCGCGAATGCAACACTGTTAAAAATATTGAACAAGGTGAGGTGTTTGTTAGGTAGAGGCAGACATGCTTACTTGACCCGAAGTCTAGGCAACCGTCAGTCTGAGCATTGTCGTGAATACATAGTGAACATAGCGTATATAGCGAACTCATAGCGTATATAGCGAACTCATAGCGTATATAGCGAACTCATAGCGTATATAGCGAACCCATAGCGAACCCATAGCGAATGGATAGCGAACTCGAGTGTACGGATGCTCGGGCTCACGAATGCAACACTGTTAAAAAATATTGAACAAGGTAAGGTGTTTATTAGGCAGAGGCAGACATGCATACTTCACCCGAAGCTGAAAAATGTGGTGGTGATTCCGTGCGGAACATTTATGACTATGACAGGGCTGTATGTAGCGGTTGATGCATGATGCAATTGTTTGCCCAATGCTGGTCGTCAAAAATGAATCCCGTCCCTTCCATTCAACAACCCTTGCACGGTGAATATTCCAACAAATGTATGGCGCTGGTATAACGAGTAAGGCGCTTTGCGCAATTTCATTTTGTTATTCTAAATACATGACAGCGCACAATGTAAACTATATTAAAGCTGGCTCATTGTCTCTGTCAAGTCTTCGACCTGCAACCATAGGTCATATGAGTCTGAGCTCGCAGATGAGCCCACAGACAATGTAGGTGAAGGAGGGTTGGGCGAGGACTCTGGAGAGGATGGCCAGAAAGGGCCACCCGCCAGTGGAACTGCCCGAACCCTGCCTTCGTCACACCCGGCCTTATATGCTGCTAACGCCTGCTGAAACGACTTGTATCGTTTTTGAACATTACCGCTAACAAAATTTGTTCGCTCAGCAACATCAGCCCTGACAACACCGTCAAGACTTAGCCAATGCAAGCCAACAGATACCCAGACATGTCACACTTACCAGCGGTAAAACACGCCAACTTCTTGCCCAACCGTTATCACCCAGAATCCCTCGGGTGTCTGATCGGCTCGTGGAGGATGGATGTCGCTAGGCATTGGAAGGGCGGCCGTGACTTGGCAGGGTGTCTGCGCAACCACTGGTGAAGCCTGAGGCCGAGGGTGGGATGGTGTAGCAGTAGAGCAAGCTGTAGTGGAAGGGGGAATGGGTGCCTCTTTCTTTGGAATGGAACGAGTGCTGGTGAGCGTGGATGGCGTGAGGGATGATTTTGATAGGATGATGGATTCTTCTGTTGTCTTGCGGCTCCAAGTGACGGTATCGAATGATGAATCTATTATCGAGTGTCAGTGTATTAGTTTCTGGATGGGTGAAACACCCACCTGATAGTGTCATCCCTTGCAGCAAATTGTGCAAATCTCGAACATGATCACCCTGGGTAGGGCGGCTACTAGATGGTGTTGACATAGGAGCGATCTCACTAAGGACTTGGTCGGAGCGCTACAGATAATCAGTCACGTGAAAAATAGATCAGACCTTTACAGTAGTACAAACATAAGATGCGTCTGAATGACGCGGACTAGTGGAGCACGCCAGCGAGTCCGCACCAACATTTCGCTGCGATCCATTCGGCACATCAGGGCACCGAGGGACAACAATGGATTGCCAGCCAATCGCATGTCCAAAGTACTCAAGCACAGACAGTTGGTTCAGCAAGCGGCAAGTTCCAATGAGCGGCGGCAAGCACGTCTACAAGGTATGCTATGTTAATTCAACACTTAGAAGAAGAAGAAAAAATAACCTGTTGTAAAGTTATGAGTTTGGATGAGCGTCGGGCACTCGAAGCGCTGAAAGAGGGCAATAATACCACCATCCTTGACTGGCAGGACTGCGATGACTTCAGCTTTGGCGATGTTTGCAATGGAACGGAGCCGCTCGCCATCAGCCATGCTGGTGGCGAGTTTACTGACCTCGCAAGAGAGGTTCTAGGAGACTTTTGGAGAATGTGAGTGAAGTTTATTGTTACCTTGACATTTGACTTACCTTTGTGAGCAGCAACAATCGTGTTCGACGTGTGGATAACCGCACACGTCGTGATCGTGTCCTCCGCAGGAACAAGGCGTTTGCTGAGCAGATGCCAGTGATAACCGATGCGTACCTTGCGTGGAGCCTGGCAAGACGTAAGGAAGGGTTTTTTGAGAGATTGGAGAGAGAAGACCTGGATAGTGGCTCTGACTACGGTCAATGGCCAATCAGCGTGATAGATGTGTTCTGTGAGTGATTCGGTCTGTTTTCGTTTGCTTACTTTTTGATGTGACGGCATGTCTGGGCTGTTGTTTAGATGCTGAGAAAGTCAATCTTCGAATCTTGCCAACAGATGCCACTATCAGCACTGCGCTCGTTCGTCAAGGCCTGATGCCTTGTTCACCCATATCACCAACTGTCGGAATCACTACTGAAGCTCTGGATTTATACCGTGTAGCGCATCTTAGAAGTCCTCAATTGTCTATCCAGGCTTTCGTCAAAACCATGTGCGACTTGCATGGTGTATGTCTTCTGATTTCTTTCGCTCTTATTGTGCTGATTCACGTGCAGGTTGGTTTCCACAGACACCTATCTCGTCAATTCTCTATTGCGTTCGACCTATATCTTCAAGTTCGACGTTCGGTGGCTGCCATGGTAGCCGAATCACTACGACGTGACTCACCCGATTGGCGCCTGAAACATGCTTGTCCCGCATGTACATATACACTAACAGATGAACCACAGTTAACATTTAGCTTGCTCTACGCCATGGATGGCAACGACTCTTTAAAAAGAGTCCTTCGCAGATCTCTAGATACTGATGATTCTCTCAGTACATCTTCAGAACTTCCAACAGGGCAGCAACTGGCGAGCGACCGCTACCTATCTCGCACCTTTGTCGACCAATTCGCGCGGGACTCTACTACTGCAGGTGATGAGGTGAGGGGTGCCTTCTGATCTGGGTTGGTGATGGCTAATACATCTATTAGGATGTACATCTCGAGAACACGTGCGAGGGACGCTGGAAGAATATGGACGATACAAAGACGAAGAAAGCATGGGGCATTTATGATGAAACGGGCATATTTGTGGCCGTGTGCCGCCATGGATTCTCTCTGCTTGTTGCGGATATGGTACAGAGCGGGGAGCTGTAAGTTTTTTTTGATAGGTTGTTTGTGAACTAACAATTATTTGACAGCGCAAAGTATCCTCTGGCCGTTGTTTCAAAGTTGCTGGACGTATTTGGAAGCAATCTGGGTGGCGGATATGACATCGGTTGTCAGTTCAAGACCACACTTGACAACAGCTCCCTCGGACCCCTTGCACGGTCTATGCATCACACTTGCCTTGTCGGTGCCTTCCATGGACATGCGCACAGGCGATTGTGCCAACTTTTCTCGCTTACTACTTACATCAAAGGTTTGGGCCTCGAGGATCTGGAAACCTGTGAACGAACATTCTCAAAATCGAATTCATTAGCGTCTGCGCTACGGTACGCAAGTGTATTCCATAGACAACAGTCCATCGACACATACTTCGAGCACAACGACGATTTTGAAGTGTACGCTAATCTTTGTAAGCTGTCTTGTCAAAACTCGATCCTGTGCTGACAAATCCTTCTGTTTGCTAGCCGACTTTTTATATAACAACTACAAGCAAGCGCTTGACGTTTTGAATGACGGGGATGCGACCCTACCGAACTTGATGCGAGATCTCAAAGTTACCGACGAGACCGTGTTCGAGCACTGGCTGGAGGAAGAAAAGGTATACCTTCAAGGTCTGACACGAGAACCGGAGGTTGAAACACTGCACATGGAGTATTGGCAAAGGTTGGTTAGTCTTACTGCGAGCGAGTGAGTTTAGATGTTGATGTACGGGCCTTGTACTCGCTGACACAAAATTCACATAGGGAAACTCTGGACGCTGCAATAACAGCTTTCCAGGGCTCATCGCACCTCGAGGCTGCGCCATATGATGTGCAGGCGAAGAATACTCGCAATGCTGAGAGTGCCCGACGGCATGCTCTTGAGGACCATGAGAGGTATTTGAAGCTCGTTCAAGCACTTGAGTGCAGGCTCGAGATCGAGAAACGCTGGACTCCTCACGATGCAGAGTGGCAGAGGGTTGGAAGACTCGTGGCCAACCGGAAGTACCAGCGTGCGCTGGATCGACTCGAAGGATTGATCGTTGCACGTATATTTGAGCTGACGAGGATGAACCGTGCGGGCACAGGTGAGTAAAAAGTGGTATATTGCTTGCCGATTCTAACACTAAGCCAGGCTACAAACTGCGAAAGCATATTGCTAAGGCATTGCAAACACGATCCGTCGCCATCCGAACGGCCCTCAACACATACAACGCTATCGCTGGGTCAATGCACCCTCCCCGCCGGACACTTAAGTGGGACGAGGTCGTAGAGTACGCGTTCCTCGCAGACTTCGACTTGCTACGTGATACACGTGCGGACGTTTCTCGACACCCTTGGTCATCGGCTGCTGCTCGTAGCGCGATGGACCTCCACTTCAAAATGTGTCGGGCGCGCGAAGAGATTGAGCGCCTCGATACTGAGGTACGACGCCTCGTGACCTATATACGTGATGAAGAGAGGTATCTACGGGAATGTGAGAATCAGTTAAAAGACACCAGCCCAGCACTCGCACATCAAATCGCCATCCACCGAAACACTCGAGGACGCTTCAACTCACGACATCTTAAACGGCTTTACGACATATCAAAGCTTCCGGGTTTCAGTGGGACACTAACCCCTGGTGTTAGCGCTGACACAAGTCCCGGGGAGAGCGCGAGTGTAGCTAACGCACAGATCCCCACCCAGATGCTTGTTGCACCCCTCCCTGTTGATCACACCGCATCCCCCTTAGACGTAGACACCCAGGATGACCTGGATGACGAGGAGGAAGAGGACGAGGTAGTGGAACAAGCCTCTAGAAGTTTGCACGATGTTCTCCTTATTGCTGATGACTTTTCACACCTCGGTATTCATGATGACGCTGAAGAAGAGTAGTACTGGTCATTTACACGTCCTTGAACATGCATGTATTCCATACACTATCGCAATTATTACTGGTGCGCTGTTAGTCGAAACGCGCCGTCAATCCGACCACTTTTGAGCGAGATACTTGAGTTCATCGTGTCGCACAGCGAGCTCAAAGGTTTCCATCACTATGCGGCGTTAGGCACAGCGACGCACGGTAACCGCATCACGTGAGTCTAATAATAGTACGGTAATAACAATAACACAACTACGTACCTACTACCTACAGCTGTATATAAAGTCCTTCGTTATCCAGGAGATATTGGAGGAGGCTCTGATTCACTATATCCGCCTGATCTTACAGGTGCGACACACGTGCATTATCTCCTATAGTTACCGTGCGTAGGTGGGAGTCACAGGTGGGATTTGTAGGTTTGGAGTAGTCAGTAGACCTAGATTGATGGAAATCTAAACTTATGCAAACAAAACGTTGAACACCATGTGTTTGATTTGAGCTGATAAGGCTGTGCACGCGGAATTCTCTTGCACGCTGCGCAGCTCAACATGTTCAACGAGTCTCGAGCAATGTTGATTTTGTACTTTGTCGAAACTGAGGCTACCCGAAATCAATCCAAAGGCTCCCATGACATCACAGCTTGAATGACATACGCAGGGCAGCACAACAATATCACGGTATTCACTTCTCTTGATTGTACCATCATCATGTCTTTCAGATTTTCATGCCTCTAAATCATCACACCCTTTCTACACACTCATACTCTAGTTTAAATGACACTCAGGCAATGGCGAGTTCCTTTTCCAAATTTTGTAGCATCATCAAGTCACAGGAAAATCACTGATCCTTTGGTTTTAGACTTCCACATCACTGGCAGAACATGGACCATTGTTCCGACGACCACTCAGTAAATCAGCATTGCATAATAACGTGAGTTTGTTGCTTCATTTTCGTGCCCAAACGTCTCCTATACACTACAAATAGGGCGCATATAGTCACTCTTTCGACTCAGTGTTTCAACTACAAGCTCCACGAGCAGCAACTTGGAAAGTGTTGATATCCAACCCGAAACGGCCTAGAGTGGACGACAGCCTCTCTCTCTCGGCTTCAAATCTGGTAAGCATTGATCCTATTCCTATTGTACATTTATTCGTGTGTTCTATCCAGGTTGCCGACTGTGTGTGGACCATGCCAAACGGATACTCGCAAGACTTCAAGATATATTGGGACTCGAGAAAACCTGTCAAGCGGTATCTTTTTCATTCTTCTTCTATTGTGTTCTGGTCTACTAATTGTAATGGTTACTACTGCAGAGCTACGACATCGAGGCTTCGAATCTGGTAAGTACCGATCCTATTCTTGCTGTGCACTTATTCATGTGTCCTATCCAGGTTGCTGACTGTGTGTGGACCGCGAACACATTCGACGTTCTCGCGAAGTCCTCCGGTGGCACGCTGTATTAGCTCGGCGCTGCGTATCGTCAGCGGGGGTGGATAGTAGGACGGAGGAGCTGGTGCGAATGGGCGGGCGGGTAGCCAATTTTTATAGTGTTTTTTGTTGATTTGTTGTCGTATAAATGCATTGTTTTCCGTCAATTTGCGTTGACAAAATCTGAGAACCAATGGATGCAAGTAATATATTAAAATCTACGGAAATCTAACTACTCGATGTTTCGTCGACTGGCATCAATCAGCGTTGCTGTGAGTCGTCTGAGCATCGACGGTACGCGCCATTTGTCGACGCTCGTCGACGGACATCATACTTTTCAGACTCCATCGATTTCCGTCGTTCTCCGTCCGAGGGCATCTGACCGATTCTTACTGGGGATGCAGGCTAACGCCGCTAACCACAAGTGCAATTGCGCCCAAGGCACGATCACTTGATTGCTTTGTCATGATCATCGGACACATTCTGAGAATGGCGTCGGAAACAAGGTGTCGGAATCACGAACAGTACTAGTTACGTTCTTTCATCTTTTGCTGTGTTCAAGTGTTCCGCCCATGTACGCTGCCCCACATCTTTATGTAAATCTGATTAAGCACAGGCGTTGTCTCAATCCAATCCACGTCCCTACCCTACGAATAACGCGAGTAGAGCTCGACTCCTGCATTCGCATCAACTGCATAGTGAATTTATGGTGGCATGTTTTGCAGTTTTCATTTGAGGTTGTGCGTTGGCAAGTGTGTACATATCTTGTTCAAATCTCTTTTATTCAAGGCCCGCTACATCACTTCGAACGTGACTAGTATCTATTAAGACAGCAACGGATATCATCTCTCGACCGCATTTCGGTCATCCAAGCACTGGATGGTAGTACTAGTATATCTAGCACGAATATCATCGTCGTATGTCCACCAAGTTTCCCGCTCCCTCACATCCATCCTCTAACAGTATGACACTAGTCTCAGACGACCCTAGTTATTGGCCATTCATCAACACTTGGCGTATTGGCAGCTATTTTGTAGGTTCGTGAAGAGCAGTCAGATTTCGGCGCTGATGTCTCGATCTGACCTTGATTGTGGCTTTCCAGTTGCCGCTGGTGCTGTAGTAGCGTATGATTGGGGTGAGCATGATAACCTTAGAAAATTGCTAATTTCTCACCAGTATTTCCAGCCCTTACGTTCGGACAAGAGGTATGTTGATGCTATGACCTGAGCAGCCATCTCGCTAAGATTTGTTTGTAGGTCGAACTGGTCTGGGTGAGCACAGTTCCACATCAGAAGGACAATATTGATTTGCGACAGAGACAACGTCGGTCCATGATGACCGTTCTCTATCTGAGTGTATGTACCTTGCCTGTTGTGAATTTCTGCTGACTTGACAATATAATAGGTGCGCTATCTTGGCATTTTTTATATTGTGTATGTTCAGAAGGCTTGACAATTGGTGTCGTGCTAATCTGCTATCTCTCACAACTCAGCCTGGGCATACCGGGTATGTCTTCTCGCATTCACCTTGTTTGTTTCTTCTGACCAGTGGCATACAGTCAATGTTCCGACGATTTTATTGACAGATGCAGTGAGTCTTCTGCACCAATGCCTGTTATTCCCATTCAATTAACCGCGACACCCTGTAGGGGTGAGTGTCATTCTTGACCAGCTTCTTCGTTTACTATCATGACTGCTACAGATGTGAGTCTGTTTGTGGTGTGTGATCCACCCAAGGCCCATCACTAACCGGATTTCTCAGGCCGGATTGTGTACCTCGTGTGGAGATGGACGAATGTTGTGGAAATTCCAATGCTCTGTGGTGAGTTGTACAGAAACAAGACCTATGATATTGACTTGACCGAAACATGTTGCAGTCATCATGATCACTCGGTTATATGCCATGTATCAACGATCCACAAGGATCCTGATATTTCTTGTCGTCGTGTCCTTGGCTGTCAACATTTTCGACGTAGTGGTCAATGCCATAATAACAAGGCAAACTTCAGCAGGTACACTTTATTGTGAATGAAAACCGTGCATGGCGCTCATTGATGAATACCAGAGGAACTCATTCTCTCTGGCACCTATGCGTGCACGATTGTCTATGCGGACAATATCCCACTTCTGAATTCCATGGGTTGGATACTCAACACTGTCTGGGAGGTCTTCACGCTGTGTCTCGCAGTCTGGATTGCTGTAAAACACTTCCGTGAACTGCGACAACATTCGGCAGGAGGGATTATCGGGGACTGTTTCACGGTGTTGATAAAATCCCATGTGCTTTACTTTGCGAGGTGAGTTCATATTGTGATTATGCTTCCCTTTTCCGCTGAATGATTGAACACGCTAGTTATGTTGCCGTATCTTGCTTCAGCCTCATTGTTGAGTTGTCTCCGACGATCTTAGCGGTATGTCAATCTTTTGCTGACCTCTGCATGCGACCGCGGTTCATCATTTCTATAGGACCAATTTTCCCTCGAAGCTCAGATTCTTTATGGTATTGCTCAGATTTTGGGAGTCATACAGTCCTTTGTGCTAGGACCACGCCTCATCCTAAGCGTTCGAGAATATCACGCTCGGCTCGTGGCTGACTCTGATGCAGCAACCGGCATGACCTCAATCGCTTTCCAGGCGCGCGTGCATATATCGACAGGCAGTGGCGTATAGCACGGGAGATGCTCGATGAAGTTGACAGTAATCTGGTGCTATGCAGGGAGCAGGAGAATTTGGGTTTTTTCTTGATTTTCAAGTGTCGTCGTGGTACTTATTTATTTGGTTGTGCAGAGTGGATTTCAAGGATATCTAGACATAGGTCTTCGCAAATATTTCGTCGTAATATGTATTTAAGTTATTTGTTCCGCAGACCATAATTGACAGTCCGGACTCGAGAGAGGCGAGTTATGCCATTTGGCTTGTTCAGTTATTTGCGTTCTCATCCAGATCACGCCCCTACCCTACAAAAAGCTAACAACGTCATAATAGATCAAGACATCGACTCCAAAAATCGTACCCATTCATGCGATGATAACGTAGGCGAGCACCTCGTAGGCTATGCATCTCCCCCGCCGCCCATTCAAAACATCGATACGTCAACTGCGGGTTGCATAATGAAATTAGTGTGTTGCATTCTGCAATTTATAGGTAATACATCTATCATGATTTTTTCCCTCAAAAGAACCAATGAAAAGGTGAAGGATCGGGCGAGTGATTGAGCTCACTGTCCTCGTATTTTGCCGCCGTGCGGTGTTACCAAAACGTGAAGTCACGCTAATCCCCAAAACATCCTGATACGTCTCGGCAACGGTACGCGACAATGTGTGTGAAAATTCTTTGTGTATTCTGTGCATTGTGTGTGAAATAGTTGAACTGGCCGTACGTAGGTTGTACATTCACAAGCAATGGTAGGTTCAAATATCCAAAGGTTTACAGATGAACTTTTCCAGCATGCCAAAAAAACCTATCCCTCCGAGAAGATGGCAGAGTTCAGGAAGTCTGTAGATGCCGTCGCAAGCACTCTTACAGCACTGCACCAAGTCGTCAAAGGAGCCACGGACGTACGTGGCATTCCTATCGACTCGGTATTAAAAGAAATTGGAGGTGCCTTCTGTGTACTATTCACAGAGCTTAAAGAGCAGTTTCCGCCACCCGGGGAGGCTCCCGGTCATGAGAAGCGCATGATCATGATTAACACGGTTCTTGATCGCTTTGAGGAGATTTTTCTACCAGTTGCCATCAAGTACGGAGCGACCGAAGAACTGCTGAAAAATCACACCAGTTCTCTCAAGTCCAGTGTTCGACATATTGTGGTGACCATCGGTACGTCACAAGTATTTGATCATTCCAAAACGTTGATGACCCAATATTAAATGACACAGGAGACATTCATGAACAGCATCCAGAGCTCGCATGGACCCTCTCATCCATTGCGACTGGCACACTTGCACAGGGGCTTATTGTCACGACTCTCCGCATATTTGGGCTTGGGGCATCGGGACCGGTTAAAGGTATGTTTTTTGTATGGTTGCGGCACTGAGCAACCCATCATATGATCTTTAGGGACTGCTGCTGCATGGTTGCAAGCGTGGTTTTTTGGCGCAGCCGTTCCGCGGCGTAGCTGGTTCGCGGTACTTCAGCGGTTAACCATGAGAGGTGCAAAGCTTTAATTGGCTTGCATGCTAGCGCGAGTTCTTGGAATCTGGAGGTGTTTGATCCCTGGGTCTGATATGTTTGCGATTAGATACTGATACCTCATGACGAGCTTGAAGTGTTTCAGATTTCGCTTCGTAAATGTCCTTGTTCGGGAGCGTCGCCATCTCCATAACGCTGAGCCCAGCGCCAAGTGCTCAGACCCATGCCTGGAGCTTTTCGGTTTTCGGACCAGGCAGATATCTTTAGTGGATAAGACAAGCAAGCTGGTTGACTTATTAACTTACAACGTGGCATACGCACCTTAGGAAGCAAGGGTCACATGTCCAGATTTCTCTCGTTGCCAAAGATCAGAGCTCAGATGACGAGTGAACTCATTCATGGTACGACTTGGCAACAAGTGGGTCATATGCGTGGAACTACCGTTGTTGGGGGCCTCTGCTTCTCGTGATGGAAGTTAACTGATGATCGATCCCAATTGCAATGAATAGAGCTGCATTCTTCGATGTAAACAACTGAGACCAGATACAAGGATGTGAACAGAGAAAAGCAGATGGGAACATACGACGGTCTATCAGTGAGGCTGTTGCCGTGTTATGTAAGGCGCACGCAGAGATGTCGCTGACATTGAACTTGAATAATGCAGTAACCTGAAATGCCGCGGCGTTGGATTGAACATTGTTCGATTCTCATCATTGCTGCATCGCTGCAGCCTCGATTTGACCTGCAATTGTCAAGTACGCCGCGTACGCGCAATGTTGTACCCTCAGATTATCATTGAATACGCTAATCACAATATTAATTGCAACGCGCACGCCACCTGTATACTTACATCCTGAAAGCCTCCGAGTCCATCGTGTTCGATAATCAACTTGTTACATAAGTGACTTGGTGAATCGAAATTCGAATCGTGTAGGTCCTTATATAGGTCCAGTATTGCGAGTCAACGGACGTCTGTCTTAGCACTATACCGCGATGCAGTGGTTCTCTACTCTGGCATCGTCGCTGCGACCAGTCATTTCCAGTAATGTTGTAGAAAGCACCGATTCCTCCGAGTCTGACAAAACCGCCGCTGTCGAGACAGGTATGTCGCACTCTTATCTCATGACGAACATTGTGTTTCAACTTTTAACTTAGGAAAAGGATGGGGAGTAGTGAGAAAGTGTGAGTACAGCCATGACTACTATTTTTGAATCATGTACTGATGTCGGAAATTATCGACAGCATTGTTTGACAAGCCATCGCAAGTGGCGGGCGCGTTGTATAGTCAAGTTGATCACCCACTCATTCATCAAGGCGCTGCTGCCGTCAGCAGCCTGGGAGAAAAACTTGGATCATTGCCTGCTTCAGCACAGACGCTGTATGGTGGATTGCATTTTCCAAATGCTGGAAAGTCCTGCTGGGACAAATTCACAGGTCTTGGTCCAAATATCCAAGGGTGTACAAACGAATTCTTCCAGCGTGCCAAGGAATTCCATCCCTCCAACAAGATGACAGAGTTGAGGAAGTCTGTGGATGGCATCACCAGCACAGCTACAAACCTGCACCAAGTCGTCAAAGGAGCCGCAGAACAACGCGGCATTCCTCTCCGTTCCATATTACAAGAACTTGGAAATGCCTTCAGTGCCCTATTTGAAGAGCTGAAAGAGCAGTTTCCGCCACCCGAGGAGGCTCCCGGTCATGAGAAGCGCATGGCCATGATCAACACGGTTCTTGATCGTCTCGAGGAGATTTTTCTACACGTCGCCATCAAGGTCGGAGCAAGCGAGGAACTCCTTAGAAGCCTCACCAGTTCTCTCAAGTCCGGTGTCAAACATGTTGTTGTGACCATCGGTACGTCACGACTAAATGACCGTCGACAACTTAAATTAAACGATGGTACAGGAGACGTTGGCGAGCAGCATCCGCAGCTCGTATGGGCCCTCTCGGGCATTGTGTTTAGCATGCTATTTGCCGAAGGGCTTCTTTTCATGGTTCTCCGCATAGTTGGGTTTGGGCCTTTGGGACCAATGAAAGGTACATTTTTGTATTGTTGCAGCACCATCAATATTTATGAAGTTGTTAGGTGGAATTGCCGCGTGGTTGCAAGGGTGGTTATTTGGCCCTGCCGTGCCAAAGGGCGGTTGGTTTGCGATGCTTCAACGCCTCGCCATGTTAGGTGGAAAGCGGTTGTAAAGCTGGTGCGAGTTTCCGCATTTAGTCCATGACTGAAACCCTCCGGGTCTTTTACGTTTGTACATTACTTGTGTATTACATATGATTTTTCGACGCTTCAAGTCACAAGGCACCTTACTGAGTTGGGTCTCATATTGAAGTTTCCCTCGCCAAATATTAAGAACTCGGTAAACGAACAAACTCATTCACGCTATAACTTGGCAGCAGAATGATCATATTCGCAAAATTACAAAGGTGCTGCCATAAGAGTAGAACAAAGACAGAAAGAAGGTATGAAAGTAAAGAGGGCAAGTCGCCGAAAGAAGTTATAAAAGTGCTGAAGCTGAAGGTGAAGGTGAAGGTGAAGTGGAAGGTGAAGTGGATGGTGAAGTGGAAGGTGAAGTGGAAGGTGAAGTGGAAGGTGAAGTGGAAGGTGAAGTGGAAGTAAAAGGGTGCAAGTCGTCGAACTGCAGGTGACGAATCAAAAGCAGATCGGGTATTAAAGTAGTTGTTCACGTACCAGTGTTTGCAGCAAGCCATAGTGGATAGAGTGGTCAAAATCGGCCATGAATGGTCTCGGGGGTCAAGATAAAGTTGAAGAAAGGGGCGCAATTCGCTGAAATGCAGGCAGTGAATCAAAAGCAGATTAGATAGTATAGTTGTTCACGTACCAGTGTTTGCAGCAGGCCGTAGTGGATGAGAGGGGCAAAGTAGGCTATGAACGGTCTCGAGAGTCATGAGAGGTTGTGGAGGTCCTGAAGTCGGCGGGTCATAAAACGCTTGTGGCTGAGCAACTCGTCACACAAAGGCCGCGGCAGGAAGGATGCGTTGGCGAGGATCTCCGTGGATTCTCAAGCAGGGCGCAAGGCATGCAAGGGGATAGGGGTCTCGACATTTGGTGAACAATTTGGATAAGGTCGTGAAGAGTCGTGAGAAGTCGTAAAAGGTCGTGAAGGTCGTGATGATCGTAAAAGTCGTGAAGGTCGTGATGATCGTAAAAGTCGTGAAAGTCGTGAAGGTCGTGATGATCGTGAAAGTCGTGAAAGTCATGAAGGTCGTAAAGGTCGTAAAGGTCGTGAATGTCGTAAAGGTCGTAAAGGTCGTAAAGGTCATGAAGGTCATGAAGGTCGTGAAGGCCTTAGTAACGGAGCAAAGCCGTCAAAGGTCATAACAAAGTTTGAAGGGTCGTGGCGGCCGGTCGTATGCATCATGCAATTCCGTAAGTCGCCACGAGCGTAGAAGACATGTCATGAGCCACCGTCAAGAAATGGCAGTGGTAGTGAGCGTCGCAGGTCAAAGCAGGCCACTGTCATCTGGTGTGGTGGGAGGTGAAGGCCCGGAGGCGAGAGCAGACATGTATAGTTGCCAAGAAGACTGCACCACGCGCAGGAAGCGTTGCCAGGTGTTGCATGCTGGCAACAAAGGGGGGGGCAGAGAAGCCAGGATGGGATACGCTATCGTGCGATGGCAAGCTGCGACGCAGAAGCAGAGGATAATGATATTCACGACCGACCGAAGTGGTGCAAGAAGATGTGGTAATCGTGAGAGCCACGAGCGTTAGAAACCACGCAAGGACAACGGAAGGCAAGAGTGAGCTGAGATATTATACAGTGCTGAACTGCAACGCGGGAGAAGAGGAGCGTGATATGCACGACTGACTGAAGTGGTGCCAGAAAGTGTGGTAAGCTCGTGGGAACCACGAGCGTTTAAAACCATGCAAGGACGACGGAAGGCAAGGGTGGCCTGAGGTATCATGTGGTGCTAAACTGTGGCGCAGAAGAAGAGGATAATATCCACGACCAACTGAAGTGGTGCAAGAAAATGTGGTAAGCTCGTAAGAGACACGAGCGTTTGGGACCACGCATAGACGACAGAAGGCAGGAGTGGGCTGAGATATCATGCGGTGCTGAACTGCGAATAGAGACCAGCTTGCAACGATGACCGAAAATTACTGGAACTTTGCAAGAGATTATCGCAAGGCCGCGGAAACATCACGCACGATGTTGTCGTCGTAAGGGAGGCCTGTCATGTTTTGTGGATGCTGCAAAACTAATCAGGGCTGCAAAGGGAGCCTTGGACAACCGGGGCAGAATCTGCGAGGATGATAAGGTATGGTGTTTGGATACTACTGCAAACCGAAATTGTCAACTGGAGATGACCGGAGCTGGGTAAGATATCACAAGTAAATCATAGAAGGCGTGAGGACTAGGAAAACTTACAAAGATGATGACGCGAGGATGTATGCGGAAACATTGGGGTGCTGCAAAATGAACTGACGACTGCAAAAATGAACTGCCAAGAACCAGAGCGTGAAAGGATTGTGAGTATGATCATAGAAGCGGAAGAATTCAGAAACCCTACAAGGATGATGACGCAAGTGCGCAAGGAATATGATGAAATACTGCAAAATCGGAGAGGCAGTGAGCGAGGTGGTAAAGAGAGGAGAGTTAGAGATCTTACGAAATCAGGGATAAATGGATCTTGTGATGCTGCCAAAAAAAAACCAACAAGTCAAGAAAAAAAATAAAAGGGGATAATAAAATCGTCCGGAAGCGTTGGAGGGGGGGAGAAGATGTAGGAAAAGACCAAAAATGAAGACAAGGGAATAGGAAGAATGCGATTATAGGGTTTTGTCGTTTTCTGTGTGATATCAAGATAAAAACCGAGATTGAGATCGAGATTGAGATGCAAATAGAAACCAATACGATGCAAGTCCGAGAAAAACTGCTGCTGGAAAGATGAGGGAAGTGATATGTGTTGGAAGGAATATTGCGTTAGGGTTGGAACTGGGAGGTGAAGTCGATAGTGGAGATATGGAGGTCCAGAGATCGGGATATGCCCTTGATAGATCGCCCTGTCGATCCGGTTCCGGAAGAGCTCCTCGACCTCGATACAAGATTCTGCGGCGTTATGGTATTGCCGCTGAATCGAAGATCAGGGTCGAGCTTCGAGAGTCCCATGTACGCGAGACTGACATCGAGCGGGATCCCAGACCAACATTCGTCGGTGAACGGAACCTCAACGAAGGACTCGCAGAAACTCCGCGTTCGTGGTTCACCATCAGTGACATTGATACATGGGCATGCATCAATCAGGTAGCCGCATCGAGTCGGGGTGGCGGGGGTAACGAAGAAGCATCCAGCGGGTGAGCGACGATGATTAGAACCGGAGAGGAAGGGGCTGGTGCTGGTGTGACCTGTCATTGGAGCAATGATGACTTCCTCATCCTCTGAGTCTATGTCCGAGGCGGAAGCCAGGGAGGGAGCCGAGTCATAGTCGTCGATAGATTCGTCTTCAGTTTCCGACAACGAGGACTTTGAGTCGGATGCGGTCGCGACAAACCTGGGGTAATTGTCGTCTTCGCAATCATCGTCGCAGTCGAAGTCGACGATTGGATATTTGTCATCTGTAGAAAGCCGCAAGTCCTCATTGACGAACCGAAGGAGGTCGAAGCCATCGCTATTGACTTCTGGGATCGAATCGTGAACGGGCTGTTGGTGATGAACAGTCTGTTCGTCAAGAAGTCGGATAAGGTCGAGAATCGCGGACTCTGAAGTACCACCAGAAACATGGTTGAGATATGTTTCCGACTCGACCGCCGAGAGCTGCTGAAGATCTGATGTGAGCTTGTCGTCGGAACCGTACTCACCCTGTTTTGAACAGGAGCGTAGGACGCAGCCCTCGGAAGAGCCTAGAAAGATCTGCTCTTCGTCACCTAGAGATTCTGGATAGTCGGGCGTTGAAGAAAGCTGCTCGTTGCAGCCATTTACCTGCAGGGGCAAGTTGTTATCTTCATGGGCGTTAAAAGCACGAGTATCGTCCTCGAAGTCCAAGTAGTCCCGTGTCGGAGAAGCGTGTTTCCATGCTGAACAAGTGTCGTCAGAGATGCCGTCGCACTCATCATCACAGATGAAGCTATTGTAAAATTCGACTTCCTCATCGATAGACTGCAGAAGATCGTCCATTAGGCGGGAGTTGATCTCTTGATAGTCCTCCTCTTCGCCGAAGAGATGCGTTTCAACAAGAGAACGGTGACATCGCAAGGGGAAACCGCTTTCCGCGTTGAGGACATCCGCGTACTTGCTAAAATCCACGTGACCATGGCGACGGGCAATGGGAGCGACGGAAGACATATCGGATGCCCGAAGCAGGATATCCAAGGAAGGAGGATCGAGTTGAATGGCGAGTGCATTGGCCAACTCGGACATTTCAACAAGACCGTGTCGGCGGTCATCAGGGGAACGTGGCCCAGCAGGAAGGGTAGAGGGCGAGGGTAGAGAACCTGGTAGAGCAAGGAAGGCACCGCCGCGAAGCGTTGTACCAACGACTGATATATCAAAGTTGTACGATCGAGCAGGCCACTCGCATGCAACGACAGTCATGTAATACTCGCAGGTGATTTCGGGGACGGTTACGTTTACGTGTTGTCCGGCAGTCTCTGACAGCAGGGAATCATGAAGAGAGGCATCTGCCGATTCCGAAGAGTAAATCGAGATATCGTCATCGAATTCCTCATGCTTAGGTCCGTCCTCGTTCTTGTCGAACAGACCTAAAGCGCTCTGGAAAGACTGTACAAGTACCGCAGTCAGCCACTGATGTCGAAAAGAGGCCGAGTTACGCACCAATGGACTGACGAAATCTTCGTCGGCGACAGTTATAGCGATAGTAGGGACCGAAAGCTATGCCGAAAAGATTGAGCGGTTGAGTATACTGATGCGAGACCACATTACACACCTGGACTCCACAATCGCAGTCTGCCTCCGTAACGTCTACCTCCCCATACTTTCCGACACGCAGTTGATTAATTAGGTTGATCTCCGCAGTGCCGGTTTTGACCATGGGAACCTGGAACCATATAATGTCAGCCTCATTCAAAGCTGTGACGATAAGAGAGCAGCCACGTACTACTTCAACGCTGCATGTGGAGGCAACATGCTTGACCAGTTGATTACTTCCAGATTGGAGTACTGAACGATCGCAGCTCAGAGATGTATCGTATGGCGTATCCGACGGCGAGCAAAGCACTGAGCTATCACGAGGCAAAATAGTTGGTAGCATAATGCCGGGTAGCTTGGGCTTGGATATAGTGTCTTTACGACGACGACGATAGAAATATCCCACCACGGAAACGATAGCGACCGCAAAGCACACGAGGCCGCCTTTCCAAAGATCATAGGTAAGGACAGTCGTGCCGGGGGGCGGAGTGGTCGAAGGAGTGACGAAAGGGCCCGAGAGGATGGTGGTTGAATGCACTGCAGAAAGCAACATGAGAGTGGATGTGGGAGCCATGGTAAAGCAGTAAGATAATCGCAAGATGAAAGCAGTACACTGTGTGTTCAAGGGGGCGGAGGTGCACTTATATAGTTATGCCAGAAATTGGAGGCTGACAGTCTTCCTACCAGTATCGTCAACCACTGTCAACCATCATTGTATCGCCAACCATGTCAGCCTTTATACTCCGTCATGGCGTGTCAAAATATCGATGTCATACCCTGACATTATCGGGCGATATGGATGACTTGCTGGATGTCACCAGTAATCGAATTCATGCCGCGACATTCTTCATTGCTACTGAACTTACAACAATATTGTCGATGATGGAACACTCTCGATCCTGGTTCCCTTGCACCTCTTTCAAGGCTGACTCTGAGTCTAACTTATAATGCTGGACAGGAGATGAGATTCTTGATATCACATTGATTTGTTGCGACCCACCTTTTTGATAATCGACCAATCCGTTATTTGACCCAGCACTCGAAAAGGCACCATGGACCCTTGGATAATGTCACACATACGGCGCTGTATATTAGGGGTATCTGAGACGTCTACGCGGACAACAATGAGTGTGGTCGACGCATCCGATACCCCATATCGTCGGATGGCTTCAGTAATCTAAAGTCGTTTGTCAATGAGAAAATAACCAATTATTCAGCGGATGGTTACGCGTACGTTATTGGTGGGGTTCAGTGCCCATAGTATTTCTGAGTGGACAGTTTTAGTCCGAAGTTGGCCCTGCGTCTCTGACAAAAGGGCCTGATAAATTGCTGTCTGAAGGTGAAGTGAACTTGATATCTGACACGTCGTCAGTAAGATCATGCATCAAGACTAGAGTTAAGATTCCTACCAGCCGTGCATCAATAAAGGCAAAGTTAACAGCTTCACGCTCAGTGTTTCCATCGACACCAAGATTTCTGGCGGCTTGAACGATGCGAGACCTGATGGCGGCGGCGTTTGTCACATCATCGAATAAAGCGACATGGACGACCGCGTGATTGAATTGAGAGTAGTAGTATGTCTCCATTGACCGTAGCAGTGAACAAGAACCAAATTATAAACAATACATAGCCCAAGCTAATCTTGGACCTACATTGCCACTGAGTGAAAGCGCTTAACACCCCACTACAAGTTCGCTCCCAACCATCATCATCGATTCATACATATTCTTGACTGAGGACTACTAGTTCTGGTAGTCTAGAGTCCATGCTGGCATGAGATTCACTATGTTACCTTCACCATTATCACTTTTCGCAACATGGTTCGTGCTTCAAGCCGCTGCCGCTCCGGCCGCGGCGGCAGGCTCAAAGGTCCTGACCCCTCAAGATTTTAAGGAGACTGTCGCAGATGGGATTTGGTGCGTCCTTTGCAAAGAGAGCCTTCTTTTTGTTCAACAAGCAGAATAGGTTCATCGAGCATTTTTCCCCATATTGTCGTCATTGTCGGAACTTTGAACCGACATGGAACCGTGTAGTAGATGAATTTGAGAAGAAACCCAATCTAGGGATACATATGGCGCAGGTTAATTGTGCGCTGAACGGGGGTGAGCCAGCTCACCAAGTTTCCTTGGCCACTAACAGACTTATTCGATTTTCGAAAGACTTGTGCACCGAGAATGGTGTTACAGGATACCCTCAAATGAACCTCTACCGGAACGGACAGTTCGTAGAGACCTTCACTGACGAACGCGACTTCAATATCCTTGTAGACTTCCTTCTTGCGCGTGCTGAACCTGTTGCGGATTTCTTGTCATCCTCTACTACGGTTGAGCAGGAGGAATTGGCAGCCGAGATTGTTCCAGTAGACGAGAATTTGGTAATTCAAACGTCGCAGGTGGAATCCAACCCTTCAGGAGAGGTGGTATCCTTAACTAGTGAGACATTCGACAATTTTGTGGCCCAGGCGCCTACATTCGTCAAGTTCTTTGCGCCATGGTATGTGCATCGACTATAGACTTTTAATTTTTTTGACATCCGTTTATTAGGTGCGGACACTGCAAGAAACTCGCTCCAACGTGGATGCAGGTTGCTCGTCGCATGCAGCATAAGCTCAATATCGCGGAAGTCAACTGTGATGAGTTTAAGTCGCTATGCTCGAAGCAAGGGGTTACAGGCTATCCTATGCTGTTCTACTATTCTCACGGCGCAAAGACGGAGTACACAGGAAGTAGAAAATACGAGCCACTTGTGGCTTTCGCTGACAAGGCAGCATCTCCGTAAGGAAAACTCTTCCAGAGCTATAAGGCACTTTTTGATATCTGCTACAGGACGATGCAACAAATAAGTGCTCATGATCTTGACAAGGTGGTTCATGAAAATCCTGTTGCGTATGTCCTCCTACTTTCTTCATCAAATGAACAAATTATGGTATGTGTACCCCACTCTGTGCACCTTGTTTTGCGCTGACGATGTTTCAGAATGAGGTCGCTAAAGACTCTCAATTACTTCTCGGATCACCCCCGATTTTTGTATCATCTTCCAAGGAACTCTTTACCCGCTATGATATCCCAACGACAGAATCCTGGGTCATCCTGTCTTTCAAAGATAATGACCCAAAGGAACCTATCTCAGTCTTCGACTCATCCATTTCTGACAAGCTTAGCACTTGGCTCTTCGCCAACCGCCTCCCAACCTCCATCGAGCTCTCACGTGATGTGTTCCAACAGGTAATGCATGCTCCACATAACCCACTCGTTGTAATCACTGCGACGCCCAACGACATCCAAAATGATGTCTCATCGAAGTTAAACGATATCGCAAAGAAGTGGCGCCTGCGCAAGAACCGTGTTGGGAGACAGGATGTAATATTCACGTGGATGGACGCTGATCAATGGGGAAGTTGGATGAAGAGTATGTATGGTGTGAAGGTCAAGGATCAGCCGAAGGTGGTGGTTGCAGATCATAATGTAAGTAGATCGGTTTCCCTGTTATGCGCCGTTGTTAATGATTGCATAGCGCCTGGTCTACTGGGATAGGGATACCACTGGGCAGCCTATTCAACTTAACGCCGTCAGCATATTCTCTGCTATTGAAGGAGTTTACGACAATAAAATACGTTCCAAGCACTCTGAGAATATCATGGAGCGCATTCTTAGGGTATGCATTACTACTAAATCAGTATCAGCTCCGTCACTCACAACGCCTTACATAAAGGCCTTCAACTCAAGTCTCACAAGCACTGAGGATTTCATCATCGCCCATCCGTACATGGCCGTCCTGCTGATTCTTGGATTTTTGGCAGCGGTCATTATGGCGATCAAGAGACTTTTGGATGATGATACAGATCTGCAGTCTGAGCATAGGTACATCAAGGGTGGTCGTCTGGATTAATTCATGTATACTTTTCTCGAACTCAAACGTGAATTTACCAGGAGGGAGACTGCGTGATCGTCGGTAAGCCTAACCGTAAGGCCAAAAATCGAAGCACCCGAGTTTCGGTTTCCCTTCGTCAACGTTTCAACTCATGAGTCACAGCATGCGTGTCACTACCGCGCTGAACATGACTGTACAGCACCAAACAGAGCAGCTGACGACATACGTTGGCTCCCTCATCAAGGGTCAAACTTCGTCGATCAATACAGCCTCTGTGACAGTCATGGGAGAAATACTACTGCTCACTTACGCATGTATCGTGGATGGCTGCACCACGGAATTGTGTATTCCCCTCGGAAAATCGCTTGCACAAGTCCAGGTGGTTGGATTGCGACATCAGGATTTTGGAACAGTTGGGAGGGACGCTAATATATGAGAGAGCCGTTCGTATTTTGTCTCGACGTCCATGCGCACAATATATCGATTCTCAGCGCCTTTATGTCCATGCTATGCACGATTCAACGTTGTGGGGCTCGCTGCTGACCTTCAAAAATATCCTTTCGCAGGTCAAGTCTGCCGTTTATTGCATTGATCGAGGCAGCCGAGTTTGACGATAACAAGTGGCCAGGACAGCGTGCTCTGCAACACAGACTGGCCGTTGTTCGAGAAGAGAATCCAGCAGATATTCACTCCTTGGCGCTCGAGTTGGACATGACTGTGCTCCCCATCAAACATCACATACAGCCCCTTTGGCAATGTATCGGGCAATTTCAAGATTCAAGTTGGATGCAGATCATCCAGGGCAGGCAGGATTTACAGGGCAACAGTATATACTCCCTGTGATGACGATAATTACCACGATCGAGGGCGCTAGGAGGTCGCTTTTCACCCCGCGGACGGCTATCCAATTAACATTTGGATGGCTGCCGTATCATTAAGTTAGCAGAAGAACATCCTATCCCACGCAGTGTTTTGTTCAATTACTGCAATGAAGCCTTCACGGGTTGCGCTGAAGAGGGGGCTGCACCGAAATATGACCCAGAGAGTACCCGAAAGGACCTTATACTCGCGATCGGTGCTGCAGAATGGAATGCCCGCGTATAATCGGTGTTGAGGCTTAGGACATGAGAAGCGCGCGAAGGATATGTGGCGCACATGGAACAGAAGTTGCAAAGCTTCACTTACTTACTGTACGTGAACCATTCATCGTATAGTCGTTGATAAATTGAATTGAACTTGCAGCAGGCGGCTATATATCATAGTTATCTTGATGGCTTGTCGTCTAGTCAGATTTGAGTCAGGTACTATTTAACAAGTTGTGGCCCCAGAATTCAAATGCTAATATTAATGGCACTGATTCTCAAAACCGGAAGTTTAAAAGAACCAATCATCTGTGTTGTATGACTGGCTGGCGTGCCGCATCAGGGGATGTAACATTGGGACTCGGAGACTTGTGCTTACTTACAGTGTGCAATGTTGTTGTAGCAGGATTCGTCCAAGTTACACACAATCATTTCACCCATGTTAACACAGGTTTCATCGGATAAGCAGCAGCTTGCAAAGGATTCATTGCAGTTGTATCGCGGATATGATACAGATGTATAGATATAGACAATAGTGTACAAAAGTGTCATGCATGATGTAGTGTCGCAATGGATGAATGATTAGTGAGCAGATACTTTTAGTAATCCAATCATGGCGTCTAGAAAAATATTGCGCCTTCTGCTGGTTAGCCAGTGTTGCCGGGTCCGTGATAATCAAGCAGTGGACACATCTTCATGATAGTGGGATCAGGGCGATGCTGCCCATGGTGAGACGGAATCATCGATCATGATTCCTCGTATCCGGTTGTATACTGCGGCGGGGAATTGTCTTGACAAAAGTTAGTTTCGACCATACGAACCAGGGAATATAGATGTACCTTTCCTGTAGCCGTGCCAGCAGTGCGACCGCTCTGTCACGATAACCATTACCAAGCTCTGCACGGAACATAGCTTCCCACGTCGATGGCTGAAAAGTAGGGTGAAATCTCATCCATGTATATTTGCAGCGGTACTCACCTCGCGGTACGACGGTGATGGCGATGAGGACCTAGGCTGGTTGGAGCCTTCATGAGGGACATGGTTACCTGACGCTGCAACGCCACTGGGAGGATCCACCAAGCTCTCAAATATTCTTCGAGCTTCTTCAATGTCCCCGGTGGCAGCATAACCCTTGATCAGGAGGTTGGCGATGTACGCCGTCATATGTACACCAGACAACTTCAGCTTCTCCATGTAACTGGGTGCAAGAGCCATCTGCTTGTTGGTGACGAGGACATTAATGAGAGATTCATAGGCAACAGCATCAGGTGCTGGGATGGAGTCGAATGTACTGATCGCCTTCTCCAAGTCCTTCTTCACACAACCGTAGGCGTTGATAAGGGCGGCCCAATGGCTGCCCTGCAGCACCACCGACCTGTTGTTTCGGAGGAGTTTGAACACACCTTCCATAGCACTGACATCAACGGGCTCAATAGTTCCATATGCATCGATGAGTAGCTGAAACGCACATTAAAGAATGGCAGATAATGAAAATATACAACATACCTTGTACGTGTGGGCAGAAGGCTTGACACCAGCGAGAAGAAGTTGGTCATAATAATGGAGCACTTTCGCACGGTCAGGTTTTGTGTGCGCGTACAGTTGCATCATCATATTGTAGGGTGGGATGCGAGGCTTGAAGTTGGGCTGCGAAGACATCTCCAAGAACAACTGCTCGGCGGACTGAGCATCACCGACGCGGGCGCAAGCAGCAATGACGGCGCCGTATGTGATCGAGGATGGGCGCACACCAGGGGTAGCCTTCATCTGCTGAAATAGCTCAAGTGCGAAGTCAGCCTTGCGCGCTTTGGCCAACTTGGAAATGATCGTGTTGTAGAGGTAGACGTTCGGTGTGCATCCAAGCATCTGCGCCTCACTGAAGAGAGCCATAGCGTTCGAGGTGTCATCTGTGGTGTCCTTGACACACTCTATGAGCGAGCCGTAGGCGTCAGCAGAAGGAATTCCACCGTTAGATGTGATACGATCGCGGTGTTGGAACGCAGCTTCCATGTCTCCGGCATGTGCACATGCGATGATCATCTGATCTTCGATTTGGAACCACGCCTGAGACTGCCAATGCTTGTTATCGATCGAGGACAGTACGATCTGCGCGATATCATACAGGCTGTGCACCTTATCGAGATCACCGACACGTCCGTAGCCGTTGATGAGCCGCCCGAGAGTAGAGGGGTGAACATACTTGCTATTGACAATTCCCTCTTGGAGGCGGCGGTAGGCTTCATGAATTGTCACGGTTGGGTGGGATGGGAACCAATCATCGACATGGCGGCTGAGCGTACCATCAACAATGACGTCCTTGATTGGAGGGTACATCTGCATCACAGGGTTAGGTGACGCGTTGCGCGACTCGCTGGGCTTCTCGAGTGCGATACGGAAGCTGGATGACACCCTTTTAAAAAATTCATCCCGCTGCTCCTTCGAGTAGCCAGCATACAATGCATCCGAAAGATTGGAGACGAGGCTGGCTTTCAGTTTGGATAACTGTAGATTTTGCTTTGAAACCGCAGTAAGAAGGGGAACAATGCCCTTGTACGCGTAGTTTTTGATCGGAATAATCTGCTCCATATCGGTCTCTGCTGGGAGGATGGCGAGGGCACTGGACAGGAGTGCCTCATGGTCACGGAGGCCAACACCGTATTGTGTCATGTCACCGCGGCTGCAAGTCGACATGTAGGTGTGTAGGTAAAGGACTGCCAATTCTTTGCTCAGAGGGGAATTTACATTGTTCGCTAGTCGGACAAGCCTGAGCACATCCTTAAAAGCCGGAATGTTCTTCTTAGCTCCGGACTTATTGATGGTCCCGGACTGGAGATAATTGACATTGGCTTCGAGAACAAGGGTGTGATCTACACGGCGGACTTCGAGGCCGTCACGAGGGGCACACTCAAGAAGAACATCGTAGAGCCGATTAAGATCTGCGATCATGCCCTCCTGAGCGAGGAAGTCAAGCATCACACTCCATGCAAGCTGATCGGGGCGAGGGGGAACAAGGGAAGACTCGTGTGGGTGACGTGCTGCTTCACCCTGCTGTAGCAGGCGGTCAAACCAGGACAGAGCACTTGAGACGTCTCCGGAGTGGCAGAAACCGGCAATGATGGATGAGAATGTGGACGAAGAGGGTGAAGGAACTTCCGGCGAGAGTTCAGCGGGGTTAACGTTGCTGTCCATCATGGTTTCCAGGAGGCGGAGAGCGCCTGCGGGCTGGCCACCACGGAAGTAAGCTTCGATCATCTTATTCCAGACAAGAAGTTGCCCCCGAGTGATCGAGCTTGCTACGGCTGCTTCAGGAGCGGCGGAGAAATCAAGTCCTTTGACGCGGCCTGCCTTGCTGGCTTCCCTGAACTCCTGGAAGACCTCCTTAGCGCCCTGCAGGTCATTTGCATTGGCATATACAGAGAGCAGATGTAAGAAAACTTGAGGTCCAGGGAGAAAGTCAGTGCGCGATTCCAGCTGTGCAAAGATGCGAATAGCAGCATCCACGTCAGCTTGGAATGCACATGAGCGGAGAAGATTGTTGTAAACCGCGATGGGAAATTTGTTGCGTGCGCCAATGTTCATCGCTGCGTCAAACATAGACATAGCAGAGACAAAGTTGTTCTCTGCCATGAGCTGCTGGATACGCTTCTCATCTGCTTCATCCATAGCGACCTCCTCGCGACCAAGAAGCTTACGGCGCTTGACTCGACCATCAAGACCTCCAATAGACTTGTGGACCTCGTGATCGCGCTCGGTGAGAGCGAGAATTAAAGTGATGTAGGTGCGAACATTTGGCGTAAGGGAACGTTGGATCATGTCATTGTATGTCTCGAGCAAAAGTGTAAGGGGTTCACCAGGGCGACGAGTCTCGTGGAGACCAGATAAGGCCATGTTGAACTCTGAAACGATGGGGTTCTTGTGAGCTGTGCGGAGGACGTGGATTTCGTGGATGACACTAGCACCATCACCAGACCGCGCTGCCCTACGAAGAGATTGGTACATTTCGGAGACTTTGTCACTCTCGTCGTCTGCGGCTGGGTCTGTGACAGATTGTGGGGCTGCGGGATCGGTGGGTATGTATTTGCCAGATGCAGAGGGGACCGGGGGCGGGGGTAAATCATCAATGGAATCGGATGCGCTCAGCGTAGCTGTAGAGTTGCGCCGTGTGAGGGGAGGCCGCGAAGAATCAGAGGGAGATTCGTCAAGTGCTTCGCCGGATGCAGCAAACGTGTGTTGTGAGCGAACGTGTAATTGGACAGTGTGCAAGACGCCTAAAGACTCTGTTTGTCCATGCTCGCGCTCACTAAGTGAGCCAAGCGAGAGACTGTGCCGACGGGTAACAACACGCTTGGAAGAGTGGGGCTCGACGCGCTTGGGAACAATCTCATCGCGCTCGTCGCTCTGTTCAGCGTTACCGTCATGTGAGGTAGACGCATTAGCCTGTGTCACAGCACGCCCGGCTCCCTGTAAAACATTAGGGTCACATCAGACACAAAAGTGCGCTGGAACTAACCGTATACCCGTTATAGAACCGACTACCTGCATTGAACTTTGCTCCACCCGGGCCAGCGCCATTGCTGCCCCAGCTTGAGCTGCCGGCGCCAGTCCATGTTGTAGGCGCGCTTGGTGCAGATGACTGAAGCTGAAGTACGTTACGGAGGGTATGGCCTGTTTGGTTTTGGACGGCGGCTACTGCACGAGAAGTGTGCAGAAAGATGTGATTAGCGACCTTGGGCAGCATGGTCGCGATTGCGAGCCTGTGCTAAAAGTCGCGCGATTCAGGCTTGGTGGTCGTCGAGGGCGACGAGCAAAGGAGTTGTTAGCACTTAGCTGGGAAACGTGGATATCAAATGAATTTTCCACCAATAAAAGTAAAAATTGCCAGTCGGGTGATGTCGGGTTGGGGCACCCCGCGGTTTTCCGTGACTCATACATCATGCCGAACACAGACGCAAGTCACTAACAAGTGTGCGAAGCACCGTGTCTATCGCACAAACGACATGTCGCTACATAGCACGTACTACAGACAACAGGCGCTAATTATTTCACCTGTACTTCGGCCTCATCGTACGACACGCCAGTCCTGGGACAGAACATCTGCCCAGGTATGTGTCTGGTCCTCTTCGTCAACTTCTGTAACTTCCGTCAGTCCACCGAAAGAGACTTGGGCAGGGCGCTGTAAAGGTGAAGTAATGATGTGCGTGGAAGAAATACATATCACGCGAGCGACTGTCATCAACATCTCGGGTGTCCACGTCACGGGGTTGATGGCAAGGGCCTGTACGCGCCGATGAGCATTCCCTAGCACCTTCACTAGTCAGAGAAACCCACTTTGTATGCAACGATGTTGTCTGCTTTCACTTGTGACACATTGGATATTTTTGGAAGTAAGTCCCACTGCTGCTCCGCACGAAGGTGAAGTGCTTCGGCTGGGTTTGCCATTGGTACTTCAGCCGAACCGTAATCGAGAGTGATATTGGCAGTGCGCGATCCATCGTCGTAGGAAGTGGTGACGGGCTCCTCTTTCGCTCTCCGTTTTTTCTTCGGCCGTGTACCCTCTTCTACATCTACACTCGTTATGAATATATTCAACGGCAAATCTTTCCGTTCCGAAGGAGGAATCAGCCTTGCGTGCTTAACGGGAGGGACTGAAACTTTTTCCGAAGTAGAAGTTCTAGTAGGTGTATGTTGATCCGGAGGTTCAGCTTGTGCGGGGACATTTTCAAGCTCCGCAAACACAATCTTTGGAGGGAGGGGCTTATCCATGAGCTGACGGAAATTCTTTTTCTTATTTTTGTTTCGCAGGGACGCCATCATCACGTTGGGCTCAGACTCGGGCTCTGCATCAGCAACGTAAGCTTCGGAGGAGGTACGTGCTAAGGACGATCGCTGAATAGGAAGGGGTAGGACGGCATTGGCACCGGAGGTGGGTGCTAGAGGTTGGTCAGGGGGATGATTGTGCTCCGCCAAACGTTTTCGCCGTCTGCGGAGATTGCGATTGCGGGTGGAAGTCTTACCGTAACCCGGGGGGATAAACGAAATGCTAGTGGATCTGGGTGAGCGATGAAGAGAGTAAACCAGTTCTCGAACCTTTCTTGCAGAGTTTTTGATTTTGTAGTGGCAACAACACGCTTCCCAGAGGGTTTCCGTGAGGGTTCTGGGGCATCCGTGTCTGAATCAGAGTCCGAGTCCGAGTCCGAATTCGAGGAGTCTGATGAGCTGGATGAGTCGTCCGAGGAGTCTGATGAGCTAGAACTCGAGGACGAGCTGGAGGAAGGTTCAGAGGACGTAGATGCATGGCGTTTACGCTTTTGAGTGGCAGGAAAGGACACCTTGTTACTCGACAACCCAGGTCGGGATGGAGCTGTTGCGCGTTTGATGCTTTGAAAGACATAAGATCACCGAAGTTAATGGGCCATTTTCTGCTCACCAAACAACCTCTCCGTCACGTAAAATGGATATGGGACTTTCGTCCAGAAGGTCATACTCGTCCATCACGAGAGTAATGTTATCGGCTTCCATGCTAATGGGCAGCCGTGCACATAACGCGTGTTTAAGTTGCGCGATTGTGTGGACCTCATCATCGAGAGCTTCGAGCGCAAACCATGCTTTGAATGGGCTCACCGGATGAACTGTCGAGATTTTGAGACGCATGAATGATAGCAGCGGCAGCAGATGGCCGTCGATGACCGTACTCTAGATATCCCACGGGTGCATTTACTTTATGTACTTACTTCTCCTCGAGCCACGTTGACTTTCATCCAAAACTCGTTTCTTCCCATTACCTTTGCACGGGCTGGCTTTTTCGCTAGTCTGCAGCAATGGCGAACTATCACTATGATGAGGCAGGTAATATGGCAGCTTACTTCCTCATTTCTGTTCTTGTTATTATTCTGCTGCCCGCTACACTCTCGTCACTTTTAAGCGTGTCTTCAAGTGAGCATGTTCTCTGCTCTTGTGGATTTCACTAAATCTTGCCCAGAACACCCAGAGCTTGATAGTGGATGCCAGTGCACGCCCTGTTTGCACCGCAGAGCCGACGTGAGGAGAAGTCAGCGTGGCTCTCTGCTCCGACCTAAGTTTACTAGAAAGTACGACATCTGCACGGTTCTGAATTCAGCTCACGCTCTTAAAGGGCACTATTAATCACTGTGGGCTGGGCTGCCGTCGCGTTCCTCTCATTCAAAGTTGCGCATGCAGAGCTAGAAAACAAAGTCTACAATCCATTCGAGATCCTTGGCATCAGCACGGTATGTACAGCTCGATATATCCACTTTCTTTGGTTGCTCATATCATGCAGGGAGCAACTGAGAAGGAGATCAAGTCGCATTTCAAGAAACTTTCAAAATTATAGTACGCGTCTGATTTCTTTTGTTAGCTTGCAAACTCATCGTTCTCAGTCATCCCGACAAAGTCAAAGCAAGCATCAATCAGACAGTAGAGGACATTGCCAACCATTTCGTGGACATCACCAAGGCATACAAGTCGTACGTCGTACATCGAGTTCGCAGCCAGGTGCGATCCCGCTGACACCGTTTTAAGGTTAACAGACGAGACCATTCGCCGCAACTGGGAGCTTTTCGGACACCCCGATGGCCGACAGGAAGTCTCAATGGGTATTGCTTTGCCAAAGTGGATTATCGAAGGCAAAAACAATATCTGGGTCCTCGGTGTATATGGCATCCTCTTCGGCGGTGCACTGCCCACACTTGTGGTATGTCCCCCGTCATCACCTTACTTTGATTGGTCTTTACGCAACGTAGGGTCGCTGGTGGTTCGGTAATCGCCAAAAAACAAAAGACGGAATTAATGTAAAGACAGCCGCAGCATTCTTCAAGGCGCTCACAGACAATAGTGGCATGAATGAGGTCGTTGGTGCGCTGGGCAAGGCATATCGCTGGGAGACCACATGGGCGGGTAATGCAGTAGGATTAGAGGAGCTTGAAAGACAGATTGATGAAACGATGGGCCTCCAATGGAGGGAGGTGAGGGATCTCGTGGCTCCTGGTGGAAAGTGTGAAGGGACTGAACAGCGGGCCTTGGTACTGCTGTACGCACACTTCCTAAGGTTAAAGATCAGCAACGAGGCGCTCAAGCAAGGTTGGTTTGACTTCCAGGACGGGATGTCGTTTCTGATCATTTTTGTGTCTAGAACAAGCCAAGTTGCTGTTGCAGGCCCCGATGCTGCTCAATGCGCTTCTGGGAATCTCGGCTGCACGGAGTTGGTTGTCTCCCTCCCTGATGGTGATGCGTCTGCACGCGTACGTCACGCAGGCTCTTGTCCCTGGAAAACCTGTTGCACAACAAGCTCAATTACCTGGCTTTGATGGCGATGCTGATGCATCAGAAGGGAAAGACCTTGCTTCATTCATATCGCGTCTGGAGGACGAGAGTGATATTCGAATAACGGAAGCACGAAAGGCTGTCGAGGGCTGGAGCCGGTTGGATGTTGTCGATATGTCTTTCAAGGGTTTGTTCTCACTCGTGACCATCAACTCAGTACTTATTCCACTCCAGTCATCGGTGAACGCTTGGTCACACCGTCATCCATCGTGTTCCTCCTTATTAAACTGCGTCTTCGCCGGCCACTTCAAAGCGACGCACCCTCATCTGTTTCCGAAAAATCTGCCAAGGCCATTCGGGAGGACAGGGAGAAAGACGACAAATTCTTGAACAGCCGGAAGGATGCTGAGGATGTCGAGGGGACCACACCTGCGTGGGCTCATGCACCTCACTGGCCAGGGGTTTGTCTTTTCCTTTTGTGCCATCTAAGCATTTCTAACTGGAATACAGCTGCGCAAGCCAGGCTGGTGGCTCGTCCTTGCTGATGACAAGTCAAATAGGATTGTCGTTCCCCCAATGAAGATATCAGACGTGCCCGCGTCGAGCCCCGGGAAGGAACGCGACTACCGCTCCTACAAATTACAGTTCCAGGCTCCCCCCAACGTGGGCTTGTTCACTTGGAAGGTGTACCTGATAAGCGACACGCTCGTGGGGGAGGAGTCGTGCCAGGACATTTCGGTGGGTTTCCATTGATCTTTGCGGTGTTGCAGTGACTGATGTAGCACGTAGCTCAAAATCGATGACATATCTGCACTCAACGCAGAAGAGCAAACAGCAGAGGATGAAATTTCTGATCCTGAGGAGGATTCGTTGGCCGGTCAGATGGCCGCGATGCGTGGAGGAGCTGTGAAGCGTACAGCAGTGGCCGAGGACAGCGAGGACGAGAGTTCGACTGATGAGGAGCAGCAGGATGGTGATGATAGTTCGGATAGCGACTAGTGGTTGCATGTCTTATTCTTGTCTAATCATTAATGTTTGAGCACATCTCGGTATTTATCTGCCTCCCTTCCTCTTCACAATCGTAAAGCCATCATCGTCAGTATCTGGTGCTTCCTTTGCATGGTCGAGCAGCTGTGGAACAACCTCCTTCCCGTAATCCTCGCCGTCGCTTCCACTCTCATCCTCGCTATCACCGTCGCTATCTTCCCAATCACTTGCACTCCCTGCTTCAACTTCGAATTGTGGCATTTTTCCTTTCATCCGATCTGCTTGCATCTCCAAGTCTTTAACATATCCATCCCTGCCCTCCTTCGCATCATTCCACAAGCGCACAACATCTCTAGCAATGTCGAACGCGCTTCCATCCTCGAGCGCAACCTCGAATTCGTCATCCATGATCTGGAGCAGCATCGTTTCTATATACTCGGTGTCAGGCTCAGGGAGCGTGTGTGATGGATGCATGGAGGCTGATTGATGAGAATCGAAAGCCGTCAATGAAACAGATACTGGTGGAAGGGATGCTTCGAATTCATCTGTGATGACACCCGCTAGCCAGCGCTGTTTCTGTGCGCTTTGCGGTCCTCCCCAATTTTGGTGCACAGCGATACGAAGAGCTGGCCATAGCGCGAGGCGTGCTAGGAGGCCACGAGCGAATAAGACTGATATAGGTGACGCATCTGAAGCCATCGCAAAGGTGAAAAGGTAAGTAGAATCGCTTAGTAAGCGATTTACTGGTCAAAGACATGATCTACGGTAGCGGTGCCGTGCACCAAGTCCCCGACTCCGCTGTCGGTTAGATCCGGCACAATTGTTACTACGTATGTAGATTCAATCGTGCCGCATCTTCATAGCCAATTCCATTCAATTTCCCTTGCTGGATCTTATGATTCTGATCAGGAATCAATTAGTAGTTCAAGACTAAAAAAGTGTGTCTAGCCTTGCCAGCCCTGCCAAATCCCCCAGTCACCTCGTTCAATGGACTGCGATGATTCGAAAGACGTTTCACATCGCATAAGCAACAGCCCGACGAGTAATCAACGTGGCATCATAAGTGCCAAAACTTTTACAGAGAATTTGGTCGTTTGCGTCTGACAGAACCCTTCTCCAACTAACCGTGGGAGTCGGGGATATTGTCAAGATCGTCGGAAAGGCAGGCATGAATTCGTTGCAACGGCTGACCTGCAGCGGGGTGCAAAACCGATCATTGCGATCAACATGGGCGTGGACTCGGAGGGGGCCGATGTCACACATACTGCATGATGCTACTTTGAGCCCCGTGACGCACCCACTTCTCCTCTCAAAGGCAGCACCTGGGTGGCCCAGATTCAGAAAGCGCTGAACCTGCTGGGCCAGCTTTCTGCGAGACGCTACTTGCTCGGAAATTCCATTGCTCATTCCATGTCCCTGACTTTGCACAACACTGGATTTGAGGTCCTCGGGCTTCCTCACACTCAAGGTCTTCTCGAGACAGCTGATGTCGGTGAACAATTCAAAACTACCTTGGCTTCTCCTGACTTTGGAGGCGCCTCTGTTACCATTCCCTTCAAACCCGATGTTATATCACTGCTTGCCAAGCTTTCGCCAGCCGCTGAAGCTATCGGGGCTGTAATACCATCATACCGGTCATCAGGCGAGGAAGCTGCATCCCCTGCATAACACCGACTGGCTCGGCATTAGTGAATCCATCCGCTTTCGTGCGCCATCCATTGGTGCGCCTGCTGCCGCCCTCGTTATTGGTGCAGGAGGGCCTGCACTAACTGTCATTGTATCCGCCGTCCCAGTGAGTGCGACAACCACCAGCGGCACTAGCCCGGGGGGCGTGCTTCTTCCGCTGGCGCTGTTCGACGCGACAGCGAATGGCGTGGTTGTGGACATGACATACAAACCTACCGAGACGCCCCTTCTAATGCTCGCGAAAAGTGCAGCTCCCAACTGGGCGGGAGTTATGGGGGTTGAGGTGCTCCTGGAGCAGGGCTGTGTGCAATTTGAAACATGGACGGGACATAGATGCCCGAAGCATGTCGTGTCAAAGAGTGTTGGAGAAATATTTTGCAGCTGCCTAGGTGGATCTAAGTCTGCGTTTGGACGCTCAAAGTGGTTGACATATGAGCTTGATATGAATATTTGTTCTAGTAGTCATCTACCGACGTCATTTATCGGTGTATTTCTTTTCTCCCGCCCGTCTGTTTCTGTTATGTAGTACTAGTCTGTTGTCCTAGTCGTTGTAACCAATATAGCCGACGAAGTTGGTTTCCAACTCCTCGCGCCGGTCGTTGTAACCAATGTAGCCGACGAAGTTGGTCTCCAACTCCTCGCGCGCGTCATAGTCTACGAAGTTGGTTTCCAACTCCTCGCGCCGGTCGTTGTAACCAATATAACCGACGAAGTTGGTCTCCAACTCCTCGCGCGGCTCATGGTCTACGAAGTTGGTTTCCAACTCCTCGCGCTTCTTGTCTGGTGCAAAAGGTTTGATACTCAAATGAATAAATAGCAGTATTCTCACCTCCACCTCCTGGACCGTCGTACCAAGCATATATTATAGTGCCAGTATCCAGCTCCTCGCGTTTCTTAGTGATACCTGGTGCAAAAGAGTTGATACGTAAATGAATAAATGGCAAGTCAGTGTATCCCACCTTCAGGAATAACAAGGCCATCGCGTGTAACGTACGAAATATAAGTCACGGAGTTGGTCTCAAGTTCGTCGAGTTTCCTACCTTCTTCTAGGAGATCACGTTGAGAGTTCGTGTCAAGTTCCTCTCGTTTAGCTGAGTGATACATCGAGGCATTTGAGTAACTATAATAATGCTGATGGTCATGAATGCTCACAGGAAAGTTGCTCAATGGCTCTTGGCGTGGGTGACGCTGCAGCGAGAATGACGAAAGATACGAGCGCGCTAAAGATCGCAGAAAGCTGCATGTTTAGGAGCAAGAGAAGTGAAGTGACTACTGAGTCAATACTGGAAATTCGAGAGGACTCTTTATAAATCCTGACAGATCCGCTCGAAACGACACGATTACATACCCTTTCAAATCGGGGCCAGCGGACCCTCAACCAGGAGTTATCGAGAGCTTCAAGGTGTGGCACCGCTACCATACAGCAATTAGGATCCCAGAACTAGGACCAGTAGACAAGTTCAAGGAAATAGCCGTGATAAGTTGCGTGGCAGTTGCCCAATCACTGGTACAGTGTGCGAGGAGCTGCCACGTCAGTTATGCATGAGCAGCCGCGGCTTATTGTTTAGGTGATTTGAGTGCACACCTGGCGGAAGAACACTTACTTCGAAAAAATGATGTTATGCCACAGCACGTCATTGCAGGGTCTCTTGTGGTCATCAAGTACATTTGTTAAAGTTTCGTCAACCTACGATGGGAAAATGAATCGTGATGATTGAAGGTTAAGTCTCTCCGCCTTGTCAGAGCGCTAGAGTCGAACATAACGCATGTGCCACAGGTCTCCGAGCAAAACGCTTGGGATGGCATGAGTGATTTTGAGATCCCTCAGAGCACCGCGTCGGCCATACGTTTGAGAGCAGCAGGATGTGCGCAAGCGTCTCGTTTTACGGCAAGGTTAGATGGGTCGGGCGGACCGAGGAGCAGGGGGAAAAGCCCTCTCGAAAATTTCGCAACGAAGTTGCCACTCAGCTCATGACCCATATATACAACTTTCTCTTCTCTTCAGCGCACTCACATACATCGTCATTCTTTCTGCTGCGTATCCCATGCCAGGAGCCATCATAACACAATGCTGTGAGTATTCGTGACTGCCAGCAGCACTGTGTCAATTACTGAGATTAGTCGCAGATAAGCGACATGACCTTGACACGAACAGGCTCAATGATTACCTTGGCACGGGGAGCACTACAGGAGATAATGTGGTCATCATCGTCATCATCATCATCACCGTCCTACCAATCTCCCCTATGTAGACCAATAGAAGGAAGATAAATTATCATCCTGATCCAAAAGTTGATTATAGGAATATTATTATGCCTCTGTTTCATCCAGAAGAAATTCACGGGAAGACCGTGACACTAGTGCACTTGATAGTGCATAATCGGTGGGTCCGATCCTAATAAAGGCTGAACTGTGTAAGTGATCATTAATCGTGTGGGTGGACGTGCCTTGGTCATCGACTCGTAACTCGTTAACCGGGGTTGACCTCAGGCCTCAGAGTGGATTCTCCATGATACCTGTTAGATGAAAACCTGACTAGAAAGCGTGAGAATATCACCGTCAAAACGTTCTTGACGCAACTCAAGAACAAGTTGCTCGACCTTCCATAATTATTGTCCAATATGCACGATACTTATTAACAACGTTTCAGTATAGCGTCAAATTTTGGGGAACCTACGGGGGCCTAAGTCGAGTTACCGAGGTGAACTGACTTCAAGTCCGCCGTCGATGGATATTCGCACACGTACGCTCCTCTTGACAGGGTTTTTGACCGAGGGCCTCTACGAGTCGGGGATTACTCTAGGGGAGACTACTTGTGTACATATATAGGTTGACGCTATCTATCATGACCGCCGGTCGATTCTTGCAGCCCAAAATATAAATGAGCTCTCCATCAGACGCCTTTCTTTAGTCTACTCCTAGCATGTGTGATATATTTCTCGTTTCAACAATACAACTCGATACAGCAGTGAAGAAGACTACCTGACTCGGACCTTCGTGAACGCATCTAGGACCTCATTTACATGCCCAACGTGCGGACACCGTGTAACCTGATTAATTACTGCTTTGGCGACTATAACGATTCCATCCCAGTTGCCGCGGCGGAATACTGGGATGAGAATGACTACACCCTCATAGTAGCAGCTTACATGCATAAAGTATAGAAAAGGACGCCGATATAATTCAATGATTCGAAAATCATCGACTTATCGTCAGAAATAATCTCTATCCGTCGATATTTTGCCGTCGACAAATTTATGTAAAAGCGCGTCAAAGTCTGGTGTATCGTCGGTTTCTCTCTCTCGTTTGTTATCGGAAATAAGCTCAAATATTTGAAGCTTCCTGTAGTGCATGCACCGTGGCGGGCGAGACAAGGCGAGTAGCAAATAACCTACCCGTCGATACTTATTTCGGTTTATTTGCATTAGAGACCGAAGCCTTTTCGACACACAAACCGAGCAAGAATATCACCTCTCGATCTTCATCTTTTCCAAAAAGTGCCCGGTTTTTCTCAAAATTTCGAAACGAGTCGATGAGATCCAGAGCCTTATCGTTGGTTGATATATATCGCTACACTCCCGTCTCATTCTTGTCGACTCTCACTGGGGCTCGGCGCTCAGCGACCGTCCGGTCTTGGTTCTGATAATCACAAAAATTAGAAGTCATACTTCGTTGAAAAATCAATACTCACGTGACCACTGTACGCTCAAAATGAGATTGTCATAGCCTTTGCCATTTAGTTTTTCCATCGCCCGCTGCGCAATAGCGCGCTCATCAAAGGACACAAATGCGAAGCCTTTGCCGATACCCGTCTCTCTATCACGGCCGACGTAGACCCTCGCTACACGCCCGAACGTGCCGAAAAGCTCACGAAGATCGGTTTCTTGCGTGTCTTCAGATATGTTGGTGACACGAAGTGTCGGGAGGTCTTCGCGAGATCCGCCTGGGCGTCCCATGGATTCACCAGGACGAGAAGCGCCACCACGCATTGATGGTGGCACATATTTGCCGCCAGTCGCGCCGCTGGCTGCAGGTGCAGGTGCATCGGCCGCATCATCAGCAGGTGGTAGGTCTGTCCATATCCGTGTCAACGAGATCGAGCATGAAGTAGATACGACATGCCGCGGAAAAATACGAACCAGCGGTTTCAAGACCGGCTAGAGAGTCCTTGTATGGGCACTTGGCGGTGAAGTGATCGCCTTTGCAAAGACGACAGATAACCTTGCCTGCACCGGCCTTTGCAAGTTCGGTTTTGATATTTTGCTCGGGCGTTACCTCCGGCTCGGAGGTCTTTTATGACTGTCAGTCTGACCCAAGAACAAATGTATATTACAAACGCACCTTATTTCCTGCGCTAATTTTCAAAGCCACATTCTCTCCCACTGTGGTCGTCGCTCGATCTGGCCCTTCCTTGTTCCCTCGTTCCTTGCCAAACTTGGCCCATTTCTTCCGTTCAGCAACTGTATGCTCGACGACGGATTTTTGAAGCGTCCGTTTTATTTTACGGGTTATCTTTAAGAAAATTATCAGTATATGGTGTTGAAAAAAACGCCGATATGGCAGATGGTACAGATGAGGAATATCATGCGGACCACTGGATGATGGGGCAGACGTACCTTGACCTTCTTTCCCTCATCATTTATAGCATACTCAGTGGTGACACGGAGTCCATTCTCATCTACATAATCCTCAATCTTTGGTTGATCTACTTGAGAACGTTAGACTTTGATATGATTGTGGACACAAAGACAAGTATTCACCAAGTTCGTCGACATCATCTGCCCAGGAAGTTTTTGGTATACTGAAAAAAATCTTCAACTTGACAGCCCGAATCCTGGAAACTCCAAACTTACGTTGCTGCCGCCATGTTATGAGTGAATAAGTATGTTGCCGGTCTGGTGCTGCATGGAGTTTGCAGAATAATGGTGGCAGTGCTATCCACGTGATCGGAATTTTGCAGCCGCCTCATCCACCACAATTACTAGTGTCCACATCGCCCTCGACGTCCCCAAGCTCACGACATAATCGCCCTCTGCAATGGTAAGTTTGCCCTCCGCATGTTACAGTCAGGATCCGCCGTAGGATTGGTTTGGAATACCAGCAATCCGAGTCCAAACGGTGGATTGACGACCCACACATAGGATGTACCTTGCATCACAATCGCTAACGTTGTGTTTCTCCCTTTGCAATGCACAGGCCTCCTCAGAACTTGCCGCGACTTACGCCGCACTTATCCTCGCCGACGAGGGCATTGAAATAACCGTGCGCATATTTCATGTCTCACATCCATGTCTCGGAACTCAAGAAACACCTCTAGGCTGACAAAATACTCGCCCTGACTGACGCCGCTTCGGTCGAGCTAGAGCCCATCTGGGCAACTCTTCTTGCTAAGGCTTTGGAGGGGAAGAATGTGAAGGACCTCCTATCAAACGTCGGTGCTGGTGGAGGTGCACCGGCCGTCGGCGCACCCGTTGCTGCTGCCGCTGGTGGTGCTGCCGCTGTCGAGGCACCGAAAGAAGAAGAAAAGAAGGAGGAAGCAAAAGAGGAGTCAGACGACGACATGGTACGCGCCCAAATATATGTCAGCCACTACGGGGCGCTGACGCTTGTTTACAGGGTTTCGGGTTGTTCGACTAATCTTCGGTTTTCCTTTATTATGTTATTCCGATCCACTGCATACGCCGCATGGGTTCACTCTCTACATCTTGCGTTGTATTCCTCACGCCGCTTTGTGCTACGCACTGAATTCAACATATGAAACCCATCTGGAAGCCTGCTTATGAATGATGAGAGTTCATTAATGATATAAACCTCGTGCAGTTTTAGTTGGCCAGACAAGCCTCGCAAGCATTTTGGTACTACCTAATTTTTCACAAGCCACGCCTTAGCTTGTGCACGCAATCCCGACAGGTTCTTACAGGATCTTACTGTAAAGAGTTTATCACTGACATTCTCCTCCTACCAAGCGTTGGTAGATATATAGACAAATAAGGTAGCCCGATGGAGAAATATAACTTCTACAACGCATCTTCAAACAACAATCTTCGAGGTTTGGTTATGTGAGGCGAGGGTGAAAATAAAGCAGGCCTTGGAAAGATACTGTTAGGGTATAAATGAGTCGCAGACAGTGATCATACGTACATAGAAGTTCCACAGTTTGCAGCTGCGTTGCCCATAATGATGCTTTCTGATACACCGGCAATACTGTCGTTCTTCCCGAAGGCCGCTGCATCAAACAGATGGTCCGTCGTCTTTTCGAACGAAGCAAGCATGAGAACGCTGTCCTTCATCTTCGCGACACCAAAGCGAGTGATACCCAGAACCTCTCCCTGTTTCAGTGATTAATTAATAGAAAAATCGGTATCACACCATACTCGTACCTTGTAGCTCATAACATCGCCAAGCAACATGACATGACGAGGGTCAATGCTCATTCCGTGGCTCTGCATGGTATACTGGATTTCGTCGATGATGGTCCGTCTTGCTGCTTCAATCCCCAAGACTTTTGCTGACTCAATGACGTGGTTGGAAGTCGTGGCCTCGCCAACAATCCCTACATCTAGGTCAGCGCATAGTAACTGGATTGAAGAACAGAAAAGCTTACCTTCTGTGATCATGACCTTCTGTAGTCCGTAACCTTCTACAAGTAGTTCCTTATCTCCCTTTTTTCCCTTGGCGTCGTCCTTCTCTTTGATATTAATGACGGCACGCTGAATAGTCGGCACTCCCTGTGCAGATGATTCAGAGAATGATCACGGACAAGACCAAGCGATCGACCTTCACTACCACATCCGGCAAAACTCGCTTCAATTCTCGCAGCTTGTAGTATTTGTCCGTTCCATCAATATAGATGCGCAAGCGGTTTCTGCGAGGAATAACAGTGATAGACTGTTTACAGTAAGTTTTGTGACAATATATTCACGACACGGTATCACCTCCTGTTTAATCTTGAGCTTTCTCGTGGCTACGATCGCCCACTTAACATCATCCAAAGTAAGTTCAAGCTAATGTGACATGTGAGCACATATTGAGTGATATGTTAAGGGACTCACTTGAAGCTTCCGAATGGTATTCGTGTCTACAATTACACCGATATAAGTGTACTCTGGCGCCCATGCCTCTTCAAAAATAGCAGCAATCTGTGTAAGATTCAGAATACCATCCTAGGATCATAGGCTGAAATGTCTTACATCGCCCAAATGAGTTTTTTCAAGACGGCCCTTAACTATACGTGCAGAAGGCTCGCTGTTGGGAGTGACGAGCTTGCAGCTAATAATGGGCGTGCTGATAGTCTTGGACGCGTTGATGATTTCTTTTATTCGTGGCACACCAAGCGTGACGTTCATCGAAGCAACCCCGGCGAAATGGAAGGTCTTGAGGGTCATCTGTGTCCCTGGTTCTCCAATGGACTGAGCGCCAACTGCACCCACAGTGGAACCTGGATTGCACATAATCCACCTGAAGGCAAGTTGCATAGACTCCACTTACCGGGCTCAATCCTGGCTTTGACGTACTTTTGCCAGCACAAGGTAAGAAAACGCTGGAGCTGGGACTCAGTAACTTTGGCCTTGTTATCTACGATGGCCTTGGAAGCGGCTAAGAAATATGTCAGAGGAAAGAGCGCAAACATATTTTCTGTGCAAACCTGAAGCTCCCATAGACAAGTCGGTATCACGATCCCACTCATCTGAGCGCTCCAGAGCCTCGAACATTCCCCGGCTTTTGCGCATGGTAGCGAGATGATGAGCGATATTCTGAACGACGAACTCTCGTATAGTATCAAGATATGCTGGTGTGCACTCGCTAGTGAACTTTTGTTTCCTGAGCTCTAGATCAACAAGTTCCACGATCTCGAAGGGGAGCAAACCGCGACCACGACGATTTCCTATTGCCTGCAAACAAATGAGACGCTTGAATGAGATATACAACCTTATTAGCACATACCAAAGCATGTGTCCATGCCCGCTCGAACTCGACTGGCTGCGCGTCACCCTCAAGGCATGCAGGATCCAAGCCATCGTCACCATATCTGAACTGTACAACGCCACCTGTGGAGTTCCGCACTGATAGATCATATTGTGTGGTCAGATCCTCCAGTGCCTTCATCAAACGTCGCTGCATGTAACCGGTTTCAGCCGTCTTCACTGCGGTGTCGACCAAACCCTCACGACCGGAGATAGCATGGAACAGAAATTCGGTTGGTAGGAGACCGCTAAAAAAGCTGTTCCTAACAAAACCCTTGGATGGAGGTTCTTTCGACTTCTTCGGGAAATGGGGGAGAGAGCGATCTTGAAAACCATCTGGGACACGGTGACCCGCAATGATTTGCTGGCCGACACAGGCAACCATTTGAGAAACATTGATCACGGAACCTTGGAACATTTAGCGACATCGACGAAGGAAAACCCGAAGGACGAACCTTTAGAGCCACAAGTCGCCATGATTAGAGGTGCGTTATGTCGACTCAGCTCCTGCATACAGATGTCTCCGACCTTGTCCCGAACTCTTGAAAGGATTCCAGATATCATAGCTTCAAGCGTTTGTTCTTGGTCGCACCCAGGTTTGTTCTCCAGCTTCCCCTTCTTTGCCTGCGTAATAAGGTTTGTACATTCAGCATACGCAGCCTCAACCATCTGGTTTTTCTTCGACGCAAGGATAGGCCCTGGAATAACGTCGTTGATTCCGAGAGAGAAACCGAAGTTGGCTGTAAGGAAATTTAATTGTGAAACAAACCTAATTAACGATAAGACGCACCCAACCAACGAGCGCATAATTTTGCCACACGGTTCATGGCGGCGGCAGCCTCATGTGGGCCGTAGTCCCTCATGATGATTCCGAATATGGACTTCTTCTTCCCGCTGCCGACGATGGCTTTATCCATGACACCACACATAACTTCGCTATTGACGATGACAAGCCAGGCATCGTTCGGAGATAGATCAGGGGCTGGATCTTTGATGGAGGGATAATGCTCAGGCTTTAGCTTTTCCGGTTTATTGCATTTGCATTCAACGTTCACAAATACGTTGGATTGCTTGTTAGGACGCATGAGAACGTTGAAAATCTGTTTGCCTGTCCATAGTCGTATGGGCTTCCAGATCGTCGGCGGAGGTATGTCAATCTGTAAGTCGGCATCGGCAAAGTAGCAACATATTTGCGTGAACTGGCGACGGTCGAAAAATGTATCTTTACGAGTCATCAAGTAGGAAGCCGTGATAAAATCTTGAATGGCGGCGATCACCGGCTCTCCGTTTCGAGGGGTCACTAGATTATGTTTCACGCTCATGAGCTCAAGCGCCTCTGTTCTTGCTTCCTCTGTCTGAGGAACATCTACACCAGATATGATTAAGAAAGTTATCAGTCAGCATGAGAGACAACTGACGAAGATTCATTTCGTCGCCATCAAAGTCGGCATTGTATGGACCGCAAACACATTCGTTTAGACGGAAGGAGCGCCAAGGACGAACCTTGACCCTGTGACACATAATCGAGAGCTGAAAGGCACCAAGTCAGTGAAAAGTTTGAAGCTCCTACGGAACAAAAGACCTTGTGCAGACTGGGTTGCCGATTGAACAGAGCGATATCACCTTTAATGATGTGCCTTTCGACAACATCCCCAATTCTCAGACTGTCAGCAACCGCATTGCGGTTACCGAACTTTAGGAATTTCTTGAAGCCACTGCTGCCCGCTGTCACGTAGTTAGCGCCGGGGTGTATATCACACCCATTGCGAACGGCTTGTTTGAGACCGTCGATATTGTGGGAAGTCACACGTTCCGGGTATGTTAATATCTTTGCGACACGCTCTGGGACCGCTACTTCATCGATTCGCAAGTTTGGGTCAGGGGAGATCACAGTACGGCCGGAGAAATCGACACGTTTCCCAGACAGATTACCACGGAATCGACCCTGTTTACCCTTCAGGCGCTGGACGAAACCCCTCATTGGTTTTTGGCCAGCTTGTGAGGGCACCCCAGGAAGTTCGGAGTTGATATACATGGCGACAGAAAGTTGGAGGAACTCCCAGTGTTCCTAAGCTTGAGTTGAGTAACGGTGAGCATCGTGGATGTTCATCACTTACCATGAATTGTGCAGTGGGCGCCCCTTTAGAAAGACCCTGCTTTATGAGAGCATTGGTGAAAACGATCTCCGTGAGTTTGACAGTGAGGTCATCTTCGTTGGAGGCTCCATCCTGGGCAACGGATGGTCTGATGCAAACCGGTGGAACGGAGATATACTGCCAGATATACTCTTCCGGACGACCGAACTCGGGTCGTAGACCAAGTAATTCACAGTCCTAGAAGTAGACGTTAGCCCCGTGAACGTATGAAGCTAAACATAAATGCGACCTCATCGGAGATTCTCTTGAAGAGATCGAGGCTTTTCAGTGGATTAAGATCTTCATGGATCGCCTTGTTCAAGTACATCCCAAGTTCCTTCTGCGCTTCTACCGCCGGAGCAAATGTACGCTTCCATTTTTCCATCTCGTCTGCTGTTTTCTTTGCGCGGAATTTATCATGGATGATCTTCAGCACTCCTGCTTTTTTGACGGCGCCATTCGTTGCTGAGCAGTAAGGGCAGTACACGACCTTTCGTGCCATAGTATTGACCTGTTTGCACAATGCTTGCCGGTGGATATTTTCAAGACCTGGTCGGCGGAAGCGTTTGAGGTACGTCCGCCGGTCGGGTTCCTCCAGTAACAAGCGAGCGCAGGTCTTTTAACGCGTTATAAAGCAGGAAAGATACGAAAGTCTGCCAGCTTACTTTGCATATGGCCTGGAGGATGGCAATGGTATGTTTGAAGTAGCCAATATGGAATACTGGGACCACCAGTTTGATATATGCGTAGTGACCAACGCAATCAACAGAATTGAGGCCGCATGTCTCGCAAAATGCATTCTTCTCTGTCGTCCCCTAAGAGTGCGATCAGTTGCATTGGTATGTGGGAAGGTATGGGCAACTCACCAGCCGACGATCTAAAACGCCATCTTTGACGGGAAGCCGATCGGTGGGCGTGTACAAGTCGCGATGGGTAACCTGGAACTCGGAGATCTTGACTGTATCTTGGGCATTGAGCAAGCTGAACTGTAGCTGTTTTCTGATGGGCTCTTGCGTCAATCAATATAGGGAAACTGGAGGAGGGGATTGGACATACATAACTTTTGGTGCCTCGGAAGGTACTGTCTCCTTCATGGCAAAGGATTTAATAAAAGAAACTAGCTCGGGGAGTTTTGTGACGACGCTTGTCACTCATGCGCAAAGCACAAGCAAAGTGTCTGTATATACAAAAGCTTGAGCTCGACGTCAATGGCAAGTTTTGGATGAATCGGGATCAATGCGTGACGTGATATGCATGTGACTAAGTGACATAATTGCGTGACACCGTGATGAGACTTGCGCGTCGCGTGTCTGCGATTGAATCATATCCTGCATCCAAACCATGTCGAGAACATCATACGATAGGTTCGAGTAATCCCTAGTTCCGCCGTCTGCATGCTCATGAATTATTTGGCAGATATCTCACTGTTTTCTCGCCCGAGGGCCGATTGTACCAAGTCGGTGCGTTGATGATTATTGGACATGATCGTAATGACGCGTGCTCATACAACTCCCCTCTAGAATATGCATTCAAAGCTATCTCTGGTTCTGGACACACAGCAGTCTCCGTCAGAGGACATGATACCTCTGTAGTTATTACCCAAAAGAAGATTCCAGTACGTTCGCTACGAAACGGCTGTCATGATGATATTTACTTTCGAATCAGGACAAGCTGTTGGATGCATCGACTGTTACGCACCTCTACAGCATCACACGTACCATTGGGTGTGTCATGACTGGCCTTGCCGGTGAGAAAAACTGCTGGTGTGGAATAGCTCGTACTTGCGCTGACGTAGGTTGCAGCTGATGCTCGTGCTCAAGTTTTACGTGCTCAGCAAGAGGCTGTCCAGTGGAGATACAAGTATGGATACGAGATAACTCCGGATGCTATGGCACGACGACTGGCAAACATCAATCAAGTCTATACGCAACGGGCTGGCATGCGGCCACTAGGAATTTGTGAGGCCACCTATTTCACTATCTATTCGCAACTGACAACGATAATCTTCTTATAGCTATGATACTGATTGGCATTGACCCAGAATACGGGCCGCAGTGTTTCAAATTAGACCCTGCAGGCTACTTTGTTGGGTTCCATGCCACTGCCGCTGGACAGAAACAGCAAGAAGCGATGAACCACTTGGAAAAGAAATGGAAGAAGCTAGACAAGGGTAAGGGAGCAGATGATGCTGCAGCTGCAGGCAAGAAGCTCAGTCGAGCGGAGGTTATCGAGGTGAGTAACGCTATATTACAAACTGACGTGGAAAGCTGAGCATTGTTTAGATCGCGATAGAAGCCATGTCAACTGTTCATGCGACGGACTACAAGGCTGGAGAGATAGAGATCGGGATTGTATCGACTGCTGAGGACGAGGACCCCAAAACTCGTGGTGAGTGGCGTGTGATGGATGAGGCCGAGGTAGAAAGATACCTGCTGGCATATGCAGAAAAGGATTAGGAATCGTTGCACATGTCAATTGATCATTTGCTCGCTGCAACTCGGGAGGTGAAGTTTGAATAAGTTTCTGAGGTGACGCAGTATGAGTTGGAAATGGTGTCTATGAGATTTATCTATTTTATCGCAGAGAAGCTCCCCCACTCTGCACGACTATGAGTACTAAATCATTTATCACACAATAATACTAACCAGTATGGCATCTATCTCTGCTTGCTCCAAGTACCTCGAGTATGGTTTGGAGAAGCGTGCCGGAGCCTCCCAGAATTCGAGGAAAACAGGATGATCCTGCGTTGCTTGGGAAGGATCAGCCTTTTCAGAAAAGGACTTTTGCCATTCTGGAGGTGCAGCTGGATGAGGGTGAGAAGGACCTGCAGCTGATATGATATTTAGGTGTTATATGAATGAGAAGGAGTTACGCGACGCACTGGCTGGCCATACGCGCTTTCCAACGAAGCTGATGAGCGGTTTATGTGCTAGTACTCTAACAGACGGGTGCATGTCGGGAAAGTGGTAAGTGCTGAGATCGAGAAGCGGGCCGCCAAAAGCTGTGCAACATGGGATACGTTATTTGTACATGTTTTAGATCCGAAGTTAACCGAGGAAGGCTGTGGGGAAGAAGCAACCGCCGATCGCCTAGTGACGCCAAAGGACCAAAGGTAGTACTAGACGCTTGAGATAATAAAACAGCTAGATACTGTCATACTTTGACGTTCGCTTCTTTGCTTCGATGTCGCTTCTTCAGGCATACTCTTCCTTGTCATCGAGCTCGCAAAGAGCTACGATATCGCACACACTTCAGTCAATCGCTGGTATGTCTTCATCCCTAATTAATTGCTGACTACTTCAATCTAATTTTTAGGTGCTCCGCCTATCGATTCACCATCCTGTAAAGCACTCATTCAGCTTATCCTCGATGATCTTCAGGCTGCCATTATCGATGACTCTTCCAGCCGTTTAACCAGAGCCGGTCTGCTCACTCTATCTGATTTATACACTCCGCGCTGATCCCATGTTAATCGTAGACGCATTGTCCGCCCTTTCTGCAGTCAAGGGACTTGGTAGAATACCCCATGGTGCCCAGGTCCTTGCAACAGTTCCTAACCTTAAACGTCTTATAACGCTCGCCGTAAAACTCGAAGCTGCTCCTGATGCTTCAAACGAAGCTTTGAAGTGCGTTGCCAACACCTTACTCCTCAGTGAACCTGCTCGCACCAGGTTACTGAGCCAAGACATTGATGGAGGAAATATATGTGTCGACCTCCTCCAAGTCAGAGCCCTGTCATCCTGTTTGTCATACATCTAAGCCCATTTTTTTTATAGAAATCTACAACACCAGAAAACACCTTTCTCTCATCAAGGATCCTCTTCCTCTGTACTGCTTCCCCTCAACAGTCTGCTTCCTTCATCGAATCTATCGTTGAGACAAACCGTACCCATTTTCCTGGAAATGGAACAATAATCGATGTCATCGCCCTCAAGTTGGATGATTTAATTGCATCCATGCAAGCTGGAGTAAAGATGTCCCGCGATGCCATGACAGATCTCTTGAAGCTCACCTTCAATCTCCTCGTACACTATCCCAAAGTCAGTCACTTCCTTTGTAACCACAATTACAAACTCTCAGTCGCATTATAGTTGGCCCCTTCCGAGGTGCAATCTCCCGCCTTAGCTTGCTCTCCTCATGACCAAAAGGTAATGGGAGATTTCTGGAATTCGCGGCTTGACGGGTGAGTGCCTTATGACGATATCCAAGCAGTATCTCATATGGTATTGCAGCATCCTACCCACCCTTGTTCGTGCTTTTCAGACCATCCCCCTTTCCTCTCCAAATCCTCTTACATCGCCGTTGACTCATATAATTCATTCCTTAATTACTATCCCTGTCGACGTGTCATCCCGAGCGATATGGTTCGGTACTCGTCCACATTCACACTCGTCCACCCCACAGCCCAGTTCCCCCGAGTCCGCCACTCCTCCTTTGGCTAGTTCAAGTCATGATAACCAGCCAACGCCTAAGGAGCCAAAGGCCAGGCATATCGAACGCGCCATATCGTCCGTCATTTCAGCCGGTCGCCGGTCGCTCTGCCGCTCTTCACGTTCTACCTCACCTTCCACCGCTGACTGCGCCTCACGCGCTTATGAACTCCTGGACACGACCCTTTCGCACTTCCTTCCAGGTGACATCGATCCTGACGATCCTGCAGTGCGAGACCTGTGCAAGATCGATGGGGACACGTCCCTGGATGAAATCGTGTGCCCCCTCGTTATTCTTATTACACGATTCTGTCTTGGTGACGACGATGCCAAGACAAGAATAAGACAGTGGCTAGTGCCTGAGAACCTGGACAGGACACATCCTTTGGAAAAGAGAGGAGATCTTTTAGGTCGGTGCTTGAGACTTCTTGCATCCGTCTACCACAGCAGGTTGAAGGACTCTACGGGAGAAATGTTATACGCGATGTGTGATTCAAACGGTATGTCATATGCACCTCCCAACAGTCATATTTACGAATAAGATCCAGCTACGACCCTTGCTGGTTATTTCGGATACGGCAATGTTGCCGGTTTCCTTTTTCACAAAGGCGTTGTCAGTGCACCGCCTGTCAGCGCAGCCTCAGGCGCACCACCAACCACTGCGTCAGGTTTACCCATCAACCCCATCACTGGCACTGTCGAGCATCCCTCTGAAAATAATATTGACATGACTGATGAAGAGAAGGAACATGAGGCAGAGAAGTTGTTCGTGTTATTTGATCGTCTGGAGAAGACTGGGGCACTACCTCCGAGTCAGAATCCCTATCGCAAGGCGTTTCAAGAGGGAAAAATGGGTTGATCTCAATCAGAAATAGCGGATACGAAGTTATCATGGACTTATGATAATAACTTACTTATCGATACCATTCCTTGTTTTTTTTCTTACCTTGAATTCACAGTTAATGAAATATATGATAGATGAAGTTGTCAACCGTTGGCAGTGATAGAACATTGTGCATATTGTATATACGAAATATATGCAACGACTTGAGCCACAAGAAAAGTGCCAAGTCATCATTTTTGGGGTAGTGATGTGTAGCAGTGCATATGAGCTTCGAATGGCATCGCAACATGCCTAATCGAAAGTGATCTTGGACCCCTCGAACTGAGTGACGGCTCCAGTGCGTGCGCCCCCTCGACCTCTGCCGCCACCCCTCCCACCACGGTCACCGCCTCGTCCGCGTCCTCTCCCACCACGGTCACCGCCGAACCCACCACGTCCACGCCCACGGTCACCACCACCGAACCCACCACGTCCGCGACCTCGGTCGCCGAATCCTCCACGACCTCCACCACGTCCACCCCCAGAGTTGTCTCTTGGTTGGGAATAATCCAAGCGAAGGCTGCGGCCATCAAGCTCGTAACCCTGCAGCTGCCCGTGGGCCGTCTGTGCGGACTCCAAAGCACTAAATTCGACATAGGCAAAGCCTTTCGGCCTGCCCGAATCACGATCCGTTGGAACACGAACGCTTTTAACGTCGCCGTGCTCGCCAAAGACTTCCCAAAGTTGCTCCTCGCTGACACCAAAGCTAAGATTCCCAACAAAGAGAACGCTCGATGGAGGGCTCTGCGTGTCGCCAAAAGACTTTGCCCGGTTATCACGGACAGCGCTTTTATCTGGCGGCGTGCTTTTGTCAATATTGACAGCTCGTCCGTCAATCTCCTTGCCGTTCATTTCGAGAGCCTTTTCAACCGCATCTGCGGATGTGAAGTGAACATAGCCAAAACCGCGTGACTTGCCAGTCGCCCGATCCGTTTGTACTTGAGCAGAGACAACTTCGCCGCAGGAGGCAAATTCCTGTGCAAGCCAGTCGTTGTCGACATTCCATGATAGTCGACCGACGAAAATACTTTTCGTTTCCTCAGTCGATGCGCTAGGAGCTGCATCACCATCGACCAATTTTACCTTTTTGGGGGGAACGGAGGGTTCTGCTTCTGCTTTGCGCTTGGTGCCTGTAGACCGTTCAGATTGATGAAGGACTAAGTGCAATCAATAACTTACCCTTGGCAGGCTGAACATTTTGTGCCTCGACACCCTTGTCCCCATCCTCATCCGAAGAGCCCTCGTCGCTCGAGGAAGAATCGGACGAAGAACCACTGTCTTTACCCTTCCCCTTTTTGCTGGCTGGGGCGCTGGCGGGCTTTTCATCTTCCGATGAGTCATCGGAGTCTGAGGCGGGTGCAGGCTTTTTAGGTTGTCCATCCTCGGAAGAGGAGTCCGAGTCGTCGCTTGATTCGGAATCTTTTGCAATCGATGCTTTGAGTGCTCCCTACAGATATTGAATGAAGGGCAAAAGACTGAAAAAACGAATACATACAGCCTTAGCCAAAATGTCCTTGGATGACGTTGGCAATTTGACTTTTTTTGCTGGCGAGGCGGTTGATTTTGCTGCCTTGGTCTTATCTGCCTTTTTGTCTGGGCACAACGATGAACATTCAGGTGGAAACCTGCGCCATCAATCACTTACCCTTGGCAGGTTGGACATCCTGCATCTCTACATCCTTGTCGCCGACCTCGTCTGACGAGCTCTCGTCGCTTGATGATGAATCAGAAGAATCATTACTGTCCACTTTACCCTTTCCCTTCTTGGCAGCTGGGGCACTAGCAGGCTTTTTTTCTTCCGGTGAATCGTCGGAGTCCGACGTGAGCACAGTTTTGTTGGGTTGTTCCTCACCCGAAGAGGAGTCTGATGACTCGTCGGACGATTCATCTTTGGCACGTTTAACGGGAGTCTTCCCGTTCGATGCTTTGAGCACTTTCTGTTGAGTAAAAACGATCAGAAGGGGACGACTAATGACAGAAAAACATACAGCCTTGGCCAGGGTTTCCTTGGATGACGCTAGCGACTTTGCCTTTGCGGGGGAAGCGGCGGCTGGCTTGGCAGCCTTAGCCTTATCTGCTACCTTCTTGTCAGCCTTCTTGTCTGATTTTGCCATGGCGTACAAGTGAGGGATACGGATTTTGCAAAAGCAAGAAGTCCAAAATTTTGGCTCGATAAGCACGTGAGCCATTCTGATTAAGGGCAGGTTGCTTCAGGACTTGCAACGCTCTGCAGACTGCAATGTCTAAATCAATTTCTTCCATCACTGCGGCAATGGACAATCATTTTGACGTTATCGTGCTTGGCACTGGTCTGACCGAGTCTATAACTGCTGCGTGAGCAAAATTGACACTCGCGCACCATCTTTTTATGCTCAGTAGGAACCTATTAGTGCTCTCTCCAAGGCTGGCTTCAAAGTCGCACATATTGATCCCAACCCATATTATGGTGCCGACGAAGCATCCCTCTCACTAGATGAGCTCGCGCAGTGGGTTGATCATCACAAAGAGGACAATTATTCCGTCACCCATTATGGTGAACTTCCGCCTCATGCGAGACAGTACTCAGTTTCATTGGCTCCTTCGGTTATTCCATCAATCGGCCCTTTCATTTCGTCCCTCATTGCGTCCGGCGTTTCTCGATACGGATCTTTCAAGCTCCTTGGTCGCGTTGTCATTTATGACGGCGGCATATTGAAAGATGTTCCCCAGAGCAAGGACGATATCTTTCAGAGCAAGGCGATGAGTCTCCTAGAGAAGAGGAGGGTCACGCGTTTCCTTATGTTTGCTGGTGGTGAATTCGAGAATAGCAAGGAGCTGCACGGCCAAGAAAATTCGCCCTTGCTCGATTTCTTGCAGAAGAAATTCCTGCTTAGTGAGGCAACCGCTCGCGCCATCACTTATGCCCTGGGATATTGTTATTTTGTGTCAGAAACAACTCTTCCCGCTCTACATCGTATCCGCGATTACCTGAAGGCATCCGGTCGCTATGGGTCGTCCTCATTTCTCGTAGGCTACTACGGTGGCTCGGGTGAAATCGCGCAAGGTTTTTGCCGCGCAGCTGCTGTGAGCGGAGGTGTTTATATTTTGGGACGATCTGTTACGAGAGTCGTGTCTGTCGATCCCGTCGAGCCAGAATACTCCGTTTTGACATCAGATCTACCCCGGTTCGCTGTTGAAGTTGACGACTTTCCAGACCGCCTTCATTGCCGATGCCTGATATCGTCGGCCACTCTTCTACCAGGACACCTTCGCACCCTAGCGGATATAATCCGTCCGAGTATATCATCCTGCAGCTCCCCGCGGCCATTTGCGACGGCACGGTGTATCGCAATCGTTGATGGGCCAATAAATTTACTGTCAGACACTGAGAATTCGGGAACGTCGGAAGCATCGGATTCTTCACTTCTTGTGTTTCCGCCGGGATCGTTGGAAGAGGGATCGGCTATTTCCACTGTGCATGTTATGACAACTGGTCCAGGTACAATGTCGGCCCCTTCTGGAAAAGGTATGGTTGAAAATTCAATTCATATTTAGCAGCACCTCAATTCTTTTAAGGCATCCTGTATATCTCAATGCCTCTTCGCAGCAATTCCATTCATTCGGCTGAGACCCTTTTACGTCCATATCTAGCAGCCGTTCTCTTGCTGTTTCGAACTGAGGAGCAGCAGAAAACATTGATTTGTTCTACATTTTATATGCAGGAACTTGCCTCATCGACAGCAAGTAACTCGGATTCTTTGGCAGGGCTCCTGGCAGTGCCTTCATTAAGCCCACATACAACACAGGGTGTAGATGAAGCTGCAATAGTTGCTGAGGCTACCTTCAGAAAGGCAGCAGCTTCTCTTAATGGAGAGAGGCAAGAGCACTTTAATCAAGGATGCAAGCAAGATGGATTTTGGCCTTCATTAGCTGAGATACAGGGGGGAGAAAGTAATGACATGCAGTGGTAAAACAAATGTTGTTCACACTTGTCCTTTTGAGTAATGGAAGAGTAAAGCATGTGTTGTGATTTCAACAAACATCTTGTGCACAAGCAAAGAAGAGAAACAGAGAACCAGTATGGTAATCAAAGTTTAGTGACACTTTGGAAGCTACCCAGAGGGTAGAACACTAAAGGCTCAGATGGTATACGGAACATGGATGAGAGTTAGATTCAATGTGGAGGTAAGAGGTAAAGATAAGATACAATCAACAACAGCTTATATCCAATATCAGCGCAAGCACATCATACTTCAGCATGTCCAATCAACAAGCAGTCACATGTGGTAAGCCTAGGCTTACACCCCCCCCCCCCCCCTCCCCTCAACTATCCTTGAGATCTTTCTTTCTCCCAGACATCTAGCACTTCGCAATCCTCTAAGTCCCACTGGGGGAGCCATTCATTGTCTTCCAGTCCATACCCAACCCAATTAGAGTTTAAAAGTCTGGTCTGGTCTGGTCTTTTGGCCTAATTTTGTTGGAAATTCCTAATTAAGCTTTCAATGCATTACAAAGCATTGAAAGGTTGAAATACGAACCTCCGCTTGAAATGCCTTCCAATAATAGAGTGCGTCTTATAATGGTCGTTACAATCACAGTTGCAATGATCATTACAACGGTCATTGAAATTAGTTACAATCAATCTTAGTCATTGTAATGTATTGTTTGTACCGCAACTGGTTGCAATGAATGCCCTGTAATTGTGATAAAATTAGCCCCTTGGAATACCAGCCTTATCTCCCAAGCCCCTTTTATCATCTTGTGCTATCATGGTTATCTTATCATTCTACAGTGTTATCTTACCATCCTGTGCTTATTATTAGTGATATCATATTACATTTGTATTCATATTACTTACCGTAGTTATCTTATCACTTTACAGTGTTATCTTATTACCTTTCAGTTCCTATTGTTCTGTGCTTATTATTATTAGTGATATCATATTACATTTGTATTCGCATTACTTACTGGTTTTATTATGTTTCAAGTCCTATTATGCTTATTAGTTCGCTATCATATTATATTAGGTTTCCTATTATGCTTATTAGTTTACTATCATATTGTGTTAGGATTGGATTACTTACTTAAGTTGTCTAGTCTGTACTTGGTGGGATTTGAATGCTCGACTACCTATTGCTTTAGCTTAAGGTCACGTGATGCTTGCGACTTACCACGGTAAAACTGTTAGACTAAAGGGCCTTTGTATATATGGAACCCTCATTGTATATAACGACTACTTTTGCTACTTATAAGGTATTAGTTGCTAATCATTCAAAGTCTTATCTTAAGGTTGCAACACATAGTGCAAGTTTGAACTAAGTGACATCAAATTTAAGAGCAACAGTACGAAATGAAATGTGACTAATTTATCTACACCTGACGAGCATGAGTACCACGACGAACACCTTCAGCTGCAGGCTTCTTTGCCCTAGTCTTCCCTCTACCTCGAGCTGGTTGCTGTCCGATATCCGTATTAATATCCTGCGCTACGACTGTAGCAGTGGCCGCTGGGCCTGTTGCAACACCCTGAATAGGTACTTCGGCATGCCCTATGGAGGTGGCACTGAGAGCGGAGATAGTGCTGAGAGTGGGTGTGGGGCATTCTGGAGGCTGCACCACCTCAATGATGTCGGACCGAGGGGCAGCAGCACCCTGCACTGCAGGAGGTGGGTCAAATACATCTGACTCGCTATCACTATCCATATCAAGTGCGTTCATGGCACGAATGACTTCGCTGGAGTGATCTTCCTGACTCGCTGCAGAAGCCGAAGATTTTGCGGAGCCGAAAACATCTTGGTTGATGTTTTGCAAGATGGTCTGAATGCGACGGCTATCCCACTTTGTGAGCAAGAGCTTCTTGTAGTGGAAGAATAGATCCTTGTAGTTAATACCAGATGACTTTCCCAAGCCGGACTTCTGAAATTCGGTGTCAGGCAATAGCAGAAAAATTGCCTGCGGTGTTGGCTGAGCAACACCATTAACCATAGCATAGACGACGACTCACAATGACGGCAGCCCATGCAATAGATCCTGATGTGATGTGTTTGAAGTTCCATCTCTGTGCATTTGTCTTTGGTCCGCCAGTTGTCCCTTGGTGAAGTGAAGTAACGCCGCGTAGTGCGACCTTCAGAATCTATTCAGGGAATTAATACATTGTCATCCGTCTGTAATAAGACACTTGTCGGCTGAAAAGTGTACCTTAGCCAAAAGCTCCCAGTTTCCGAACACGTTCTTCAAGGATGTGTCTTCCCACATTCCGAGAAACAGGACTGGCGGGAAAGTCTTGTACTTTGGATTTGTCGCCGACACTCCGAGCATGTCCCGTATTGCGACATCAGCTCTGCAGTAGCTGGTATTGTTGAAGTACATTCCTGGAAGGCCGAAGATTTCTCCCACAATGCCACGTAGTTTGTTGATCTCCGATGAGCGAGCCTCAGAAATGGACTTTGTTACCTGGCCATGCAGGATGAATGTTAGTTATTAATAAAACATGTATCAAAACATATAGTACTTACAAGATTGCTAAAATACAAACTTTCCATGACACTGTGTAAGTGACCAGGGAAGTGCTGGAATAGTTCATCCAGAAACACTGATTCCTGGGTTATTGCCGTCAAGTACCGGTCTCGGCTGTTGAAAGGAGTCGGATTCTCAGGGCATTGCTTGCTGAGAAGTTCAGCATTGGGGAACATCTCAACGGTCATGCCATATTTGCGAGCATAAAGTGTTATTGTTTGCTCATGGGCCAGGAGTTCATCAGGTGCTTCCGCCCAACGTTTACGTTTGGGCTTCTCGGCAATAAGAACTTTGTTTTCCTCGCGAAGAGTGCGATTGTCCTCAATGAGCTTCTGGACCTGAACTTGCAGCGCCTTAAGTGCCTAGAGTGAGAGAAGAGTTAGACAGGTAATGTAGTCTAACATCTGGAACATACATCCATGAGGTCTCCCTTCGAGGCATTCAGCCCTGGAATTGCAACAGATTCGATGGTGGGTTCTCCGTCCCATTCATCATCCGAGTCAGATATGTTCCTAGAGAGATGAGACATGACGCTAAATGAACTTGGGGAGGCAAGAGAGCAGTCTGAATCAGCGCAACAGCATAGTATATAATGTAAATGCCTTGCGGCGTACCTTGTGAGCTTTGCAGCAATGTATCAGCGCCAAGAAGAAAATGTGTCTATGCTCCGACTGCATATTACTAATGAAGGCATAATTGCCTGACCTTACAATGTATGAAATCAGCACGCAAGTAATAATCAACGTGCAATATGGCTGGTCTCTTACGTTTTGTATCCAGCCTATTAAGTACGAGTTTTTTGCACGAGTTGATCAGAGCCATGTCAATGTGCCATTGAGATTGAACTAATAGGGTATAGAGTAGAGTCGGGGTTAGTTTGGCAAAGAGAAAGAAGTTTACGCACCAAGTTTTTTGCACGAGTTGATCTGAGCTGTGTGCCATTGAGATTGAACTAAGATAGCCTGCAATAATGCTCAGAATGGGCTGGGGTGCTGGCCTTGAGCGACTTACCACTCCTTTGCGATACTTCACCAGCACTCCTTCTCTGGCTCTGAGAACATCAATTATCTGCGCAGCAACAACACTAATGCTCAGAACTGGTGAGTGTCTACCTGGGCAGTGAGACAATCTGTGACTCACTCTTGGCTGTCACAGGTTTGCTATCTGCGGATGCTGCAGCCACTTTCGCAACAGTGTCTGTGATTAGTGCTGAGCCTTTCAATTGGTTGTTGGTAACCATTGGGGCCGCAGCCATGCGATAGCACGCAAGGTCTCCAAGAGCTTCAAGCCAGCCGGATCAGAATGAGTGCAGGGTGGGCTCCTTAAGAAGGCTGGTGTAGAAGGCATAGGCATAATATATAAAATATTGGAGATGTACAAGAGCTAGGGGCAAGGAAAACAAGGCACGTCTCAAGGCCTCGAGGAGTTTATGGAATGTGTGTCCAGAGGCATATGATGATATTGTACTTGCCTGAGATAATGTGGAGGAAGCCAGAACACTGTAGACAAGGGAGATCTGCATCAGATTATGCATCTGAATCATTGTTGCTGGGATCCTTGCGAGGTTTGCTATTGGATAATGCTGATGATGTGGGAGAATTGTTGGTCATGCCAGGAGAAAGGGTGAAACTAGAAGACATTGAATGGGTGTAGGGAGAAGTTGATGATGTGGAAATATAGTCTCCTGGAGATTTGGGGGTAGGTGGGGGTAGGTGGGGGTCAGCCACCAGTTGATGATGGACAAGAGAGAACTGAGACGGCAAATCTTACAGGATCATATTTGCGGTGGTTGAATGATTGGTTATTTGCTGGCAGGAAGTGGGGGTGTTGCACGGTGGGGAGGGGCTACTTGTTGGGTCGAAAATTGATTCAGGTTCAGTTGTGCATCTCATGGGAATGGGATCTGAACCATTTCGTGGTTGCTGTAGATTGCGAGTCAGATGATTGTGTCGCGTGCATTCTGGTGTCCTGGACTTACTGAAACGGTCACTGACAGTGGATGATCAACATCAAACACACACAATGTGCCCTGCATCCAGATGCCTCATCTTGACACGAAGAAACATGTCAGTATCTGCAGTATCAACTATGAGATAATCATAAGGTCCGTCTGGTACCAGAAGTGCTCCGTGTATGATTGATCTAATGGAAAAACCAGGCCTGCGCCCGTGGCCCCACTCGAACTCTGAAAAAGTTAAGATCCTTGTCCTTTCGAAGGCACAAACCAGTGGGAGAATCAAAGGGATGAATAAGAGCCAAGGGAAACCTGCGGTCCTCAACTTGGCATTCAAAACAAAAGATCAGCCGGCCAAGAATGACTTTGTTTTCTGTCAGCCGAATGAAGACACAGTCGAAGCGCGGGGAACCAAAGAAAAGGGGACTACAACGAAGATAGTTGGTATGCTGGCACCAATCAACCATTGATTTGTAGTTGATGTGAATGAAGCAGTACTCTGTAATCTGCATGTACATGTTAGCACAGCGAAAACAATGAGCTGAGACAAACATACCTCATCAGTTCCTCGGAGATGAATATGTTTGCCACTGGGTAGTGGTACGTTCAACGAGGGTAAAAGAGTATTAAGGAAGTCATTAAGCTTGATGTGGAAATCACCAAAGGCTTGGTCGTCCCGATGAGCTACCTCGATCACATCAAAGGTTTGCGACTGTTGCTTTGATCCAAGTTTCACGTGAAAGACGTTGGTTGCTGAGATGATAGGGCAATCAATGACATTGACAAGGAAGTCTTCTTCTGAATTGTGTACTTGATGTTGATGCTCGTCAAATTTGAATAACCGGCGGTGTATACAATCAGCGACTACTTGCCATGTATTGATGCAGAGGATCTGTGACATTTGAATACATACTAAGTATTAGTAAATAGTTTTCTAATAAAATGCACCTGTTCTGCTACATCACAAAAGTTAGTGCACAGCAAATACGAATCCTTAAGTGAGCCATGCATTTTCTCATTTGGCTTTGTGTGGTATGTAATTCCATGTTGCTCCTTTTGCTTTGACGTCGTCAAAAATATGAACGTCCATGTGTAACTTCGGGAAATTCCAGTTCTTGTTGCTCTCGTCCGCTGTTTTGTCGATATATCGCTAATTATAATAAAAATTAATTGACTGTTGGTGGCATAGATACATGTAACACACCTGCAAAAGGGCCGAAAACGCGCAGTGTGTATGTCGGCCACTACTAATTGTCTCGCTTGTGTGAACCTCAAGTGAGGCATACATGTCAAGTTCTAAGTAAAGACAGACACAGCGGAGGAGCAGGTAACGGAGAGGACAGACCGCCTCTGTCAGAATGTCGTGAGTAGCATATATAATCATCTAGTAGGAATCTGTTAGACTCGGGGTAGTGCAAAAAATTAAACGACAAACCTTCGAAATGTCTTTGTGCACTGAGTTGTCCGTAAACGCAATATTCATTACCTGGTTCGGATGTTTCTGATCTCACCAGCGGGGGAATGCTTGATAGCTGTGTTAATTGTCAGCTCGAGTCTGAATCAAAATATGAAAGAAAATAACATACTTCTTGTCGACTCGAGACACATTGTCTCATCTGAGACCATTAATATGCTTCTGAAGCTCAACCCATAGGTGATCAGACCATTCACCACCCGAGTGAAAGTGTAGCTTGTCCCAAGACAGTGCACGATGCACATCTGTGGAGGACAGCGCCCAAAATGAATTCTATGATGACATTAGAATAACACAGTAAGATAGTAAAGATAAGCTCACCAGGACATCATGAAGTCCATATGCCTTTAGTACCTCCTCCCTTTCTTCTGCAGTCTCCTTCTCTCATGCAGTCGCTAGGATAGCCTGTGAGTCACGAGATGTGCAACATGGATAGCAACACAATGTATCAGAAAGTTTGTCGTGCAGAACAAGACAAACTGGGCAAGGCCACAGGGACCTGACACCGCGAGTAAGCGACATCGTCAATCTTGAAACATGGTAAGTTAGTGAGATCGAGCTCAAAGTTCAAAGCTCACTGTTCCTCAAAATCAGATGAGAGAATTAGTACTAATGGAAAAAACCAGCGCTGAATAACATCTAAACACTCCAACCATTGACCCATCTTTGATTTTGCTGCTAGCAAAGAGAGTATCCTTTCAAATGACTTCTGCCATACGGTAACCTTGAAGTTAGCCCATGCTGGCTTGCCAGAGTGTTGTTTGTCTTCCTTCACCTGTATGAATACACTTAGTGCAAAGTAATAACAGATGTGATTCAGACATACCACAGGAAGCCAGCCAACGATATAACCGCCACCCATTCCCTGACTGTTGTGAATGTTAGTGGGTAAGTTTGCTAATCGTGCAACAACAGGGTAGCCTTTCGCACTACCGAAACTCGATAGTTTTGTCTTGTCCACGTACAAAATGAAGGTGAGGGGCTTAGCTTCACCTGGCAGCTGTGACTACAGAATACATTCAAATGCCATCAAAATCACTATACATGGTACATAAATGGTACATACTTGAGCATCCCAGAAGTGTTGAGCTGTAAAGGGCTCGTCTACAAATTGTTTGAACAACTGGCCATTGAACTTTGACATGCGCTGAGCATCAAAATGAAAATTAGGAAACAGATAAGGGTCGTGGAGGAGGTTGGTAGCCCACTCCCAAAGATCACAATAGTAGACATCAAAGTCCCAAGATTTATCAGTGAAGGGTATTGAAATAACGTCTTTTGTAAACTGAGGCCAAAGATCAGTCCAACATGAATCATCCAGCAAGAGGTGAGACAACCCCTGTTAGACGCTGAGATGCTGCATCCCACTTAGCGCGAACATCCTTGTGGTTACGGAAGGTGAATTTCTCTGACCGCCGTGCACAGCGGTGGCAAATATTGGCTGCTTCGAGGGCAATTTCAGCAACATCAAACTCTAAATGAGACTTGAAGGGTTGCCAAGGCTGTGCGTCGGGTTCAGGAACAGACCACAAGGAATGATGGGCTGGATGGCACTTGAAATCGCCAAAAGCTTCAACTTTGGTCAAGATCCCACTGTTTGGGTGATGTTCAACTTTGATATCATTGAGCTGGAATTCACGGTATTCAAGGTCCCTGCCATCAGCGGGGAAAGATGCCTGATCTTCTAACATCCATATTAACAATATACAACAAAAATAATCACTGAAATCATCGAACTCACTGAAAATAGGGTCAATCTGTTCCGCACCACGAGAACTTGGTAAAGGGACTTGCTGGCCTGTTGCAACTGAACACATATTTGAACTAAATAAAACAGATACAGTGCATTGATATAAAGGGCGAGACTTACACTGTGTCTCGAGTACAGTGTTTGGTCCAGGATCAGGAACATCACGATTATGGCCTGCTGCAGCTAGGTAGGTTTAGATGTCAAATTATTTAGAGTTACTCAAAATGCACCTTTTTGCCGCCTGATTGATTCCGCAACACGTTGATCTTGTGCTCGTTTTTGAGCATTCTTCTTGCAGGCCTTTTGATGAGTGGCCCAACCACATGGTTTGATGCTCTGTTCACAGATTTCACAGAATTTAGCCCTGTCGGAGCCCATAATGTTGGCAGATATACAAGAAGTATCTACAGAATCAGTGTGAGCAAGGAAATGGAAACATACAGCTGGTGGGAGCGCAAATACAAGGAATGACGTGTTGCAAGCGCTTGCAATCACCTTGTGATGTATTGAAACTCAGCGTGCAATCTTAGATTATCGTGCCGATAGAATTTCAACGACATGTCAACAATGGAGCATTGAAACAGGTTTCGCAAATTTCCGACATTGGACACAACCGGACCCCAACCGGTTGCCTGATTCCCACAATATTGTTCCGACAATGGTTGTAGTTGGACTGGTGTGGTTAAACAAAGGAGGACACTCCTAATTTATCAGTTGGTATCGGTTTGAACGTCAGTATACCCGGTAGCCTAAGCCGTCGGGTTATGACAGAAAGGGGAGGTAAGCTTCTAAGGTGTGAGCTGAAGAAGGGTTTCGTGTTCGATGGTTAAGTCTAGATGAGGGATCAGTATCAACTCAAAGACAAATAGTCTAAGAGAAAAGAGGTATCGACTCAAGGATAGTGATCCAAGAGTATAGCAGGTTCGTGATCAGACTCAAGAGAGTTAACTCAAGAGAATATACAAGTCAAGGTAAAACCCAGTAGAATCAAGTTAAGGAATAATAGTACAAGTGGATCAACTATATATAGGGAATGACTACAGTGTTCAGGGCAGGTCTGTTAATCGTACAAGAGTCAGGAAAGACATATCAGGCAGGTGGGGTCAAGGCAGGAGTCCATGAGGTCAGGGATGGAGGTCTATGGGAACATCAAGAGAAATGGAAGTAAGGTCATGAGGCCATCAATCAAGGGTCCCAAGGGAAGCATCTAGCTTCTGTCACAGAAGGTCAGGGTTGGCGGGGATCAGGAATTGTGCATCAAGCATCACGGTGAATCATGAAGAGGTGATGGTGTGACATCATGATGAGGTGAAGAGGTAAAAGGATCAGAAAAAGATAGGGGGGCCATGTTACTGTAACAAATATCAGGCAACCTTGGACTAGACCTCAAAAGACCGATATTTTCAGCCTTTGTGGTCCTGCAACCGGTTTTAGACTGGTTTCAACCAAGACCAGTCCTATAGCAATGTAGTACAAATTCAGGGGATTCCAACGGTGGTCTAATTGTAAAAGCGGTCAAGATTTGAGCAAGTTATGAGCATTACAAGAAAGGGTTACAAAATAGCGCCCTGTATCTGAGTCAAATATGCAAAGTCATTATCGTGCTTAGGCTTCTTAATGAAATATGTACTACTAGTCGAGGCGATTCTATAGCTAGTCTTATCTTGTCAATAGGGTAACATATAAGTAAGGTATAAGCTTGACAAAAAATCATTATCAGGCTTGTCTTTGAAAAATAAAAGTTGTTGTAAGGCTTAGGTGTCTCAATGGTAATTGTAGTCATAGTCTATGCGAGTCTATAGCTAGTCATATCTTGTCAAACACTTAAGGTTTGGGTAAGGAATAAGCCAATCTTTGATTTTCACGCTGACATCCTGTGATTTTTGTATCCCTTGTTTGAAATGCTCATATCGTGGTCATATTTTAACCGTTTGACATGATTGGACCACCGTTGGAACCCCCTTATAGAGTGCTTCAACCATACAATCCTAACCCTAACCCTAAGACCGGTCGCAACCGGTCACAACCAGTTTTTATTGGTCTTTCATTTTTTCGTGAAGGGAGGCAACCTGCAACCCAAATTTCTTCAATCTGAGGCAACCTTGGACTGCAGTCCAGTCCTAAACGGTCCTGGTCCAGTCTAGTCTGCAGTCTTTTTTCAGTCTGGCAACTGGACTTTAAAACACTAGAGACAGAGGGGTTTAGTCTTAGGGATGTAATCCCGAGACTCAGAGGATCGGCCGGGAAGTATAATCCTAGGAGCCGAGAGAACATGAGGATGAACTGAGTCTAAGATAATATTTGAACTGAGGATGTACTACATGTTACACAATGTTATGTACTATAGAAATGTCTGACGGGGACATAGGCAGCAAAGTTCCAAGTCAACATGAGGAACATATGGAAAGGTTAAGTTGACAGGTGCAAGGAAAATGATATAGGGGTGATCGAGAATGAAGTCGGATATTAACTGTTAATTAGATCTGGGCATAGGAGATATGATCAAGAATGGATCCGGATATTGACTGTCAAACAGATCCGGGCATATAGGGGTCAGAATAAAGGGAACATACAAATGGGGTAATGGAAGTAGAAGCAGGGGCAGATATGAAGTCTGGACCAGATCCAATGGAAGGTCGGACCAGATAGGGGCTGAAATGTGGGATATGACAGTATCCTCCCCCCATTAGGGCCGAGCCCACGATCCAAGTATCTGATCTGATGATATGAGTGTGAGAACAGATCCAGAAATAAGCGAAAATGTGATAAAATGGTTGAGGGTCTAGATAGAACACCATTTCCTTTCATCCTAACCACCCACCAACTTCACCAACGTCTTTGAAAAACAAAAGTTGTTATAAGGCTTAGGTGTCTTGACAAAATATGTGCTGCTAGTCAAGGCGATACTATAGCTAGTCTTATCTTGTCAATAGGGTAAGATATAAGCAAGATATAAGCTTGACAAAAAATCGTTATCAGGCTTGTCTTTGAAAAATAAAAGTTGTTATAAGGCTTAGGTGTCTTAATGTTAATTGTAGTCCTAGTCTAGGCAAGTCTATAGCCACACATATCTTGTCAAACACTCAAGGTTTGGGTAAGTTATGAGCCAATTGGTGATTTTGACTGATTTTGACTTGCCGTTCTAACATGTCTGATCTTTGTGCTAGTCTTGGAGCATGATAAATCATCAAGAGTTATCTAAATTTGATGTTCCATATCATTTTTGAGGTCTATGAACACACTGGTAAGAGTCAGTTCGGAAACTCGCACGTTGGGAAAATGTTGGCAATATTTGATGTTGAGGCTGTGCAAGTGGTTCGGCATGAATCCATCCGGCAGATGGAGCTCGAATGCAACCACGGCGTGTGCCGACGTACATACTCCTACATACTACTAGCTGTGCATCCTTTGTATGGAATTCCTACCAGTGGTCCTTCCGGGGCTTTGCCTTCGGCCAGATCTACCACAGGCCCATCAACGGATCATACAGTATGCAATACTTTTACTTAGCATCCTCATCAATGCATCAGGGGCCCTAGTCGCAGCTTTGTACCCCAGAGACCCGGTGCCTTATCATACCTCTGCACTTTCTGGTGAAGGGTGGGTAATAGAATTACTTATGGGTCATCCAGAACAGATTCGTTGTGAGCTGGGAATGCATGCCCACGTCTTCGCACAGATTATATTAGAACTTTGTGCCCTCGGATGCTCTGATTCAAAATTTGTCTCGCTTGAGGAACAATTGGCTATATTTCTGTACACTGCTGTCACTGGCCTCTCAATCAGGCACGTTGGAGAAAGGTTCCAGTGCTCGAACGAGACGATCTCCTGGTAAGTGTTATATTTTGTGATCAGACTTGTGTCTCATGAATACTGACATCTACTAGTTACTTTCGAAGGATGCTTGTAGTTTTTTCGTGCCCCCCACTCTATTCGACCTATGTGCACTTGCCAGATGAATCAGTTCCCCAGAAAATCCACCAAAACCCGAAGTTTTGGCCTTTTTTTAAGGACGCCATTGGGGCCCTGGATGGCAGTCATATCCACGCTACACCTCCTGCCTTCAAACGCGCTGCCTACCGTGATCGCAAGGGTCTCGTCTCTCAAAATTGCCTATTCGCGTGTGACTTCGACATGAAGTTTACTTATTCTCTAACCGGCTGGGAGGGATCGGCCACGGATGCACGTGTTTACAAAGATGCCTGTGTGAAGGATCTTCATATCCCTCAAGCGAAATATTTCCTCGCTGATGCCGGTTATCCACTACGTCGTGGACTGCTCATCCCATACCGCGGCGTGCGCTATCATCTTGCTGAGTGGGGACGTGCAAGCGTCAGGTGAGTGCTTTGCTCTGACCCTTGTGACTGCCATTAATCTTACAATTTCAGACCATGTAATAAAGAGGAACTATTCAATCTTCGCCACACTATGGCACGGAACGTAATCAAGCGGATCTTTGGCGTGTTGAAACATCGGTTTCATATACTCATTCTATCACCAAAATATAATCTACAAATTCAGGCCCAGATCCCAGCAGCTCTGTGTACCATTCATAACATTATATGTCTTCATGACCCACAGGAAGGCCCCCTACCGGATGCTGACGAGCCCCCAGATGAGGACGGTGTCAAGCAACCAGCGGCAGTGACCGATGACGAAGATGATGTGCAGGACCGCAATGAAATGAGCGGCATTCGTAACTGTATTTCTGGAGCCATGTGGGAGCAGTATCAGCAAGTCGTGCGTGAACGAGAGCTAGCGGGTGTTGAGGATCTCGATATTGAGGACTTACTGCTGGAGTTTGACGAGAACGAGGGCACAGACGAGGATGCAGACACAAACTTCGATGTATAGATGGTTGAAATCACATACACGCATGGCTACATGACTTCGAGCAGGACATAGTACTAGTGTGAGCTACAATTACAACAACTACAAGTGGACTCGGACAGGACAGTGCGATAGTACAACAGGTACAACAATGACACACGAGTGACAAACACATGAAGCAACGGACACACGAAGCGATGGACACAAACATGAACATGATGGGCAGGTGAGACTTCACACCTGCAGTGCCTGCAGTGCTGCCTTGTGAGCGGCCACGAGACCCCTGATGAAAGAGTGACGTGCTTCAGCGTGTGAGCTCATAGCGTAGATCGCCATCGTTCGGTCACTGTCGACAGCACTGAAGATAGACATCAGAATGCCCAAGTCCTCCGCTGGCATATCTGCGTCTTCCGTCTGCATAATGTGCATGGCGCGCTCAATGACAGATAATTCCTTGATTTCAGAAGTGGCTGGGGGGGTAATGGGGCGAGGGGCAGGAGCAGGGGCTTGGGCAGTGGTGACTGCCTTCTCCAAAATGTCGCCGATGCGATTAATAGATCCTTGCATCCCCACCACGGCAGTGGCAGTGGTGAGCTTGGAGGCTTTTGTAGCACTGGTCATGAGCGAGTGTGTAGTACTGTCAACAATGCAGCTGCTAGTAGCGCAACTACTAGTGACACGTGCAGATCGTGGTTTCTTTGCAGCGGATGGGGTTGACACCAATGTGCTAGATGCAACGGGGGTTGAGTATGATGGATGGCTTGAGATGTACAACGATGTTTCAACCTCAAGCAATGCATCATTGTGAGTGCGTTTGCCTGTGCTGAGGCTAGAGCCTGCAATTGAGGGAGGACCAACGGGAAGATGCGGAATTGCAAAATTAATGCTCGCAGACCCTATGGCAGTCGAAGAATCAACAGTAGTAGAGATATGGGGGACCGATGTCAAGGCATCATGGAGCGTGATGCCAGCAACAGTAAGTTGACTCAGAGCTTCGTTGTTGGGTTCATTATTGACCAGAGGAGCTGGGGCAGCCACAGCTGGATGAAAGGCGTGATGGCCTTGAGCGCTGTGACTGTGTGGTAAAATGGCTTGCACCTGCGAGTAGAATGGCCAACCAGCGTTGTGGTACTGGCGCATCAAACCACGGGATTGCTGGCAGTGTATCAGTTGCAATATCACAACGCACCCGATACAAGTGCACCTACACTCGATTGGATATATGTGTTCCATACAGCCCATGTGGCCTCTCCCTCAATTCCAGCTCCCCTCTCACTATCCCAATGGACGCCTGAAAGAGAGCGGTAGTTTTTGATGTTGCCAAACATCTGCCTAAGCTACATTAAGTTCTAATCAGTATAGATTAGTAGATACTACAAGTTGTAATGCCCTTACCGACATCCATTTGGTTTTGCAACATTTTGCAGTCTTGGGGGGGCCTGCGGTTAGCAGGTTAGCTGCGGCAAGGGTTGCCGCTGCACTAGTATATGTTGCAGCCTTGAAATTGTTGCCATCACCGGCCTCAGAGAGATTGCTGAACAGATGGGCAAGGAGTGCATCAGTCTCTTGTGCATTCCATTGGGCCTTGGGCTCGGAAGGTGCTTCAGTGGCCATCAGTACAGTAGTGAATTGACCGCAGATAGAAACAACAGCGACCACCGATGAGTAGACCAGCTGACGGAGATGGGGATTGAGACATTCCATACTGTAGTATAGTCGTGGTGCTGGGCAGTACTCAAGGAAGGTTTGAGCTCCGTCTGCCAGATGGATTCATGCCGAACCACTCGCACAGCCTCAACATCAAATATTGCCAACATTTTCCCAACGTGCAAGTTTCCAAACTGACTCTAAAGGTTTTTAAGCTTGGAAATCAATCCCTGGTTCAGTGCCAACAAGCCTATAAACACAGCCCACAGATTTATGCGAGCCATTCTCAAAATGCTTGTAACTTTCCCAAATCTCAACCAATTTTAAAGTTCAGACCACCAATAGAATTGCCTAGACGAGTACTACGACATAGGATAGGGTTAGGGTTACAAAAGACCAGTTGTAACCGATCCAGACCAGTTTTTACTGGTTTTTCGATTTTTGCCTGAGGGAGGCAACTGGCAACCGGTGTCATGCATGGTATGCAGTCCATACCATGACATGTGTGCTATACAGGAGATAAGGAAGGTATAATGAACTGTACTCTACCATATCACCAAGTGATTCTATCATTCAGTCTGTTTTCTGAAGCATCGTTTCTCGTGTTTCATTTCTCATATCAGACGCGGGGATTTCCATGTATTTCTATTTTGTTCTATGACCTTCTCTTTCTTTCTATTTTTCTTGGCTTATTCATCAGACTTTCTCACTAGCTGACTGATCATGATTGTAATCAGGTCATGTGACTTGGAAATAAGGTGATTTGTAAGGATTCAGCCTGACTCATCGTGTTTTGTCACTGATTTGTCATGGTTTGTAAGACTTGCAACTGTATTTATGATCTTCTTAGTAACCAGGATGACTCAGCTCACTAAAAGGCTTGGTTTGTAAGCACAACCTTACCAATCCATGAGATGACTCATGCCTTTGATTTATCATGCTTTGTAAGATACATGTATTATTAGTAAAACAAGCTGACTCAGCACACCAAATGGTAGGGTTTGTAAGCACATTCTTACCAATCCATGTGATGAATCATGCTTAGTAATCTGGCCTCCAAAAAGGTATAAAAGGAGCCCATTTTACACCCATGCAAATATAGCTTCCCACTTTACACATAAGTGCAGGCCATTGGTGCCTTGAAGACATTGAAACTTCCCACTTTAAACCTATCCCACTATTTGAGAGTGAGATTAAGGCAAGACATAGTGAGGGTGGAAGTATCATTTCAACAAAGTAACTTCCAGTTATATGATTAACTAGGTTGCTCACGATTACTATTTTTATTGAGCTAAGCTCCACGTATACTTAACGAATACCTCTCTCTTTTACGGCTAGAGAGACACAAAACAGGAGAACACGACAAAGTTGAAACAGACTTTCATAGGTTGAAACACGACCTACTAGGGTGAGACATACCTATCATATTTCTATTCATGACAAATCCACAGTTGCATTTCTATATAGTTTCTTCAAACAAATAGAGGTAACTTGTTTACTCTTTGACCACCCACGAACAACACATTATCAACCGAGAAGTAGAAAATCCATTGACCGTGAACTTGAGGAGCTGGCAACTTTTAGTCTTATGAAAGTGTAGTTGTGATTGTCACTGCATTTTTACACACTTCTATATAAGACCCTCAAGTAAGAAGACACCGGACCGACCTGAAATGGAGGCAACCGGACTGTGGGAACGGTTGCAACCGCCCAGGGTCCGGTCTGGTTGCTGGTCATTTTTCAGTCCAGCAACTGGACTTCGAAACACTAATTGAAATCATTGTTGAACACATTCCTCCTCACTGCCTTGCTTCTGGTGCCAAAATTCGTTCATAGGAAGAAACAGATGAAGGGCGTGTTGCAGGATCAGCTCGTTCACCAGTGCTTGGATGTTGTACTAGAATCACTGAAGTTGGCTGCTCGGCTGGACATCATGATGTCAGATCTGATCGGACACAAACACTATTGCTTCACTCCAATTGCTAGTTACATCGCTGATACCCCGGAAGCGATGATGCTGGCATATGTTGGTGGAAAGACATCACCAGTGACTATGGCCATGTACAAGCAGTTTGGGGATGCCTTTCAACATGAACCCAGGACCAAATCAACAACTCTTGCACAGCTGGACATTGTGCACTCATGCGCTGACCCACATAACCTTGAGGCATTCTCCCATGAAGCGCAGAAGTTCCACCTGAATGGTGTTGAGAAACCATTCTGGAGTGACTGGCCACTAGCCAAACCATCCCGTTTCTTCACACCTGAATCACTGCACCACCTTCACAAGCAGTTTTACAACCATGACATCCAATGGATTACCAGCACTGTAGGAGATTCCGAATTAGATTTTCGGTTCTCAATTTTACAGCCCACTACTGGTTACCGGCATTTTCACAGAGGCATATTGAAGCTCAAACAAGTTACCAGTCCCTGTCATAGAGACATTCAGTGATTGATCATCGCACTCAGCATGGATGCAATGCCTCCTGGTATTATGATTCTGTACGTGCACTCATGCACTTCCGTTACCTTGTGCAGTCACCACACATTTACAACAATGATCTTGCCCACATCTCGGCTGCATTGGACGAGTTCCATGTGAGTAAGCATGCAATCATCACCGCTGGCATTCACTGGGGGAAAGGCAATACGGCCATCAACAACTGGCACATACCCAAGCTCGAGCTAATGCAGAACATTGTTCCTAGCATCCATAGATCTGGCATTATAGGACAGTGGTCTGCTGATGCCACCGAACATGTGCACATCACAGAGGTCAAAGACCCTGCAAGATCGACCAACAACAATAATTATGATCCGCAAATATGTCGTTTTCTTGACCGCACTGATAAGTGCAATAGGCTTGATCTTGCCACCAGTCTTTTGGACCACAAGGTGAGCGTCAAGGATCTGGAGGTTGTCCAAGAGGAACACAAAGATGATGACATCTACATTGACGCGGATGCGGACGCAGACATTGTCCTGTGGATTCTCTGTCCAAGACTCAACAACCTGGTCAGCCGCGTCCTGCCACAGACTATTTCACAATCACCAAAATGCTACAGCACGAGGAAGTAGAATCAATACCTGTCCCACTACACTCTTTCATTGTTGGCTGCACTGCCCTCCATCTCGCATATGATCCTTCCATTAGGAATATTAGCGTCAATGAAACCGCCGTCATGTTCAACTTACCAGACCTTCACCAAGCTCTCGCTGATTTTCTTCACCATGAGGTGACATCTGGACACCATGTTCATGCGATTGGTGGTCCTAGAAGAGCTGGACCCGATGCTGAACTTCCATTTGTTAAGCTTCAGGCCGCTCCCAAAATCACACCGTGATAAGGTTGAGCGCTGGTTGCTCCCTGGTGATGGGAGCCTTGGAGATGGGGAGGAGCAGAGCACCATGGCGGGCACGGAGTCTGGAAGCGGAGATGATGGTGGTCAATCCTTGGAGGAAGAACCCACCTCTGGGTCGCAGCTGGCAGACAATGATACACCGGACACACACCGCCACCGTTCAAGGGAGTCTTTGCAATGTTCTTCAATGTTATTTGTTTTGCAATCACCCAGAAGGTGCCAAAGATTGATTGTACAGGCGACCAATGTGACCCCAGTACCACACATGTGGAGTGCGGGAAATGCTACACACCCTGTGAAAGATGAAGAAGTCGCAAGAAAGCCCGACCTTGCATTATTGGATGATGTAGAATCTCGATGGGATACTATCAAGGCAGTTTGCTAGCTGACATTGCAACCATACTCAGCTACGAGCACAATAGGAAAGACGCTGGACAACAAAGCATACCTTCTATTCTGACGCCAGCCATGGAGACAGTTTGTTTTGCTTATGTCCATGAGCAACGAGTATCACGAACTTTGAGTCCATATGTATGACCACTCAGGTGCTGTTGTGACACCTCCCCTCAATATTGATACCCACCCTAAAAATTACTTGCACATCTTTTCGTTCCTTGTTTTCGGTAAACTTGAGTGCCTGGGGTACGATCCCTCGATCACCATCTTCACGAAGACACTGTGACCTGCCCAACTTGAAAGCATATTGACTTTTCTCCATCCCAGTATAAACAGATCACATGCACTGGACACAATGGAAGGCATCATAGAGGGCATCTCCCCCCCTCCCCAAGACTGAAGATGTCTCTGAGACCACTAGTATGCCCCTCCCCTCCCCCAGATCGATGATGCACCTGTGAGCCCCCCCCCAAAGCAATCCCGAGATCAACCCTTCTCAGCAAGATATACCTGATGATCCTCGTCCTGTGCATCAGCTAAATATCCCTGACAATACTCTTTGTGTTTCTCTTCCGAATCCAATCGGCCGAATCCGAGTCCGCGATCACATGTACAACATTCTTGAAGTCATATTTTATACTCAGGGGCTTGTTGGTCATGGTACTGTTTGCTATCTCGCACAGAGGGACAACGAAGAATATATAATCAAAGATTATTGGGTTCTTGGGAGTAAAGATGATGCCTTGAATGAGGTCACAATGCTGCAGGCAATGCAAGGTGGGAACCTACACTGCAGCCCAAGCAGAACAGAACTACATAATGTGTATTTTTCTTCTCACTTGTATGTCATGATGTGCATGATAGTTACGGTCTTTCTTAATCTTGTTGGTCTTGTCTGAGTCAGATTTTACAGTCAGCTGAGTAGATTCCCACACTGTTCAAGTCAGATCGGACGACATAATTCGGACATGAAGTTTGCAAAGATTAAAGTCAGAATCATGCTCTACCCTTGCACAGGAGGTGCCTTTCATTCTGACTCACTGTCACACACAAGGACTTTCTTGATGCTGCCTCTCGGATCACATCAGAGGACTTGAGTTGGTTTTGCGCCATGAGTTGATTATTATCTCATATCTGCGCTCAGCAGCCAGGACTTAAAAGGTGAGTCTTCATTGATTGTCACTTTGAGAGCTCAATTCATGTTCTTCAGTCATGCCTGATAGCCCGAAGAAAAAGTGTACCAAGCGCAAAGCTGCCGACATTAATCTCAAGGCTGCCAAGCCAAAGAGAACACAGGCTCAGCACTCAGTACCTCCACCCTCGGTCATGGCTTCTACTGTGGATGAATCTCAACAAACTCGACAGTCGGGATGTCTAGGTGCAGGGAAGGGAGGCAGCAATGTTCAACTAGAGTGATTAAACACTACCTCGGATGCTCCAGCATGGACTAGCCAGCCCAAAGGCTCTAACTCTCTTGATTCCACTATTCCTGCAAACCCTGCTGCTCCCGAACAGCCCTGCAAGGGTTGTGGCAGTTATTCAAAGGTAGATTTTCTTAATTGTAGGTAACTGTACTGATCATCTAGCAGAAAAAGCAGCCCCCTCCCCCATACAACATTTCAGTGCAACCAATTCCAAACACTATGACGATCAACACTCCAATTCCCAATGCTCCAATTCCCGACACCACAATTCCCAGAGCACAGCCGAAAACAAAGGTGAGTTTTCGGTCATGGCTTATCAACAATCAATTCATTATTATGCAGACTGTTGCTCCTCCCCTGAGCATAAAGTCAGGGAGCAACAACTTCTGCCAGTGGTCTCGCTAGTGGTGGAGATTTGTCGCAACCAGTGTTCTCGAGGACGACTTCAACTACAGTAGCAGACACCCTCTTTTACCAGAATTTGGACCCTACCCTCTGGCCAACCGGATCACAAAGTACAGCATCCAAATGTTCCGACTCTGGTGAGGGTGATGGTTCCAAGTCATCTGATAATAATGACAAAGATGAGCAGATTGGTTGGGGGGCAGTTGGGGGGGTGTCATAGCGCACACCCTGGTAAGTCCTCGCCCTCACCATTCATGATCACACTGACGAGTGCCAGGTTTTTCTGGGGAAGAGCGACCATCCCAACCTCGGATTGTGTCCCCTCTTCCCCCAGATTTTGAATTTCAATATTCATATGATGAAGATGATCAAATGGCGGAGAAAGCTTTATATGTTGGCACCGGCTTGAGTGATAGTAGTGCATCAGTGGATGACGGGATCACTCCTAAGGTATATGCCCACCAGCTAAATGGAGTGCGCTAATTTTTTCCCCTTTCAAGCTGGACGATGTCTTAAACCTTCTCCACCAGAAGAATGGCCATCCCCAATGCCTAATCCCAAACTTTTGGACCTTCTCCAATGTGCTGAAACAAACACCAGCACTGCAAAGGTAAACATGCAGGCAGTCAAAGTTGCAGCAAAATCCAAGGCATCTGAAGGGCCTAATGCTACACAATTAGGTTGGTATGGTCCTTGTTGGAAAGGTTTTCTCGAGGACGCCAAGGTAGAGTGTCGTGCGCAGCAAGCATTAGACAACCCCTTCCTGAAGCTTGAGGATCTGCTGTACACTGTCACCAAATCTCTTTCAGTGTCCCTCGTACAATGGCTCAAAAATGGCAGTCAGGTTGAAGCTGGTATGTCATCATTTTTTTCGAGATATTATGCTAACCAGGGCATTTACTAGATGTGTGGCCTGCTCACAAGTCTGACATGTCAAGGCTGGTGTGCATCTCTGTTGTTGTGCACCTTGTGCCTTATATCATTTTTTAGTTGTATGATGATTTAGCAACATGGTGTTCCAACCTCAAAAAAAAAAGATTGCTATCACCATCACACCTTCTGTGTACAGTCTTGTCCCCCCAGCCACCATCCCCGTTCAGGAGCGCACAGCTTGGGTTCAAAAACACCGCTATGGATTGGCTGGATGATTCCTTGTTTCTTCGTGATGGAGTAGACAAGCTGGGGAAGACCAGGAACTTTGCTCACCCTGGGCTTCGCGAGGCCACCATACTTTTCCTCTACACCGGGTCTTATTGTATTGCTCGTAGGCGACCAGAGATCTTTCGGAAGGAGATACCATTGACTTGCTTCGCTCTCGTCTGCACAACAGTATTTTTTTGATACTGGTGCGCTGCTGATCTGCTGACACTTTTCATAGTTCAATTGCGTCTTTGATGGCCTTGTTAAGAACAGAAACTGAAAATCTTTCCCAAACTTCACAGTTAAGGAGTACAAACCTATCTATCTTACAATGCTGCAACTTCTCCGCGAAGTTATGGATGATCCTTATCATGGTCCCAGGCTGGTGCTGCAGCTTTGTGCATGGGCTGAAGCTGGATGGTGAGTCTCGAGATCTGTTTTACAATTTTTGGCACTGACAATTTTTTTTCTCTCAAGGGCCGAGTCCTGTAAGCTCGATGGCATTGACCCATCAAAGCGCCGCCACTCTGTGTCCAGAAATTGATTGAGCATTGTATTTACCGTGCTTACTAGTATCCTCGTATATCATTTTATACTATCCCTTACGCTCTATTCTTGATGGTCCACAATTTCATGATTTTTGTCTGCAGCACTCAACTTCAAAGTAATTACTTAGCTAGTTCACTCAGTATATTCTATATACTATATACTAGCATATTCCAAGTGAAACGAAACAAATCCATTGAGAAATGGTGGAGATCGTGTTTTCAGTGTGACAGCAGCAAACATCCCGATTTGGTGTCACCTGCTGTGGCTGCCGATGTCAGACATTAAATTTTACAGTGTGTTATTGCAGCTGCAATCCATGAGCACGTGAGCACGGCCAGTGTGACTGTCTGTTACTATTTGTGACATGAGTGTGACTCACGAAATGGAGGACCATCACGAATGGAGTGTAAGGGATAGTATGTTTTGTTCATCATCATTTAGTCAGTGTTGGACCAGGGTGGTCTCATGGGAGTGCCGGGAGTCCTGGCACAGTGGCTGGAGTCCTGGTTCATAGGTAGTCGCTACTCTATGTTGTAGTCAGTCCTCGAGAGTTAGAGCCATCGCCTCCTGCTATAGAGGTTTGGCCTTGGTTTCCCTTGCAGTCCGTACCAGTCCAGTGTCATGTGATTCAATCTATGGTTTTGATTGTGCTATTCTTAGATGAAGTCCAGTGCAGAAGCTTACAGAAGTCATTTCTGCACGGGTTTGTGAAATTGTGAGACTCTGTACAGACATATACAGAGAAAATTTATGCTATTGTAGACGTATTTTGTATGTTCTGGGTGGGTCTGTGAGTGTATGTACAGATGTTGACAAATAAAGGTGCTACTGTAGTGAGCTAGGTAGTAGGGACTAAGCTGTGTGTCTGGTGCGCTGTCTTGTTCTGTGCAGGTCTGTCCAGAGTGTGGGAAGTTACTGATGGAGCAGCGCACTTTCTCCCAGATGTAAATACTATGCTTGAGGGTTCCCGGTTGTTGGAAGAGTCAGAAAGTGAAGGTGTAGGGAGAATATGAGGTACTTCAGGGTATATGGCGGCAGTTGATTGGGTAGTAGTAGCACTGGGAGTAGGTGATGCAGAAGGTGTTGGTGCCCTTGGGATAGGAACATGCAAGCCGCTGGCTGTTGAAAGTGCGGAGGACATCAATTGGGCAGTAGTGGCACTGGGAGTGGATGATGTGGAAGGTGTTGGTGCCCTTGGAACAGGAACATGTGAGCCGCCAGTTGTCGAAAGTGCAGAAGACATTGGTTGGGTAATAGTAGCACTGGAATTGGGTGACATGGAAGATATGGCAGGTGCTGGTGCTAAATCTTTGTCAAGGTTAGGTGTGAGAACCTCTCCTGCAGCAATGCGTGTAAGGCATTCTTCAGCCTCACTCATGTTGATCTTCACAAATTTGCAGGTCTTTGCTTTCACAGCACTAGCAAGTGCTTCAAGTGATTCAATGCCTCCCTTAAGATTGCTTGGATTGGCCCAGTGCTTGTGATTCCACCCCACCACCTTCACAGGATGCTCTTGGACTATAACTACAGCAGCTTCATAATGTAGATACTCGGAATAGACATCCATCTTGCCAGTGATTTCAACTGCACCATAGATCAGTGTCAATGCTATGCACATGATCGACACGGCTAAACAATGGCGATCAGAGTCGAACATGGGAATACCAACCACTACTTATATATCGTCTCGCAGAGCCTTAGATCCATCAATTGATCCTTCCAGCGCCGGCCACTGGGATGTAAAAAACTTGTGTATTGTTGCGGCCTTATGCACGTGTTCTAGCTCTGAGGAAAACAACTTTCTTCGCAGGTATACAAACACTTACCTCACGTGGAACACGCTCAAGCTTCGTCACAAGAAAGGTGGTCCCATCGGGCAAATATTGCTCATTCAGCAGGTGCTAGCGGTTAGATATCGCCGCTCAGAACACCTTGCCTCCATGAGCACACAGCTCAGTGGCATTGTGTGGCACATATACACCATAGGCATACCAAAGGAAGAGGACTTTCTTACTATAATGATGTTAAACACCATGGCAGAAGATCTCCCACACATACGCAACCATATCGCCGATGCCATCACCACCAGCACTTCCTCCACCCCATATGGCACTTCGAACATTCGCTCCCGATTGGACGTAGAGCAGCAACTACTTGATACGGAAGCATCTAAAGGAGGAGATATTGCGATGGCAGCCACCAACAAAGGAGGCAACACCTACAATCGCGATTGTGTGCTGTGTGGTAACTGCGGTAACACGAGCCATCCCACCAAAGACTGTTTTGGTAAAGGGGGGGTCATGGAAGGCAAGTGCAACAAAGTCTTGGCGTGTAAATGTGCAGCTAGGGAAGCCAGAAACAATCCTTCAGCCAACAAACCCTCTTCGTCTTGACCTGCAGCTGCCACTGGGAAACCTGGCAGCCTTTGCTATGACACCAGTGGGCGTGCGTACTTACTCGATAGTGAGACCAACCAGGCTATCTACATGGCTGAACCCTCGCCTTCACCTGCTCCCCCATCTACCTCTACCGAATTTGTGGGCCTCGCTAGTGATTCTATCACCCCCGCGTTCATTGGTGAACTGTCTGCGGGTGAAGAGGACGAGTATACAACACTTCTCGCTGCCGTTGACTCTTTCAACACCAATCTTGACTGGCAAAACTGCACGCACCTCGTCGACTTTGCCGGATTAACTTACCGCGCGCCCAATCAACGTCAATGCACCATCATGGACCCCTCCATCATACCTTTCTTCCTCGACAGTGGAGCTTCCATCCATATCAGTAACGAGGAGTCGGACTTCTTCAGTCTATGACCCATTCCCCCTCATTCAGTCAATGGCATCAGCGGTTCATCAATCCAGGCTATCGGCATAGGCACCCTCCGCCTTGTTGTAGCTCGCAGCATCCACATCACTCTGGAAAATGTGCTTTTCATTCCTGCTGCTATGGTACAGCTCGTTTCCGTTTCCGCCCTCTGTGCGGCACATAGGTGTGTTGTGTCCTTTGATGCCACCAACTGTTGGGTCCAAGCCCACAGTGGCACCAGGATGCTTTCGGGTACTCTGACGTCCAGACGTCTCTATGCGCTCTCCGGCGGGCAACTTTCGGCTGAACACGCCCTCCTAACCCACCAAGTCCCCACTCTCCAATCCTGGCATTGCCACCTCGGACACGTGAACTATTGTGTGGTCTATGACCTCGCACGCTCTGGTAACACGATCAGTATGCCCATTAATCTTTCTACCATCCCCCCTAAGTGTAATGATCGCATCCTCGGAAAACAGACGAGGACCACCATCCCAAAGACATGCGCGGGAAGTAGGGCTACTAGAAAGTTGGGGATTGTCCATGTGGACCTTATGGAGCATCCTGACACTGTATTGGCTGCTGGCAATAAATTACCACTCAGACAACAGTGAGCTTAAAACTGAGTCCATGCGAGAGTGGCTCCTCTCGCATGGGTCTCAACATCAGTTCACCGCTCCGTGCACTTCTGCTCAAAATGGGCGGGTCGAATGCCTTCATCGTATGCTAATGGGCAAAGCTCATGTGATGAAATCTGCATGCGGCGTACCAGTCAACTGCTGGGATGAGTTTGTTCTTATGGCCTGTTACCTCTCTAACTGTACTCCTGTTGCGTCTCAAGCTGGTCACACACCCTTCAAGTGTTGTAACGGTACTCGACCTGATCTATCACACCTACGTGAAATTGGATGTAGAGCTTTTGTGCTCATTCAGAATCAACACAACCCGAAAGTTTATAGTCGCTCTATTGAGTGTGTTCTCATCGGCTATTCCCTTGATTCCAAGTCTTATTGCTGTTACCACCGCTCTACTCACAAAGTGTTTACCTCTTACCATGTCTCTTTCATAGAATCCCATCAATGTGGTTCACCGCCTCCTTCAACACCCTCTTCCCCTTCAATACCTCCTGTGCAACTCATTTCACCTCCATGTTCAGTCACCATCAAATATGTTCCCGACGAAGACGATCCACAGCCCCCCCTCCTACACCAGTGCCACCAACACCACTTCCACCAATTGTTCTTCCACCCAGACACTCTGATCGCACCTCGAAACCTTCGGAACATCAGTGTGCTGCAGATGGTAAGCCTTACGTGTCTCCTACTCAGCGCGCAGTCTTGGAATCTCTCGCTGCAGCCGATTGACTTCGAGCTTTGCACCCTACACCACAAGTCACAACAGATACCAACGCCCTCACAGCAACACTCACCGAATTGACTGACCTTTTCGCAACCATGCCAGACACCCTCGAGCACGAAATGCCTGATGATCCATCGACTTACACTCAAGCCATGGCATCAGAACACGCCCGCAAGTGGACAGCTGCGCTTAAGGAAGAATCTCAGTCTCTATGTGAACTTGGAGTCTACAAGTTAGTCCCTGATCTTCGATCCCACCAGGCCGGAAAGTCATGCGGGGAAGGCCTGTCTTCAAACTGAAATGCGACCAGCATAGTCAACCAGTACGCTTCAAAGCTCACTACATATGCCGAGGTTACTCCGCCGTCTGGGGTCAAGACTATATGAAAACTTCTGCCCCTACCGCAAGACTCAAATCTTTTCATATTCTAACTCACATAGGTGCCGCCATGGACTGGGAGATCGACCAACTGGATATCAAAGACAGCTTTTCTCCACGGCCTGCTGGAATCTGACAAGGTGTGTTATATGGAGCAACCAGAAGGATTTGCGGAGAAGGATCCAGCAGAATGGGTATGGGAACTTCAGAAGGGGTTATACAGAATGAAGCAGGGAGGGCTAGTCTGGAAAAGGACCATGAATGAAGCCATGCTTACCTGGGGATTCAAACGCCTCGCATGTGAACATTGCATCTATTATCGACAAACCGATATTGGTATACTCCTCGTAGCGGTGCATGTGGATGATTTTCTCACTGTAGGAAGTATGAGGGCGGCGATCACTCACTTCAAAGAACAACTACATCCCAAATGGACAGTCAGCGATCTAGGAGAAGAATATTTCTGCCTCGGTATAGCACTCGAACACGACCGACTTACCTGCACCATCAGTCTTTCCCAAACCGCGCTCATTGACCACGTCATACACCAGTTCAGATTAAAGGACACAGTCCCAGTCTCTACTCCTATGGAAACCGGTCTACACTTATCCTGTCAAATGCACTCACCTTCCACAGACAAACAACACAATCTCATGTCCTGAACACCATACCAATCACTCGTGGGCTGTCTTATGTACATAGCTATTGGTACCAGGCCAGATATCACCCACGCTGTACAACAACTATGTTGTCACCTTGATTGCTATGGACCCGTTCACTGGGACACTGCAAAGCGCGTCGTTCATTACCTTAAAGGTTCTCGCGAAATCAAACTTGTCCTTGGTGGAGACCACCCCACATGTCTGCTAGGTTTCACAGATAGTGACTTCGCTAACTGTCCCAACACTCGTCACTCTGTTAGTGGGTACTGCTTTACCTTAGGCAGTGGTATGGTTACCTGGGGTGCAAGACAGCAAAAGACCATCTCCCCATCAACCTGTGAAGCTGAGTACATCACTGCTTCTGACACATCTAAAGAGGTCGCTTGGCTCCGCACTTTACTCCTGGAACTCAACTTCATTCAACCATCACCCACCCCCCTCCTCTGCGACAATACGGGCGGTATCACTCTCACTGAAGATGTATCTTACCACTCTAGAGTCAAGCATATTGACATTGATGTTCATTCCATTCGCAAACGCGTCGCTTGCGGTCAACTCAAATTACATTATGTCAAATCTATCAACAATTCCGCCGACATCTTCACTAAGGCCTTACCACGAAAGGATTTCGAGCGCCTGCGCGAGTGCCTCGGTTTACAGTGAGAAATTGAGGAGGAGTGTTGCTTACCGCGTTGAGGAGGAGTGTCAATGCTACGCACGTGATCGACGCGGCTAAACAACGGCGATCAGAGTCGAACATAGGAATACCAACAACTAGTTATATATCGTCTCACAGAGCCTTATCCCCTCGGTCTGTTCCATCACGACTGAGGGTAAGCTCTTTGTTTATTCGCACTTTACCTAGATACTAATGGACGCTCGTATCTAATGTGTGTCTAGGTACATATGAATCACAGTCTGTTCCATCACGACTGAGGCTAATGTGTGTCTAGATTCTATAGTCAGAACTGTAGGAGGCACAAAATTGATGAGACACATACTCAACCCAGCTTGCATGCCACTCCTGATTGTCTGCTTTGCCACTTTCATGCACTCCTTATGAGTGAGAGAGAACCTTAAGATTTGATGAGCGGTAAAGTTGAATGGTATGGTAATGGATACCTACCCCAGTCTGTAATTCCACCAGACAGTATGTAGCCCTTGAGTTTGCATGGAAATTCCATGGGATCCTTGTGGGTGGCCGTTCTTAAAAATAGTTTGGCTGCCATACACGTAAAGTGAACCTTTAGCTGTATGTTGAGGTTACAGCTACCAGTACTTGGCACTCGGGTGTCGGTATTGAATGGCATCCAGCACCTGTCGGTGCAATTGAAGAACACTCGGTACTTGGTGTTGTTATTCAATGGCACCAGGTACTCGGTGTTGTTGTTCAGTGGCACCTGGCACTCAGGTGTGGGTATTCAGTCCCTGGGTATCTGTTTGTAATGTCGATGTGTTGGCACCCACCCAGTGATTGGGTGTCGGTACAGACAAGCATTTGGCAATCGGGTAATGAGTGTCCCTGATGTGGTAGTATCAATTGTTCATAGGCATCATGGTATGGTATATAATGTTTAAAATATCTAGGTCAGCCTGATCTTGACACCTCTTAATCAAGCCATTGACTACCTTCAGCATTTTTATGACATATCAAAGTAAAATAGATAAAAAATGTCTATCAGATTGTCTAATAAAAATGCTTGCTAGAAAAGTTATTCCAATAAAACCTTTTGCATTTATCTAATACCACATCAGTAGTCCATTCAGCATAAACACCATGAGAAAAGTCTGGTATTAAATGACAACTCTGATGTATAGAAGAAAACTTTATAATGGCTCCAGGTGAATGACCATCAACCAATGGTACAGAATTAATAACAAGATACATGTCATAATGAGGCTCAGGAGTTGTTTTCAGTTTGGCAAACTATTCTACATATGTCAATGGCTCAAAAGGCCAAGTAGATGGTGCTGTCCAGGAACCATAGAGCTTGGTGGGTAATCTCAAAATTACTTTTGGTTTTATTATAGGTATACACAGTGATTAACCTTATTATCATGGTAGTGTTATTCAGACTAAAGCCACTTTACCTTGACGAAATCAGTCCACATATTTTCCAACTCTGGTGTAATTGTAGCCCCATGTTCCATGCTATAAAATAGCCTAGAAGCACTGGCCACTGTGTCAACTACATTAAAAGTAGCTCTGAGCTAAAACTTATTCACCAGTAAAGGTCTAACCAAGGGTAATATAGTACATACCTGTCCCCACTTTGACTGACATGCTACTGCTGTCTTGATTGCACCTAAGTAGGGTGCTTTGCTATTTTGGTAGTAGTAATATAGAATGTGTGATCAAAATTCATCCCATCATCACCATTTGAACGGTTGATGATCATATACTCAATGAGCGCAGTTTTATTCTATTCTGTCCACACACACTGATCCCTTGGTTCTGTCGGCTCTACACCACCACAAGCACTTTTTCGACCATTGTGGTTACAACAAATCTGCTGAAGAGAAGAAAGTGTTGAATCTTGCTGCCTAGCTGCTATGTCAAGATGATAGTGTCAGACCCTAAAGGGTTTCTGAATTAGACTTAAGGCTCAGAGACAAAGAAGGGATAAGGGAATTGCATTCAAAGTCACTCCAGGTGATAGTAAGGGCAAGACCAACATGATTATGTAAGCAAATGCCAACATAAGCAAGGCAGATAGGGGTAAAGTAAGCTTAACTAGGAAGTCACTACACCGTGTGACACTGACATCCTATGAGAATTGTAGCAACAGATGGATTGTTGTTCAAGTGACAGGTTCACAATTTTCACTGCCAGTACCGATTTGTTAATTAGGGTGTGTCACAGTGTGACACAGCAGTACAGTATGATTATGAAGCCAAAAAAAAATAAGTAATCCAAATACTAATTTATATAAATAATACTGGCTAAACAGACTCTAAAGTAAATATTGTTTTTGCTAAGATGACAAACATAATAATGATTTTTATTAAATAGTCATTAGAACTGACTTCTTCCATAATATGACCTTGATTACACTATATATAGGCAAATTGCAAGACACCTATGATTATATTGTGAAAACATCATTTTTACATCAGCACTATATGTTACTCAAGATAACACATTTCTAATTATCATATAAACTAGTGAGGTATTTAACCTTATTACTAGGTGTGACTCAGGTGATGCACTAATTTTAGGACAAAAAACCTACATCTTGTTCTTAGCCCTTAGAAAACTGAATAAGTTATCACTACATAGATATAATATACATGGCTAAATAATGATAAAAAATAACAAAAATAGTATTTGATAACCAAGACTGATTCTTCTGATACTTGAAATAAGATTACAATATAATGGAAGACCAAACTTGGCAAGTATAGAATCCTTTTTTCATTATATTTTTATAGCATCATCTATCAAGCAGCAAGGTGGACAAGGATGTTTGGCAGAATACTCATATCTGTAGGTGAATTGTATCCACATGTTTCTCATACTGAGGGGCATAAATAGTAGCCCCTTTCCTAGTCAGGATGACAGGGATTGATATGCATTATTGAATACACCTGGAGCAAACACAGTTATAGCATAATGTGCTTGCACTCTAAGATGGACTTTTATAATGTGACAATGACATATCAGTGAATGCACAGGGCTCTACACAACACCTCATGCTAGATTGATGTCTTTTACTTTACTCAATAAATATTATCACAGGTGTGGTGGTCCCTGGTATGGATATGGTGGTGTTTTGACTACTATATTATGATAGTACTACAAAAATTCAGCTGCAAGCTTTCAAAGCATTTTGCCACACAAGACCATTATACTTGGGAAGATTGAAGTAAGTCTCTATACTGTCATCTATCAAAGACAAGGCTTCCTCTCATGTATCATAATCTAACTCAACCACATTTACAGCAGCTGCAGCGCCTGAGCAAAGATAGTCTAAACAGGCTCCATCTGTATTCAAGCTATGAGAAAGCACATCGTGAGCTTTGCAAAAAAGTTGTTGGGTGTCTAACACCATTCCTTCACAGGATGGTCTTGTAGATGGCCAGCCCATACTGTCAGCATTTTGCATAAGTGTGAGACTGCATAATTTAAGCACAGTGTATTGAGAAGGTACCCCACCTACCTTAAGAGTTGCCAGACACATACAGGAGTGATGTAAAGAGCACCAATCAACCTCCCGGGAATTCAAAATGTTTTTGTATACCAGCCCTATTGGCATCCATCAGAAAGCTGTTGAAGACAGCTTATTCCAGCGGGCGTTATTAAAGTGCCTGTGATGATAACTGACACATCACTTATGTCACAAGCTGCCACTTGTCTCAATGCATTTGAGAAGTGCAGGCTGCACAAGAATACTACTGTTCCCCACCCAAAAATCTAGCTCCTCAAACCTTGCTCGGGAGAGTAATACTGCTTCTGGAGTGTTCAAGGATGAAGACAGGAACACTGTCAGTGATTGGTTCACTGTTGATGCAACACATTTTCAGCTTGAACCTCTCTTGCTGTAAGTAATTATGTTTGTATACTTCCCCCATCCTCCAATTCAACATCTTTCCGAGTTGTCAAGCCTTCTGTAGGCAAAGTGACTTGGTAGGCTGTGCACAATTGGAAAATCTGTTTGTGGGCTAATCTGGGGTTAACGCGCATGGTGGCCTCAACCCTACCCTTTATTATTCTTTCAGCATCTCATTAATAGTGGTGGTGCTAAAAATAAGATATTAGATGCATCCCTGACCTTCCCGACTGGCTCATCTTCGAAGCAATCTCAAATTCTGATCTATGGCAATGGCCATTTTGAGGTTGATGGATTCTGATCAACCATCTCCATATCACCATTCATGCAGCCCCTCTCACAGGCTGACAGGGCAGTGTTTCATATATGGCTCTCTGTAAATTAGCTCTCTTCCAATACCTTCCTTATATACCTGTGGACTGTCACATTGTATGCTATACCACGCTAATTTTCAGAGCTTGAGTGTCTCAAACCTCCTTCCTGGGGTTCTAACACACATCTCAATGCAGCTTTTACACTTCTCGCGATCACATTTTTGATTGTGGTAGCAGGAGACGTGTCGTGTTGTAGATGTGTGTTTTGTTCTGACAAGTAAGCTACACAACTAAATTGAAGTTCTTCAGTCAGAGTGAGGTGATTATATACACTGATAGGGCACTGGCATGGTAAACTTTTTAAACAAGGCAATATGCAGGATAATAGCTCTGATTGATTGATAGGATTGCCTGGGTGTTTGTTCTTTGTTGCTAAACGACTGGTGGTCCCTCGTGTGGATGAACTGCGAGAATATTTCTTCTGTTTAGCTCACGATGCAGCAGGGCACTTTGGGGCAGACAAAACCTATATGTCCTTACATTTGGCCTATTAATGGTCTAATATGCGACCTCATCAAATATTACATTCCTTCATGCACTGAATGCATGCACAACAAATCTTGCTCAAGCTACATCAGCAAACAAACATCTGTCCCAAGAGAAGACATTCACCATAGACGACCTTGTACTTCTCACAACAAAGAATCACCAAAGAGACGAGACTACATGCAAAAGGGAGACAGTCGTGTTGCCAAGTTTATGCCACGCTACAATCACCCATAAAAAATAGTGGACACTAATCCTACAGTATCAACCTACACCCTTGACTCCCACCTTTCATGTCTCCCAACTTCACCCTTTCATCACCAATGACTCCGCCCTATCCCCAACTCAGGAACTACCAAGACCAAGACCAGTGGTAACAGGGAATGGACAAGAGAAAAACTTCATTGAGTGTATTGGTGACAAGAGACAAGTGGGCTGAGGAAAAAGGTGCACACTATGGCCCTTAGCCCTCCCATATTCTGAAACTGTCAGCTTCGAGTCTGTAACAAGCCTTTTCTCCAGTTTATCAAAACAAGTGATTGAGCCATGATGCCCCAGAGAGTGAGTGATGTTCTCTGTTTATGTGAGAGAGATACAGAGCCTTTGATTTATTTTCCTTTCAGATGGCAATGCAAGTTTACCTAAAAGTTAGTGCTGCCTTGACTTGACTATTGCAATTCAACTCACCACATCTGCAACTACTTCAGGTTCGATCCTATTATATGAATTCTAATTTTGATTGTCAGGGATAACTATGATGTGAGGGTCAAGCTAGAACTTGGCAAATGCATCATGGATGTAAGCACCGATTTCATGTGCCATCTCTTTCCCAGTTTCGGGGTCTTGGCTGAGTCTAAAGGGATCTGCACTTGAGAGTAGGCTTCAGTCTCCTTGAAAACACCAAAGACACTGACCTGGTGATTTGGTGATCTCATAACAACCTTTGAGGTACAACACCCTCTGCTATACAATAAAGTTGAGCAAGAATGAGACAATCTTCAAGCCCTCTACCACTGGACAGAAAATGTAGAGGTGAAAATGATGGCCTTCCTCAACAAAATTGCAGTGGTGTGCAGTCATATATTGGGAGTAAAGCCCTTCCTGTAATATCATCTTCCCTCACATTCATCAACCAGCATTCAGACCTCCGTCACTGCGATCTGATTGACATGACTAATTACAAGAGTGTTTTCCACAAGGCCATGCACAAAGCCGTGAACACCAGCATCCTGTGCTTCTCCTGTTGCAGCTATATGACCTTTCACCATCCTGTGGAACTTCATTGCGACAGTGAGGCTCTCCAGGACATCTGGATCAGAATCCTGTATCTCATCTTCTGCATCCCAGCGCTACAACATGTGGTATTTGGACTGCTTGGCAAGCACAACTACCACACTGTTGTTCAGAACATTGACTCCTTCATCCTCTGGTTTTCAAGTCATCGCCTCTCATGGCCCTCCCCACCAGAGCTACCCTGAATGTCTTTGACCTCTTGATTGCTTTTGCATCATCCCTTCCAGAGTTTTCAGAGATCGACTGGGTGGATGCGCTGGCCGAAACAAACAAGAGGATGGTGAACTTGTAGAATACTCATGGACTCGCACTGCTCTCATGGACCTTCAGTTGCCATGTACTTTATGATCGTTGTAGGATAGGCACCAGTCAGACACTGTGTATACAATAGTTAGATGTACTACCGTGTTGTACTTCCAGAGTTGGCCAGTTTACGCGAAGATGTAATGCATAATGCTTTATTGTGTCCTCATTCTCATAGTATGTTGCACTAACTAACTGGTGTTTGTTAAATCTGATTTCGCAAAGGAATATCACCATTACATCAATACATTCGTCCAGAACAAGCTGCACATCCAGGACATCAGGTGAGAGGATACCTCTTATATGAAGACCCCCCTATCTCAACTTCTTGCTTCCCGATGTAGTCAATATCACGTGACAAATTCCCATGACGTGTTGTTTGCATGAGTTGGCTCACACAACGCTCATCCCTACACACAAGGCTCATCTTGCATTATGTAATACATTTCTCCTCTTTCACAACCACCATCATGGACCGCCATGATAGCCTCAGTTGGTTGGGTGTGCTTGCGCACCCTCTAGCTTATGCCGCCTGGGCTGCACATAGTGCTTGTATACTCCAGTATACCCCCGCACACATGTCAACGTCCAATTGAACACCGACTAAGTGCTACCCTAGGTCAACAACCACGCCGTCCAAAGTAGGCGACCAGGGTATTCCCCACTTCATCTTGAAAAACTCCTGATGCTCCGTTGCTCTCCCATGACTCCATCTCTCCAATGATTGCCCGCACCTGCTCTTTGTCTTTTGGTGCATTCTTGGTTCGGCTCTGCAGCTTCTGCAGGTTGACACCTGGAAGCTTATAGACCGGCACCTTGTCTGCCCAGTACTGCAAATCATGATATATGTGTTCTAACAAGCGTTGCTGCTGCTTGTGCTTGCCCAAAGTACGTTTGTCAGACTTGCATTTGCCAGACTTACTTTTGCCAGACATGCATTGACAAGTACTGGGCTTCAGAAGCATCGTCTTGGGATGCAGTACTTCTGTTACCTTGTGAAGGTTGCTCTTGTCCTCACCTTTGATGGCAGCTGCTGCTTGCAACACGAGCCTGCCATCAGTAATGACCTCATGCACTTCACCATCATTGTCCTCTGAGAATTCAGACAACGAGGGGAGGGAGGGCATGTCATTATCATCTTCAGAAAGCTCTGACATGGTGCTGAGGACATGTCATTGTCGACATCTTCAGGAAGTTCTGACAAGCTGCTGGGGGATGTGTTGCCGTCCATGTCCATGGCTGATTCAAATGAGCCGTAAGTATTTTTCTATTGAAACTTGTCAATAATATTACCAGTGTAGGACATACTTACTTACTGGGCCGCGTGAACTGTCAAGTCCTTCCATCAAATCTACAAGTAATGTTAGGTGACTCACACTGTATTTTTAAAATAGACACACCTTGCTCTTTAAAATAGACATTTACCCCACTTGAAAATGTGCTTCCACAAAAGTATAATTAGAATTCCACAATTATATTTAGGATTGATGTGTGGCCGACATGATTACCAAAAGTAGTAATGCGTGCTCGCTGTGGACTTTAATCATTGTTGTCCACATTCGTCACATCCACAGTCACATCCACACATTGTTGTGTTAGCCATTGTTGTGTCCACCGCCCAACACTTTGGTAAGCAACCCAAATTGGTCATCCCTATAAAAGGCTGACCTTCGCAATTACAGGCCTCTTTTCCACTTCCATCATCTCATCCATCACATACTAGATATAACCTTAGAGTATGTATTACCTTAGTTAAAGAACTTTGCTCAATTCACGCATAGGAATGTCCAAACGCGCTGCAAGCCCATCCTTGGACGAGCCCAATGCGAAATGTACCAGAAATCAAAGTAAGTCCTTAATTTGTGTTGTGTCCTGTCAGTACTTACGTCGATCCAGTATCACCTTTATCTGATGGAGACGAGTCAGTTAATTAGGAAGTGAGGTATTAGGTTAGTATCATTTCCGTCCTGTTTCGTATACTCTGATACTCATTTATCCAAGCCTCAAGTGGATGACAATGAGGTGATAGTACTTGACAAGGCGCAGGTCACAGAGTCCAGTTCATCCCGCGTGCACCCATCATCCCCATCCTGTCTCCAAGATACACCAGCCTCGCAGGATACTGTGGCTTGGGATGTCTCGGAACACTTCCTTACAACCAATCTAACCTGCAGGAACATGGAAGCCGAGTTCCACATGTATCTCGGTCATCATCATGACCCATCAGACTGGATGGAGGCGAGACAAGCCCTGTTCTCGGGCGACGGCGACAATGAACTCTCCCTATCAAATTTGCTTGCTGTTAAGCGCAAGCACATCAACAAAGTACAGTCTACTCCAAGCTCCAGCTCAAAATCATGCTCTCGTCCATCACACAAAGTAAGTTAAATCTTTTAAACATATAGTTCTATCTCATCATGCAAAGTCAAAGAATCCCTTTATAGACTTTGAGCCTGGGCAGGCCAAAGTCATGCATCTCCCATCAAGAAAACACACACTCTCTGATGCAGTCGCCAGGATTGAGGAGAGCATCAACCACAGCGGCAGCATCTATGCTCAGTGACTTGTATCACTCCCTCCTCCTTGGGCGGTTGGTTTCATCCCAAACAGACGGATGTATGTATTTACTGTGAATGGTAAGTATGCATATTATCTATGTATCTACTCCGCCTAATAGATTGCAGTATTCATCAGGCAATTCATCACCGAGCATCCCGAGAACCGAGGGCTTGAGATTATAATATCACCATGGATTCCCTCACACATCTACATAACCTCTGACAGTCCCCGCACGATTCTTTCGACGTTCCCTGAACAATATCAATCATCAATCAAGAAATGGGATGTAGTGAAAGAGGACAAACAGGAGGCAGTGAACATGCTGCGGCTGCAGTTCCCATACCCTGCCTGGCTCAGGATCAAGCGGGGTAAGTATAGGGATGCTATTACATACCTATTTGAGTGCGAACAATCCAATAACTTTGTCACCGTGCTCATCCCACCCAGGGACTTCCCCTACATCATGCCAAAGGGATCCATTGCACTCTTTGACCCTTCACGCCTTCCAACCAGAATTTCCCCATTGGAAATCCTTCGTAAAGGAGAAGTAATTGGATAGAAGTATAAGGGGGAGGAATATTAGGGCGGCCTTCTCAAGACAACATCCCATCGGTACACAACAGAGTTAGTTCACATCCCCCACCCCAACAATATCTGTCTCCATCTCCAATCTGGATGGGACACCTCATACGCAAAGAAAACTGAAATCACCTTCTCCAAACTCTCCTTGCGAGCTGGAGATTGTGTTTGCCTCCGTACGCCTGATCAAACTGGGTAGATCTACACCATCCTTGCAACACATCATTCCTTCAGCGGTTCAGTCACCGTGGAATTCGATTTGGATGGTTGCCAAAAACAAATAAAAGCCACGCTTGCTGAAATAGTGCAGGTCTTCGATGTTGGGGATGAAATTAGGGTTGTCGTAGGAGTTTATTCAGGGGTGGAAGGGCACATCATGCTCAAGTACGACGAAAACTTTACCATTTGCCAGTCCAGCACGCAAGAAGAGGTACATATTGTATTATTAATTCAATACTCTAACTAATATAATATATAGATCAAAGTCTCCAAGTATTACTTGGACCATCGCCCTATAAATTGCACTCTGCAAGGCACTTCAGCAGCTGCCCAATATGTCGACCCTCCAGAGGAGGCCAAGTCTATAGAGATTGGCGACTGCATTAGGGTCACCATTGGAGACTTGATCGGTAGAAGCGGGCTGGCGTTGTGGGTCTCAGGAGAATTTGTGTGGTTCCAGGACAACAACGACCAGGCACTTGGCCAATTACCCTCCCTGGAAACCAACCCAACACCTTAAAGAGTGAATGCATCATAAATGAACAACACAGGGGCAAACTCCTTCAACCAGGATGACAGCAAACTGAGTTAAACATTGTGAAAGGTGGGCTCAAGACTTACCAGGTTTGTCTGAGAGTTTCAGGATGGCAGCGTTAATGGCATCCTGGGTGTCGTCGGCATTGACAACCCACAGATTAGAAGTTTTGAGCTCAGACCAGCAGTTGAAATATCAATTTGGGAATGGTTGAACATCGCATTAGCAGACCAAGAAGTCCAGGAAGAAGACGAGGGGCCACAGAGACCAACAGAGGGTGCCATCCTTTCAGGAGGAGGAGTAACACTTCGAGGCTCAGGAGCCACAAATGATTGTTACAGGTGTCACAGAATGACAATGACAGCAGGTCATGGTATCCGAGCACAGCATTGTTCAACTGCATAGCATTACCAGAGGTCCTCAGAGACCCACATTCAGAACAGGATGTACATTATTTTGGTTTTCCTAGAGTGATAAACTCAATACTCTACAGGAACTGTCACACAGTTTGTGGCTGATCACCTTGAGAAGCAAGGTTTCTCTGTCAGAGTCTTGCCTTGGTCCCCTCAGGGTAGCAGCTCTATGTTGTGTCTGACAGCCCCAAAACACTCCCACTTTTCATGCATTACAAAATGGGATCGTATCAGTGAACAGGAATCAGAATCAGTCAATTGCGCCAACCACCTCAAACTTCCCGATCCCTGTTGGGTACATATCAAACTCAGCAAATACAAAGGCGACATTGCTCAATCCTGACCAGACCAACAACTTCTTAAGGGTCTTGATTCTGCCCAGGGATTTCCCGTACCCTATACCAAAAGGATTGGTTGCGCTGTCTGACAGATCTCACATTCTGGCCAAGGGGAGGAATACTTGTTGCAATGGGAACTGAATGGGCCACTTCTAGAGGCTCCTGAGTGACCAAAGATGATCAGGACTAGAGTCCAGAGTAAGTTGCCAATGTATTCAAGTATAGTAAAGGTATACAGTACCTAGAGTCCAGAGTAAGTTGCCAAAGAGGCAGGGAGCACTGGACTCTGGGATATGGGCGATGTATGGTAAACAAATGTAAACAGACAAGCCATAACACAAAGGTAAGGGATAACTCGACCTAGACAAGTCCTAGGGAGGTCAGGAAAGTGAGTGAATGGTCAGAGAAATATAGATAATGAATATGTACGTATAGAGACCATGAAAAGCATAGAAAAGCATACTGTAGAGGTGAATGATCATATAACTAACAATACTATGGTGGTCTACTCAAGAAGAATGTTCATCGCTACATGATTGAACAGGTATATGTTCCTCACCCTGACAATATTTGCCTCCATCTCCAGTCCGGATTCGCCCTTCACTTCGTCAAGAAAACCGAAATTACATATTCCATGCAGATGTTGCAAGCTGGTGATTGTATGCATCTCATCCAGGGAGAATTTTTTTTTGGAGATTGGGATGGTCTTAGCGGTGGACCACCAGTCTGGTGGCTCTTTCAAAAGACTTTCTTCAAGATGTGGAGCGAGATTTCTGGGTGGGCGATGAAGTCAAGGTAGAACCTCAGGCTTCTTGATACAACACCAGCACATCTTACTTTGTCAGATGAGACCACATGCATGAACATGATGAAGGTGCATCATCTAATCCTAACCCTAATCCAGCGGGCTGGTGAGATTAATTGGCCTGCCTCTTTGGCAACTTACTCTGGACTCTAGTCCTGATCATCTTTGGTCACTCAGGAGCCTCGAGAAGTTGTCCACTCACTTCCCATTATAACAAATGTTTGAGCATCGAAGGTTTGACATTGTCAAATGGTGTAGTCGACAGTGGCTTCATTGACAATCTGCAAATCAATGCACACCCAACAGTAATCTAACTGTTTCAGATCGCTGAGAACATCCTCAGCTCTAACCCTGGCACTCTTTCCTCAAATGCCTCTTGCAGACATGATCTCTTGCACAGGCTGAGAGAGGAGTGTGGCAGTCACAGGGATGTAGGCCTTGTCTTCTTCAAGCGGTGGTGGGTCTGATATATAGGCCTCATCATCAGATGTGACACACTGCTGAGTGTTACAGGAAGCTGGGGAATTGGTGAGGTTAGTTGAAGGGAGATTTGGTGCAGATGGGGGGACAAACTTATGGACATCAAAGGCTTATTGCAGAGGACAATACTCCCTTCTTCGTAAAGCTGGAGGATCACCCACATAAAGAGGTGCTTCATCCTGACCCGCAGGAGGTTGGAGTTGCAGGTCTGAGCAGCATGCGCATGCGGTTGAGCGCATTGCCTCATTTTGGCATGAACAACCCGACTAGCTAGAAGGGCAAGTTTGGGAATCCGGCATAGATGGGAGAGGGTAAATGCTGGAGAGGTAATATCACAGACATTGCCAGGTGCATTATGGATGTGATGCTTGAGGTATAACTGAAAGGTGTTGTCGGTAATGTCAGCGATCCACAACTGAGAAGGATGAAGAAATTGATCCTGCACAACAATGAATTAGTTAGGACTAATATACAGCAAAGTACTTACTGGCATAATGAAAGTTGATGGACGGGAGGCCACACTGTGCATCAGACGTGAGGATGGACACTTGATGGAATTCTGCAATATGTCTGAGTCCATCTCTACTGGTATCTCAAAGGGCTTTGGCACTGACTATTTGGACTTGTGAAGTCCAACGACGGTGACAACGTGCTTCCATTGATCATTGGTAGAATTGCAGCCCTCTGGGGATGAGGTGAGGTCACAGTTAAAGATGCAAAGGAGGAACGTACTCATGGATATGGCTGTAATCCGCCACCCACCATGGAATGTCATAACTTTGCCAATAATGTCCACTGGGTAGCCAATGGTGGTGATAGCAGGTGGGGGCGGAGGCAGCGGACATTTGCGTAATGTACATAGTTCTTTAGTCGACATTAACTTCATATCAATGTTGGCCTAGGGCACAGGGTGAAGAACACTCAGTGACAGCTATATGATCAAGTAACGATGACTGACACAAAATATGAACTAACCGGTGTACACTGTCCATCTATCAGATACATCAATCCCTACCACAACACCAACAATGTGCATGATATGGCAATGTGGTAGTCCATTCAAGCACCACCTGCAGTTTTGGCAGTGCACCAGGCTGCGATGTGACTGGGTGGAGCGATGCCATTGGGCCCACAGAAAGGATCCGGACAGTGACTGTTAGCTAGGTGTTTGATCAATTTTCTGCCCTGGAAGCCTGCTGAGACGTTGAAGAGGGTGTGATAGCTGTAAAATTGCAATGCAAACTCCCTCAGCTAACCAATCGACTCTGGAATAAGAGTAAGCATCAAATTAAATTATAACATCTTGTTGAAGAACTCACTGCGTGGATTATGTTGAGCTGGTTCAACTGTGGGCACGGTGTCGCTGGGGTTCACCGTCCAAGGGTCTTTGGGTTGATTTGAAGGGCCGGTGTTGTCCATTTGAGTGGCAAAGGCAGCAAGTACCATGGCTGACCATGAAGCCCAGGGGATGGATGGGCCGGCATCAACAGGGATTATTCTCTCAGGGGGAGGCGTAACACTTCAAGCCGGTGGGGCTATGTGAGATCTCCTATGCATGTCACAAAAGGCAGTGAAATCCTGCCATTGGAGCATTGCACCATTCAATTGGCAGCCATAACTAAGATATGTAAACCTTATGAGACAAAAATGAAGCAAGAGAATAAGTCATGTAGTCGCAACATTGGCACATTTGGCAGTCATGTGCAGTTGGCCATGCACAGCGACAATACAATCATCATTGGAGAGACTGTACAGTGTTGCACAGAAACCTTTCTTTTCCACTCTGATGATATATACACTAACCATATCTCCTGGTCTAATATCATAACCGTGCTCCCTGGTGAACTTGATGGTAGCTGGAAGGCGCGTATGTTCGACCATGGATGCGTTAACTTTTACCAAGGCAGGTGCTTCACTATTGCATTCGTCACGAAGGAGGTATATACTGCATATACGTACTCGGGTCAAGGGCGCAGCACACGAGCTGAAGTCCAGCCCCTCCAGTCCGACCCATTGAACAAGGTCTTAACAATAACCTTACATGTATAGGCAAGAGTTGATGTGCATGCTCAATGTATCGCATGACTAAGAAATGGCCAGACAGACCATAGAAAGGCTGGAAGACAAGAGTCAGTCAAAACAACCACTAATTGGTAATAGTGAACCTCCTAGTTCTTCAGGAAGAGGCTATCAGTGATGATGTGGATGATCCACAATGCAGATTGTACTTACCCTAATGGGCAGAAGTCTCAGAATTTGGTTGATTGTCTACACATATGTATAGATTGGACAAGTTGCTGGAACTGCCGGTATTTGCATCTTGCTAGTATGGAGAGACCAGGAAGATGGAGGAAATAGCACCAAATGAGGCCCTAATAACTACTCAGATATGGATTTGTTCCACCTACTTTCAACCACTGGACTTTATTGATGCTGCACCAGGAATCAGCAGGGCACACCAGGATTGGCAATGTGACAAGGACATGATGCCAGGGCCAGTTGAGGGATTGGCAATACATAAAACAAACTGCCAGGGCAAGTAGGAGGGACTGCAAAGAAGTGCCAGGGCAAGTAGGAGGGATTGGCAATGCGGCAAATGTGCATCAGGAAGGAGTAAGGGTATTACAAAGGTTATCATGGTGAATAAGGTAGTGTAGTGATATCTTTCATTCTTGTAGTCAAATGGATGGCTAGTTGTAAACATCTCATCCAGCACCTGGGTGAGCGACTCTGTGCTGGCATCGAGTTCTTAGGTCAAAAAAACCAAACTCCTCCACCCCAACATGAATTCCATCGTCATCCTGTTCATTGTCATTGTCATTGTTAGCAGGACCATGCCAGTGTGTGCTTTCACTGAGTGTTTCCCCACTTTCCACGGATTCATTTTCTGTTGCGCTGTCATCAGCATAATAGGGCAGGGCTTTACCTCATGAGAGTATACTTGACCAACCCCAAAAGTCCATAATGGAAGTGCATGAGAGTGTTGCAATCAACAAAGCTAGTGTGTTCCTAGTATTACGGTGTGTGAAGCACAAACACAGCGCCTCTGTACAGCGCCATAGATACATAAGTGAACTCCATAGTCGATTTTAGGAAGGAACATGCCTAAAATACATTGTTTTTACTAATTGCCTCGACTGAGCAAAAAAACGAGCCAGGCAAAATCTCAGCATCATGGCAGCACTCACTTCATGCAGCAGTGTTCAGTGGCGAAGAAAAGCATGGACAGACTTGGATAGTAAGTACCGAGGATGAACCTGAGACTGGCAGCCTAGCCGAAGACATATCAGCTCTCCAGACCCTGCACTCTGCATTTCTTCCTTGTCACATGCAGTCTAAAGGGGAGCGCAAGCTATCAGACAGTGGACAGTGAAATGTTAGGAAAATGAAAACGCAAATGAAAAATTATTAGTCATGTGATGCTATCACATGACCATCTGGAAAACCCCAGGTGGGTATTAGTAATGTGGTATCTGAGTGAACACAGCACACACACATATCATCTGTTATTCATGGATCTGTTGCAGTCTGATGCAGGCTCTGGGCCATGTCAACATGGAGGGAAGGGAATCAATGAGCGGAACAGAGAGTTCTTTTGAAGCTCGGGTGGTGGGTTTACCACCTTTGACTGTTAAGATGTTAAGCTGCTAATGTTGAGAAAAATATGACTGACTTACTGTTAGTTATATGATCATTCACCTCTACAGTATGCTTTTCTATCCTTTTCATGGTCTCTATACGTACATATTCATTACCTATATTTCTCTGACCATTCACTCACTTTCCTGACCTCCCTAGGACTTGTCTAGGTCGAGTTATCCCTTACCTTTGTGTTATGGCTTGTCTGTTTACATTTGTTTACCATACATCGCCCATATCCCAGAGTCCAGTGCTCCCTGCCTCTTTGGCAACTTACTCTGGACTCTAGGTACTGTATACCTTTACTATGCTTGAATACATTGGCAACTTACTCTGGACTCTAGTCCTGATCATCTTTGGTCACTCAGGAGCCTCTAGAAGCGGCCCATTCAGTTCCCATTGCAACACTTACCATAGCCAATGAATGGTCTTGACAAAAAAAACTGATGTGATTGCATCTGGGGATCATCTCAGGCGCCACTCTGCTGCTGCAGACAGCAGGAACAGGGAGATGACCGAGGCATTCCAGCCATGCTCCTTCAGTGCTTGAGACTTGGAAAAATCATCACATGAATACAACTGAAGTAGAAAAGAAAATACTCACCACAATCCGAGCGACATCATGCACCCTGTCAACTACCACACGGCCATCTGCTTCTAAGGATTTGATGTGACTGATCTTGTAGCGCACATTGTCGTCGGCGAGCACCAAAGCAGTGTTGGATTTGCATTTGGACAGCATGTCAAGTATTACTATTATAAGATGAAAATAATAAAACTCGGGTGTTTAATGAACTTCGTAAGATAAGAGGAAACCAAATGGCCCAGTTCTGGCATTGGCCGTGTGACTTCCACATTGTTGATCCAAATCGGGGTTTCAGAACTTTTTTGTGACATGGAATCAGTGGGTGCCACTGAAGCTGTGGCCAAGATCAACTCTGGTGGTCTTCCTCACACTCTTGGCTGGTGGTCAGTCATCCAACTCGGACTGGTTGCCAGGGCCAGAAACACATTACTGGCAGGGGATTCATCATTGGAGGAACTGATGTAAGCTTGTCTGGTGGACCTCGGCTGATCTTTGAGAAGTCGGGACAGCCGAGTTTGGCTTGTTCAGGTGGTGTGTTTGCAGCTGTGGCAGATGACCTTTTGGTGGGCCGGGGGTGCATTATGCACCCTCATTGTCGGCACCTTGTGTGCCTTGTGATTGTGGAACCACTGCTTGTATTTCTGTCCATGACCAGTGGAAAGGAGCATGACTGAGACTGAAGCTGAAATGCTCACAGTCGACAACCCTGCTCACATGAACTGCTCCACACAATCCATTTACCACTTTCCATTCCTTCGCAATCTTACTGTATCACTGCTGGATCCCACAGCAATGCAAGCCATTGTATCCCTGACTTTGCTAGAAAGCTTAGACATAGTCATACCAGATTCATTGCTGATTCACGCCACACACCCATACACTATTCAATTCAAGCAGGCTATTCCCCTACCGTCAAGAGGCTTTACTTTCTGCATAGGCCAGGTTCTTGGCCTTCCCTGTTCCTTGCCAGGAACTAACTGTTCCAATCCCCACCGCCTTCCTGGGGACTGTGGAAGGTAGTTTTGTTGCTTGCCTTGCAGAGGAGTTTATCATCTCCGCAGCCTCAATATCTGTTCTCTGGGATTGTACTTTATATTATTAGTGGTTGCATAGTACACAATCTATGTAAATGTCAATGCTTTCTTGTGTCCTAATTTTCATAGTACGTTGCGCACTTGCTTACCGGTGGTTATTAAATTTGATTTAAATAACAAGGTCATCACATTGCGAAGAAATATCGCCTTTATACCAATACATTTGTCCTGAACAAGCCTATATCACGTGACAAATTCCCATGACACATTGTTTGCATGGGTGATGGCGCAAAGCTCTTCCCTACAAATAAGCATCATCTGGCATTATGTGATACCTTTCTCCTCTTCCTCAATCCCCATCATCAAAGTCTTGCCAAAGTCCTTGTTTGGACCGCCATCACAGTCTCAATTGGTTGGGTGTGCTTGCATGCCCCCTAGGTATTGCAGCCTGGGTAAGCAGATACTGCTAGTATACTCCAGTATACCCCTGGTCCCGTCACCGTCCAATTGGACACCAAAAAAAGTGTTAACCTAGGTCAACAACTAATTGGAAATGTCTGGCAGTTTCGCTCCACAATGCACTGGGGAGGATACAATGTGTATGTCTGAATCACAGGTTGGTACTGCAGTTTTCTGCACCACGTCTATTGACATATATGGACTGCATGTTCTTCCCCATGTTCCTGGCCACTGGGTCTATGCTTCCTCTCAACTATGGACACGATCAGCTTGTTCAAGCGCAACAGATATGGACACAGCCGCTGAAGTATACTGTGTTCTTTGTTGTGTACTCACATGCCTTGCCTCAATTCACACTGCTATTGTTTGGTGATAGGCTCATCATCAGAGCACAATGTGGTCTTTTGGAGAGGCTGAGTGGTGATCACGGTGTTAATCTCTGATGGAGAATATCTTAAATGAATCATCGCCATGCAGTAAATGTGTGCAGCCAATATGGCCTTGGGCTGTTGTATTGGGCTGACAGAGGGGCGTCTGACATTGATATACTTCGGCGCACCCACTAGAAATCTGCATGAGATTTCGGTGCTAAGGTGTACCATCACATAGATCTGCATGAGGTCTGGTACACCCCGACCAGCCCCTCATCATCTAGTGGTTTCCCTCTGAAACCCCAATCACAGCCAGGACAGTAGCTCAACTGTTACAAACAGGTGTTTGGTCTCTGC